CGCGACCGCGGAAGACCATTAATGCTGATATCTAAGCTCAGTACGCTTACCCTTGCACCGGATAAGGGGTCGTCAACCCCAAATCCTTTTGATCATGCAGATATCGTTGCTCAGCTTCGAGACAAGCTGCCCCTTCTCCCACATCTTCACATTTTTTTCTGGGTCGGCTCGTCGAAGGGGGTCTATGGACAGAATTGGTAGAGGTCCTAGGTGTGGCGCCCAAGCTTGCCAATCTGCGCATCCACTCATCCTGGGCGACATATGACAATGGGACAATGAAGCGACCTTGGGAACTCTCTCCGACATTCACAGCTCCACCTCTCACACGTATAATATACCCTATTCCCACCCACTATAGAAGGGGTCAGGATATGTGTCGGCGTCCCCCGCAGCTCATTGAATTCGAAACGACAAACTTCCGTCGTCTGCTATCGGCTTGTCACACAACTTTGGAGAATGTCGAGCTTCCAGGTGAACTCTTCATTTGGTCATTTGATCCAAAAGTCAACTGGACAGCCCTCCGCAAGCTATTTGTTCTGGGGTTTTGGCCGAAGCCAGACCTTGATCAATCGGAGCCAACTTAGATGCTCTCAATCTTGGAATTGCTTCCAAATTTGCGGACCTTGGTCATTCTTCTATCGGTCGCTTACAACGAACCAGCAGGGCGTACGGTCATCATACGGCCGTGGCGGTCGTTCTCCGTCCAGTGCATTTTTGCGCCACTTGGACTTCCTCCAAATGGCATCGTTGATGACAGAAGAACGTCTGCTGGAGTTTCTCCCAGCGGGTCTTGAATCGTTAATTCTGACTCGCTTTCCATCCGATTTGGCAGAACGCGATGTGCGACAACCCTTCCATCCTGTAATGAGCTTCAACTCATGCTTGCCGACCTGGAATTCCCTGGCCTGAAAACTCTCCACATCTGGTATCGAATCAACTCTATGGAAAGTTACACAGCAGAAGAAACATTGCTGCAGTCGCTTGCAAAGAAGCATCCTCTGCTTGAGCGCATTGTTGTAAATCGGCTCTGGGATCATGAACATGAAGAGCTTGAAAGCTTGTGGGATCCAATCATAAGGTCAAAGACCATCTCCTCCTCAAGACTTATCCCAATATAGCCTCGGTTTCGCGCATTCTTGTCGAATTTTCACCATCTCAAGGTCTTTGACTTCAACCTTGATGACCCGGAGCGATATCTGGAATTTCGGTTTGTTGAACGACAAGATCCAGGCTTCTGGGACCACGTAGATTGTCTCGAGAAATTTGCCCTGGATGTCATTAGTCTTTGCCCTTCGCCGAATCTGCAAGAGGTAGCGATGTTCCACGATCTTGTCGAAGATCCATGGCAAAGATGGGCCGTACTCCGATTTCGGGATGGTTCACTTCAACTCGACTCGATTCTCATGTAGAGTTTCCGATTCAACGCCAGCGTGGAGGAGCGTTTTCGGCAGTTCAAGTTCCCATTCTCTGCGATCTATCGGGAATTTCGTCTGGATATGGTTTGCACTTGGTCGCGTACGTGGTTGGAAATAATAATGGGAAACCTTCGATACAACGGCGAGGAAACCCGGTGCCGATGATTTCTTCCCTGTGCGACACCTACAAATTGTTTGAGGACGGGATAGGATAGCGCTACATGGCACGCTCCCACTGATTGAGAAATCGAATGTTTACTTGTGCATTTTCCTTTCGTGTCGAGTCAATCTATCTCTGTCGTCACATGATATCTCTACTCTTTCACTTGCACCCATTTGCATCACCTCAATGCCTGAATCTCGTTCCGAGGAGACAAGGAACAGCCTCGAAACGCAACAAGGGCAAGAATGATCCACACATATCCACAAACGGCTCAAACCAGTTAAAAACAATGCTGCAACAAGAATACAAGAAAGTGCGAAACCATGTCGCCCTCACCCGAGCCCGTCTGCTTCGAAGACCTTGACGAAGACATCCTCATCCACATTACGAATTTTGTGCTGGACACCAGTTTGACCCAACTCAAACTCTTCAACCTATCCCGTCGACTACGGAATGTTTTCAAGCCCATTCTATTTCGCAGTATTCGGTAGGCTCCATGCCTAACTGATTTTCCGCCAGAACAATTGTTCCCATTCATTCGGTGCGCCTTCACTTCTCGTATGGGTGCGCAGATATCTCAAGAACTTCAGTTCTCTCACAATTGTGGCCGACCGAGATGTAGATAAAGCCCCAATTTTCGATCACACAAATACCGTGGCCCAACTACGAGAAAAATTGCCCCTCCTGCCCCACCTCAAGATGTTCTCCCTCAGCAATTACTTTGAAGGCGGTTTATGGACAGAGCTGGTGGAGTCTCTCGCCGCAGCGCCGAAGCTTGTCAAACTGAGGATTGGGTCAATGTGGGTCGTCCAAGATACGATGGACGAACCTTGGCGGCTGGCAGCAAATATGGCAACTCCTCCCCTTGAGATCATTGGCTATCCCTTCCCGACAGAAAGCACAAATGGCTACGACATCTGCCGCCGGGAGCTTGATCTCGTCGAATTCGAAGTGGACAACCTTAGCAACCTTCTGTCTTCATGCCATGCGACGCTCAAGGAGGTGGAACTACCAGGAGAGCTGTTGACCTTGTCTTTCGACCACAAGCTTAATTGGACTTCCCTTCAAGAGCTTATTGTGGGGGGTCTTTGGCCTCAGTCTCATATAGAGCAGCCGGAACCAACAGACATATTGTCGCTGCTGGAATCATTGCCAAATCTCAGAACCTTAATGCTTTTGATGTCAGTCATTTGGGACGAGCCAGAAGGGCGGAGTGTGGTTGTATCACGGAACGGACAATCTCCTCGCCAGCCAAGCACATTTCTGCACCATCTCACTAGATTCGACATGGCCTCGTTAACAATACAAGATCGAATTTTGGAGTATCTGCCAGCAACGCTTGATTCGTTAACATTGACTCGCTACCCATTCGACTTGGCGACACGCTATGTCCAACAGCCCGTTGTCTCTTGCCCCGAGTTGCAAGATATGCTCTCCAGTTGACTTTCCTGGCCTAAGGACTCTTAATATCCGATATCGAATAGACTCGATGGAAGACCTGGAAGCGGAACAGACATTGCTTCAGTCAATTGCGCAAAAACACCCTCTGCTTGAACGTATTGTTGTGAATCGGCTTTATAATCATGAAGACGAGACGCTTGAACCATTATGGGATCCAATTGTCAGTCCAAGTACCCTTTTTTGTTTCGCTAAGCTGAGGTTCTCTGCTGTAGCCTCGATTCCGCACATTTCTCTCAAACTTGCATCATCTCAAGATCTTCGATTTCAATTTGGACGACCCAGAAAGGTATCAAGAACTCCAGTTCAGCGAGCGGCGCGGGCAGCAATTCCGAAAGTGCAGAGCTCGATTGGAGAAGTTTGCTCTGGATGTTATTGGAATGTGCCCGTCTCCCCAGATACGAGAAGTGGCAATGTTTCATGATCTGAGAGGTGATCCCTGGGAGCGATGGGCGGTCCTGAGGTTTAAACTAGGTGGATCACTCCAGCTTGGCTCAATCTTTATGTAGATCCATGTAGTGTAGTCCATCCTTGTCGAAACTAAAAGCCTAGTCAGAATTAATCCGACAATTAAGTACATAACTTAGGACTAGCAATTTCTAGCTCAGAATTAATTCCCAGCGCTAAAAGTTGCTAACAAAATTCAATTTTTTTCGACTGCAAACGATGAACTCTTAGAAAATGGTCGCTTAGCGTTTTTCTGGCGCTTTAATTGGCTGAGCGGCCCTAAGCAAACCAGTATCCAATCATCTCTTGCAATAAAACACGTTCAATGTCATGTCCGGTACAATTTAATACTTTACATATGTCTGCGAGCAAGCTCAGCATTAATAAGCAGTGCCTAATAGTAAAGAGTGGACCCTCTGGTCCGAGTCAATTCATGTGAATGCTCCACGCACTGCAGGAGTTCAGGAATAAACGGCGCCCGTTTCGATCGATTATACACCTAATATCAATGTATCAAAAAAAATAATTTTTTTGCACCTCTATTTGTGCCAAAAAAAATGCACTGATATGGTGAATATGCCCTTATATAACATATATCAGGGCCCTGGATCATATAAGTGAACCTTTTTTGGCACAAATAGAGATATATAAAAAAATCTTTTTTTGGTACATTGATTTTAGCCATATAATCGATCGAAACGGGGGCCGTTTATTCCCGAACTCCTGCAGTGACGGTCAAGCCATTGTGAGACCGCCTCATTGCGATCAATTTGATCCCCGTCATCTATGGTGCAGGGGGGCTAGACGCCGCCTGTTTTGGACAAGTCGATGAGCTCGATGACGTGATCATCAATTTCTTATTCCTCTAGTGAAAACACTTAGATTGGATAGTACTACAATCCCACTAGACAGATTTTCTTAAAACCCAAAGAATAAAAAATTAGTACTTTCAATATGAGCGCTATCACGTGAATATCACGTGCATTACATCAGCTACCATTTACGCGTGTCGTATGGGCTAATAAACAATAGCTATGTGTCTAAGCTCCTCTCCAGAGACTCTGGTACTCGTCTATGGGACTTGTACTTGCGAGAACTGAACTCTCTAACCTGTGCCTGTGCCCTCTTGCAGTCCAGTCCACCATTGTACGCTGCAATCCACCTCCACATTCGATGCTCCCATTTACGGATTGTCGAAACCAAAACAGACTCCAAAGCCTCGGGAAAGGTGGACTTGAGACCATCAAATGTATAATCACATCGTTCACGAAGGAACCGTTTGGTGGCACCCCAGAAGAACTCAATCGGGTTGAGCTCGCAGTGGTATTTGGGCAAAAAGATGCAGAGGTGGCCAGCGTCTTCAATTGTTTCTTGAACAAGAGATCGCTGGGCTTTGAAGTCAGGTTCGAGCTCCAAGATCCGCCGACAGCAGCAATCAACACGCTCTGTCTCGCAAAGCGACCTGCATTCACGCAGAAGCCCATGACGCCATTTGCCTCGCTCTTCCAAAACCGCCTTCATTCCCTTTTGGACCCCACGCAGTGCTGAATTTGGATGTGTGTTTGGATAGTTCATCGGCTGAATCACTTTGCGGCCGTTCACTGTGTACCACCCATTCCGCATTCGTGCTTGCTTTCCACCTGGATTGAGGTTCATCCGCTGAGGGAGAAGAGCATCCTCGCTATAAGCCGAGTGCCCTTGGGAGTTGTCGATGAGAAATAGAGCTTGATATCGTGGGCCATGTGCTTTCTCGAAGGCAGGAATGATTTTTTCCTTGAGCTATAGTGTTTCGGCGTTAGTCCAATGTTGTAGCTGAATTGAATACACACCTGCTTGACAAACCGCTCGCCATTCCAGTACCCTTCATAATTTTTGCCATATTCCATTATCTCTCCCGCCTCTTTCAGATGTCCAAACGTGGAACAAATGACCCCACTATAATGCAATCCCCTTCCCTTCCCTTTCTTTCGTAATGGTTGTTCTCCCTCTGGTCCCCAGCTCATCTTCTGACCATCGTTTGCTTGTGCAGTTACTTCATCATGCGGTACCAAGACCAGCATCCTGCCATCTGGTCCCACCTCTTGCTTCTCAACCTGTCGCTCGACATCCCCAACAACATACTCGACAAGTCTTTTCTTGAATTCAAGCATCTTGGGAATGAAGACATCTTGGCGATAGGCAACAACGTCTGGACGCTCGTGTCCATCATAATACAGTGCCTTCTTGTGCTCCTGATATTTCCAACCAAACTTGGCCAGCCATTCGCGTGCCGTTCTCAACGAAATCGTACAGCCATGCCCAACCTTGACGCCTATTCGTGGAAAAAGTGTGTTGATGACATACTTCCGAAAGGCTTTTGGAATCTCATCCTCCATGAGTTCACGCAGATACTTCTGGGACTCAGTTGTGATGAGGTTGGACTGGATGAAGGCAGAGAACTTCTCGGGGTTTGTGGCCCATTTGTGAGAACGGAGATACGAGAGAATTTCGTCGCGGTATATTGGGTCATCGAGAATGCTCAGTGTCTTCGCATGACACCCTCGAGCTGACAACGGTAGCGAGCCTTGATCCAACCATATGCGAATCCAGATACGGAGAAGTCGGCCTCCCCAATCGGCAGCAAATCCGTGACTCTCCGCTGACCGCATTGACGCATCTGTCAATGTGCGACCACTATCCAACACCATTCGCAAGCAGCTCTCGATGGCACGGGCTCGCGTTGACTGCAGACCATGCAGCCCCCCTGCAAACTCTGTCCTCTTCGACACAATCAGCTTGCTAATCCGTGTCAAGCCCTCTTGAAAACGCTCGACTTTGGCCTTTTTTGCTCTGCGTCGCATTTCTCGGGCAGGGATAGCAAGTTTCTGACGTTTTCGGGGTGGAGCAGTGCTTGAGACTCGTGGAATCTCAGAAGGTGTGTCGTCGTCGTCGTCACTCGCCTCTCTCTCTGATTCTTCTTCATCGAAATCAGACACGTATCCTCCCATAAAGATGTCAGCATCATCGTCCAGCACGCCGGGAGTTTGCACGGGAGGAGAGTCGAGAAGCTCAACAGAACTCGTTGGGGATGGCGCTGTCGTGGAAGACGGTACAGATGAGCCAGACCCAGTGGCGGTTGTGGTCGAAAAGCGCCTATATTGTGCTTGCAATGCCTTCAGTGCATTCGGCGGAAGACCCAGCGACGAGAGATTTATTGGCAGAGGAGGGAGAGATAAGGCAGGTACTTGGGAAGGCGCAGGAGCGGGAGGCTCGGCTGCTGGGGTATATTTCTTTCCAAAGAAATTGCGAAATGAGTTGGCTGAATTACTGCATAACTTTCAGATTGTTTTCCAATAGACCAGGAAATATATCGACCTTTTTCTGCTGCTTGTTGCTGTTATGTCAGCCTCGCGCTCGAGTTGCCGATGCCGCCGTTGGGTGCTGTCTGCTGGCTCACCCTTTGTCCGAATAACACCGCCCAAAGTTTTCTTCGTCAAGTCCCGCCACTCCTGCTTGCTCCGCGTCTGCATGAGACCCAAGTCCTTCCAGGTGAGCTGCTTAATCGCATTCATTTCCACTTGCATTTGATGCTTCAGACATTCCAAAGTCTCTGTACCATCGCTGATGACCTCGACCTCGTCTTCTTCCCCGCTTTCTTCCTCATCTTTCTTATCATCTTCCCACTCCCACTCCGTGTCTGACCACTCATTCAGATGATGCGCACACCGCCTTGCCAAGTTGTTGTGTCCTTGTCGTGCGGCTCGTCGTCTTCATCTGACAGTGTCAGATCCAGTACCTCGGTCTGCTCTGGGACATCTTCGTGCTGTTGTCGCATACGACCTTTGCGTGCACGCGAAGCTGCGTCTACATATCGCTTTCGCAATCGAGTATAGCCCATAGACCATGAAGTAGTAATTGAGTGAAAATTTAATTGACGTCCGTCCACTCTCTGCCCGCAGGCCTACGTAAATAAAAATCGGTGGTCTGAGATTATGAGCGGTGGCTGTGCTGTTTAGTCAGCTGTCCAAAACAGGCGGCGTCTAGCCCCCCTGCACCATAGATGTAAAACTGCTTGATTATCGTTGTAGAAACGAGAGTATATAACTTACCCGAGAGCGTCTCGTCACCAACTCGAGCAATCCGTGTATTGAAATAGGATAATTGATCCTGTTAACGGTATCGGGAGTGCCGGACGCGCGGTGATGCACGGTCCCGCATGTGATTGCGGCTGGCCGGAGCTCGGGTTAGGGCAAGGCCGGAGTGGCGTATAAGAAGCAGTGTCTGCGTGCCTGTAGGGCACGCTTTTATCTTCCTTCGTTCCCTTTGTACCCTCGGGTAGTGGTCAAGCTATTCGTCTGTGGCACTCGATCGGGAGCGTGCGGGCGTGGTTAATAAGCGCCGATTTCTGACATAAAAGCGTCCGGGCTGGCATCCCTGTACCTCTGCTTCGACTGCTTAGCTTGGGCGACCTATCTGGACGACAGAATTATCCTGGACTCGGTCTCTTGCAGCAGTGGTGTCGGGCGCGGCTCTTCTTTGGTGCGACACACTCATCCGACAACTTACGGATTGGCTCGGAGGCTCAGCCGGGCGACGTGGGCGCTCAGGCTCACAACTGCGTTACGACTAAGCGCGGCAGTACTCGATGGGTGGTGCGTGGCGCCGGATACTCAGACAGCTGCGGGTGTGGGTCGGATACGCGGGGCGCACTCAGCGAGGGGGCGGCTATCGCCAGTTTCGGATATCCGCGGGTTTCAGGCGTACTCGACACGCTGGTGGCGGATGGGACTACTCGCGGAGGGGGTGCGATTGGCGTCGGGTCAGGTTGGATGGTTGGGTTGCTCCGGAAACATCAACTTGGCGGGACGGCGACTTTTCAGTGGCGGCATGCTGCTGGTCTTCAACTCGATCTTGGTCACGGCGCTGGTCTTGCGCAATACGGCCTGGAGGATTGGGTTTACACCTGGGTTGGTTAGGCTCTGGGATGGGACGGGCTGGTACACCGATTCAGGGGTGTGCGTCATGGTGGGCGGATTGGCTTGCCGGGACAGGTGGCACTGGTGGCGGCGCAGGTTGTTGGACGTGCGGAGAGTCTTAGCTGCGCAGGTGCGCGGTGGTCTGGTCTCGACGTGCGGTGGATGTGGACCGGCTAGATTGGTCGGTGGTCTTGGACTCACAGGGTGGAGTGGGTTCGCGCCTCACGCGCGAGGGGGTGTGTTAACGGTATCGGGAGTGCCGGACGCGCGGTGATGCGCGGTCCCGCATGTGATTGCGGCCGGCCGGAGCTCGGGTTAGGGCAAGGCCGGAGTGGCGTATAAGAAGCAGTGTCCGCGTGCCTGTAGGGCACGCTTTTATCTTCCTTCGTTCCCTTTGTACCCTTGGGTAGTGGTCAAGCTATTCGTCTGTGGCACTCGATCGGGAGCGTGCGGCATGGTTAATAAGCGCCGATTTCTGACAGATCCAGCGACGGAAGATAAGCCACTTTGAGACGATTCAGGTTGGAGAAGCCTGGATAGAGTTCCTGGGCAAGCTCGTTTGGTGCTGTCAAAACACTGAGTAAATGTGAGTGATGAAGGGAACGGCAACTCACTTGAAGCCTGCAATTGGAGCTCCCTTTCGATCTCTTCGTCCTGGTCAAGCTCTTCATCTGTTGGCCGCGCCGAAAGATCAAGTCCCAGATTGTCGATCTGCATCTGGTCCTGTCCTCTCTCAGCTCTATCTCCTCCCTTCCTTAGCTCTATCCCCAGCTCCTGCAGATTTCTTGCGTGCCCCTCCAGCTTGGGACATGTTCGATCTGTTTCGAAGCTCTTCAGGTATTGGGACCTTCTGTGCGTGCTGCAATGCCTCCAAATTTTTCTCTTGAGACTTGAAAAGGCCCCATGCACACCGAGCAAAAAAGCAATGGGGTTTGAGGCGGTCGCTCAAACGGAGGGGAGATAGATTTAGATCCCTAGCCACGTCCCGACACTCATTGGTGAGGCATACACATACCCCATAGCCGCGGTACGGAGCAAAGATGAAGTGACCGGCATCCATTCCGGAACTGTTGAGGTCACCACGGAGGGAGATGCAGTTTTGCGGTGAGTCAATGCCTTCTATGTTGCCGAGTTTCGCGTTCATTGTGTTGTAGTTCCACTGTCGTGACTCGTGAAGTGAATGACAATCTTGTGTTGCAAAGGCATACTACGCACCCATTTTCTCTCGCTCCGGGGAACGAGGTGACAAGTTTCAAGACCAAAGGTCTTCCCTGTCAGTAGGCAGGCCTTGTCCAACGCTTTCACCAAGGTGCTGAGATTTGACTGATTGCTGGCAGGGGGTGGTTCGGATGATGAGCCCATCATGGACCACCCTTCAGGGAGTTCCACGGGGATTGCCCACGACGAGAAGGTAGTGCATATCGGGTAGGGACTAAACAGGTGTTTAATGGGGCGAGAAAGTTATGAATGGACACACGTCTCTGCATCGGCTAGATGGTATGTGTAGTCGCCATAACAAAGCCAGACGTCGCCCGAACCCATGTCAGAACCAGAATCCTTCTCACGGAGGAGACCTTTCTTGTTGTTGGCGATTATAAAGCAAAACACAAGGACGATTCGTAGGGGTAGGCCGTGGGTGTCATTGTCGTCGTCCGGATGCGGGTATGTGGCGACATGTAATATTTCCGTGGGTTTATCGTAGGCCGGATGGAAAATCCGAATCGGCTTTGAGCTCGGGCCGATGACTGGCTCCCTAAAGCTCAGCGAGGCACTGGAAAGGGCGGTTGTGGGCATGGTGTGTGTCACAGCCCCTTTGTCTTTAACTCCTCCAAGTGGCCAATATGCTTAGCCTGAGCGTCGTCTTTCCCAAAATTCTCCAGGCTTTCGACAATACCTTCACGTTCACGGCTCCAAATAGACGCTGGTTGGTTCAACCAGCGATATCTGTTCACCTCCAGCGCACCGTTCCCTACTTTGCGACGCATTCGTTACCCCAGACCTAACCTTCCGGGCAGTTATCACGCGGCAGCCACCCAGCGTTGTACAAAGCGAGGCGAACCACTTGCGTTGGCTTTACATGGGTGTCATTCTGCACTGCAGGGAATCATGCTGCCTGGGAAGTTGTTCACACGAGCGTTCGATCTCAACTTCTCCCGGACCGCTCTTCGGGAACTCGTTGTGGGCTCTGGCCGAAGGAGTTAGATGCCCAACAAAAGAGATGTTCAATAACAAGTATCGGTGTCACTGCCAAACCTTCGCTTACTGCGATTGAATATCTCCTCTCATTCTGACGACCCTCTAAACCATGCAACAGTATTAGTGAATCCCTCATCTATGCCTCGAAACCCTGAGAAGTTTAAATTCGCATTCTGGAGCTTGCTTCCCCAACAAAAACGAGAATTTTCTTGCTTTTCTACCGCTCATTGTTGAATCTATAATGTTTTCCGTTTACCCTCAACGCTATGTTCACAATCAGGCAAATGATCCACCAGGTGTTCTCGTCTCGTTCATGTCGAATCGATCCGTAGCTGTCACATGGTATTTACGCTCTCTCGTCCTCCTTGTATCTCACCATTTGTATCACCTCCATGTCTGGGTGTTCTCGCTCCGAGGAGACAATGAACCAACCAAAAACGAAACAAGGACAAGAATGATCCACACGCACCCACAAACAGCTCAAGCCAGTTAAAAACAACGCTGCGACGAGGATACAGAAAAAAGCGTAAAGCCATGTCACCGTCTCCCGAGCCCGTCCGCTTCGAAGACCTTGACGACGACATCCTCATTTACATCACCAACTTTGCTCTCCACCCAGACTTGGAGCAAGTCAAGCTCTTCGACCTCTCGCGTCGCATGCGGAATGTGTTTCAGCCGATCCGTTTTCGCCATATTTGGTGGGCGCCATGAGACACTGAATTTCCTCCGGAGGAATTGTTTCCTTATATCCAGTGCGTTTAGTCTCCTCTGCCAAGAGTGCTGCTGATACGAAAACAACTTTAGTGAGCTCACGATTGTACCGGACCAGATGTCTTCAGTATCTAAGTTCAATCACATCGAAATCGCTGCTGAACTACGGCAAAAACTCCCACTGCTACCCCATCTCAACACGTTCTATCTCGGCATGCGAATCGAAGGTGGTCTTTGGACGGAACTGGTGGAATGTCTTGCTGCAGCTCCAAACCTGACCAGTTTTGGTATATTTTCGCCGTGGTCGGCAAATGAGACGATGGATGAACCTTGGCAATTGGCGGATGAATTGTCTCCACCCCCTCTCCAAATGATACTATACCCTTTCCCCATCGAAACCAAACATGGGTGGTCCATTCGTCGGCGCCATCCGCTTCTTCTTGATTTTGCAGCCGCGAACCTGCGCCGCCTGTTGTCGGCATGCCATACCACTCTGGACAATGTCGAACTACTGGGAGAGTTGTTTCTTGGTTCATTTGACACCAAGATCGAGTGGACTTCACTCCGCGAGCTGTTCGTTATCGGATTTTGGCCAGAGTGGGATCTAGAAGAAAGACCTGAGCCGAGTGAGATGCTTTCGGTTTTAGAGTTGTTGCCTAATCTGCGGACTCTGGTCTTGCTCATGTCCGTTGGCTGCGACGAACCTGAAGGCCGCACCGTTCTCATGCCACGGGATGCTCCTGCTCCTCAACAAGCAAGCACATTTTTGGCCCATCTCAATCGTTTCGACATGGCCTCACTGACCCCAATCGATCGCATCCTCAACTTGCTTCCGGCAGGGCTGGAGTCGTTAACTTTGACTCGATATCCAGCCGAACTGGCGGAAATCGACATGCGCCAACCCATCTTGCCCTGCGTGGAGCTCCTTGCAATGTTAGCCGAACTGGAGTTCCCCGGTCTGAAGACCCTACATGTCTAGTATCGAATCAACTCGATGGAAGACTACGCGGCGGAGGAGATTTTACTCCACTCTGTCGCGCAGAAACACCCTCTGCTTGAACGAATAATCATAAACCGACTTTGGAATCACGAAGATGAAGAGCTCGGAAGATTATGGGATCCAATTTTAAGTAAAGGCCAATGACCATATCTTTCTCAAGACTCATCCTAATATACTCTAGCCTCGATTCCGCGCATTCTTGTCGAATTTTCACCATCTCAAGGTCTTTGACTTCAACCTTGATGACCCGGAGCGATGGCTGGAATTTCGGTTTGTTGAACGACGAGATCCTGGCTTCTGGGACCACGTCGACCGTCTAGAGAAATTCGCGCTGGACATCATTAGCCTGTGCCCTTCGCCGAAGCTGCAAGAGGTAGCGATGTTCCACGACCTTGTCGAAGAGCCGTGGGAAAGATGGGCGGTACTCCGATTCAGGGACGGTACACTCCAACTCGGCTCGATTCTCATGTAGAATTTGGCAGACTGCTGTAGATAAGCCCTTCTTAGATATGCGTAGTATTGGGTGCTGTAGTTGGGCCTTGAAATTTGAAACACTTGCATGTTTTCATCGACTTGATTTGTGACCTGCGTGACTCTCCCTCCAGCCAGCAACGACCATCCAGATGGCGGCCAGCGGTGGGGCCCCAGCCGCACCGAAGCCGGCTCAAAATATTGAGGTACGCGTTATACGCGTGTTTTTACGCGTCACTGACCGTGATACAGTTGGAGCTCAAAGGAGTCTTGTCAAGCGACCTCGACTTCAAAGGCGAATTCGCGTTTGGCAAGCCCTTCCCCGATGCCCCAAATCCATGTCTTGACCTCGAGGACATTGGACTTGTTGGACTACCGCTTTCTCCCGCAATGGCACGATCTGTCATCGGGAAATGTCGCCAAGCGCCGTTTGGCAAGGGCGAGCGCACGATTGTCGACACAGAAGTCCGTGATACCTGGGAGATGGACGCGACAAAGATCAAATTCTCCAATGCTGCTTGGGGCCCATTCATGGACCGGGTCGTCCGCGAGGTCTGCCAAACCTTGGGGGTGAACTTTGCTGCAAGCAAACCGCGTGCGGAGTTGTACAAGTTGTTGGTATATGAGACCGGCTCACAGTGGGTGTTGTCATTCAACATCGTGTTAGTCCAAACTCAACGCGTTTTTCTATAGCTTCTTACCCCATGTCGAGTGCGTTCCTCCTTCCCCACTTTTTTCGGGCGGACGATTGACGAATGACATAGCACGGAGAAAGCGAATGGGATGTTTGCTTCAATTGTGGTGGTCCTGCCATCTTTATTCACAGGTGGTGACGCACATACGAGCCACTCGGGCACAAAAAATCTCCTCAACTCCAGCAACAATAGTATGACCACAACGACAGTCCTGGCTTGGTACACCGACGTCACCCACGAAATCGTAAGTGTTCCGGACATTGAGTATATTTCCTTTTGACGTGCCTGCAGAAACCAATCACAAGTGGTTATCGCTTCGCTCTCACCTACAACTTGGTCCATACGACGACGGCAATTCGACCTGCACTGTCATCTGCAGACGGCGCCATGACCAAACTGCGTGCAATATTCAATTCATGGAACGAGAATAAAAATGCGCCAGAGAAGATATTTTACCTTCTCGGACATCATTACTCGCAAGTAAATTTGTCAGCTAGTGCGCTCAAGAGTTCCGATGCGCATATTATGGCAATTTTGGATACGTTGGCCAAGGAGATAGGGTTCGGCCTTGGGCTAGCCAATCTCGAACTTAGACAGAGTGGTTCGGCAGACGACGATGGTGGCTATGGGCGTTATGGACGTTATGGGCGCTATGGAGGCTATTCAGATGAAGAGATTGATGACAACGACGTCGGTTTCATGGAGATTGAAGAAACCACAACGACCTTCGAAAACTTCGTGGACCCCGACGGCAATGCGATTAACTATGATGAAGACCTGGAAATTGACGGCAGTCTTCAGCGAGAACTGGAACGCAGGGGAGATTACGAGCAGGACTATGAGGGTTATATGGGCAATGTGCGTTTTTGAGTCTAACACAGTCTCAAATACTTAAAAACTGCAGGGCGCAGGCTCGCTAGAGCGATGTATGTTTCCTTCTCACCATGAAGATTGAACTCACTACTCTTCAGTTTATCGCAGTTCAGTGCTAGTGATTTGGCCACGATGGTCCCATGTTGGTGGTGGGGGTGGTGACCGTCGGGCTGTCGGTGCATTGGAACGTCTCGAGACATTGAACAGCGATAGCCCAACCCCAGAGGAGCTCGTTGACTTCAAGTACGTCTGCAGTGTCGTCAAAGATTTGGCGGACGAAGACCAGTCGACAGCTGTGGAACGATTGTTTGCAGCGGCTATTTTATGGCATGACGCAGTGCTCTGGACTGAAGCTGTCGCTCAGTGTTGCGCCCCCGATATGTCGCTGGATGCGGTTACCGAAGACGATATGCACGATGCGCGAGCAACTTTTGGGTTCAGTGTCATGTCTTATAGGTGGGTTATTTGCATGTTGGGCTTGCCGTATGATAGCTGATTCACCCAGTCTTCGCCCAGTTATCCTCGGACATAAGTCGAACGAACGACTCCAGTTCGTTCAAAACTTGAAAGCTCTGCAAGAGGATGAGCGAGATAACGACGGATTGGCGATCGGGAGCTTTATCCGTGAAATGTTGAAAGAGGTACTCGACAACATGCGGCCGTATTCCTCACTGGCGGAATTGCAATCGTTCTCGAAAGAGATGTTGGCGGAAGGAGGAGCGTCGATGCTGCTTGACAGGTGAGTTGATCGATCTGTTCACAGCGATGCCAAATCAATGCTTCTCAAGGTTGCTTCCACAACTTTCAAAGCTTACCACGAGCTTCAACGTCGGTGTCTTCGAAAAATTCATTGACTGGTTACATGGGGAATGGGACCTGACAACGACGACTGTTGCCGACGACGAAGTAGCCTCGCGCAACACCGTGATGACAAGCTTGCTGGGAATTCTTTTGCCGATGAAGACCCTGTTCGCCACCAAGATTATTGAAGCGCCAAACCCGGGCTACGGCTACGGATATTATGGCTCTAAAAGCACAGTTGTGCAAGGCGATTCAGCGCCGGCTCTCGCCTTGATCACCAAATGTCTTGATTATGGGAATCCCCAACTAGCTGTCTCTCTGGTCGAGAGCATCAATGCCGGCGCGACTAAACGGGCCGCTGACTCCGCCAAACCGAACCCCGGGCCAGCCAATACTGCGTTGGTCGGCGTGCGTCCGGTCGACCCTCTCCAGAAAGAATGGCAAGATGCACAGGCTAGTGTGGCCATTGTTCCTGGAATTGTTTTTACTCTCGTTCCTGCCGTGAAGGATTTATTCCAGAACCGCGCGCCTGAAATCAATCTCGATACTCAACTGATGCAAATGGCGCAAACTGCAGTCGACATCAAACTCAATGCCGCCAAAGCTGGTGGAGTTGTCAAACGCGAAGAGCTTGCAAAACTCCTCGATGTTACCAAGGCCCTAAGCAATTCGGATGCTCTTTTGACGAGGTAGATCGTCTTTGGCATGTTATCTTTGATTGGACTAATCCCTATACCCACAGCATCATCTCTACTTTGAAATCGCTGCCTTGGAATGAGGCAAGTTGGATTGCGTGCATGGAGGAATTTCAGACTAGACGACAATCGAAGGAGGCAACTTTTGGGCCCCCTGTCCTCGAAATGATCATGGTATATGCTCAAAAAGTAGCTTTGCCGGCAGTTCCAACGCACAATTACTATGGTGGAGGCGCCAACATCAACGTCGCCGTCTCCATCACCGCTCTGCACCTATCCTCGCGAATGGGCGGCCTTGCCGCCGTTTCCCTGGTTATAAATCGTATCATGCGACCCGCCACGACCACAGAAGCCTATGTTACCCAGTGTTTGGTGCCATTAATTCCCGAGCTCAAGATTCTTGCAAACTCGAACAACGTATCCCTTGCTACCTCGCCGTTCTCGCTAGCGTTTCGATTAATCGTCGCAGCGTGGATGGACAAAGTTCTTGGTCAGAAGCCGAATCTCAATCGCGTCAAAGAGTTTTCAGACAAGATCAAGCGGGTAACTTGCAAATGCACGTACTGCACTCAAGTTCTGCGCTTTTTGCAGTCGTCCGATCAGCAATCGACGCATATTTCACGGGTTGGGGCACCTAATGTGAAGCATGTTACTCGGGAATTTGGCGGGAGGTTTGGCAACGATGTCAAACTAGAGGTTATTCGCAGCAGTCCACAGGGATTGTCGGTCAACAAAGCGTCTGAACTGGCGAGAGCGGCCAAGTGGGGCGGCCTGTTGACGCAGGGAAGGGGCTTGCTCGCGTCGATTGGCTCTGACGCTGTGCTGAAGAGCATTTGGGGCGATTCCTACCCTGCAGCGTTGCACGAACTCTTGACAAAGGACCAACGCAACGCGGTTATCACTCAGGGTGCTCCAGCACAGGCTGGACCATCCCAACCTCGGATGCCAAATAATACCCAATTAGCTGGGACGGCCGTCCCTGCAATCCCTGCGAAAAGGAAAAGTATGGAAGGGGTGGGTGCTGCCTCCAAGAAACAAAAGGTGACCAAGAAGTCAACGGACGTAATTGAAATTTCGGATTAATTTGTACTATACTTACGACTGCTACTTTACTGATTTTTTGTAAAAGCTTATAGTGTACCTATCTACTCTACGAAAAGTGCTTGCTTACAATTGATTTTCCTGATTCTGTACCGGGTTCAAGTTAAAGGAGGTTGAAGGCTTTCTTAAAGAGAGAGGCTGATGTCCGATCACGGGACCGTCAATTTAAATGGCCACGGGCTCTTCTTGCTTTCGAACTACACTGAACGATTTTCAAGTAGAGCAATTTCAAAGCTTAACACAAACCACTTGTGCCTCGTTTTCAATGCTAAACTTAGGTCGCCGTTGTCTTCGCTGAGATGTTTCGATCGCCATCACAATCCAGCTGCAGTGACTCAATTGACTACCCTCTTCTTGACGCCACCACGAGCCCAACGAAGAATGGCTGCACCCCTCCAGTACGCCCTACTCACAACTGTGGCAGACTTCCTCTGAAAGCGATACCGCAGAGCCGACTTTGAGCTCCCAGTTCTCCCTCAAATCCGCCAAGAGTCCATCCACAAACAGGTTTTCACCCATCGCAGCTACTACGCCCGTCCAGCGCCTGGATTCGAGGACAAGGCCAATGATCCCAGCCCGGACTACGAAAAGCAAGCCAATCGTCGTTGTTGTAGGTAGCTGATTTTGTCTCCAGACTGGAGTTTTTGGGAGATGCGGTGCTCGAGCTGGCAGTAACCACCCTCTTGGTGCGTTAATCCAGGCCACGACGCGCTGTTGAACCTCCCAAACAGACCGAATTGTACCCACGTCTGCACGTTGGGCCCGCAACGGTGAATTGTCTCCAGTCTACCCTTTTTGGTTCACTGATGTCCAGAAACTCCGTTCGATGATCGTCGAAAATGCCAATCTGGCTACGATGTGCGTTGAATCATACATATATTCTTGGCTGAGCAACTTGGTAGCTCGGTAAAGTACGGCCTACCGGGACATCTTCTCGCGGACCGAACGCAAGCGTTGTCCCTCAAGCACACAACTGGTGTGCAAGGTCAGTCTTCCTTTTCCTCCTGAAGCATACTGAGCAGTCTCAGCGGATATTTTCGAGGTATGAAGTCCTTTATATCTCAGTCCAATACCGAATCACCAGGCCTATGTCGGCGGCCTTTACAACGACCAAGGGATGGACGCGGTCCAGTCCTGGCTTCACAGACTATTCAAGCCTTATGCGGAGCTTTACTACAACACTCTCCGGGCCCAATACGGCCAACTGTCTGTTCCCGAAAGCGGATCCGACACCAGCGGCGGCCATCTCGCGCTGTTCAACCAGCTGTTAGCCTCGCGCAACGTTGAATGGTACCACAACCAAGGCACCGCCGCCATCGAGGCCATGTCGGCGGACCCCGGCCCGGCCCCCGCCGTGCTCGATGCCTACCGCGTTGCGCTCGGTAACAAGGCCACGCCCATCTGGTCCGCGCACGTGCGCATTGACGGGGAGCTCTTTGCACAGGGCATCGCCAACAGCAAGAAGGCGGCCAAGACCGAGGCCGCTAAACAGGGCCTCTGCAAGCTCGGGGTCACCGTGTGGTATGCATTTTTTACCCTGCGATGCTTACTTGGCTGACCATATCTAGATTCTTGTTTTTTTCCTTCCTTTCGTTGCTCGGCGCAGTCTCTGCACATTATCGTCGATAAACTCGACGGTAATGTGCAGTGGTTGTGGGTGGAGCGTTGTTGGTGTCTCTATACGCGTTCTGGATGTCGACTACTGTGAATTTCAGCTCTTGACTTGGATCGTTATTGGCTGACTTCGGTCAATCCTTACCCCTGAAGCGTTCTGGATGTCGACTACTGTGAATTTTGAGTCTTGAACCCGATGGTTATCGACTTGGGTCAATCCCGAGATTCAATTAACTGTTGTTGTTGCCAGTGTATGTGCAGAAGAATTGCGTTGCGGAATTGAGTTCTAAATAGCTCTTGACTGGAACAAGTCTTTGCTTTCTTGAGCCGCAGCGATGACCGTACTTGCTTGTGTACTGGTCTTTCCGGTTTCTTCGGTCAGAGACCGGTCAACTGACAACCGTCTCGGATGATCCGTGTCGAAAGGCAAGAGCCGTTGACCAACGAGCACTGACGAGGCGGCGGCAGACCCTCACACAGTCGTTCGAGAGTGAGAGTTCTAGATAGGCTCCCAATAAAGGTCTATATTCCCGGCACATACAGCAAATGAATGATACGGATAGGTGTAGAATGCGCAAAAAAGCCAGCACTGAATCCTCCAGGTGCTCAGTATGGGGTGCCGGTGGTGTAAAAGCGGTAGCCAAACCAGCCAGCAAGGAGGGCCAGAGGCGCCCAGTACATGAGCCTAGAAGCAAGTGAGACTTATGTGGAAAGGAAGTGGCCTGTAGACGTACGTCGAACCCTGCTCAACTGAGGAAACCCGAGCAGCTTGAGGCGGCGGCGGCAGCGGACTTGATTTTGATTTCCTGAAGACGCGAAAGGTCAGTGTTGTGAGTTGGCAGAAGGGGACTGCTGGCGTACGCTGTTTTCTTCCAGTTCACCGATAAGCATGCCAGGGAGGAGGTCGCGGGCCTCGTCAGAGTGGCCGACGTCCTCAAATGCTTCAGTCGCGTCTTGCCCAGACTCGGCAGTCATGACCTCGTCACCACCAGGATGCTAAAGTCGAGCAATGAATGAGCATTGACGCTTGGCAACGAGAGCTGGATAGGCCTAACCTCGTCGAGGAATTTCGTGCAGTCATAGACTGCAGACGCATTAGCGACAAACTGGCAACGTATGATTGGATGCCAAGCGTACCTTTGCCGTGAATGAGCAGGTAGAGGGATTCCTTGCTGTTGTGGGCACGGAGCTCTTCGAGCTTGATGATTTTGATCGGCGCGGCAGACATGGTGCACGAAGAGAGGTAGGCAAGAGGTGGTGGTGGTTGGGGTGGAAGATGGAGGTCAGAGACAACGGTCTACACTTTGGCCGAATTTGTTTTGCTGATGATGCGTTCCCACGGGGATATATACCCATCGCATCGCACGACAAAAAATTGTATGAGCAAGGAACGTGAATTTCTTCAAGTGGTAGTAAAGATGCTTGGATACAAACAGGTGTGGTATACGTATAAGTAGGTATATGTAGGCCCAGCTTAGTACTCGAATGACCACAGAACTATTTGGACAGGCAAGTGTGGACCGGGCCAATACGAAAAAGTACTCTTCCACATCACAAGTAGAGGTAACGATGGCACTGGAAGCCGTGTTCCTAGGCAAAAGCGAGTGGGGGTTGAAAAAGGAAGAAAGCAACGTGAATGTAATGGTTGAATCGTGTTTATTGCGGGAAAGGTGGAAGGGAAAGGCAAAGAGGGATGTGACAGTCAAAAAATTTCTGGTCACAAATCAAGTCGATTCAAACATGCACTGGCAAGTGTCACTGTTTCAAGGCCCAACTACAGCACCCAATACTACGCATATCTAAGAAGGGCTTATCTACAGCAGTCTGCCAAATTCTACATGAGAATCGAGCCGAGTTGGAGTGTACCGTCCCTGAATCGGAGTACCGCCCATCTTTCCCACGGCTCTTCGACAAGGTCGTGGAACATCGCTACCTCTTGCAGCTTCGGCGAAGGGCACAGGCTAATGATGTCCAGCGCGAATTTCTCTAGACGGTCGACGTGGTCCCAGAAGCCAGGATCTCGTCGTTCAACAAACCGAAATTCCAGCCATCGCTCCGGGTCATCAAGGTTGAAGTCAAAGACCTTGAGATGGTGGAAATTCGACAAGAATGCGCGGAATCGAGGCTACAGCAGAATGGGATAAGTGTTAAGAAAGAGATGGTCATTGACATTTACTTACGATTGGATCCCATAATCTCCCAAGCTCTTCATCTTCGTGATTCCAAAGTCGGTTTATGATTATTCGTTCAAGCAGAGGGTGTTTCTGCGCGACAGAGTGGAGTAAAATCTCCTCCGCCGCGTAGTCTTCCATCGAGTTGATTCGATACTAGACATGTAGGGTCTTCAGACCGGGGAACTCCAGTTCGGCTAACATTGCAAGGAGCTCCAGGCAGGGCAAGATGGGTTGGCGCATGTCGATTTCCGCCAGTTCGGCTGGATATCGAGTCAAAGTTAACGACTCCAGCCCTGCCGGAAGCAAGTTGAGGATGCGATCGATTGGGGTCAGTGAGGCCATGTCGAAACGATTGAGATGGGCCAAAAATGTGCTTGCTTGTTGAGGAGCAGGAGCATCCCGTGGTATGAGAACGGTGCGGCCTTCAGGTTCGTCGCAGCCAACGGACATGAGCAAGACCAGAGTCCGCAGATTAGGCAACAACTCTAAAACCGAAAGCATCTCACTCGGCTCAGGTCTTTCTTCTAGATCCCACTCTGGCCAAAATCCGATAACGAACAGCTCGCGGAGTGAAGTCCACTCGATCTTGGTGTCAAATGAACCAAGAAACAACTCTCCCAGTAGTTCGACATTGTCCAGAGTGGTATGGCATGCCGACAACAGGCGGCGCAGGTTCGCGGCTGCAAAATCAAGAAGAAGCGGATGGCGCCGACGAATGGACCACCCATGTTTGGTTTCGATGGGGAAAGGGTATAGTATCATTTGGAGAGGGGGTGGAGACAATTCATCCGCCAATTGCCAAGGTTCATCCATCGTCTCATTTGCCGACCACGGCGAAAATATACCAAAACTGGTCAGGTTTGGAGCTGCAGCAAGACATTCCACCAGTTCCGTCCAAAGACCACCTTCGATTCGCATGCCGAGATAGAACGTGTTGAGATGGGGTAGCAGTGGGAGTTTTTGCCGTAGTTCAGCAGCGATTTCGATGTGATTGAACTTAGATACTGAAGACATCTGGTCCGGTACAATCGTGAGCTCACTAAAGTTGTTTTCGTATCAGCAGCACTCTTGGCAGAGGAGACTAAACGCACTGGATATAAGGAAACAATTCCTCCGGAGGAAATTCAGTGTCGCATGGCGCCCACCAAATATGGCGAAAACGGATCGGCTGAAACACATTCCGCATGCGACGCGAGAGGTCGAAGAGCTTGACTTGCTCCAAGTCTGGGTGGAGAGCAAAGTTGGTGATGTAAATGAGGATGTCGTCGTCAAGGTCTTCGAAGCGGACGGGCTCGGGAGACGGTGACATGGCTTTACGCTTTTTTCTGTATCCTCGTCGCAGCGTTGTTTTTAACTGGCTTGAGCTGTTTGTGGGTGCGTGTGGATCATTCTTGTCCTTGTTTCGTTTTTGGTTGGTTCATTGTCTCCTCGGAGCGAGAACACCCAGACATGGAGGTGATACAAATGGTGAGATACAAGGAGGACGAGAGAGCGTAAATACCATGTGACAGCTACGGATCGATTCGACATGAACGAGACGAGAACACCTGGTGGATCATTTGCCTGATTGTGAACATAGCGTTGAGGGTAAACGGAAAACATTATAGATTCAACAATGAGCGGTAGAAAAGCAAGAAAATTCTCGTTTTTGTTGGGGAAGCAAGCTCCAGAATGCGAATTTAAACTTCTCAGGGTTTCGAGGCATAGATGAGGGATTCACTAATACTGTTGCATGGTTTAGAGGGTCGTCAGAATGAGAGGAGATATTCAATCGCAGTAAGCGAAGGTTTGGCAGTGACACCGATACTTGTTATTGAACATCTCTTTTGTTGGGCATCTAACTCCTTCGGCCAGAGCCCACAACGAGTTCCCGAAGAGCGGTCCGGGAGAAGTTGAGATCGAACGCTCGTGTGAACAACTTCCCAGGCAGCATGATTCCCTGCAGTGCAGAGTGACACCCATGTAAAGCCAACGCAAGTGGTTCGCCTCGCTTTGCACAACGCTGGGCGGCTGCCGCGTGATATCTTCCCGGAAGGTCAGGTCTGGGGTAACGAATGTGTCGCAAAGTCGGGAACGGTGCGCTGGAGGTGAACAGATATCGCTGGTTGAACCAACCAGCGTCTATTTGGAGCCGTGAACGTGAAGGTATTGTCGAAAGCCTAGAGAATTTTGGGAAAGACTACGCTCAGGCTAAGCATACTGGCCGCTTGGAGGAGTGTAAAGACAAAGGGGCTGTGACAGGACCATGCCCACAACCGCCCTGTCCACTGCCTCGCTGAGCTTTAGGGAGCCAGTCATCGGCCCGAGCTCAAAGCCGATTCGGATTTTCCATCCGGCCTACGATAAACCCACGGAAATCCTACATGTCGCCACATACCCGCATCCGGACGACTCGGACAATGACACCCACGGCCTACCCCTACGAATCGTCCTTGTGTTCTGTTTCATAATTGCCAACAACAAGAAAGGTCTCCTCCGTGAGAAGGATTCTGGTTCTGACATGGGTTCGGGCGACGTCTGGCTTTGTTATGGGGACTACACGTATGACCTAGCCGAATCAGAGACGTGTGTCCATTCATCACTTTCTCGCCCCATTAAACACCTGTTTAGTCCCTACCCGATCTGCACTACATTCTCGTCGTGGGCAATCCCCGTGGAACTCCCTGAAGGGTGGGGGTGGTCCATGATGGGCTCATCATCCGAACCACCCCCTGCCAGCAATCAGTCAAATCTCAGCACCTTGGTGAAAGCGTTGGACAAGGCCTGCCTACTGACAGGGAAGACCTTTGGTCTTGAAACTTGTCACCTCGTTCCCCGGAGCGAGAGAAAATGGGTGCGTAGTATGCCTTTGCAACACAAGATTGTCATTCACTTCACGAGTCACGACAGTGGAACTACAACACAATGAACGCGAAACTCGGCAACATAGAAGGCATTGACTCACCGCAAAACTGCATCTCCCTCCGTGGTGACCTCAACGGTTCCGGAATGGATGCCGGTCACTTCATCTTTGCTCCGTACCGCGGCTATGGGGTATGTGTATGCCTCACCAATGAGTGTCGGGACGTGGCTAGGGATCTAAATCTATCTCCCCTCCGTTTGAGCGACCGCCTCAAACCCCATTGCTTTTTTGCTCGGTGTGCATGGGGCCTTTTCAAGTCTCAAGAGAAAAATTTGGAGGCATTGCAGCACGCACAGAAGGTCCCAATACCTGAAGAGCTTCGAAACAGATCGAACATGTCCCAAGCTGGAGGGGCACGCAAGAAATCTGCAGGAGCTGGGGATAGAGCTAAGGAGGGAGGAGATAGAGCTGAGAGAGGACAGGACCAGATGCAGATCGACAATCTGAAATTTGATCTTTCGGCGCGGCCAACAGATGAAGAGCTTGACCAGGACGAAGAGATCGAAAGGGAGCTCCAATTGCAGGCTTCAAGTGAGTTGCCGTTCCCTTCATCACTCACAGTTACTCAGTGTTTTGACAGCACCAAACGAGCTTGCCCAGGAACTCTATCCAGGCTTCTCCAACCTGAATCGTCTCAAAGTGGCTTATCTTCCGTCGCTGGATCAATTATCCTATTTCAATACACGGATTGCTCGAGTTGGTGACGAGACGCTCTCGGGTAAGTTATATACTCTCGTTTCTACGACGATAATCAAGCAGTTTTACATCTAGATGACGGGGATCAAATTGATCGCAATGAGGCGGTCTCACAATGGCTTGACCGTGGAGCATTCGCATGAATTGACCAGAGGGTCCACTCTTTACTATTAGGCTCTGTTGTGCTTGCTCGAAGCACTTCCTAATCTTCGGACAATCTTATTTAACATGGCTGCCCCGAGGGAAGAATCCGACAGTCTCATGCAGATCATTGGACCACACCATGCCCCTCCTCGTCACCCAGACATCTTCCTGTGTCATTTGCGTGTTTTCCAGTTTGCTTCCCATACATCTTCGGAGCGTATATTTGCCTTCCTGCCGCGCACCTTGCAGACCCTCGCACTTCCCCGCTATCCCCTTAATTTCGATAACACTTTTTTGCAGCCAACCACGGCCTGCTCAGATCTGTACGACATGTTCTTGACTGTCGACTTTCCGGATCTGGAAGTGCTCGAAATTCGATACTATGTTTGGTCCTTGGCACATGTCAACGCAGAACGAAGTCTACTCGCACTACTGCCTGTCAAATTCCCTCACTTGAAACATCTTTCGATTCAGCGAATGTGGGATCACGACAACACTGATCTGACTCAATACTGGGATCCTCTTGTGCGTCTCATCTATTCTCATTGTGATATACCTCATTCCGTTCAGGTCCTCTTCCCAAAAGCATTGTCGCAACTGACATCCCTGCGGCATTTCCGTTTTGATCCATCAATGAAGGATAGGTATGGATACACTCCGTTTGCGAACGCTGGGCCTGCCTTCCACGCCCACGTGAAGCGACTGCGCACCCTTGCCGATGGGCTTGTGGAGGCTTGTCCACTGCTGCGAGAAATTTGGTTGTACCGCGCAATTGGCCGTGATATTCGGTTCCACTGGGAGAAGTGGCAAGTTATCGCTGGGGTAATCCAAGAAAAGTCGTAGATTGAGCTGAATGAAAGTACATGTGCTGGCTATTTGATCTACTCACCCGCAGGTGACATATTAGCGGTCATGCCCGCACATCACCATCATTATGCTCAACATGAGATCAACTTTGACCGCCACTGTTCGATCCTTTGTTGCAGTGTTGAGCCATGCAAATCGTCTGGATAACCTATAGGTAAAAAAACATGCACAAGCAGAGAACCACGCTAACCATCAATGTCCGCCACCGCCACCTGGTCCACCACATCAAGATAATCCACAGTCGGCCTGTTGGCATGCATATACTTGAAGTAAACTTGCGCCTCGCCAAACTCTGTCGAGTCGGATACCTTCCGGCGGATGGACTCGAGCAAGTAGAGCATCTCATAGGAGAAGTCAGCGATCCTGCGTCTGAACCGGGCCTTCCTGTAAGCTTGGACGAACGCGTTGAGAGGGTCCAGGAAAGGAATCATCCACGCATGCTTCTGGAGGTTGGCAGTGGGGCCCATGAAGATGAGCTCCTCGTGGGTCGTGGTCGTCTTGACGGTGGTGAGATCGTAATCGATGACCATAGGCTTCTTCTCCCTCATGACGTCGCGAGCGAGTTCGGCGGGTGGGATTGGAAAAGCTGACGAGTGGACATGTTTGAAATAGGGACAGTGCACGCTCCATTGACGTCTGGGGAAAGCATCGACCTTGAAGTCTACCTCCTGAAACTGGCCGGAGCGAATCCTGAGAGAGATGGGTCTTTCGCCAGTATGGATGAGTTGGAAATAGCGGAAGAGAAGAGGATTTCGCTTGTAAAACGTGCGCAGAAAAGACTCCGCTGTCTCAACCTTAGGGTCCCACTCACTGTGCAAGGCGAAAAGAACGGGCTCTGCGGGAATGAACACAATGTCGCCATGGTCGAGACTGCCTTGACAGGATTCACAGACTGTGTCATTGTGAGCAACGGTGGATTGGTACCAGCTTAGTAAAACCTACGCCAGATGCAGTTTCGGGAGGCATCTTGAGTCGCTAATTCGGTAGTAGGATCGACGAGCCGCTCCCTCACAGCGTCCTCTCTTATCTCGTTAGCCGTCGTCGCAGCAGCAGGAAGGCAATGGGCCATTTGGCCCGAGGGATGGGCGACTTGATGATGAGCATCAGACAGGCAAAGATTGCAGAGCCCCGGCCCGGAAAGTTTTGTCCGACATGCAGCGAGATTGCCAGTGGTGGAGACGACAGTGACCGAGGGTACCGAATCCATCTCGCTCACACTCGCTACTTCGTCTGCCGCAGTCAAGTCTGGCTCTGCGAATTGCGAGACGGAATCTCCCGCTTGTAAGCTCACCGACGGCGATACGTGTTCTGTCACGGCGGGAGCTTCGTAGGCAGGTTCTTGGTCGAGTTTTTGACGTTTGTATGGAGGAGAATTCACAACCTCGTTGGGGTCTGCATCAGAGCCACTATGTCCGAAACCGAAAGGAGCAGCGGTGGGAACTTGAAGTGGTATGGAGCTGATGTCCTTCCTCTTGCCTTGCGTATTACTCGTAGAGTCCATACTTGGAGAAATGGCCGGTTTCACAACTTCGTTTGGGGGGGCGAAAGCACTTAGCAAGAGCAGTGTCCGTGACGAAGTGTTACAACGCATCCTGAGACTTTGCATATGTATTCTGAAGTCTGGCTAATATGGACCCCCGCCGTAACCCTTTATCTCCCTGTTAACCATTCCGATGTATGCTACTCTATACAAATGATTCATTCAAACTAGTTTGATATGTCGTCGACGCTCTTCGAGCTTCACTTTCCCAGTGTACATCGCAATTTGTTGGAGCCACGGCGCCGCGCTGGCGATGTCCTCCGCCATATCTCGCAGTCGACCCAAATACTCGCGAATCTCCTTGTCGACGAATATATATGGTGCTCTTCCATATCGCTCGGGAGGGGCAGAGTCGAAATAAAATATTTGGAGGTCCTTGAGACGTGAAACCAGTCTTTTCGCGACGGGCTGACAAGGAATTAAGAATTTGAAAGAAGAAAATCGGTCATAGAAATACATACAGCTGGGTCCCACCGTCCTTGTAGTTCAGTCGTCAAGTCTTGCCAGGATCAGATATTCGCCGATTTCTTTGTCGATGAACGTATATGGCCTTTTCCCTTGACGTTCCGGAGGGGAAGAGTCGAAATAAAATGCTCGAAGGTCCTTGAGACGCGAAACTAGTCTTTTCGCGACAGGCTGATAACAATCTGAGAAAAACAAGGCGATGGGTGACGAGAAAAAAAACGTACAGCTGGGTCCCACCGTCCTTTGAGTTCAGTGGCCAGGCTTTGCCATTGGCGACAAACTTCCAGCGTTTGCAACATTGGAAATGTGTCGGGAACCAAGTCCACCAGGTCCCTCTCGTCCTCGATATCACTCAATGAGTCGATCATATACCATATCTTGAGAGTCGTCAGACACGGAAATGCTGCACGTTTGAGCAGCGTCAACACACTTGAAGGAGTCTGGGCTCGGAATGTTCCCCAAGGCAACATGTATGGATGGCGCGAAAACGAGAGGAAATCCAATGAGGCTGGCAGAAATTCCAGTGTGCGGTCGTTTGGAGACAGTGAGGTGACTTGGAATTGCGTGAGATGGCGAAGGAAAGTGGTCGGGGACTTCGGCAAGACATCTGAAGCACATATTACTCCGCCCATAGGTTTAGGGTCCTCCATTTGGTGGACCAGGTGCATTTTTACAATGCGGAGATGCGGCATCGCTTCAAAGATTGACAAGAGTGGCGAGTGTTCAGAAGAAGATAGAGTCGATGTGGCGGAGGAATCGGGGTGGACCACGAGTGACTCCACGGGTCGTGGTGTTGTCGAAAGCGATGAGGAGGATGGACTTGGAGGGCTTTCATTGATTGTAGTTTTAGATGCGGTTGTAACAGAAAGCCCATTCCCTTCGCCAGACACGGGGATCAGATCGTCTGGTAATGCCGCCGTCGATGATTCAGAAACCACCTCCCCTTCTGTGGTCTTGCTGCCATTTGATGGTAGAATAAACGCCTCAACCTTCGGAATATTTTCGTCGACGGTTGTTGGAGAAACCAATGTTGACACAGGTAGTGTGATTTCGGCCAGAGCAGCTGCTTCCGACTCGTCCTCATGAAGGGAGGGATGTTCATCAGCTGGCTCCGCTGGCTGCCTTGGCCTGGGTTGAGAAAATAGTTCTCGAGGAGGAATACTCGGGGCTTTCACTATCGGACCCGATGTCTTTTCAACAGGCCACAAGCCCTCGAGAAATAGCTCGGTAAGAGCGCTCCAGGTCGAGCCATGCATGGCGGGAAAAATTTCGCCTGGGAGGTAGACGAAAGATAGTGTTTCGGCGGCTGTGGCGAGTATGGTACGGATGTTGTGTATTTCATGATCCAAACCTGGAGGTCGTCGCCGAGCCGCCTGTTCAGCATCTTGCACAGTGGCATAGACAAATGGGAACGGAAATCTGAAGCTGGCCAGAGGGATGGATCTTCTTCTTGGTCTCAACACAGTATATGCTTCGTCTTCCTGCCTCGGCTCCCAGTGAGACCCCAGTTCTAGATAGCATGCAGAGGGCAACATCGAAAACGCGTCCAATAGCTCTGGCCACAAACCACCTTTGATGTCGTCGATAATTACTGTCGTTAGACGTTTCATTCCAGCAAAGGCTGCGCGAATTTGAGCCACAATATCTTGGCGAATTGGTGGTGTAAATTCAGGAATCTCGTAGCCGGAAACTGAGAAGATTCTACAAGTGTCAACCGGGATTGATTGAGAGAAGAATGCACCACTTACTGTACGAATGACCAAAGTTCACGCGGGGGAAGTCGGAAGCGACAGATGCCCATCCCACAGCGCGAAATATTCGGGGGAGAAGGGCTACTCGGAGACGCTGGCACAGAGTCGAGACTTTCAGTCTATCCTCATGATTCAGATACTCGAAAATGATCAGAAGCACATCGTCGTTGAGGTCGACCAAGTTTCTAGCCAGCGGGGTGCTAGACTCCTCTACCTCTTTGCGCACAATGCGGGCCATTCCTTGATGTCGAATAACAATAGGTGACAGCTGGTGTCAATTTGGTGTGGGCGTGGGCGTAGTGTTGATCCATTTTTTGCTCGTTGTCGTCGAGAGGAATAGGATTGTCACGGCGTGACAATCCTTGTCAACAAACTCGGCCCAGCATCGTGCTCGAGGCTAAAAAATAGTATTGACAGATAGTACATTCCAAGTTGATGAGTGAAGCCGTACATATATTTTGTTCAAAATGAGAACGAATTGGCACATCTAAGGATAAAATATCGAGTCGTTGATTGGTGGCGGCGGAACCAGGCACAACATTCCACCACTCCCAGTACAACTCCGGGTCCAAGCCATATTCGCGAAATATGCCAATTTCCCAGATCCACGGCGCCGCATTCACAATCTCCTCTGCCATCGCATGTAAACGGCCTACAAACTCGCGGAACTCACTCGTCGGATGCAGCGCGGGTGGCCATCCGACGCGCTCGGGGGGATGTGGGTCGAAATTAAACAGCCGCAGATTTTTGAACTGCGACACCAGTCTTTTTGCGATGGGCTAAAACTAGGTCAAACATCAGCTTGAACTCGCATAACAAACATACGACGGGGTCCCAACGCCCTTCAAGCGAAATTGCCATAGCATCCCATCGTCTGCAGAGCTCAAGCTGTTCCAGCAAGGGGAATGCTGTCGGGAGGAACTCCAGCAAGGCTTTCTCGTGGGCGAGTTCATCCGGCGACAAGATGGCATACCAGATTTTAAGACTCAGAAGACTGGGAAAATCGACCTTCTTGAGCATGGCCAGCAGACTAGATGGCGTTTGCGGTGTCCGATGGGCGTTCGGAGAAAGCATATATGGGGTTCGAGTGAGTGAAAGACTCTTAAGGGAGGCGGGAAGGAATTCAACAGTGCGATCTTGCATTGACACCGAAGTGAGTTGGGCCGTATTGAGATGGCGAAGAAATGTAGAAGGGGAGCTTGGCGGGGCATCTGGTGAACATATCACCATTCCTGGAGGCTCAGGATCGTCAGCTTGATGCACCATACTCATGTCCAGAATACGTAGATTTGGCATAGCTTCTAGCATCACTAGAACCGGAGAGCGAATTGATGTGGCTATGGCGAGGGTTGTAGGCGATTCAGTTTCCACCTCGCCTGCCGGTGGAGGTGGCAAATGCACGAATTCGTCAGGTTGCCGAGCCGAATTCGTGTCCAGAATAGGTAATGAAGGAGATGCGGCATCGTTCTCGGCGACAGAGGAAATATCGGTTGTAAGACGCTCTGCTACTAGTGTGGGGGAAGCGGAGCGAGATTTCGCAGAAGGTATACTATCGGTTTCGGTCGGTAGAGGAAGCCGCGACGCATCAACTGACACAGAAGTTGAGATTTCTGCTAGGCTTTCCGTGGCCGAGGAAACATCAGCGGAAATGTGTTTTGGTATCGATGTGGGGGAGGTGGAGCGAGATTTCGACTCTGTTCGCGGTACAAGCAGAGGAGGATTGTTGCCAAAGACCGGCCATAGCCCATAGAGATACAACTCTGTGAGAGCATTCCAAGTTGTGTATTGCATCGCAGGAAAAAGTTCTCCAGGGATCCAGACAGATTCGAGTGTGGTGTGAGCTGCTACAAGTATGGTGCGGACGTTGTTGAGCTCAGGTACCCAAGCCGCGGGCGTTCTTCGGGCAACATTCCCTTCTTTATCGGAGACGAATGCAAAGGGGAAAGTAAACTCGTTGAACGGGAGCGCGGCTTTCCTTGGCTCCAGCATGAGTGACGCGTAATCCGCGTAAGGGGGGTCCCAATGAGATCGGAGGCAAAGGTGACATGGAGTAGACAAAACGGAAAATGCGTCCAGCAGCTCGGACCACAGACCACTAATGACATTGCTTTCTACAATGAATGTCTTGAGCTGCTTCATCCCAACGAGCCCCTCGCGAATTTGCGCTGCGATATCTTCGTACATGGTGGACGTGAAGTCGAAGATTTTGTATCCGGAGAGCAAGAAGGTTCTGCCAACATTAAACGAGTCTTGGAAAGAAAAGATGAGACGCACTGAGCATATGGCCAAAGTTTCCGTGAGGGGAAGTCGTGGGCGGCGGGGGCCCATCTGATTGCTCTGAATATGTGCGGCAAAAGAGCCTCCCGACAGCGGGAGGATGCATAGGACATGTCCAGTCGCGAATTGTAGTCCAACAAGTCGAAAATCAAGAACAGGACATCGTCGTTAAGGTCGACCAAGCTTCGGACCCTCGAATGAGTTGAAGACCCCGTTTCTCTGTGCACGATACGAGCCATTTGAGCTTTGATAGCTCTAATTGCGCGAAAATGGAATGTGTTGGATGACGGCTGCTGTCAAGTTGTTGTGGGTGTGGTCGTTGATCTTATTCAAACTTCTTAGTTTGGTAACAATGAGATTGAGGGAGCGTACAGATAGCGTAGGCTCGAGTCTGTGATTTGGACTCGCACAAACTTGAACATCGTCGCACAGAGAAAGAATGTCACATCGTGACACGTAAACAATTTCTCAAGTTGCCTATAGCTAGAAAGTCTTCAACAACAATGCGCCTCAAATCACGCGCGTAGCTGAAACAATGCCAGAATACTTGCAAACCATGTACGCTATATAACATCAATCACATATACTTGACATATACACCGCCAATGATTTTCCACATGTGACAGAGGTGGGAAATCCGCGGCAGACACCTGTGATACCCAGCCGGATCCAGGATCAACTCCACCTGTCATCCATGTTTGGACGCAAATGGGTCCATGCTGGATCCAGAGTGTCTGGAAACCAGCAGGAGACCCAGGTCGCTGCCTTGTAGCTAACCTGGCATAATATACATAGTTTAAATGCAATAGGGCAGGGAGGATGAATGCAGAATAATTGCTTTTATTGCAGCGAGTATTTAAATACAGGTTTACTATCTACAGGGAATAGATACTACATCATTGTCCCAACCTGCCGATGTAGCCGCGCTGCGATCGTTGAGTGCGCGTGCGGCCCGCTGGCGTCTGCCACGTTCGCGCCCTTCACATCTACGACGGCGGTGTTGCTGGGGGTTGGCGTGGGAACTGGATGCCGGTCGAGGGCGGGCGCGTGCGGGTGCAACAGCAGAAGCGGGTGGTGCGGTTAATTCTGCAGGCCACGCACGCGGAGGAGCTCCTCGGGCGTGGGAACATCCTCCGCACGCTCCCACGTCGAGCGCCCGGATGGCAACCTTGCGCAGCCCCAAAGAGGCGGAGGGTACACACCGCGTCCTGTATGAGAGTCAGCCAATATTCATATGGGGAGAAGGAGACACACCGCGCTGAACCGGGCACTGAGCAAGAGGTGGCCAATGCACGCCGAAGCCAATCCTGCCCAAGGATCAGGCCAAAGTCGTCGCGCTGGCAGTGCTTGGCACTGACCTGGATCAGAGTAAGTAGAGGAAGTGAGAGAGGGAAATATACACAAGCGTACCTTGTGTTCCCAGTTGTCGCAGGTGCAGTTGCAGCCATGGTAGCGAGGACGGAAGTGAAGGGAAGAGGAGAAGAGGGAAGTGGTGTGACATGGAAAATTTCGCTGACATGGGAGTGAGATCATTTGATCCGCTCTTCCGGTTCTCTGTTGCACGTTTCACCGGGACTAAGTATTGATCTCCGACGTAAGAGATTAATCAACATCCTCCTCAAGTCTTCACCTAGGCCGGCCCTAAAGTCATCTAAATTTTTTTATATGTAGCCTTCCACAACATCGGTTAGGGGGACAAACAAAAGTGCTGAGATATATATAAAATATGCCACCTGGATTCCAGCTGAAATTTCCAGCTGTGCATATCTGCTGGAAATCATGTGGAAGCCATCTGGATCCAGATGGGGAATTATCTAGAAACTAGCTGGAATGTCCAGCTAGCTCACATCTGCAGACACTTTGGTGGTGTACCTTGGTCCCGCTCTCCTCCCTGTAGTCCCACCAGGTTAACCAGTGCAGAACTCATCTCTGTCATGCTCGTGTCGCCATAATCCATCGGTACAACCAGCCTGAGTGATTTGAGAGGTGGCCTAACGAGTTTCTCCCGGGCCAGAAGAGTGTGGCCAACCTGATCGGGCGATGAAGTCCATTTCACGGACCGAACTGGGTGAGTGGAGAATCAAGCTCAGCAATCGGGGCAAGAACTTGTTGGAGGCGAGTTCCTGGCAAATGCCCGCAGTTAAATGACGGGAAGGACGGTGGATTTCAAGCTCCTCGAGGTGTGGCAGGAGATGGAACGGCTTGATTGAGGCAAGGTGCTGTGATTTGCATGGGTGGAATGCAAGCCGTCGTAACGGGGCCGAAGAGCTCCAAGAACGCTACCAAGAGGTCGGCATCAATGCGATCTGCCCCGGTAAGATCAAGAGAGTCTAGAGCCGGCAGCGTCATAAACCCAAGGATGTTTTTTGAGAGCGTCGGTGAATGTACGGCAATCCATTCGTGTTCGATAAGGGACAACTGTTTGATTGAGGAGTATGTATTTATCGAGAGGAGCAGGTCTTGCTCGAGCTCGCGGTCTCCAGATTGAAGTTGGCAATGGACAAGACTGGGTAGTGCCGAGAGAACTGGTAGACATTGGTGCGCGTATAACGCACTCGTGGCTCAAGTGCGTCAACTGCGCCCAAGGCAGGTTGAAAACTTCGGGGTGGACTTTTGTGAACGATATCTTGCGGAGTAGTGGTGCGTTAGCAAATACCTCGATGGGGTCATCATAACCCCTCAACTCGAAGTTCTTCATCAGGGGCTGGTGATAGAAGTTCGAGTTCAACAAGGTTCCCCCAGTCCATTGGATACTGTTTGAAGAGGACGGCTTCTGGCGTGTGTGCGAGCCGCCAAACAAGATGTATTATATTCGGCGAATGCTTTTGGATTATTTCCAGCAGCCGCCGCCTCATCATGTGGGGACTCCCCTGTGGCCGACTCGGAGTAGGTCCATGGCCACCAGAGTCCAGCCATACCGACAGTCAAGAGACGGCGGCGTGCGCGGGTTAACCAGGCATCTACAACGAGGGGGATGTTACCGAGCCTTCCATCTACCGATTTTGAGGCTATGTAATCCAGATCAAAATAAAGCGTCGACCAAAGAGCAGGTGTCGAGAGTGCGAGGTGTTGCCATGCCTTGCAAATCCCAAGAAGAAGTAGTGGATATTGCTTTGGGTCAATTAAATTGACCGTAGGGTCATTTGGGATGCAGTGGGCGAATATCGCGGCCATTATTTCGTTCGGGAGTGGTATTTGGTTGTTGGCTGTTGCCCCGATAGAAGGAGCTAAGTTCTGAAATGCCTGGGCTGTGGGTTGAAAAAGCTTCATGCGTTTCTCTTGGATCGCAGGGCTTGACTTTGCGCAGGTGACGAGACAGAGTGGGAGAAACAAATGCGAGACGTCATGGTCACGAGATCATATACGAAGAAGCTAGAGATTATTCGAATTTGAAGCAGATAGATGTAGCGAACTTCGTTTAACTTATAACGACTTAAGAAGAAGTGCCAATGGGTCCAAGCGGGGACCCCGAGTTCGTCAGAGTATCGGTCGTAGGTCGTCCAGCTGTGGGGAATATGTGAGATGAAGAGGAAGTGGAGAAGAGGGTAGGCGTGGAGTAGAAAGTAGTCGAAATGTCGAGTAGGAATGGAATGTAAACACTGGCACTTGTCCTCAGTGGGACACTTGAAAGCACTGGCGTGGACACTGAGAGGGCTCGGGGTAAGAAAGTGTGTTTGTCATCATGATCTACAGCTAATTTACTACTCAAATGCAAGGTCATGACGATATGAACACCCTGATACGGCTCATTCTGTCGTAATACATAGTGCTGAACAACACATGCTGTTTTATCTATGCTGCCTCATATACTGCGACTTCATTGAGCCATTGGGACACCATCTCCTGGCGGTGTTCGACCTCGCTGTCTGTCACAGTATAAGTTGCAAAGCAAAGGGCATGAGAGCATGCGACGAACCTGAGCACTCTTCCTCTTCACCCGTCATCCGCGTATTGAAGCTATCACTGAGAAGATGAATTGTTTTGAGGCCGTCTCGATGCTGGGAATCTTGTGCCAGATCTGTGGAATAAACTGAGTGCCTGAGGGCAATCATCAGGTATGCAACGAACTTGGGGGTGCTTCAGAGTCGTCTGTCACTTCATCGTGCTTATTTAAGCCTAGTTTGACACTTTCACACTCGTCGTCGTCTGCCATGAGATGAGCAGGATGGCAAAGGGTGCGGGAGCATGCAACCAACCTGACAACACTTGCTCATTGTCCTCTTCGCCTACGGTTGCGATCCGTATATTCGCACTTAGGAGCTCAGACACTTGTGGTAGATACATTGTTTTCAAGCGGTCTTGACGTGAGGCCAAGTCTCGAAGAACTGCGAAATGAACTGGATTATTGTGATTATCAGGTGTGTAACTCACCTGGCGCCCTTGATTGCCATTGCGCTTCATTTTCCGGAACCGGGTCCTTGTCCACCAGTGACACCCGCTCGAACAAGTCGAGTTTCGGCGATTCGATGTCAATATCAGCAGAGCCTTCTGCCATGTCTCCGGATGCCGGGCTGCTCATTGCATCAATGTCCAGTGCTGTACCTGCAGGTAAATCGGTCTGCTTTTCGAGGTTTTTCATTCTTTTTTGGTTTTTCAGATCGTCGATTATTTTGGTGAGGTCCGGGTGAATAAGGACACGCTTGGTGTCAGGCGGGAGACTTGCGAAGACAGAGGCCTGGGACTTGAAAAGGCCCCATGCAAATCGCGCAAAGAAGCAGTGGGGCTTCAATCGGTCAGCGATGGTGAAGCATCGGAGATGATGGTCTTCCGCCAAGTCTCGAATGATATCAGTCAAACATAGCACGACACCAACACCTTGATGAGGTGCAAACACGAAATGACCCTCATCCATCCCCGACGCGTTGAGATCGGCGCGCAGTGTCATCACGTTTTGCTCCGAATCAACGCCATAGTCGTTATCAAGGGCTTCGTTCATCCCATTGTGCCTCCACTAACGTGAATAAATAGCTAGAATCAAGTGGGGGATTTGACCCACCCAGGCAAGTTCCGCACGGGGGACCAGATGACATGCTTGGAGCCGTGAAATCTCGCCTGTCAGCACACAGGCAGTGTCGAGGACTTTCACGCGTGTGCTGAGCGAGGATAGTCGACATGATCCCGTGGGGGTCCTTGATCCCATGACAAGCCATCGGGCGGGGAGGTGCTCTGGTATTTTCCATACCAAGAAGTTTGTACAGATGGGATAGCGGCTAGTTAGATGGTCAAATAAGGCAACATGCCTGACTGTTAACACCTACAATTCTCCAGAAACATGGTAAGTGTATTTGCCGGAAGGTATCCAGACGTCGGCAATTGCAATGTCTACATCGGAACTCAGTGCGCGAAGCTTGCCGTTTCGATTTTGAGCGATGATATAACAACAGTCCAGGAGAATGAGGAGCGGAATACCAGACACTCCTTGGCTGTTCGGAAAAACAGACAGGGCGAGAATCTTAGTGCGAGTAGGATAGTCTGGGTGATAGACGTCAATTCTTTGGGGGATTGGGACGGTTCGGGGTGGAATCAAGGGCCGCGGAGGGTCGGAAGCCTGAGGTTGGAAGGCCATTCCGTCAAGCCGTTTCCTCAACTTTTGAAAACGCCAACTTGGGCTGATCGAGCTAGTAAATTGGCCGAGTTATAGTTTTTGGAGGTCTTTGGGCTTTGGATTAGATCATTTGGCAGTGGCACAGAGTCGCGAGCAGAATGATTCAGAAGCAAACGACAGAACGTCACGTGGGTATCATGGCTCAGCAACATGCACCGTCATTCTCAAGTTGGGCCAGTAATGACGCTCTCCGTGCGATTCTCTCTGCCCGCAAAGGCGCAAGGATGGGATCAATGTCGCACTCGTACCGCACCCACACAACCACCTGACACCAGCTGTCATCTATTGCATTCGACATCCGGATTCAGATGGCCCGCGTTGTGTGTAAAGGCGTGGAGGAGGAGCGCACCGCTCGAGCTCGAAACTTGGTGGACCTCAATGACGACGTACTACTCTTGATTTTTGGGCTCCTTGATCATACAGATAGACTCGTAGTCTCAGCTCTGTGCCGACGTCTACGAGCAGTCCTTCTTCCCCAAATATTTGACATCATAGGCTGGGCGGCTATCGCTCCCGAATTCCCCCCACGGAGACTTTGGCCATTTGTACAGTGCGTGCTGACTTTGAAGAGTCTTCGTCGGCGCCATTTGACGCTCATATTTAGAACCTTCGTATTCTCGGGCCACCATATTGCTCCATTCACACCAACAATGCGGCAAAATATCACGGCACAAATTCTTGAAGCCTTCGTCGACATGAAACGGCTGACTACGGTCATTATCGTTGACGTTGAAGGTGGCTTATGGCCTGAGCTATTGGACGCGTTTTCGGTTCTGTCTACTCCCTGCCATCTGCAGCTTGGGTCTCACTGGGACCCAGCTCGAGAAGACGAAGATTATATTGTGTTGGAACCAAAAAGAGCTTCTCTACCTTTCGCCAGCTTCAGCTTCATCTTCCCCCTTGTCTACGCCAGTGAGCAAGAGGGTGGAGGGGCGGCTAGGCGACTGCCTTTGGGCTTAGAGCATGAAATGTACAACATCCGCACCATACTCGCCGCAGCTGCTGAAACACTATCTTACATCTACCTCCCCGGCGAAATCTTCCCCACAATGTACGGCTTCACCTGGAGCGCTCTTACCGAGCTGTATCTCGATGGCTTGTGGCCTGTCGAAAGGATTGCGGACCGAGTAGTTCAGGTCTCGAGTGCTCCTCCTCGAGAACCATTCCCTCGGCTCATCCTAGGGCAGTCACCGGAGCCAGTCGAGGCACATACCTCTAAGGACGGGTCAGAAACAGCTACGCTGGCCGAAGTTGCACCATCTGTGTCAACATCAGTATCTCCGACAGTGGTCGACGAAAAGGCCGAAGCGTCCGTTCCAGCATCGAGGGATAATAACGCCGTAGAGACTGAGGCGTTTTCTGAGTCATTGACAGAGGCATTTCTAGATGATTTGACCTCCGCGTCTGATGAAGGGAACACGGCATCTAAACCCACAGTCGATGGAGATATTCCAACCACGCCACAACCTCTCGAATCACTTGTGGTCCACGATGACTCCTCCGCCTTATCGCCTCTATCTTCCTCTGATCTCTTGTCGATTTTAGAAGCAATGCCGAATCTTCGTTTGCTGAAAATGTACCTATTTCATCACACAGCGGACCTCAACCTGTGGGCGGGGTCATCTGCGCGTCAGATATCACACCGACGTCTCCATCTACTTTTCTTCGCCATCTGACTCAATTTGATGTTGCTTCGCTGTCCCAGAATGACCGCACGTTAGAATTTCTTCCGGCGTCATTGGAGCTCCTCTCATTTGCGCGCTATCCATATGTCCTGTCGCCGGGAACGTTCCGGGCCAACCAAACTCCTGCGACCGTGTTGACGATGCTCAAACGCGCAGCATTTCCGTGTCTCACGGCTCTTAGGATATGGTATATCATCGAGTCCTTAAGCGACCTCGAGGTCGAGAGGGGTCTGTTGGACTTTCTTCCTGATGCATTTCCAATGTTGCAGTCACTCGAAATCTGTCGACGAGCCTGCAGGATATGGCAGAAGACATCGTCAGCTCGGCACCGTGGCTCCACCAAATTGCGATGAACACTGAGCGGGGCAGCAACCCGGAGTACTACTGGAGAATCTGGAATGTCGTCCGTGATGTCGACGGGAAAATCAAGCTAGAAGATCCTCCCCAGACATACTCTACAACTATTTTGACTGAATAACTTGTACCTCGAACACTATCAACTCTCTGTGGCCATTGTTTGATGCTGATACCATTCTAATTACCTATTACTATGTACAGTACTGTTAGCCCACGAATTATATACCAGTATAGAGAGGAAGAGAAAATCGGAACCATTTGTCAAGGGCTCGGAGTCTGACGTAAACGTTTACACACTCTTGTGTCTGCTTGACAGGCACGGAATTCGCGTTGGATGAGCCAAAGGCAGCTAGCCCCAGCAAGCAAGATGCACCCCATCATGGCCCGTGCGGCTATGGCAAATGCCGCGGAGTGCGCCACGCGGACCACACCATTGGTAGTCTGGAGAAACGAGTACAGGAATGCTGTGGCTGCACACAGAGTACACCTGGGCATCGATTAGAATCGGTGGACGCATATATTTGATGCCTTACCAGAGCAGCGTCCAGAATGCGATCGAGAATAGTACCTCGTGAGAGGGGTAGAGTCTGGATTGGTTGCCGATCCTGCGCGTCTGGGACAGTGAAGCTGATTAATAAGGCGATACTATCAGTTTCTAATGGGAAATTACCTTGATATGCAATGCGTAATGGTAGGTCTTGCACTGATCATTGTTGAGCCAGCTGACAAGGAGCCGACTAACAGCGACACCAACGCCAACTGAGATCAGAGCGAGATATGCGACACAGTACGAGACGGAATCCGTATTGTCGGTGATTTGTATCGAGACATAGATAAACCTTGAGGAAGGTCAGTATGGACAACCTTTGGCAAACCCAGCTTACACAGCAAATGCCGCCTCAATGCCTGCATAGAGGTTCCATGTCGAGACCTTGTCTTCCAGTAGGCTCTTCCACTCTTGTTGCAAGTCCTCGTATTCATGCGCAGACGCGGCATTGACCGCATAGCCGCACACATCCAGCGCAAATCTGCCGGGCTTGATCACCATCCGTGGGTCCTCGAAGATCTCATCGATTTCTTGCGCGTAGAAAGAGGCGTAGTCGATGGAGGAAAACAGGTGCTTCACAATAGATTTGAAGCCAGTTGCTGGAGCACTTGGTGTCGATTAACAAAGGTTTCAACGGAAAAAGAGTTTGGGAATACCTATCAGGAGCAGCGGCCTTGCTAGTCTTGGCGACGGGAATTACTGGTTGGACGGATTGGATCGCACGGGCAAAGTCGGGGAGATGCTGTCGATTGCTCAATCCAGCTTGGGATATCGATGCTTGCCGGGGCTGCACGCGGGTGTCAAGAGCGGTGGAGAGCGAAGTCATTCTCGTTTAGTACTCGCTGTTTCTCGGGAGTCACGTCCTTAAGTAGGAGATGGCTCTTATTGTTGCGACGAGACGGAACGATTCATGGGCATGGAAACTGCGGTATTGTTTTCGTGACAGGTAGAGCTTGAGGGACAACATACATAATAGTAGGACCAGTCATCGATTTGGTTGAACCCACAAGCCGTCGCCGCGGCGGTTAGAAACCAACTGGGCTGAACAATGTCTCCCGAATTGAGAGGCGCGATCATGGAGTCGACTGACAGAAGATCGTTAGCAGGAAAGGCATGAGAGAAGTAAGTCTGACCAACCCTTGTGCTCAGAGTGGAGGAGGGAACAAGGAGCAGCTAAAATTAACGTCGCCGCCCAGAGCAGACCAGTGTGACAGCTAGGTGTGACTGTCACTCTCTCCGCACTCAAGTTCTGGCCCAATTCTCAAGTGTTTGTTCTTTGCTCAAGCCGCGCTGGCGGTGTACGATGTGACGTCTACGTCGTATACCTATATCTTCTGAATCCCGCTCTCGAAAGTCTGCCTCTGAGTCTGTTTGCACCGCCAGCCCGAGTGACCAGCCCGAATGAGGACAAGACTTCGGGCCTTCCTATTATTGACGCACGGCGTATGAACATGATCAAGATATGGGTGCATGGTCGCTGTCTGTCAGCGGCGTCTACTTGTGCTCTCTGGCGGCGTCAGGCTCGAATCGCCGTGCAACGGGTGCCACGCCTAGTCAATCCCTTGTTCTTGCGGCTATATGTGGCGGTCTTTGTTAGTTCATTTACCTCTGAACAAGGAACACCGTTACATCCTTCTTTTTGCTGGAAATACCTGCTTGCGGCGAACAACTGCACAATGAGATGTGTAAGTGTGTTGTTGCTATGCGTTCTTGAGCAGCCATTGCCAAAAGATGTTGCTTGTTCCCTCTCTTGACAGAGGTTCATATAAATACCACTACTTTGAACTCTGAACCGCACTTGACTTTCACTGCATGATGATGACTTCCACCACTGCACTCAACACCAACGACTTGAATGGCTCAGCTTCGGACTCGAAGCTTTGCTTCATCCGCCTGACGCCATTCCTCTGGGATGCAAATATGCGCCATGAGGAGCGCGTAAGCTATTTCTTTTCACCTTTTCACCCTTCCTTGATGAACGACTAGGTTAAAATCGATGTCGAGCGGCGTGGTGTTATCTGTCCTGCCAGTGCCTCGGGGAAAGGAGATTGCTGGGGCATTTTCTATGACCCCCAGCTTAAACGTGCGGCATTCACACCCCCGAAGTCACTCAAACAGCTTCGCGAAAACACCTCTGCCGATCCGAAGCCACTAGCCCGGAGCATCACTACGCAGGAAAGCCATAAACGAGCATCGCATTCACGATTCCAGCCTTACGCACGACGGCAAAGTACTAGTACTCGGAGATCAACACTCGATCCTGTGATTACTCATACTTTTTCGGGGCCGCCGAGAGCCTTGGTCGGGTTCGCCCGCGCAGGAGTAGAGGTAAACACACAAGCCCATTCAGATATAGACACCGACTTGGCGGCTCTTTCAAAACGCAGTGATGATGGTATGTAACATTGGTTAATGACTTATACATGTTCTGGATTTCTTATTTTGGATATAGCGCAAGGCCTTCATTACGTTCTTATGGTTTGTGTATCTATCCAATTCACCTAATTTTATATCTTACTCTTCTCAGGACCTTTCGACAGCAGGATCACCAGTCATTGAACAGAATTGCTTTAAGTTGCTCTTGGACACAGGTAATTGAATGTGCTGATTTGATTGGTATAATTGTTAACCTGGTTGTCTTTAGCATGTCCTGTAACGTATGTTTATTTCAATTTCTTCCACTGCCATTCTCTAGACTAACTCACTGCCAAGATGGGTTTATTCATCTGAGACAAGAATCCTAGAGATCAATGATGAGGATACTACATCCTCTGACACTCTTACAACTGCTATCCTTGTCCGTGGTAAAAAGGCACAATATTACATGGGTGGGGCCAAACAACTCTCAATGAATTCACAACGAATAACATTTGCTGATGGCTTTGTTACATGTGAATATCATTTTAATTCTGGTTACAAGAATGTTTGTTTGATACTTGACAGTGCTGCAACTTCATCAAGGTCCAGCACGGCTTATCAAGAACCAGCATCAGAATGCATTTGCAACCAGTAAATTCAACTTTGCAGTTTGTACTGCAGCAACAGAAGAAAGATCACCTGTTCAAATGGATGGGATTTTAGGAATGGCACAAAAGTAATAATATATAGCTATATATTATATATATTCTAATCCAAAACCTCTCACAGAGCTATTTCCTTTGGTCTTTCACACCCTAGTGATGTAGGTTTTCTATTCTTTGCTACCTTTATTTGTTGTTAACTAATTTATTATAGCTGTTTGCATACAAGCTTTGTCAAGAGGAACAATCTACTATGGTATATTTTCTTGTATTTATTACAAGAATTTTGGACTAACTTCAGTTAAATCAGCCACCTAGCTTTGTGATTGCTCTAGGAGATACTGAATTGTATGTCACCTGATCCTCTTTTTTAGATTTATCACAAGTTGTTAGGGACAGTTGGCTTATAATGAATCCATCAGCAAGTGATGAATCATTTACACATATCATACCACATTCAAGATGGTCTGATTGGGTTGAAACCAGATCAACCTTTTTCTTCCATTGGACCTTCAGCATTTCAAGCTTTATAGCTGCAACTGAGGTTTTGGAGGAGGAAAGCAAACCAACTCCCTTTATCATTGATACAGGTAAGTGTTATAAGATTATTTATTTTATTGTATTTGACCTAAATTTTATACCAGGATCCACATACAGTTATTTCCCTGATACAATTTATAATGGACTCCTCCAGCTTATGGGTGCAGTTCGGAGCACCAGTGGGCAGGCATACTGCTCTGTGAGTGAAACCCATCTGGAATATTTGAAGAAGACTCCAGTTTGGATGAAAATTGGAAACCAGAAGATCCATCTTGGAGGACTTGATGTTTTCCTGACAAAAGAGACAGGACCAAATCCATTAACTGTGTACTGCTCCTTCAAGCGTGGGGTAGTTCCTACCCGTGTCAACACCACAAGTAGCTTAGAGCCTGACTCAGAGTCAGTGCCATTGCATGTGTGCATTCTTGGAAATGTTAGTAGACCAATCCACTCAAGGTTGAAGTTGCATAACTGATATTTATTGATAGTTCTTTTTACGACATCTGGTTGTAGAGCTGCAATATCTCCGCAACATTGAAAACACAGGTCGTATGCGAATTGCATTCCGAACCTCCAACTAGATCACAGACATGATAATTGGACAATAAGAATAGTCATGCCCGGATATTTGTCTCCAATCCTTTCAATGTAATTTATGTGCCTGTACAAAATTAATACCAACTTACAAGGTCTTGTCTACAGTTTCCCGACCGTCGTGACTCGGAATAATTATAATTTATAACCCATCTGAGTCGCACACACCGAGTCAAGTTTATATCCTAAGCATGCAACAACTTGAAGTCCCGATGCTCGATGTTCGACGCGCACGTGTTCGCCAGCGTGTGTTGCGCCGTCCGTCTGGGGGCTTCTTCTCTCTCTGCTGTGAGGCGTGGCGATGATGTGATCTCAAAATTTGGGAAAGCGATGATCGATGATCACCGAACTCGTATGCGTGACCGTGCGACACGGAGGACGTCATTATCAACTAGCCTTCGTCTGCGCCGACTCCATTGTGAGTTTCGCCCTCGCGAGCGTTTCGCCAATCATCAACCGCATGACCCGAGCAGTACTAAGGGAACGGATGCCAATAGAGGATCATGTCAGCCCTAAAATCCAGAGCTTCGCCGACCTCAACGATGATGTTCTATCGCTGATATTCGAACTTTTAAACCATACAGAAAGGTTGAAAATCGCAGGATTGTCTCGACATCTACGAAATGTACTACTTCCTCGTATTTTTCGAGGAATTCGGTGGGCCCCAGGTGTCCAGGACTTTCCTCTCAGAAAGTTATGGCCGGTCGTTCAGTGCGTCTTATTCAATACTCTCACCATTACCATAACGTTATATCAGGGTCTTTATGCTCTCTGGGGCTGGTATCGAAGAGCTGACGCGCGAAATTCGTCAAAGCATTGCTGATCGGCTTTTCGACGCATTCCCCTCTATGAACCTTCTTCATACGTTCATTTTCACGAATCACAAGACGGGGGGGATGTGGCCGGAACTAGTAGAGTCGTTTTCGACTCTACCTAAACCATGCGACCTGATAATCGATTCAAGTTGGGCGCCAGGCACTGCCGAAGACCCCATTACATTGGCACCAGCAACGCCGTCGTTGCGTTTGTCTGGGCTTTCTTATCCTTTTCCACTCCTTCCTGACGATGACGGCTGGACCATGCGTCGCCGTACGCCACGCCTATTCGACTACGAGTTACCCAATCTACGCGCTGTCTTGACGGCTGGCTCCGAAACACTGTTGGGAGTCGACATACCGGGCGAATTTCTTTCAGCTATGTTCGCAACACGATGGAACTCGTTAACTTACCTACACCTATATGGATTCTGGCCATTGTTCCAAGATTCTACTACCTTGGCAATCGAAACCGAGCTATCCAGCAAGCCTGCCACGTCTACGCAATTACCAGAGGCTGTTTCCATACTGGAACCGCCCGCACCCGGCTCCGATGATCTTGCTGTTTCTATATCAGCAACTGTGAAAGTTCAAGAGAACTCGAGCTCCAGCATTGGCGAAACTTCACCTACTCAACCGACAGACACAGTGGTTACTACACTTTCCGACTCTGATGTGGGGCTTTCCGCTCCCTTGGAGAGTGTTACTGAAATAGCCAGCCACAGTGACGCAGGTACTTCATTGCCAGCGATGGCTGCGAAGTCATCCTTTGAAGATCTATCACCTGATACTTCCCCCATTGCACCTCGACGACGTCTTCCCATCTTGTCTGTGCTGAAGAGTATGCCAAACTTACGCGTCCTCATCATGAAACTTCTGCATCAGGTCAACGACGAGCAACCTGTTGGAGCAATAATCTGCGACCAAGAAGCATCTTCCTCATATGATCCATTGCTTCCCCATCTCCTCGAGTTTACAGCGACTTCCCTTTCTAACGATGATCGAACGGTTGCTCTCCTTCCGAGCACTTTAGAAGTCTTATCATTACAAAAGTATCCACGAACTATGGAGCGTGGCACCCTCCGAGCGATGCCTACACCCTCAGGTCTTCTTGAAATGCTGCGGTCTGCATCATTTCCAGGGCTCGATACACTCCACTTGTGGTATCTCATAGAATCCTCGGAAGAACTGGATGCAGAAAAGACGTTGCTCGATTCTATTCCTACAATGTTCCCACTTCTGCAAGATTTGGAACTCTGTAGGCGATGGGATCATAGCGCCGAGTCGCTTAAAGGGCTTTGGGACCCGTCGGTAAGCCGCTGCTCGGGTCAATAAAAAGTTCGCTCACAAGAAAATCGGCAGCCTCGTTTCCAAAAACTCGCATCAGAGCTAAAGCATCTGAAATTTGTCATGCTGGATGCTGCACCGCCAGAACGATACCACAGACCGCCTGTGCAGCGGTCGACGCGAGAGTTTCGGGAAGTTATGGTCAACCTCTACGGGATCGCGCTAGCCGTGGTGCGAGCAGCGCCTTGGATTCAGAATATCGGCATGTACCGCGCCTACGGTGTGGACCCTGATATGTTCTGGGAGTATTGGGATGTCGTTGTTTCAGAGGGAACGGCTGGGCTTGATCGCCCTCCGCCACTAATAACTGATTCTCCACATTACCCTGATCCCATATAACTAACTACAGAAGCATAGGTGTAAAATAGCTGCGGATAATGTAAACCAGTATGAAAGCAGTTCGTGAATCCCAAGAAGTTTTTACTGTAGCGATCGAGCAAAGTTACCCGACTCGTCACTGTCGCGGTGCTTTTTTTAGCTAGATACTGCAGCTTTTCCAATCCCACCCACCGAACTGGCCCGCGACGTCATGAGGGAGAAGAGGCCTATGGTTAACTGATTGTGATGTCAGCACTGTCAAGACGACCACGACCCACGAGGAGCTCATCTTCAATGCCAACCCCCAGAAGCAATGACAAATGGATGATCCCTTTTCTGGACCCTCTCAACGCGTTCGTGCAAGCTTACAGGAAGGCCCGGTTCAGACGCAGGATCGCTGACTTCTCCTATGAGATGCTCTACTTGCTCGAGTCCATCCGCCGGAAGGTATCCGACTCGACAGAGTTCGGTGAGGCGCAAGTTTACTTCAAGCATATGCATGCCAACAGGCCAACTGTGCATTATCTTGATGTAGTGGACCAGGTGACGGTGGCGGACATTGAAGGTTCTCTGCTTCTTATTTTTACCTATATGTTATCCAGACGATTTGCATGGCTCGACACTGCAACAAAGGATCGAACAGTGGCGGTCAACGTTGATCTCATCATGAATATCGCATATGTATTCTTATTACACATACAACACAACTTGGAAGTTCGATTACATGTCTACTTCTTCACCGCCATGCGAATTCTGCCGCTGCTAGCCGCCGCATCAGGATATTGGAAGTCGACTACGAGATGCTGAAGGAGGAGCTGCACGAGCAGATTAGCCAGGTAGTTCAGCTAGGTATTGAATAACGTGCATTCCCCAAGACGAAGAACTGTCGCGGCTCCGGAGGAACGAGGGCTGGTTCCGTTGAAGCCGGCCTGAGGATGTTACCCGACCTGAAGGACAAGTCTCTGGTTCCGCGTTCGAAGGTCCTGCGCATCAAGAACCTGTCCAGCCCACCTAGATCAACTAGGCCGCCGCCTTCCAGGTTAAGGTGCAGCGATTTACTCTTCAGAGTCGACGAGAGGAGCGGGGAGTCTTTACAGCAGACCTGGCCGGTTTCGTGGACCTCCGCGCGGGCCGCTCCGATAAGCGCGAAATAGAGAGTATCAGGAAGATAGGTGAAGACGGTGGCTGAAGACTCGGAATCACATATGTAACACGAGCGGCGGTTGGCTTACCGGTATCAATGATAAACGCGGTAGGTGGTATTTCGTGCAGTACGGAGTCGATTGTGAGGCCGACGACATTGAAGGCCCAGTTGTAAGCGCTATTGTCAATGGCGGGTATCCAGTCCGACCACTCGAAATGCGGGACAATATGCTGGATACTCTGGTCGCTGGCATTACTATCGATGATAAGCCAGCTGTCACTGATAGGACTTAAGAACGCATTAATCTCGGCGGGAAAGGTTACCTTTCATCATCTCCCAGCGAGATTTTGAAGCTCGGTATCTAAGGAAGAGAATCGACCGCTGATTATTTCCTTCGAACAGAACTTACCTGTCTGCCGCCCTTGTTCTCGCTATATTTCTGTACAAAGAGCTTTGAATTGTCAGTCATATCGGCGGTGAGCGCGCAGAATCATACATCGCTGCTCTCGGTACCATCAAATCGCATTGGCCTGAGAGGGTGAGCATACGACGACAATATATGTCTTGTACTTACCTGGACGACAGCCCTAATATCCCATCCATCGCTTCCAACGACTTTTCCTGTGTCGCAGCATTGCAGAGGGCAAATTTGAAGTTGTCAATTTGAAAAACGTCGGAATCGTCTTCCTTCATCAAGCACATCGAACCTCGATGAAGCTGCAACCCTGGCCGAGCATTTGTTCTTTGTCGTCTGAGATAATAGCAGTGTACTCACGAACACCAAACTTGTCTCGGTCCCGTACTTCTTGCACAGTTTCCGAAACTTTTGTGGCGGATCCCGTGTAGTATGTTGCTCTCTGTCGGCGAGGGACGGGCTTGTCCAACAGCCCTGCGGTGTCGCTGCTTTCTGTCGGTATGACCAGTGTTTTTGCCTCCGGGGCATACATCCAGCTTCGAGCGGTTAGTGTATCTTCATCGAATTGGTATCACGCTCACGTGACAGGACAAGCTGCATTGCTGGTTAGATTCGCCGGAGTCCAGCTTGCACAACGTACCTATATCAACCAGCAGCTTGAGGCGTTGGTTTGCAGCCACAGGTCCACTATCCGAAGAGTGCTGCTAATCGTCAAGTAAAGCGTAGCAAGCACAAAAGAAAACATACGGCAGATGCATAATGAAGTCCCGCACCATCGTCACTGCGCCGTCTTAGACGGGAGAGATCATCATCGAGATCCGAATGGACGATAGTTGTGACTGTAAACATTCTGGGGACGGCGTGTGGGTGTTGTTCTCGTACGTCTTGCAGAGGAAGACGAGGCCGCTGCTCAGTACGATGCTCCTGTGGCCGGCGCGCGACTCCTGTGGTACCCTCTCCGTCCGATGGCTTTTGGCAGCCATAAACCCGCATATATGCATTCGAGGTTGGAGGGTAGAATGCAGCCCGCCGGAGTTCTGGATTGTAGAAGATGCCCCATGCTTTGCTTTCAAGGGGTCTCGTTATTCCCCGCCGCTCGACATCAATTGCCGCCTATGCCATTGTGAGCCCCGATAATAAGAGCATAAGTAATCACTGAGTGCACCCACATGCTCTGCCATGCGCATAAATATATCCCAGCTAAACGGGTAGATGGGAATAAGATGGAGTCCGGATGACTCGGTCGCCTTGGGAGCTTCACGACGGTCGGGTTCCATGGTACTCGTGCTCGAGGTTGGGTTACAAAGACTGGGAGTTGTGGGATGTCAGAGGTTCTTGGAGCGAGCGTCGCCTTTAAGTAGTCTGCTCAGAGAGCACAATAAGATATGCCTTTGTTGAGCTGTCAGATTCTATAGCAACGAAAACAATAAGAGTCTTCAATCTTGTTCCGACGTTCTTGTGGGCGCACTGGCTGCACACGTCCAACTGCCAACAACAAAAGCTTCAAAGGAGAGCATCCATGGTTGAGGCGGTTACGCTGTTACAACGCCTGGAAGCAGCTCCGGTCATCTACAACGCTCAAAGGCGCCTTAATGCAACAAGAAACCACGCACCATCTTACGCAGAGCTTGTGGGTGTGTGTGATGGATTAATATGTGCTTATTGTTCTCGATTGGGTGTCGATGGCTGTTTGTTTGCTTCGACAGTCGTTTAGACTTATAAGGATCGAGCAGGACGCAAGTGGAATGCGCATTGCGAAAGCTTTCAGTCAAGGGATGAGTTGTGTCACGGTGTGACCGATAGCGGTGATGGCTTGATATAGTACTAGCAGGGACCCGTGCTACGCTACGGGGCTCAAGCGATGATGGCAGGGGATTCAAATTAAGGTAGGTAGAATACATATACTACTGACTATTTTTAAGCAGATACTTGAAAATGTATTTAATTTTGCGTCGTGACATTCATATGCCCAAGATTGTGTCGAGCGCGAGGTTTCGTGTAAGGCTGGCGAGCCGGTGGAAGATCAGTGTTGCCAACATGCTGGCGGCGGACATTTGTGGCTTGCCGTGGTTGTGAAAGTGGGTCTGGTCGTAGTACGTGAGGCCTTAGAGGTGACTGCAGTATCGAAGATAGTTAACATGATTCTTAATGATGTAAAGTTAGAACGGTCAGAAATGAAGATAAAAACATACCTGGCTGTGTGTCTGGTGGCGTCGAAAGCTGATGTCGTTCTTCATTGGCATGCTTGAGAGGGCGGATAGGGCGGGGGACCAAAGAAGAGTGAGAAAATATTAGGGAAAAAAAGTTAAAGAAACCGGCAGACCTGGTCTTCCAGGTTCCTGCGGCTGAAATGGCAGGATTCCGCACCAATTTCTCCTGTCGAACAGTTTGCTGTTCCTCTCATTTTCAGCACTGTCGTTCCCATCATTGTCGCCGGCCTATTGAGCGTTTGACGCGCCTTAGATTTGCGTTGCTGGAGGGGACGGAAGAAGCAGCTAAACCAAAACATTAGCTCGAGCCGCTGGAAAAATACAAACACAAACCGTTAATCGATGTGCATTTGCAGGCAGCATTAGCAATGGTGGTGGTGGTGGTGGTGGTGGTGGAGGGGGAGGGGGGAGGTAGAATGAGCTACAAACACGTACATATGTAAAAGAATCAAAAAAAAACACGGACATACATTGACCCAACGTCTTCAAGGGGCTGGAGTTGAAGAAGAAGCTCTGTTCTCCACAGAAGTCACATTTGGAGTCGTTCGAAGCTGTTGGCTGGGAGTATCCTGCTGAGCAAACGCTACTTCGTGACTCTGCTCGCGCTGGACAGCTCGTTCTGGTTGTGCATCTCCTCCAAGGTTGGTATGATCTCCTAGTGCTGTGCGATTGACCAAGATTCGACATGGAGACATGTAGGGAGGCGAATTGGCATCGTTTCGGTGCTGCTGAATACAGCGAGGGTTGCAGGGAAGGGAGAGAGGAGTCAGGAGTCAGCAACCTGTTCAAAATAGAGGATTAGAGTGTGTTTGCAGGCCAGAATATCACTCACACTGAGATTCTGTACTTGCAGTACGCCCTGTGACTCAACAGTGTGAGTTCAAGATTGTGTTGGCCAGTGTCGCAAACTGAGACTCAGGTATCATCTACCCAGAGACAGGCAGGTTGCAGAGGGGGCAAGTGTGGTTGTATTGAAGAATGTAGAGAAATACAAAGCTCGTGCATGGTTGAAATTGAATGGGATGTGGCTACGCGGTAGGTAGTTTTGTCGTTGTCAGGGTTGGCAGAAAGTCATGTTGTCTGGGGCCTTAGGAGGCGGGAAATCGAATAAGTCGATGTCTGGAAGTCAAGTAGTCCGGTAGTTATGAGCCATGGGCGGCACTGAGGATCTGGCAGAAGAGAGGAGAGGAGAGGCGAATTGACTTTTGAATGACGCGATCTCATTGGCTCATCACTCCTGATGTCACGAAAAGTGACACCGAAGTCTCTTGTATAATAAGATGTGCATCGGTCGTTGCTCAGCTGTATCTGCATAAATATGCCCATGTTAACTAGCAGACTAAGCTAGAGTGTGCTCAAGTGGCGGAGGCCCATCAAGCTTAACCGTCTCCTCCGACTCCGAGACAACAAATTTGATGTATTCGCGAGTTGAGAGGCTGTCGAAACATTAAAGGTAAGAAAATTCGGTCGAATGAGGCTCACTAGAGAATTCTACAAACCTTACAGCGGGGCTCTGAATATCAATAGTGCGAAAACATCTTTGTGAGAGATTTGTTCCGCGTCAACTGCGTCGGCATATACCCCGTCAAGTTATAGAAGAAGGCGGTTCGCAAGATTGACAAAAGCCCCAATGGTTTTGGCCCTGGTGCCAGATGCTTCCGAACACTACCCAAAAGAAATGCCAATGGTCGAATTCGCACATCGTCAAACAGCGAAGTGGCTTCGAATTGCAATGGATGGAGAAGAAATGAGTAGTCGTCGACGTGATGAATAAGCCCTCATCGCAGAACGCGGAGATTCGGCATCTTCGCTCGTCGGGATGACGAGAATGCAAGAGCAATGTGCGGGTTTTCTCTGTCGATAAATCGAGTGTTTTAGGACCATGGACTGTTTCTGTTAAGGATTAGAACTCGGACGTGATGCGACAATGGGAAAGTCTAGTTACCTGCAGACGCTCCCCAACTTGGCAGGCCCTTGGTCGAGTAATTGACTCGCTGCGAATGCTCAGACAGAAGGAGATCTGGGAAATGGTGGATGAGCTAGGGCAGAAAAAAACTAAAAATCGCCTACATATAACACCAGAAAGATTAACGGCCCGTGGGGCCACAAAGATGAATAAGAACAGCGGCGCTGCCCGTTATGGTCTCTACCGAACGCTTGCGTCAGAGTCAGCACACTTGATCTGGATATTGAGATGTAAGCGTGTCATGCAAGAAAGACTACTATGACGGACATTCGGAGGCATGCCAATCGTGCCTTGAAGAAGTCCCTTGTTGAAGGGACATAGACTACTCCAGAATGATTGGATATCAAAGGGTGCCGGGTTGGTTCGTGACGGACGTAGGAAGGAGAAGGAGGGAGAAGGACGATCACACGGTATCCTCGTGGCGTGTGACGTCACGCGTTTATTTTTCTTCTCAATCCCTCGTCAGGCCAGAGTCTTTCAAAGTAAAATATCGACCTGGCGATCCAAGAGAAGCGTATGGCGCTCGTTCAACAGGCGTTGCAAGCAGCTCCCAACAACCAATTCATTCCCTTGCCCACAACACCACTCCCGAATGAGATAATGGCTGAGATATTCGCTCACTGCGTACCAGGCGATGCGAAAATCAACCTACTTGATCCATCAGAATGCCCTCTCCTGCTTCTCAGAATTTGCAGAACATGGCGAAACCTCGCACTCTCGACACCTGTCCTTTGGTCAACACTTTCCTTTGACCTGGAATGCATAGACTCGGTAGAGGAAAGGATCAACGACATCTCACTTGTTGTCGATACTTGGCTGGCCCGCGCACGCCGCCGCCCCTTGATAGTCGGTATCGCCGGACTCTGGTCAGCTGGCTCGGCCTTGGGAGGTCTACGGACAATTCTACGACCGCTGTCGAAAACAATCCACAAGCATTCGCCGAATATTACGCGTCTTATTTGGCGGCTTGCGCATGCGTCAGAAGCAGACTTTTTCATCCCATACCCAATGAACTGGGCACGACTCATTGAGCTTGAACTGGTGCCGCCAGACCTTTATGGCGAGGTGGAGAGTGATGACGCACCTGTCGAAATATTTGCCAACGCACCACTACTCCGCAAGATTTCGATTACAAGGGTCCAAGCTGAAGCCTTCGATCTTCCCTTGGCGCAGTTAACCCACTTGCGTCAGGAGTGTGTATACGCGCACCAATGTCTCCCGATACTCTCTGCACTACCCAAGCTCATCCAGTGCCATCTTTACTCTGTAGACCGCGAGCTAGAGCAAGACCTGCTCCTCTCGATAAAGACATACCCCTCGATCAAACACTTGTCCCTTACCGAAAACCAATGGATTGCCGTACATTCCCCGACGCTCTCAAAAAACATCCTTGGGTTTATGACACTGCCGGCTCTGGAGTCTCTCGATCTGGCCGGGGCAGATCGCATAGATGCCGACCTCCTGGTAGCGTTCTTGAAGCGCTCTTCGCCCCCGTTACGACGGCTTGCATTTCATCCGATTGAAACACTGCAACTCAACTCAATCAAGCCATTCCATCTCCTACCAAGCCTCGAGGAGCTCGAAATCCACCGTCCTTCCCGTCATTTGATTGTGGGCTTTTGCCAGGAACTCGCCTTTAACACGGTCTTACCCCGATTGCGGAGGCTGATTATCCACTCCCATAGCTCGGTCGACGAAATGGACTTCATAGCTGACCAGGTGGGCCACGCTCTTCTGGCACGCGGGAAGCTGGTCAACTTACCACCACTCGACTTACTCAGGCTGATTGTGCCGGTCGATTTCGGTGAGACAAACCTAGCCAAGATGAGCTCTGCATTGGTTACTTTGGCGGGGCTCAAGGAGCATGGGATGAATGTATATCTCGGAACGGATGAGCTCTCCGCAATATAACTTCTTTTTCTGACTTGGACAAGGACATCATGTGGAATGTTGTATTGTATCAGCGGACGCGTTTTTGGAAGTATGTATAGCATGTATGTATAGCATGTATGTATGTAATGATGTATGTCCCCAAAATTCTGCCTAGCCATTGCAAACAATTCGTCGCTCGATTCAAAACTTTGACCCCGGCAACATAAAACGCGCTGATGATTCGACTTGCAACTGATATCACCAATGATCATGAAGTGTCTTGGAAACACCCAGATTCGGACTCGTAGTTAGGATGTGGTACAAACGTACAAACTGGGGACAGGACCAAAACTAGGCTCATTGGCCTTCGCCACGAGTTAAGGATTCCGTTTTTCTGTAATTGTCGACTGTCGAATCTTCCTAACAAGTTCAGTGCAGTGAGACCTAGTGAGATGGCAAGGAGGGAAGCTGCTACAAGTATGGGATCTACGGAGAACCATGATTCCGACGCAGACACTTGCATCCTCGCATGTCTGCCTGACAGGCGCCAAATTCATGCTGGATGGACCAAAGGCAGCTAGCGCCAATGAGTAGGATGCATGCTACAATGACTCGTGCTACTATGACGAATGTTGCGGATTGCGATAGGAGATCACCGCCATTCGTGGCTTGAAGCATCGAGTAAAGAAATATCGCCGCTGCCGAAAGAGTACTCCTGGACATCAATGAGCGTCGATGAGCAGACAAGTTTAGCTACCATACCAGACAAGTGTTCGAAACCCAAGTGAGAATAGTGCCTCATGTGAAGGATAGAATCTGGTTTGGTTGTCAATCCTACGAGCCTGAGGCAGTAGAGTTCAGTCATGTGATGCTTTTACTTATATGCTCCAGATTACCTTGACGTGCAGAGCATAATGGTAGGTCTTGCACTCATCATTGTCGAGCCAACTGACTAGGAGTCGATTAACAGCGAACCCAACGCCGACTGAACCGATGGCTAGGTATGCGACACTGTACGAGACGGCGTCAGTACTGCCGATGTTTTGCAGTACAGTGTATATAAACCTTTAAGAAGATTAGACTGGGGATTCAGAGACACTCACAAAAAGAAACTTACACGGCGAATATAGACTCAATAGTTGTGTATAACTTCCATGCCGAGACGCTGTCTTCCATCAGAGTCTTCCAGTCCCCTTGTAAGTCTTCGAATTCATTCGAATGAGCTGGGTTGATCGCAAAAGTGCAAAGGTCTAGCATCAGCTGCCCGTTCTGCGGCTGCATGCGAAAGTCTCCAAAGAGCGTGTCTAGCTTCTTCCTATATGTAGTAGCACGGCGAAAGAAAGACAAGAATGCGGTTGAGAGCGCGGTGAAGCCATGTCGAGTCTGCTCAATCACTCGAGCTCGAGCACTAAGTGGAGTCGTCAACAAATTATACGGGTATGCAATTGATTTTGGCTGGAGTGACCTTGAGGCAGTTTGCGGCCCTTGCCGAGTAACGGGGAGGATCGTGCGGACAGACTCGACTGCGCGGATGACTTCTGTGCCATCCCAGTTGCGGACAGTCTTGCGGTGCAACAAATGGGTCGCTGGCAGCACATCCTCATTGGGTTGAGCACGAGTATTGAGGGCGGTAGCGATAGCAGAGCTTTGCATGTCAATGAAGGCGTTGAAGTTTTTGAAATTACTTACTTGATGAAAGTTCACGTCTTAAGGCAAGTATTTTTGCTGTGGCGCCGCTGGCTTTCCTCTTTGGTGCAATGTTACCTTGACAATCTTTGAGACCTTGTAGTTGACGCTAAGAATTGAGAGGATGAGCAAAGAAACACAGGTTAACGACGAAGAACAACGAGGTCACGACGGGCTCTTAGCATTTGAATCCGAGTTATAGTTAGAGGCCCACACACCATTTCGTTGAGCTGATGGTTATTGTTGGAAGAAGGCGAACCTGACAGGCATACTGACTGGCCTGGGTACCACACGGCGGTCTTGTTACGGCTGGGAGCAGCTTCAAGACGTGTGCCACAATCCGTAGCACGGGCATCATTAATGAGCCTGCATCTTGAACATATTTATATTGCACAGATACTTCTGCGCCGCCAGGGAGGTGTTGTTGCTCCTTATGCCGAGCAAGGCATTCGCCGTCTTGACTGTGTCAGACTGTGTCGCTGTCACGTTTGACACCGTGACAGCGGAGATCTCTAAATCGTCTTCCAACTCTCACTTTGCTTCGCTTGATGTTGTATTCTCATTGTGCTCATTCTGGTCGGATGTGTATGAGTCTGAGATAATGTGAGTCCATCAATATGGCACCGTACTGAATGCCGAGGCTTACTCCTTGTTTCCAACTTGGAGTCTATGTATTCCAATAGATTCCAATTGTGTCGTTGGCCAGTGTGGTTTACGATGTGTTATCCTCTCTGCTGTTGTTTCTCTGCTTGCTTGAAGCTATTATTAGAGGTAGCATGTCTTGACACTATCGTCTGGGGAACCTACCGCTCACAAAATGAACAAAGACGGAACAATAAGCTGGTTTCGACAGTGTTCTTGGTAGGCTTTCGTCAGACATACAACGCCAACACAGTTATTTAAACCCTCTAGGCTCCGTATACTTCTTCACTCAAATACGCCTTCCACATTTACAGCAACAACAAATTCAACAGCCCCGACAAGCCTCCACCATGTCCACTCATACGGAATGCAGCCTCCACTTCTTCCGTCTATACCCTTTTCCGTGGGATCCGAATATGCGCCAGGAAGAACGCGTCGGTTATTCGTTGGAACCTGTACCCCTCTAACCGCAAAGATGATAGGTCAAGATTGATGTCGAGCGTCGCGAAATCGTCCGACCCAATACCAGTGTGAATTCACCGAGTTGCTGGGGAATCTTTTATGACCCTCAACTTGGCCGAGCCACATTTTTCCCTCCGCCGACAGTGGCTGTGGTACCGCAGGCCACTGTCCTCCGAAAGCAACGTCATGGGGCGCGCTCAGTGCGAGGTACTTCATCTATGTTGGATGTAGAATTTTATACCTCAAAACGACCTGCATCGCATCGGCCCTCAACCGGATGTATGTGGTACGAGTATCCATATCCGACCATTCCTGTGGCTCCATTGAACATGGCCGACTTGCACACTCCCCGCGATATCATGATTCGCGCTGCGATAGAATCAAAAACTCGGAGTCCTTCCCAAATCAATGACGATCTTGCTACTTTGAAGAAAAGGAAAGATGATGGTGATGACGATCGCCGGAGCTACACCTTTGAACTGACATTCGATAGCGCAAGGACTGCATTATGTTCTAATGGTATGTATTTGTACTTGTTCTAGAATGACGCTAACTAATGATAATTCAGGATGCTTCACCATCCCAGTCTGGACAAATCATCGAAGAGCGATGCTTGAGGTTACTTCTAGACACAGGTTCGTGTTGACACAATACCGCCAAAGATTCAGGCTTAATTTCGATTAGCCTGCCCAGTGACGTACGGTTGTGTATCCAGATTCTGAATTTTGTTTATTAAACACATTCTATCAGCTGGGTCTACACCCGACAGACCAAAATCCTGAATTTAACCAGGAATAAACAGAAATCGCTACGACCAGATGACCCTAGTTACGTTGTTGACCAGCCGTTGCCTCGGCCGAAGGGCGCACGCTTCTATACTGGTGATATCACTGAGATATCAAGCAGTGTCGAGGAACTCAGATTTGCCGACAAGTTCACTGCGTGTAATCCTTTCTTGGTTGCTTAGGATTTCGTCCTAATCTTTGTAGGGTTCAAACTCTATCAGGGCTTTGCCCGCATCATTAAAGAAGGCGCGAGAGATGCCTTTCAAATCGACGATCTTCGATTCGCGCTATGCGTGGCTGCTACCATTGAAAAATCCCCAGAGCAGATGGACGGCATCCTGGGGATGGCTCAAAAGTACGTAAACTTCTGCAACGACCTGATTATACTGATTATTCCAGAGCAATGAGCTTCGGAGACGTTCAAACAAGCGATGCGAGTCAATTGTTTCTCAACTTTCTACACATCTAATTTTCTGCAAGCTCTTTGCATTCAAGTTCAGTCAAGAAGAGGGCCTATCTGGCGTGAGTCGATTTACTTTATATATTTATTGTGACAGAACTCTTCCAGCCCCCGAGCTTCAAGATAGCACTTGGCGATGATGAAGAGTAGGTCCCAGCTATCATCCGACAACAAGGACTACAATAACGTGTTTTAGCTCCAGCTGGCTTATCATCGATAGCCTCGCCAGTGATACCTCCATAAAACACATGGTGCCTCATCTTGATTGGTCTGTGTGGACGTATACAATCAAAACCATGCGATATGGCTGGATATTCAATGTTTTTGGTTTTACTACACCTTCTGAAACCCATCTCGTCGTGTACAACGACAGACCACATTGTGTTCCGTTTATGCTGGATACTGGTCAGTCGAATAATTTATTGCTCACGTCGCAACTGAAGTGCATGTTAGCCTCCGTACTCACCTACCTTCCAACACAGTTATTCGACGCGCTGGTCAAAGAAATGGATGCGAGTGTTACTCCAAGTGGTCTGGTCTACTGCAGTAGCAAGCCGGATCATGTCGCAAAGCTAAAAAGGACTCCCCTAACCATCAATTTTGAAAAGTGCTCCATCCCAGTCGGTGGTTTGGACACGTTCTTGATGGAAGGCCAGGGTCCAACAGAAGACACAAAATACTGTGCTTTCAAAGTAGGGTGCCTCTCCACGCATGCCTCATCGACGTCTGAGCCACTGGAAATCTCCATTTTCGGAAATGTGGGTGGACATCTCTTTGTACACCGAGTTTGATTTCTCACTTACATGTAGCTATTCCTTCGCAAATTTGTCGTGGAATTCCAGTATCTTAGCAATATTTCAAACATCGGTCGGATGCGCATGGCCCTGAGGGAATAGATACCATGTGTGCTACTCGATATTGCAATCACATCATATTTGTTGTTGATCCATCTGATCGAATCACGAACGCGCCGGACTCTTGTCAACGACATTTGTGTTGACACATCTCTCCTTCTACGTGCACGGGCGTTGCAGCCATCCGCTAGAGCTGTGATAATAAGAGGCGGAGGTCGCTATTCTTGTGAGAACTTCAGTTTCCTCTACAACTGAATTCGAGTCGACATGACCCGCATTGTGCTCAGACAGGCTATGGAGCAAGCGACGACTTCTGACGTCAAAACACTCGAAAGCCTGAACCACGATGTGCTGCTCATGATATTTGAGCGGTTGCCCTACGCTGAACGCGTGAAGTTGGCTACATTGTCTCGACGGCTTCGAGCCGTTCTTCTTCCCGTCATATATCGGAGGTTGGGGTGGGCTCCAGGTCTCGTTGACTTTCCACCGCAAAGAATTCTGCCATTTACCCAGTACGTGACAGTCGACATTCCCAACGCTTGCTAATGGTGACCAATTAGAGTGTTCACACTGGCTGGACATAATATCCGTCGTTTCACCCCAGCCCAACATGCAACCATCGCATCTCAATTCCGAGAGGCATTCCCTATCATGAAATCTCTGCATACCTTCATCCTGGGCGGAAATGTCGCAGATGGGTTGTGGTCGGAGTTACTCGATGCCTTTGCCGCGTTGTCCAACCCAATCGACCTTGTAGTTCACGCTCACTGGCAGCCGGACGACGAAGAGGCGGAACCAATAAAATTGGAACCAAGAACAACAACAACGCTGCCTCTACGCCGCTTTTCCTTCACTGTCCCCTTCATTTTCGATGTGTTGGACAACGAAATAGCCCGTAGGCTGCCTGATATACTTGAATCCGAGACGGAGAACGTCCGCACGATTCTGGCCGCGTCCTTATCAACGATGGCCAAAGTCGAGATTCCTGGAGAGCTCATATCGGCTCTGGATGGCCCAGTTTGGACATCGTTGACAGAATTATATCTTAACGGTCTTTGGCCGTTCTCCGATGCTGTAGAAGGAAATTCCCCAGTTGCTGGGCCCTCTCTAGAGCACACTTCGTCAACACAATCGGGTGTTGTGGCTTTGACAAGTTCCGTCGAGTCTCCCGACACCGCGAAGGATCCTTCCGTACCAACAGAGGGCCCTCCGCCTTCACCTGCGATATCAAAGGCGGAGAATGAACCAAATCCAGTTCAGGTACTTGGAGTCTCTTCGACGCCTGACACCGCCACGAGCACGTCGTCCGAAGCCCTCCCATCGTCAACAGTCGTAGAATCCCCCTTAATTCCATCACCCGCAACAACCAATCCGCCAGAAAACGCCCACCAGTCACCTTCTCCTTCATCGGCCAAGACTTCTCCGCTTTTGTCGATACTAGAGAGGCTGCCCAACCTTCGCATTCTGAATATGATGCTTGTGTTCCACCAGGATGATGGCCCAGATTCCCGACCGCCAATCTGCATAGCTGACAGGTTGCCCTCACCTCCATTTCTTCAGCATCTTACCAAATTTCAAGCGACCTGTCTCCCGAATGACGACCGAATCATTGACTTTCTTCCCCCGAACTTAGAAACACTTTCTTTGCGGAGATACCCGTTCTGGTTGGAGGATGGGATGCTGCGGATATTGGCTACGCCGCTGACGATTTTCAATCTACTGAAACGGGCTGAATTCTCGGCTTTAACGACGCTAAAATTCTGGTACCTAATCAGCACAAAAGAGGAGTTAGAGCACGAGGAAACGCTATTGGACCTTCTCCCCAAACTATTTCCCCTTGTCCAGGACCTAGAGTTCAGCCGAAGGTGGGACCATGGTGCACCTCTGCTAGAAGGGTGTCAGTGGAACCCGATGGTGCGCAATGCGGATGCGTTTTGTTTTGTTTTGACCAGTTTTCAGCCTATCGTCTGCGACTTCTTTCCTCGCTTCAAGCATCTTGAGTCGATTTTATTCGATCCCGACCTACCGGAACGCGATGGCTGGCCGCCAGAGTCGTACCCGTCAAGTGATTTCCGTGAAATGGTCGGTCGACTCCATGGCATGGCGGGGGAGATTGTCAATGCCGCACCCTGGGTCAAGAGCATTGGGATGTATCGGGAATTTGGTAGTAACGAGGACCTATACTGGGAAATATGGGGTGTTGTTCCTGCTCCAGACGGCAGAGTCGCTCTGGATCGGCCGCCACCACCAATTGTCAATTCGATATTTTATCCATAGCTTATAACTTAAGTCGTTGTAAGTTGAACGAAGTTCGCTACATCTATCTGCTTCAAATTCGAATAATCTAAAGCTAGCTTCTTCGTATATGATCTCATGACCATGACGTCTCGCGTTTGTTTCTCCCACTCTCTCTCGTCACCTGCGCAAAGTCAAGCGAAGGATTGACGAGAAACGCATGAAGCTTTTTCAACCCACAGCCCAGGCGTTTCAGGACTTAGCTCCTTCTATCGGGGCAACAGCCAACAACCAAATACCACTCCCGAACGAAATAATGGCCGCGATATTCGCCCACTGCATCCCAAATGACCCTATGGTCAATTTAGTTGACCCAAAGCAATATCCACTACTTCTTCTTGGGATTTGCAAGGCATGGCAACACCTCGCACTCTCGACACCTGCTCTTTGGTCGACGCTTTATTTTGATCTGGATTACATAGCCTCAAAATCGGTAGATGGAAGGCTCGGTAACATCCCCCTCGTTGTAGATGCCTGGTTAACCCGCGCACGCCGCCGTCTCTTGACTGTCGGTATGGCTGGACTCTGGTGGCCATGGACCTACTCCGAGTCGGCCACGGGGGAGTCCCACATGATGAGGCGGCGGCTGTTGGAAATAATCCAAAAGCATTCGCCGAATATAAGACATCTTGTTTGGCGCCTCGCACACACGCCGGAAGCGGTCCTCTTCAAACAGTATCCAATGGACTGGGGGAACCTTGTTGAACTCGAACTTGTATCACCAGGCCCTTATGACGAACTCGAGTTGAGGGGTTACGATGACCCCATCGAGGTATTTGCTAACGCACCACTACTCCGCAAGATATCGTTCACAAAAGTCCACCCTGAAGTTTTCGACCTGCCTTGGGCGCAGTTGACACACTTGAGCCACGAGTGCATATACGCGCACCAATGCCTACCAGTTCTCTCGGCACTACCCAGTCTTGTCCATTGCCAACTTCAATCTGGAGACCGCGAGCTCGAGCAAGACCTGCTCCTCTCGATAAATACATACTCCTCAATCAAACAGTTGTCCCTTATCGAACACGAATGGATTGCCGTACATTCACCGACGCTCTCAAAAAACATCCTTGGGTTTATGACGCTGCCGGCTCTAGACTCTCTTGATCTTACCGGGGCAGATCGCATTGATGCCGACCTCTTGGTAGCGTTCTTGGAGCGCTCTTCGGCCCCGTTACGACGGCTTGCATTCCACCCATGCAAATCACAGCACCTTGCCTCAATCAAGCCGTTCCATCTCCTGCCACACCTCGAGGAGCTTGAAATCCACCGTCCTTCCCGTCATTTAACTGCGGGCATTTGCCAGGAACTCGCCTCCAACAAGTTCTTGCCCCGATTGCTGAGCTTGATTCTCCACTCACCCAGTTCGGTCCGTGAAATGGACTTCATAGCCGATCAGGTTGGCCACGCTCTTCTGGCCCGGGAGAAACTCGTTAGGCCACCTCTCAAATCACTCAGGCTGGTTGTACCGATGGATTATGGCGACACGAGCATGACAAAGATGAGTTCTGCACTGGTTAACCTGGTGGGACTACAGGAGGAGAGCGGGACCAAGGTATATGTCAAGTATATGTGATTGATGTTATATAGCGTACATGGTTTGCAAGTATTCTGGCATTGTTTCAGCTACGCGCGTGATTTGAGGCGCATTGTTGTTGAAGGGGTGACTTTCTAGCTATAGGCTGCTATAGGCAACTTGAGAAATTGTTTACGTGTCACGATGTGACATTCTTTCTCTGTGCGACGATGTTCAAGTTTGTGCGAGTCCAAATCACAGACTCGAGCCTACGCTATCTGTACGCTCCCTCAATCTCATTGTTACCAAACTAAGAAGTTCGAATAAGATCAACGACCACACCCACAACAACTTGACAGCAGCCGTCATCCAACACATTCCATTTTCGCGCAACTAGAGCTATCAAAGCTCAAATAGCTCGTATCGTGCACAGAGAAACGGGGTCTTCAACTCATTCGAGGGTCCGAAGCTTGGTCGACCTTAACGACGATGTCCTGTTCTTGATTTTCGACTTGTTGGACTACAATTCGCGACTGGACATGTCCTATGCATCCTCCCGCTGTCGGGAGGCTCTTTTGCCGCACATATTCAGAGCAATCAGATGTGCCCCCGCCGTCCACGACTTCCCCTCACGGAAACTTTGGCCATATGCTCAGTGCGTCTCATCTTTTCTTTCCAAGACTCGTCTAATGTTGGCAGAACCTTCTTGCTCTCCGGAAACAAAATCCTCGACTTCACGTCCACCATGTACGAAGATATCGCAGCGCAAATTCGCGAGGGGCTCGTTGGGATGAAGCAGCTCAAGACATTCATTGTTGAAAGCAATGTCATTAGTGGTCTGTGGTCCGAGCTGCTGGACGCATTTTCCGTTTTGTCTACTCCATGTCATCTTTGCCTCCGATCTCATTGGGACCCCCCTTACGCGGATTACGCGTCACTCATGCTGGAGCCAAGGAAAGCCGCGCTCCCGTTCAACGAGTTTACTTTCCCCTTTGCATTCGTCTCCGATAAAGAAGGGAATGTTGCCCGAAGAACGCCCGCGACTTGGGTACCTGAGCTCAACAACGTCCGCACCATACTTGTTGCAGCTCACACCACACTCGAATCTGTCTGGATCCCTGGAGAACTTTTTCCTGCGATGCAATACACAACTTGGAATGCTCTCACAGAGTTGTATCTCTATGGGCTATGGCCGGTCTTTGGCAACAATCCTCCTCTGCTTATACCGCGAACAGAGTCGAAATCTCGCTCCACCTCCCCCACATCGATACCAAAACACATTTCTGCTGATGTTTCCTCGGCCACGGAAAGCCTAGCAGAAATCTCAACTTCTGTGTCAGTTGATGCGTCGCGGCTTCCTCTACCGACCGAAACCGATAGTATACCTTCTGCGAAATCTCGCTCCGCTTCCCCCACACTAGTAGCAGAGCGTCTTACAACCGATATTTCCTCTGTCGCCGAGAACGATGCCGCATCTCCTTCATTACCTATTCTGGACACGAATTCGGCTCGGCAACCTGACGAATTCGTGCATTTGCCACCTCCACCGGCAGGCGAGGTGGAAACTGAATCGCCTACAACCCTCGCCACAGCCACATCAATTCGCTCTCCGGTTCTAGTGATGCTAGAAGCTATGCCAAATCTACGTATTCTGGACATGAGTATGGTGCATCAAGCTGACGATCCTGAGCCTCCAGGAATGGTGATATGCTCACCAGATGCCCCGCCAAGCTCCCCTTCTACATTTCTTCGCCATCTCAATACGGCCCAACTCACTTCGGTGTCAATGCAAGATCGCACTGTTGAATTCCTTCCCGCCTCCCTGAAGAGTCTTTCACTCACTCGAACCCCATATATGCTTTCTCCGAACGCCCATCGGACACCGCAAACGCCATCTAGTCTGCTGGCCATGCTCAAGAAGGTCGATTTTCCCAGTCTTCTGAGTCTTAAAATCTGGTATGCCATCTTGTCGCCGGATGAACTCGCCCACGAGAAAGCCTTGCTGGAGTTCCTCCCGACAGCATTCCCCTTGCTGGAACAGCTTGAGCTCTGCAGACGATGGGATGCTATGGCAATTTCGCTTGAAGGGCGTTGGGACCCCGTCGTATGTTTGTTATGCGAGTTCAAGCTGATGTTTGACCTAGTTTTAGCCCATCGCAAAAAGACTGGTGTCGCAGTTCAAAAATCTGCGGCTGTTTAATTTCGACCCACATCCCCCCGAGCGCGTCGGATGGCCACCCGCGCTGCATCCGACGAGTGAGTTCCGCGAGTTTGTAGGCCGTTTACATGCGATGGCAGAGGAGATTGTGAATGCGGCGCCGTGGATCTGGGAAATTGGCATATTTCGCGAATATGGCTTGGACCCGGAGTTGTACTGGGAGTGGTGGAATGTTGTGCCTGGTCCGGACGGAAAGGTGGGGTTGGATCGTCCGCCGCCACCAATCAACGACTCGATATTTTATCCTTAGATGTGCCAATTCGTTCTCCATTTTGAACAAAATATATGTACGGCTTCACTCATCAACTTGGAATGTACTATCTGTCAATACTATTTTTCAGCCTCGAGCACGATGCTGGGCCGAGTTTGTTGACAAGGATTGTCACGCCGTGACAATCGGCGTGACAATCCTATTCCTCTCGACGACAACGAGCAAAAAATGGATCAACACTATGCCCACGCCCACACCAAATTGACACCAGCTGTCACCTATTGTTATTCGACATCAAGGAATGGCCCGCATTGTGCGCAAAGAGGTAGAGGAGTCTAGCACCCCGCTGGCTAGAAACTTGGTCGACCTCAACGACGATGTGCTTCTGATCATTTTCGAGTATCTGAATCATGAGGATAGACTGAAAGTCTCGACTCTGTGCCAGCGTCTCCGAGTAGCCCTTCTCCCCCGAATATTTCGCGCTGTGGGATGGGCATCTGTCGCTTCCGACTTCCCCCCGCGTGAACTTTGGTCATTCGTACAGTAAGTGGTGCATTCTTCTCTCAATCAATCCCGGTTGACACTTGTAGAATCTTCTCAGTTTCCGGCTACGAGATTCCTGAATTTACACCACCAATTCGCCAAGATATTGTGGCTCAAATTCGCGCAGCCTTTGCTGGAATGAAACGTCTAACGACAGTAATTATCGACGACATCAAAGGTGGTTTGTGGCCCGAGCTATTGGACGCGTTTTCGATGTTGCCCTCTGCATGCTATCTAGAACTGGGGTCTCACTGGGAGCCGAGGCAGGAAGACGAAGCATATACTGTGTTGAGACCAAGAAGAAGATCCATCCCTCTGGCCAGCTTCAGATTTCCGTTCCCATTTGTCTATGCCACTGTGCAAGATGCTGAACAGGCGGCTCGGCGACGACCTCCAGGTTTGGATCATGAAATACACAACATCCGTACCATACTCGCCACAGCCGCCGAAACACTATCTTTCGTCTACCTCCCAGGCGAAATTTTTCCCGCCATGCATGGCTCGACCTGGAGCGCTCTTACCGAGCTATTTCTCGAGGGCTTGTGGCCTGTTGAGAAGACATCGGGTCCGATAGTGAAAGCCCCAAGTATTCCTCCTCGAGAACCATTTTCTCAACCCAGGCCAAGGCAGCCAGCGGAGCCAGCTGATGAACATCCCTCCGTTCATGAGGACGAGTCGGAAGCAGCTGCTCTGGCCGAAATCACACTACCTGTGTCAACATTGGTTTCTCCAACAACCGTCGACGAAAATATTCCGAAGGTTGAGGCGTTTATTCTACCATCAAAGGGCAGCAAGACCACAGAAGGGGAGGTGGTTTCTGAATCATCGACGGCGGCATTACCAGACGATCTGATCCCCGTGTCTGGCGAAGGGAATGGGCTTTCTGTTACAACCGCATCTAAAACTACAATCAATGAAAGCCCTCCAAGTCCATCCTCCTCATCGCTTTCGACAACACCACGACCCGTGGAGTCACTCGGGGTCCACCCCGATTCCTCCGCCACATCGACTCTATCTTCTTCTGAACACTCGCCACTCTTGTCAATCTTTGAAGCGATGCCGCATCTCCGCATTGTAAAAATGCACCTGGTCCACCAAATGGAGGACCCTAAACCTATGGGCGGAGTAATATGTGCTTCAGATGTCTTGCCGAAGTCCCCGACCACTTTCCTTCGCCATCTCACGCAATTCCAAGTCACCTCACTGTCTCCAAACGACCGCACACTGGAATTTCTGCCAGCCTCATTGGATTTCCTCTCGTTTTCGCGCCATCCATACATGTTGCCTTGGGGAACATTCCGAGCCCAGACTCCTTCAAGTGTGTTGACGCTGCTCAAACGTGCAGCATTTCCGTGTCTGACGACTCTCAAGATATGGTATATGATCGACTCATTGAGTGATATCGAGGTAGAGAGGGACCTGGTGAACCTGGTTCCCGACGCATTTCCGATGTTGCAAACGCTGGAAGTTTGTCGCCAATGGCAAAAGTCTGGCCACTGAACTCAAAGGACGGTGGGACCCAGCTGTACGTTTTTTTTCTCGTCACTCGTCGCCTTGTTTTTCTCAGATTGTTGTCAGCCTGTCGCGAAAAGACTGGTTTCGCGTCTCAAGGACCTTCGAGCATTTTATTTCGACTCTTCCCCTCCGGAACGTCAGGGGAAAAGGCCATATACGTTCATCGACAAAGAAATCGGCGAATATCTGATCCGCCTGCAGGATATGGCAGAAGACATCGTCAGCTCGGCACCGTGGCTCCAACAAATTGCGATGAACACTGAGCGGGGCAGCAACCCGGAGTACTACTGGAGAATCTGGAATGTCGTCCGTGATGTTGACGGGAAAATCACGCTAGAAGATCCTCCCCCAGACATACTCTACAACTACTTTGACTGAATCATGGCCATTGTTTGATGCTGACACCTTTTATTAACCATTACTATGTACAGTACTGTCAGCCCACAAATTATATACGAGTATACGGAGGGAAGGGAATCTGGAACCATTTGTCAAGGACTAGGAGTCCGAAGTAAACGTTTGCACACTCGTGTGTCTGCTTGACAAGCACGGAATTCACGCTGGATAAGCCAAAGGCAGCTCGCACCAGCAAGCAAGATGCACCCCATCATGGCTCGTGCAGCTATGGCAAATGCCGCGGAGTGCGCTACGCGGACCACACCATTGGTAGCTTGGAGAAACGAGTACAGGAATGCTGCGGCTGCACATAGAGTACACCTGGGTAACGATTAGAATCGGTTGACGCATATAATTGATGCTTAAATTGCTTTACCAGAGCAGCGTCCAGAATGCAATCGAGAATAGTACCTCGTGAGAGGGGTAGAGTCTGGATTGGTTGCCGATCCTGCGCGTCTGGGACAGTCAAGCTTAGTAAGGCGATACTATGGGAAATTACCTTGATATGTAACGCATAATGGTAGGTCTTGCACTGATCATTGTTGAGCCAGCTGACAAGGAGCCGACTAACAGCGACACCAACGCCAACTGAGATCAGAGCGAGATATGCGACACAGTACGAGACGGAATCTGTATTGTCGGTGATTTGTATCGAGACATAGATAAACCTTGAAGAAGGTCAGTATGGACAACCCTTGGCAAACCCAGCTTACACAGCAAATGCCGCCTCAATGCCTGCATAGAGGTTCCATGTCGACACCTTGTCTTCCAGTAGGCTCTTCCACTCTTGTTGCAAGTCCTCGTATTCATGCGCAGACGCGGCATTGACTGCATAGCCGCACACATCCAACGCAAATCTGCCGGGCTTGATCACCATCCGTGGGTCCTCGAAGATCTCATCGATTTCTTGCGCGTAGAAAGAGGCATAGTCGATGGGGGAAAACAGGTGCTTCACAATAGATTTGAAGCCAGTTGCTGGAGCACTTGGTGTCGATTAACAAAGGTTTCAACGGAAAAAGAGTTTGGGGATACCTATCAGGAGCAGCGGCCTTGCTAGTCTTGGCGACGGGAATTACTGGTTGGACGGATTGGATGGCACGGGCAAAGTCAGGGAGATGTTGTCGATTGCTCAATCCAGCTTGGGATATCGATGCTTGCCGGGGCTGCACGCGGGTGTCGAGAGCGGTGGAGAGCGAAGTCATTCTCGTTTAGTACTCGCTGTTTCTCGCGAATCACGTCCTTAAGTAGGAGATGGCTCTTATTGTTGCGGCGAGACGGAACGATTCATGGGCATGGAAACTGCGGTATTGTTTTCGTGACAGGTAGAGCTTGAGGGACAACATACATAATAGTAGGACCAGTCATCGATCTGGTTGAACCCACAAGCCGTCGCCGCGGCGGTTAGAAACCAACTGGGCTGAACAATGGATCCCGAATTGAGAGGCGCGATCATGGAGTCGACTGACAGAAGATCGTTGGCAGGAAAGGCATGAGAGAAGTAAGTCTGACCAACCCTTGTGCTCAGAGTGGAGGAGGGAACAAGGAGCAGCTAAAATTAACGTCGCCGCCGAGAGCAGACCAGTGTGACAGCTAGGTGTGACTGTCACTCTCCTGTCACACTCTGCACTCTGCAATATCCGCACTCAAGTTCTGGCCCAATTCTCAAGTGTTTGTTCTTTGCTCAAGCCGCGCTGGCGGTGTACGATGTGACGTCTACATCGTATGCCTATATCTTCCGAATCCCGCTCTCGAAAGTCTGCCTCTGAGTCTGTTTGCACCGCCAGCCTGAGTGACCAGCCCGAATGAGGACAAGACTTCGGGCCTTCCTATTATTGACGCACGGCGTATGAACATGATCAAGATATGGGTGCATGGTCGCTGTCTGTCAGCGGCGTCTACTTGTGCTCTCTGGCGGCGTCAGGCTCGAATCGCCGTGCAACGGGTGCCACGCCTAGTCAATCCCTTGTTCTTGCGGCTATATGTGGCGGTCTTTGTTAGTTCATTTACCTCTGAACAAGGAACACCGTTACATCCTTCTTTTTGCTGGAAATACCTGCTTGCGGCGAACAACTGCACAATGAGATGTGTAAGTGTGTTGTTGCTATGCGTTCTTGAGCAGCCATTGCCAAAAGATGTTGCTTGTTCCCTCTCTTGACAGAGGTTCATATAAATACCGCTACTTTGAACTCTGAACCGCACTTGACTTTCACTGCATGATGATGCCTTCCTCCACCACTGCACTCAACACCAACAACTTGGACGGCTCAGCTTCGGACTCGAAGCTTTGCTTCATCCGCCTGACGCCATTCCTCTGGGATGCAAATATGCGCCATGAGGAGCGCGTAAGTTGTTTCTTTCGCCTTTTCACCCTTCCTTAATGAACGAGTAGGTCAAAATTGATGTCGAGTGACGTGGGGTTATTTGCCCTGATTCGGGAAACGGCGATGGATGGGGAATTTTCTATAGCCCACAGCTTAGACGTGGAGCATTCACCCCCCCGAAGCCACTCAAACGGCTTCATGAAAACCCGTCTGCCGAAGCAAAGTTTTTCAATCGGAACGGTAAAACCACACAGGAGGGCCATACACGAACACCACATTCACGATTCCAGCCTTATGCCGGTGCACGACGACAAATTACTCGGAGATCATGCATCGATCCTGCGGTCACTCAAACGTTGACGGAACTACCAAGAGTCGCCTTAGTCGGATTTTCCCGTGCAGGAGCAGAAGTCAACACGCAGGCTCACTCGGATATAGACACTGACCTGGCGGCTCTTTCGAAGCGCAGTGATGATGGTGTGTAACTTGACTGATGATTTGAACATATTTCAGACTTCTTATTACTTTGAATTTAGTTCAAGGCCTCCATTATGTTCTTATGGTTCATATATCCAATTTCACTGTTTAATCTGATATCTTACTCTTGTTAGGACCTTTCAACGGATGAAAAATCACCGGTCATTAAACAGAACTGCTTCAAATTGCTGCTAGACACAGGTCATTGAATGTGTTGATTTTCTTTCAGTACCACTGTTAACATGCTTGTTTTAGGATGCCCAGTAACGTATGTTCATTGTGATTTGTTCTATCTGTATTCCCTGGACTAACTTACCTCTCAAGATGGCTTTATTCATCTGAGACAAGAATCATAGAAACCAAGCACAATGATTTTGAGTCCACAGAAACTCTTACAAATGCTATGCTTGTTCGTGGAAAAAAGGCACAATACTATAGGGGTGGGGCCCGACTACTGTCACTGAATTCACAGAGAATAGGATTTGCTGATGGGTTTATTACATGTGCATGTCAATTTAACCAAAAACATGCTTGTCTAATACTTGATAGGGCTCCAACTTCATCAGGGTCCAGCACGTCTTGTCAAGAATCAGTATAACAACACATTTTCAACTAGTGACTTCAAATTTGCAGTTTGTACTGCAGCAACAGAGGAAAGAACACCTGTTCAAATGGATGGTATTTTAGGAATGGCACAAAAGTAATGCAAATTCCAACAGTTCAATATTTCAAATCTGATTTCAAATCTTCCTCCAGAGCTATTTCCTTTGGTGTTGCACAGAATAGTGATGTAGGACTTTCTACTGCATTTATTTATGATCAGCTAATTATTATATAGCTATTGGCATACAAGCTTTGTCAAGATGCACAATCAGATATGGTATGTTTATTTTATTTTATTTTATTTTATTTAAGAGTTTTATACTAATTGTTAATAAATTAGCCACCCAGCTTCATAATTGCTCTTGGGGCTAGTGAATTGTATGTCACTATTTTTTTTTTTCTTTTCAAATTTATAACAAGTTGTTAGGGATAGTTGGCTCATCATCAATCCATTAGCAAGTGATGAATCAGTCACATCAATTATACCACATTCAAGATGGTCTGACTGGGTTGATACCAGTCCAACCTTCTTTTTCCATTGGACTTTCAACATTTCAAGTATTATGACTGAAACAAAGACTTTGAGGAGGAGGAGAGCAGCAACCCAACTCCTTTTATCATTGATACAGGTTGAGTGCTATACCTTACAACTATCTCATCTTGAATGACTTAACTTTTGTGCCAGGAACCATATATAGTTATTTTCCAAATAACCTCTATGATGGACTTCTCCAGCTTATGGGTGCTGTCCGGAGCAGTAGTGGGCAAGCATACTGCTCTGTGAGTGAGACACATCTTCAACGTCTGAAGAGCACTCCTGTTTGGATGAAAATTGATAATCAGAACATCCACCTTGGAGGACTTGATGTTTTCTTAACAAAAGAGGCAGGGCCATATCCTTCAACTGTGTACTGCTCCTTCAAGCGTGGAGTGGTTCCTACCCGTGTCAGTACCACAGGTGGTCCAGAATCCCAATCAGCACCATCACATGTATGCATTCTGGGAAATGTGAGTAAATACACTTAATGTCAAAGATGTATAACTGATATTTATTGACAGTCCTTTTTGAGACACCTAGTTGTAGAGCTGCAATATCTTCGCAACATTGAAAACACAGGTCGCATGCGAATTGCATCCCGAACTTCCAACTAGATCATGCACAGACTGATAATTGGACAATAAATAGACACTAGGCCAGATATTGATATTTGTCTCTAATCCTTTCAATATAATAATTGTACATGTGCTTGGAAAAATTGATACCACCTTACAATGCCTTGGTTTTTCAAATAACATACATCATTTTAAAAAACATCAGATTCCAACTCAAGTTCATGATTATATCCTGAGTGTGCTTTATCGAGGCCTTATCCCCTCTCATTCTACCTGAGTATGCATACTTACGCAACAAGTAGCAACAAGTGGCCATGACCCAATGCTCAAGGCGCACGTCTGCGCACGTGTTCACAGGTATGCGTTGTGCTGTCTCTCTGGGACTTCCCCCCTTCGCTGTGAGCTTATGAGCTCAGCGCTAATGTGATCTCGAAATTCGGAAACTGAAAGCGATGAACCCATTGACATGCGTGACCGTGCGAGTCAAAGGACGTCATTATCAACTACATTCGCTGCGCCTCCATTGTGAGTTTCGCCCTCCGCGAGCGTTTCGCCAATCATCAACCGCATGACCCGAGCAGTACTGAGAGAACGGATGCCAATAGAGGATCATGTCAGCCCCGAAATCCGGAGTTTTGTGGACCTCAACGATGATGTTCTATCGCTTATATTCGAGCTTTTGAACCATAAGGAGCGGTTAAAAGTTGCAGGACTGTCTCGACGTCTACGGGATGTACTACTCCCTCGTATCTTTCGGGGAATCCAGTGGGCCTCGGGTATCCAGGACTTTCCTCCCAGAAAGTTATGGCCGATCGTTCAGTGCGTTCTATCCCACACTCCACTCGCACAACTTACCATGAAGCTATGCCAGGGTCTTCACCCTCTCTGGGGCTGGTATGGAAGAATATACGCCCGAAATACGGCAAGACATTGCTGATCGGCTTCTCAACGCCTTTCCATCCATGAAGCTTCTTCATACATTCATATTCACGCACCATATGACGGGGGGGATGTGGCCGGAATTAGTAGCGTCGTTTTCGACTCTGTCTAAACCATGCGACCTGATGATTGACTCAAGCTGGGCTCCAGGCACTCAAGAAGACCCCATTGCACTGGAGCCAACAACGCCACCGTTGCGTTTGTCCGGAATTTCTTATCCCTTTCCACTCCTTCCCGACGATGACGGCTTGATTATGCTTCGCCGCACACCACGCCTATTCGACTACGAGTTGGCCAATTTGCGCGCTGTCTTGACGGCTGGCTCCGAAACTTTGTTGGCAGTCGACATACCGGGTGAATTCATTTCGGCCCTCCTCGGAACACGATGGGATTCATTAACCTACCTGCATCTGTATGGATTCTGGCCACTATTCCAAGATTTCACTCTGCTATCAGTTGAGACAGAATTATCGAGCATGCCTGTCCCGTCTACGCCTTTACCAGCGGCCGTTCCCATCCTAGAACCGACAATATCGAGCTCTGATGATAATGCGAAAGCCCAAGAGCACTCGACACCAACCCGACCTCCAGAAGCACCGGTCACTACATTCTCCGACTCTGATGTGGGACTTTCCGCTCCATTGAAGAGTGTTACTGAAACAGCGAGCCCCAGCGACGCAGGTACTTCATCACCAACACCGGGTGCGAAGTCCCTCCCCCAAGAAATATCGCTAGATACTTCAACGACTCCGACTCGACAACGTCTTCCCATCTTGTCTGTGTTGAGGAGTATACCTAACTTACGCGTCCTTATTATGAAGCTCCTGCATCATACTAACGACGAGCGGCCTGTTGGAGCAATAATCTGTGACCAAGAAGCCTCTTCCTCATCCGACCCATTACTTCCCCATCTCCTCGAGTTCACCGCAACTTCCCTTTCTAATGATGATCGAACGGTTGCCCTCCTTCCAAGCACTTTGGAAGTCTTATCCTTGCAAAAATATCCAAGAACTATGGAGCGCGGCACCCTCCGAGCAATGCCTACTCCCTCAGGTATTCTTGCAATGCTACAGTCCGCTTCATTCCCCGGGCTTGACACACTCCACTTGTGGTATTTCGTACAATCGCCGGAGGAACTGGATTCAGAAAAGACGTTGTTAGATTCTATTCCCACAATGTTCCCGCTTCTGCGAGATTTGGAACTCTGTAGACGGTGGGATCACGACGCTGACTCGCTCAAAGGGCTTTGGGATCCGTCGGTAAGCCATTGTTCAGTTCAAACAACCTTCATTCACACATCATTCGACAGCCTCGTTTTCAAAAACTCGCATCAGAGCTCAAGCATCTTAAATTTGTCATGCTGGATGCTGCTCCCCCGGAGCAACATAACAAGCCGCCTGTGCAGCGGTCGACGCGAGAGTTTCGCGAAGCGATGGTCAGCCTCTATGGGATTGCGCTGGCCGTCGTACGGGAGGCCCCTTGGATTCAGAATATTGGCATGTACCGCGCCTACGGTGTGGACCCTGATATGTTCTGGGAGTATTGGGATGTCGTTGTTTCAGAGGGCACGGCTGGGCTTGATCGTCCTCCGCCACTAATAACTGATTCTCCACATTACCCTGATCCCATATAACTAACTACGGAAGCATAGGTGTAGAGTATCTGCGGATAATGTAAACCAGTATGAAAGCAGTTCGTTCTCCATTTAAATCCCAAGAAGTTTTTACTGTAGCGATCGAGCACCCGACTCGTTATTGTGAACATCCCACAAAGACTTTCTTTGGCTAGAGAATAATGCGTTGTCGACAGTGACTTCGGCGACGTCCACAGTTATGAGCGAAGGTGAGGAGCACGTGACACCCCGTGGGCCTACTCTTCCCAGTGAATGGCGCTCCGCAAACCACCACCTCTATCAGCCGTCTTCTCCGCACAGTCTGCCTGTGGGAGACAAATTTCCCCCCACAGAGGCAACCAATGGGCAACACCCACAACAACTTGACACCAGCTGTCATCTATTGTTGTTCGACATCAACGAATGGCCCGCATTGTGCGCATCGAGGTGGAGGAGCCATTCACTCCTCGAAACCTGGTGGACCTCAACGACGATGTGCTTCTGATGATTTTAGAGTTCCTTGATTATGACGATAGATTAATAGTTTCAGCTTTATGCCAACGCCTTCGAGCAGTTCTTCTCCCCCAATATTTCACGCTGTGGAATGGCCAGTTGCTATCCTTGAATTCCCCCCACAAAAGCTTTGGCCATTCGTACGGTGAGTGATGTGGTCTCCTCTTTGTCAATCTCATTTGACGCTCGTAGAACCTTCACAATTTTAGGCTACAGTGTCCCTCGATTTACACCGACATTGCACAAAGACATTGCGGCACAAATACGCGAGGCTTTTGCTGGAATGAAACGTCTAACTACCGTTATTATCGACGACGTGATAGGTGGCTTATGGCCGGAGCTATTGGACGCGTTTTCGGTTTTGTCGACTCCTTGCGATCTAGAGCTTGGGTCTCATTGGGACCCAGCCCGAGAAGACGAAGAGTATCTCGTGTTGCAACCAAGAAGAACATCCCTTCCTCTCGCCAGCTTCCGCTTCATCTTCCCCCTTGTCTATGCCAGTGCGCACGCGGGTGGAGGGGTGGGTAGGCGACTATCTTTGGGTCTAAAGCATGAAATGTACAACATCCGCACCATACTCGCTGCAGCTGCTGAAACACTATCTTACGTCTACCTCCCCGGCGAAATCTTTCCCACAATGTACGGCTTCACCTGGAGCGCTCTTACTGAGCTGTATCTCGATGGCTTGTGGCCTGTCGAGAGGATCGCGGACCGAGTAGTTGAAGCCTCGAGTACTCCTCCTCGACAATCATCCCCTCAACTCATGCTAGGGCAGTCACCGGAGCCAGTCGAGACACATACCTCTAAGGACGGGTCAGAATCAGCTACGCTGGCCGAAGTTGCACCACCTGTGTCAACATTGGTATCCCCCACAATTGTCGATGAAATTATTCCGAAGGACGAAGCGTCCGTTCTAGCATCGAGGGACAATAACGTCGCAGAGACGGAGGTGTTTTCTGAGTCATTGCCAGATGATTTGACCTCCGCGTCTGATAAAGGGAACGAGCTGTCCGTTGCAACAGCATCTAACCCCACAGTCGATGAAGATATTCCAACCCCACTACTTCCGACAACACCACAACCTCTGGAATCATCTCTCGTCCGCGATGACTCCTTCACCTTATCGCCTCTATCTTCCTCCGATCTCTTGTCGATTTTAGAAGCGATGCCAAATCTTCGTTTGCTGAAAATGCGCTTATTCCATCAGAAAATGGACCCTCAACCTGTGGGTGGGGTCATCTGCGCGTCAGATATCGCACCGAAGTCTCCAGCCACTTTTCTTCGACATCTCACTCAATTCGATGTCACTTCACTGTCCCAGAATGACCGCACATTCGAATTTCTTCCAGCGTCATTAGAGCTTCTCTCGCTTCCACGGTATCCTTATACCTTGTCTCTGGGAACGTCTCGAGCCATACACACTCCTGCGACTGTCTTATCACTGCTTAAACGTGCAGTATTTCCCTGTCTCACGACTCTCAAGATATGGTACCACATTGAGTCATTAAGCCACATCGAGGACGAGAAAGGCTTGTTAGACTTGCTTCCTGATGCATTTCCGATGTTGCAGACGCTCGAAGTCTGTCGACGATGGCAAAGCAGGGTTACTGAGCTCCAAGGACGATGGGATCCAGCTGTATGTTTTTTATATCACTGATTGCTTTTTCTTCCTCAAGTTGTTGTCAGCCTGTGGCGAAAAGACTGATTTCGCGTCTCAAGGACCTTCAAATATTTTATTTCGACTCTACACCCCCAGAGCGTCATGGTGAAGGACCATACACATTCATCGACGAAGAGATTCGGGGGTATTTGGGCCGTCTGCGTGATATGGCAGAAGATATTGCCAGCGCGGCGCCGTGGCTCCGGCAAATTGCGATGTACACTGAGCGGGGCACCAATCCGGACTTGTACTGGAAATTCTGGAATGTCTTGCGTGGTGTCGACGGGAGAGTGAAGCTAGAAGAGCCTCCCCTCGAGATACTATACAATTATTTTGACTGAACAACCTGGACTTTTTTCTCCTTACACATACTATTTGTTGCTTGTAGCCAACTAACTCTGACTAATCGCTATTCGCACCCTTTGCAGCGATGTCACGACGTGACACTGCAACATCTCCTCGACACCGGCTTGAATGTGTACTTCCATGATTCTAACACTGTGGTCCGATGCAAAAGCATTGGACATCCAACTTGCCCATCACGATACGGACTCTTGTTGGATCCAGAACAATAAGTAACAAGGACAAGATCAATACCGCACCCACACCAACTTGGAGAGTACTGTCAGCGTGAGTTACTTCGAAAACATGAAGAGGTTGTCCACTCAGTGTAGTGTTTTTTTAGATGCGTGCCGTTGTCCGAGAGACTGAGCAGGATCCCATCTCCCAAATTGGCTTCGATAAACTCAACCACGATGTTCTGCTCATGATATTTGAGCAGATGTCTTACGACGAATGCCTGCAACTTGCTACATTATCTCGACGCCTTCGCGCCGTTCTCCTTCCAGTTATATATCGGAGGCTGCGATGGGCTCCAGGTATCGTTGGCTTTCCACCGCAAAGAATTTTGCCATTTACCCAGTAAGTGGCATTCGTCGTTCTTGATGCTTGCTAATGGTCAATGCTTAGAGTGTTCACACTCACTGGACACAACGTTCGTCGTTTCACACCCACACAGCATGCGACCATCGCATCTCAATTCAGAGAGGCATTCGTCACTATGAAAGCTCTCCGTACCTTCATTCTAGCTGGGAATGTCCCGGATGGCTTGTGGTCAGAGTTGCTCGATGCGTTTGCTGTGTTGTCCAACCCAATCGACCTTGTAGTCCACGCTCACTGGCAGCCGGACGACGAGGAGGAGGAACCAATAAAATTGGAACCCAGAACAACAACACTGCCTCTACGCCGCTTCTCCTTCACTGTCCCCTTCATGTATGACGTGTCGGACCGCGAAATAGGTCGTAGGCTGTCTGATACCATCGAATTCGAAACAGAGAACATTCGCGTGATTTTGGCGGCCTCGGTACCAACCATGGCCCTGGTAGAGATTCCCGGAGAGCTTATATCGGCTTTGGATGGCCCAATCTGGACATCATTGACAGAATTATATCTCACTGGTCTTTGGCCGACCTTCGATGCTGTTGGAGGAAATTCCCCGGATGTCGGACCCGTTGATGCATCTCTCGAACACACTTTGTCAACACCTTCGGACGTTGTAGCTTTAATCAGCCCCGTCAAGCCCTCTGACACAGCCCAGGATCCTCTAGACTTGAAGGAGGGTTCGCTGCCTCCACTTGTGAAATCAAAGGCAGAGAATGAACCAAATCCAGCTGAGGTAACCGAAGACACCACGAGCATATCTTCCGAAGCCCTCCCACCGTTAAAAATCGTGGAATCTTCCTCGACTCCATCACCTACAACAACAACAAACCCGCTTGAGAACGCTTCCAACCAACAGCCTTTCCCCTCATCGACCAAAGCCTCTCCGATTCTGTCAATGCTGGAGAGAATGCCCAACCTCCGCCTTTTGAATATGATGCTTGTATTTCAGAAAGCCGATGGCCCAGAATCTGAGTCACCAATCTGCAAACCTGAAAGGTCGCCCTCACATCCATTTCTTCAACGTCTTACCCAATTTCAAGCGACCTGCCTCCCGAATGATGACCGGATCATTGATTTTCTACCATCGACCCTCGAAGTACTTTCGTTGCGGAGATACCCGTTCTGGCTGGAGGACGGGATGCGCCGGGTCCTGCCCACACCGCTGACGATTCACAGTCTACTGAAACGGGCTGAATTTTCCGCCCTAACTACACTACGATTCTGGTACCTGATTAGAACGAAAGAGGAGCTGGAATATGAGAAAACACTGTTGGACCTTCTCCCACAACTATTTCCCCTCGTCCAAGACCTAGAGTTTTGCCGGAGGTGGAACCACCGTGCGGCTCTGCTGGAAGGGTGTCAATGGGACCCAATGGTATGCAATGCGGATGCGTTTTCGTTTCCCAGTCGTTTTGACTAGTTTTCAGCCCATTGTCTGCGACTTCTTCCCTCGCTTCAAACATCTCCAGTCGATTCTATTTGATCCTGATCTGCCAGAACGCGATGGCTGGCCGCCACAGTCATATCCGTCAAGTGAGTTTCGTGAAATGGTGGGCCGACTCCATGGCATGGCGGGCGAGATCGTCAATGCTGCGCCATGGGTCAAGAGAATTGGGATGTATCGGGCATATGGCAACGACGAGAGGCTGTATTGGGAAATATGGGGTGTTGTTCCCGCTCCAGAGGGCAAAGTCGCCTTGGATCGGCCACCACCACCAATCATTAATTCGATATTTTACCCGTAGTATATCTATCGTTTCTTACCATCACAACCGTGCTCTGACTTTCAGGGACATTATTTGAACTTGGGGCCGTGAGTGAGAGCTATTGGAGATGCAACGTTTTGTCTATTTACGGTGTGGAGTCACAGTGTGACAACATCATAATCCGAGCGCTCATGGTCTCCTATGGTCTCCAAGTTGTTCATGGGTCAGCAATGGCCTTCGACATACGATTGTCTCTATCATAAAAGCAAAACAATTGGATCAAAACCACGCCCACACCAACTTGACACCAGCCGTCAACCACTGTTATTGTATTCGACATCAGCCTTGAATGGCCCGTATCGTGTGCAGAGAAGTGGAAGAGCCTCACGCTCTTCAAGCCAGAAACCTGGTGGATCTCAACGACGACATATTTCTCTCGATTTCCGAGCTTCTCCATCATAAGGATAGCCTGCTGGTCTCAGCTCTCTGTCGACGCCTTCGGACAGCTCTTCTCCCCCGAATATTTCGTGCCGTGCGATGGGCACCGGCCGTCCGTGAATTCCCCCCGAAAAAACTTTGGCCCTTTGTACGGTACGTGTTGCGTCTTGCTAGTAGCGACGCTCAATTACGGTTTCTAGGATATTCACCTTTTCAGGCTACAGCATCCGTCAATTCACGCCCGCAATGCACCAAGATTTCGCAGCGCAAATTCGGACAGGCTTCGTCGACATGAAGCTCCTCAACACAGTGATTTTAGAGAGCAACGTCAGAGGTGGCCTTTGGCCTGAGCTACTGGACGCATTCTCGGTTTTGTCTAGTCCATGTCATTTGGCGCTTCGGTCTCATTGGAACACAACGTTGTCGGATGAAGAGTATCTTTTGTTGGAACCACGAAGAACGCCGATACCTCTAGGGATCTTTACCTTCGCTTTCCCATTTGTCTACGAGCCAGATGGTCAACAGGTCGCTCGGCGGCCAGCTTGGAGTTTGGCGCTTGAACTGTACAACGTCCACACAATACTCGCTGCGGCTGCCAACACTCTGTCCTTCATAAACCTTCCAGGCGAACTTTTACCCGCAATGCATGGCGCGACTTACAGCGCTCTGACTGAGCTCGTTCTTCATGGTCTCTGGCCTGTCTTCCTCCCTTCGACTGCCATTCCGGCAGCTGAAGACGGATATCTTCAAATCACGTCCACGCGGTTAGCGGAGCCTGTCGAGGAAGATGCCCTTGTTTCTGAGGCCAAATCAGAAGCAGCTGTTTTGGCTGAACCATCTTCGGGTTCATCTGGCGAAGTTGCGCCTCCAGTATCGCCATTGCTTCCTCCAACTACCGTCGATGAGTCTACTATCACCAGCGAGGTCGGAGCGTCTATTCCAACATCGAAGGAGATGAGCTTTACGGAGGTGCATGATTCTTCGGTCGCGACAGCAGTGGACACCGTCGCTTCCACATCCAGAAAAGATAGCCTTATTCCTCTGGATACGGCCCCGGAATCTACAGTTAATACAAGTTCCCCGACGTCTTTGTCTCGACCACAACCGTCTATAGCACTCCTAGCCTTGGGATCTCCTCCATCACCGAGCGAGAGCGACTCCTTTACAAGACCGACCCCATATTCGTCTGCGAACTCGTCATCAGTCATGTCAATTTTGGAAGCGATGCCCAATCTGCGCATCCTCGACATGTGCCTACTCCATCAAAAAGACGACCCTAAACCTATCGGCGGGGTCATATGTGCGCCAGATGCCCCACCGAGGGCTCCGGCCACCTTTCTCCGCCATCTCACTCGATTTGATGTCGCCTCGTTATCTCAGGAGGATCGTGTATTGGAATTCCTTCCATCATTAGAGTATCTTTCACTCACCCGGTATCCGTCTGAGTTGCCTCGGAGAACAGTTCGAAGCAGACAAACTCCGTCAACTTTGTCAGCAATGCTCGGGCAGGCGGCGTTTCCGCACCTTACCACTCTTAAAATATGGTATGCCATCGTCTCGTTTAACGACCTCCGGGACGAGGAAGCGTTGCTGGACCTGCTGCCCAAAAAAAATCCGTCCTTGCAGAATCTCGAAGTCTGTCGGCGATGGAAAAACCTGGTGCCGGAGCTCGAAGGACGATGGGACCCCGTCGTGTGTATTTCTACTCTTGTTTTCCGCATCACTGAACATATCGTCAGCCTGTCGCAAAAGGCCTGATCTCGCATTTGCACGACCTGCAAGTGTTTTCGTTTGATCCCGATCCTCCAGAGCGATTTGGAAAGCGGCCGTTCACCCACGCCACCCCAGAATACCGCCAGTACTTAGGCCGCCTGCGTGATATGGCCGAAGAGATCGTCGGCGCTGCGCTGTGGCTTCAAGAAATCGCACTTCATTGTGAATACGGTATCAACCTGGACTTGTATTGGCAGGTCTGGAAGGTTGTCCCCGGTGTCGACGGAAACATCAAGCTTGAAGATCTTCCAGAGCAGATATACAAATATTACGACTAAGTGGTTGCAGACTGGTGCTTTGTTTCTTGTTCAACCGTTTTTGTAATGTCGTAGCTACTACGTATACAGACCACTGAGACCACACGCAAAACCAACATCTGAGCAAACTTGAATGTGGCGACAGGTGGGAGGAAACCCTCCCAGGTCACAGGTGTGGTGTCTGATCTGGGAGAACCAATTTTGTTGGCGCCGTGTTCAACCATGCTCGAGTTGTGTACTGCAGTTATGATTGGTGACATTCGACCAAGTAGAGGCTGTTGAAACCGTTTGATCAACAGGTCCGTGCTGCATAGTTGAAGCAACGAACCTATTGCTGAGAATGGAGGGACAATTCGGAAAGAAGAGACTCAGAGGAACGGCTATGCCATGGAAGGTGACCGATAACTGAAAGGAAGACATGCTTGGTTCGACATTTGTGCATCGGAATGCGCGCTTTCGGAGAGCTCCAAAGATGACAGCTCCCAGAGACCGCCTCTACAGAGAACCGAGTGGGAGAGAGTCGTCGAAAATACCGCTCGCAATAGCTTGGCAACCGGCGGTAAGAACACCAGCCGTTTGCTTGACTATCTTGATTTTCGCGTCTGCCCTCGAGACAAGCATCCGGTCCAACAACATTGCCGCTATATGCGGCGTTGGTGGGCAAATTTTGTAGAGTGAACGGTTCTGATCCGAAGTAGGGAACGCAGAAAGCGAGATCCCGGAGTAGCCGGTTGCGATGTTGAACCCATATACGTTCCAATGTAACGTGTCATAAATGCGAGATTCGTCAAGGGCGTTAGCGGCCCTTAAAACTTCAGACGCGAATCTGTCGGGGGCGGCAGCCTCAGCATAAGCATGGCGTGCGGATCCTCCGTATTTTTCGAAGAATTCAACGAGCGCGGCTTCCGTCGCATGGCAGTCACGGTTCAGAGAGCGGCTGTGATATATGAGTGTGATATTTTTCAAGTTAGATGCTGGCAGCTTACGCGGCCAAGATGTCTTGAATGGTAAAGGGCTTGAGCACGCACTGAATTAGACAACCAGCCCCTGTTGTGCGTGTGTACTTGAAGCGCTCATCGCATAGAGAAGCAGCTTGCACGATGAAATGCTTGCTGATTTTGAGAACCGGAGGCAGATTGGGAAGTTCGTCCGAAGTATCGACCAATATCCATGCGTTTTCGGGCAGATTTAGGGACAGATGATTATCTAAGGGGTAATCGACGGGCTTCATCTCGCCCAGATGGCCGTCCCGAAAAATGAGCAAGTGTGTGTGTGAGCGGACAAAAACAGTGGGAAGCCCTGCCGCTATCCTCAGGAGGAAGATTGCGGCAAGAAAGAACGATTTCCCTGATGGTTTCAGTTAGTAGTTATGTTCAAGACCTGAGAGTATTACCGTTCCCAGGGCATCCCGTGAGTACCAGGATTGACGAGCGCAGGGCAAGATTATGTGTGCTGGGGTCGTCAAAGTAGTTCTGAAATGTGTCGGGTTCATTCGTCGGCGTCGGCTGGACATTGACTTCGAGATAGTCTGCCTCCGGAAAAAGGTAATCTTCCTCACTGGAACAGCCCTCAGCGAGAATATTACACGGCAGAATGAAAAGCGTACGCTTCTAGACGCTTTAGGTGAGCTAATCTTCGTTCTATGCAGATTAAGATTCCACGCAGCACATCGCGATATTCGTCTCGCCAAAGGATGTCCGCGGCCGCTTCATTCGGGTGAAGCCATGCACCTGGGAGGGTCCAAACATGGGACGGAACGTTCGGAATGTCAGCAAAGGGTGGCAGTCGGCGGACAGCTCTGCGAGTAGGACTCGTTACTGTCCATGGCGTGTCTAACTCTTGAACATCCTTATCGAAAGGCCATCCTGGAAGGGATGACATGGAAGATTGGCTGAACACTTGGAGTTAGGAGTTGATGATTCATTGCATTAGGTAATCACCCACGACTTTGCTTTGCAATTTCTCCAAGATGATCGTGGTCGAGCCTGACCCCAAGGCCGCGGCTACGACAGTAGATACACCTACTCGGAATCCCTCACCACCACCACCATATGTTGGCAGGTCGACAGTTCCTTCCGAAGGAGAACTTCCCAGCGCTTTTCGACCACCCTCACCATCCTCGTTCCCCCATGCCCATCCCCACACCAACACCGCGTCTTCTGGTCCAACACCACTTATTGGAGCAGGTCCTGATGGAAGCTACGCGTACTATGACCCACGGTCGGCCTACTCGCTTGCACAAGCCGACAGACGGGCTCAGGAGAGATTTTGGAGTGCTTTTGGATGCGCCATCGCAATCCTAATATTTCTTTGGACTATTGGGCTCCTTAGGTTTGGTAATTAAGGGTTTAGTATTGGATTTTATTCACTGGTATGTTGTCTGCTGCTCTGCTATTTTACCAGTTCATAATTTTCACAGGATCTTGTTTAACTTGTGTATTCTGCTATAAGACATACTCGTCTATTACGCTGCGTGGCTTCTGGAAAACGCCCAAAGGCTTGTAGTCGATGTCCAGCCCAAAGGCTTTGGGACCCCCGATCTCGATGCCTCTCTCAGTCGAGGTCCACCTTTCTGAGGCTTGAATTCCAACGACGGCAACCATCAACCCATATCGATATTCCGGAGTCCCAATCGCTTCGCCATTACCCGCGTCGCATACACAAATCAAGTCAGGCACACTCGCAGCGACCGTTTCAGATCCATCACCATCCACAGCGATAGCAGCGAGGTTCTCGTTTTTGAATGGGATTTTCAATGTGCCGCTGAACTGCGCTCCCTCGCCAGACCCGCTTACGTCTGCTGCGCTGATAATCACTTCCCCATAGACGTGTCCCTTGATGGTCTTGCGTTCCACCGACACAATCTTGCCTTTGAAAAGCACTTTCGCGGAGTTTTTCCCGCCCACTTCTTCCACGATGACCTCTGCAACTGCGTCAATCTGGTTCTTTGCCCGACACAACGCAACGGCGCGTCCGATTCGCCACGCAAGCGAAATCGCGTTCTCGATCACCCATTCCTTGATGTCCTTCCCCGAGCACGGGCCCTCTGCAAATCCTACATGGCTGCCCATCTCGGACAGTGCAGCGCGAAAGAAGCGTTCGACGTGTTTCTCGCTGTTGGCCGAGAGAATCATCTACCAAAAAATGAGTTTGGAGTCATCTCAAGCAGAAAGCAACATAAACCAACCATTCTGTTACCGTTGCCATCTGAGATCGCAGTCGGCATGAAATGCGCCCTGTCGCCAGCCAAAACTACCGGCGTGATTTGCCATGAGGTTGGATATGCCCGGCCCATTAGGTCGCCGTCAATTGTTGGTATGTTCATGTTTGTCGAGGCCCCAAGTATCATTCCTAATATCCATATGAGACACAAAGCAGGCTAGCACATATGAATGAATACCTTGCAATCCATTCCCCCCACCGATTTCAAGGGCAACGACAGCTTCTGGCTCGTACCCGAGATGATCGTATACCAATCTCTGCGCCTCCATTTGCCTAAAAACAGTCAATGAAAACTCGCAAACGTGCCCATCACCCACTCATTCGCTGGCAACTTCTCGATGCTCACGGTTGGCGACCCCATTCCCCCACCTCCAGCAACCACCGCGGAGTCCCTCACGTCTTTTGGCGAAATAACCCGTACGACTGCCCCCTTGCGCATCATCTCCCGGAGTCGGATAAAGTGCGGGTACGGGGTCCCGCCGCCTCCCGTGCCAAGGATGTAGCAGCCAGTCGAAATCCATTCAAGGTCGATTTGGGACACAATCCATTCGCGCTGGCTGTTTATTTGAGGTCGATACGAAAGAATGTCGACTGGGGCAGGTGTTGAAACTGCGACCGACTCGGACCGGGAAAGTGGTGCCTTCTCTCTGACGTCGTCTTCGGGCTGAAAACTATCATTGCTGGCACTATCTCTGATAATTGGAGCCGAGAAATCGAAGTCCCCAATGACTTTGACGATAACCCGAGCTTTATTAGCGACATACTGCAGGAGAATCAGCAAAAGCCGCGACAGTTTCACAGCTACACACCTGCAGAGGAATCACCTCCATTTCTGCTATCGTTATGGAGTCCCGAATTGCGCCATTCTCGACGGCCTTATCAACAGCCTGTTTCGAAATCTCTTCTAACACCTCTTTGGTTGTCTTCTCTGTAGTACTGGCTACAGTGTCGATTGTCCCTGACACTCGTGCGATGGCTGCGCCGATGGCATTTGCCACACCGGAATACTCCGGCTTCACCACCCTGCTCGCGCCTTTCAGCGTGTTTGGCGCGATAATTGCTCCACCGCCAACGAGAAGAACTGGGATGTCCATGTCGGATGTTTTGCTGCTGTCGATAGCACGCTCAATCATCTGTTGGACCACGGATGCATAACCCGGAATATCGTCTCTGACCGCAAGGGGGATGTGTTCTGGGTTCCCTATATTGGACAACCCCTCTGCTAAAACTGCGTAGTCAGTCGCCGTGGGCACGTCTCCGCCAAAGACCAGCGCCCGAGTTTGGATGTGGTGGCCAACGGAGTCGGGACCAATCGTGAGGTTTCCTGTGACTGGTGATCTGCGCACGATAGAGCCTCCCCCAAGGCCAATGCTACATGATGTCAGCAAACGAGAAATTTGTCTCTTCGCGGAAGGTCACCTCTTCACATCTGGACACGAAAAGTTGAGTCGGATACCGGCAATTTCTGTGACGGCGGCTGCCTGGCGAGGGAGTCCATTCGCCAGAAGCATCCCAACGTCGGTCGTGGTTCCGCCTCGCAAAGATATCAGCCGAGCCTTCAGTACTAACCCACAACTCACCAATATCAACGACGAGCATGCTTTCCGAGTGGGTTTCGTTCTTGACCAAGAATGCTGCGCCACACATTGAATTAGTCGGACCACTGGAGAATGTGCGGATGGGCAAGCGTGCTGCAAGAGAGGCGGAAAGTACGGTTCCGTCATTCTGGGTTAGAAAGAGCGGGCAGTCGAGGCGTAGACGAATGATTGCGTGTTCGAACGAGCGGATTGTCGATCTGGCGAAGGGAAGAATGGAGGCGTTGAGTATTGCTGCATTTTCACGCTCGACAAACCCGAGATTCGCAACTGAAGTGATTACATAAGACAACTAAACCATCCAACCCAAGCATACCTTCTTTTGAAATGACTACATCGGCAAGAGGATAGTATTTGCGAACCCATTCAGCGACGCGTTCTTCTTGTTTTTCGACAACGTCAGATGGTGAAAATATCCCGTTGACGACAACCGACTTGATGCCTTTACTCTTGATGATCTCGCATTCGGCAGCAATTTGGGATTCGTCGATATCAGCAATGAGGTCGCCGTCAACCTCAAGACCGCCGCTGACATAGCTGCAGTGTTGGCAGATGATGTCGCGCAAGTCTTGAGGCCAGTCGATGCCCGGGTAAACGTCGCGGGAATACGGGCCGCAAAGGCGAATGACCGCTACCGGAGCTAGGCGGTTGCGGTCTTTTTCGACAACGGCGTTGGTGAAGCTTTCGATCTGTTCGTAGAGCGGACAAATGACGGCTAGATTACACACTGGGTGGTGCCAATCGTGACGCTGGCCACATTTTGCACGTCGATCTGTGCTGTCTCGAGTAAGGCTTTGATAACTTGCTCGATTCCGTGGCTGGGGTTGGAAGTTGTGGGGGACTTGCTCCATGCGAGAATGCCCCGGTTCAGATTTGAGGTTGCGAGTGGGTCGAGCAGGACACCGTCGGTATTAGTGCCTCCCACGTCGACGCCGATTCGAAGAAATGACATGGAGAAGTGATGGGATCATATGATCAGGGGATAAGCTTGAGGCCCTTCTCAGGCACTGGGATACTTAAGTACTTATCCAGAAGGCTACGTCTTCAAGACTAGACTAGCGTGAAAAGATTGTATTGCACATCGTGGTGGCGATGTGCTTCGGTTGGTCGAGAGTCACGTGATACTGTACTACCGCTCGCCTAATTTGGCAATTTTCACCTCAAAAAGGATGAGAACTATGATACGCATAAAATGAGTAGGTTACTTGCGAGTCGTACTACTTGTAAGTAGGTAGGTTTGGATCATCATAGATAGATAAGATAAAAAGACACAGAAAGGATGAGATGAGATTGTGCTTGGTATACGAGTTAATCATGATATAAAAACAGGGTTTGTATGGTAAAACAACACAGTGGAAGAGGGACCGAAAACAGAGAGGGGAAACAAACACACGTAATGAGGGTAGGTCCACAGCGAAACCAAGAAAATCATGGACGAAAAAATGGCAAGTCAGGTGATGGTACAGTTGTCAGTTGTGATGTTGTGGATTGGCTTGAGCGTGTTCGTATGCGAAGGAAGGTTGTTGTGTGAGCGTGCATGCGTATAGGAAGTGACCAAGGGAGCAGTGGAGAAAGCGAAGCGGGGCGGATGTCTATGATTTAGTGGAATAAGTTAAAGATGCGATGCAATCTCGTTCACTGATGTTCGCCTTGCCCTGGTGGCAATTCTGGAGGTGTAAATGGAGCAAAGGTCGCTGTCGGGGGTGGTGATACCAAGCCTGTTGCCGATACCCCTCCCGCCACAGATCTGGGAGTCTCCCACCTTCTCCCCCACGAACCAGCAACACCATTTTCAGGAGGTGCGAAGAAACGCGGACCAGCAATGAAGGAGGCGTGTGCTTGCGACAAGTGCTCGCCTTGAGGTGGAGGTTGCGGTTGTACTTGTTGGAGCGAAGGGATTGACACTGGTATAGGAGGAGGTGAGGTCAGACGAAGACCATTAGCATGGCCATGGAAAGCGGCTTCAGCTGCTGCCATACTATGTTGCTGGTGGTGGTGCGGTTGTTGTTGGACCATCCCTGCCTGTTGTTGTTGGACGGCAGCTACGCTCTGCTGGATTTGTAGTGTTGCCATACTGGTTGTCGCACTTGCACTCGTAGGTGTCCGCACTCCAAACGGATTCTTGCTATATGACAAGCGGATCCCGCCACCCTTGATCATCCCGTTGAGAGTATTCCCATAGAGCTCGTTCAGTGTTTTGGTCGCAAAACCAACGTCTTCGAACTAAGAGAAGGTCAGCAATGAATATGTAGATATATGTAAACAGACCTCAACAAAACACATTGGGCCATTGGCTTTGGGTCTGAAAGACATCTGGCGGAAGCCAGGGCAACTAGTGAATAGCTCACGAAGCGCAGCTTCGAGGTATTCAATGCCAGCGCCACCACTAGGAAGATTGCCGACATATAATGTGTTGATAGGAGGGTTCTGATCAACCGCTCGAGCAACATTAGTGGGACCATTGTTGAGAATCGAGGTTGATGTGTTGAGTTGGGTCAAACTCGCGATACTAGCGGCAGTCGGAATAGACGAAAGAGGGGCTGATGTCGGAGCTGGGGCTGTGAGACCGTTTGGACCTGTTCCGACACTCTCGCCCAGTTGAGGAGAACCTTTGCTGCTCCCACTCGCACTACCAGCAGAGCTCGTACCGTTGACGCGAGGTCCGATAGCTGTCACATGGTAGCCATTTATGCCGTTCCTTAGCGACATTCTCGCCAGACCTTCATCACTTCCACCGCTCCCCTCGCTTGCGCTGGAGTCAGAACGCTCTTGACGGTGAGCAAGGAATGGATGTTGAGGTTGGAAAGCGTCGTGATGCGGTAGGTAAGACGAATGGTGCCCATTGAGGATACCATTTGGAACGTATCTCCCCGGCACAAATTCTCCTGGAGGCTGTAGCATCGCAGTGGGCGGGGGAGACGAAAGGGCTCGAGGGGCTTCGTTGCCAAAGGCAGCAACAAAGTCATGCCCGGTTGCGGATTCTGGAGAAGAGGGCCTACGGCCAGGAATCCCCCAAGGACCTGCGACGGCTGCTTGTTGTTCGGCATGCTCCCTTTCCCGTTCGCGATTAGCCGCGAGTGATTCAAAAGCACCCGCACGACGATCTCTTTCCCGTCTTCTTAGGCGCTCTGCCTCGTCATCAGCGACACGTTCTCTTGCCCCTCGCATCATCATTGTAGGCATCATATTCCCATTCTCGTCGAGCTCATCTTCTGGTCGCCATTGAAGACGAACGCCGTTTGTATTGCCGTTTACATTGTTCGCGATGCCCATTGTCGCAAGTCCCACTGAGTCCCGCTCTCGAGGACTAAGGGGATCATACATCTCGGCTCCCATCATTGGCATTGTTGATGGTCCTACATTGTTCCCATTCAAGGGAGGCAGGCCAGGTGCGGCAACTGGGCCAACTCCACGTTTGGTATGGAGATTCTTCTTGGCCATCTCAGCTTTGAGAACGGCTCCCTTCTCGATGTCGATGCGCCGTCCTTGTAGGACATCACGAGCTCCGAGTGCTTCTTCTCGAGTGCGAAACTTGGCGAAACCGATGATCTGCTTTCGAGGAGGGTACGGTCCTGACGGTGCTATGTTATGGTTGCCTGTTGGATCGTCTGGCGGTGCTGGCCAGGAAGTGATGCCGTCACGACCAGCGTCAACAACAACACCACCTTGGTTGACGGTGACAAGGTTGTATGGGTCATTAGAGCCTGTGTAGCCGTTGTATTGACCTCCTGCTCCCAAAGCTCGTTGTTGGGGAAGTGGTTGGGGTGGACCCATAGGTGGCAGTCCATACGCAGTGTACTCCTTGTTGGGGATCTTGAGAGTGGCAGCCTCGAAGCCAGGAGAGAATGTAAACATGTTTTGGAACTCTCGTTCCTAGAAAAAGAGAGTCGTTAGCAAGGTTCAAGATAGAAAGAGTTGACAACATACCTGCATATCTTCTGGGAAGCCAACAACGAATATCGTAGAGATATCTTCTTGAGCGGGTGGAATCATGGGCGGAGCAGAAGCTATAGGGATGGAGGAAGGGACATGAGGTCCATACGGCGTCTGAGAGTGCATGACGGGTTGTGTTGGCGCCGATGTTGGTGGTGGAGCGTAGGGATAGTGTTGGAGACCAAACGAGTCTGGGGGGAAGAAGTTGCGTGTTGGTGCTCGGTTGGTGTTGGGGAAAGCGGTAAAGGAAGCACGGTTTGGGTAGAATGGGGTGGCCATTTTGAGAGGAGGAGATTCAGCGGATGAGTCGTCAGAAGAGGTAAGAGGCTCTGCGTCAGCTTGTGCGTCAAGCTGGTCAAGCAAAGACTTGTTGAGCAACGCCGAGTCTGTGGCGAGCATCCCAGCAACAGGGGACCACGATCGACAAATCGTATGTGCGAAAAGCCGCTCGGAGGAAGGGGATCAAGTCCAAGTGTTTACCGTCACGCGCACTGCCACGGAACGCTCCCACGCACGGGCCTTTGAGTCACGTGAGCATTACGGAAATCACCGCACCGCTTCTGCCCGATGCGGCGCACACAACGACGACGATGAAGGACGTACTGCTTGAGTTCTTCACAGGCCCATTCCCATCAACACTCATCACTCTCCGACCCGGCCAAACCCCTCCTGAAACGCCTCACTTCTGCATGGCTGACTCTCCAAGCTTTCCATTCCAATACTAGCGCTCGCCACAAGCCTTCTTTGGCTTCATCCAGACATGAATCGTTGGCACGAATGTCGCCCTTCTTTGGAAGTCGCCAGCGTCGACATTGGCCAAGTGAAGGTAGAAGAGGGCGTCACTCAGTGAGGCGTGACATCAAAATTGACAAGACTCCCTAAATCGTGCTGTGTCAAACTCCGAGAAAGAATTCGAATCCTTCGGTCATCGGCAACCGTGTCGCAACCTCTTGGCATATTTTTGAGCTCATTTTGAACAGATTTTTCATGGTAGTATACCATTGTTTTCAAACAAAACTGCAACTCTATGTGTCTTTATCCTATCCGTCCTCAAAACTCACAACAGTGTCTCTCGGAGATATGACTTCACGGGGAAAACCACTGGGTGGAAACACGACTTCCATCTACACGCGGCAACATGAGGTTTCCGTGTATTCAGCCACAACTCAACAAGACAGCTGACTGACTATCAATCCGTTGCACCATTGCCACTCTGTGGTTATTTTATTTTTGGAGGAGCGTCCCAAGTGCCTAGGTGTCAAGGAACCCAGCGTCCCACTTGAATTACATTAGCAAGTACAACACCTCAATCGAGCACAAAATATAGCAGCGATAGCAAAGCGAAAGCTAAATTAGGAGAATAAGTTAATCGTATTGGGTCAACTGTGTCGCGCATTAGTCCTAAAATCGATCTTGCACAAGAAAAAGCTCACATCCAGCGTAACCGTTCTTGAGCTGTTCACATCTTGATCTCGGTAAATTCCCACCAACGACTCTCCTCGTTCGTATAGCGACCCCTTGAGACTGATGACCACGAACTGAAAAGTCGGCCCAGCATGAGTAGAGATGTAGTTCGCGATTTTAGCAACGTTCGTGTTGTCAAGCGCAGCATCAACCTCGTCCAGAACAAAGAATGGCGCTGGCTGGTAGCTGTGGATCGCAAACAATAGCGCCAATGCAGCAACTGTCTTCTCTCCACCGGATAGTTGTTCCATGTCCCGGAACCGCTTCATGGGCGGCATCGCGTGGTATTTGATTCCACCAAGGTAGGGTTCCTATCAACGATATCAGCCATCGATCCGGCGAGCAGGAAAATGTGCCAACTTCGCTATCTTCTAGACTGAGGTATGCAACACCGCCCATTGGGGCTGCCTTGCCCTTGGTCAGATCCTTGTAAACTTGGTCTATGCGGTCCGAGATATGGTTGTAGGCTTTGTTGAACAACTCGCAGCGCCTTCGCTTGATATCCGTGAAGTCGTCTCGTGCAGTCCGCGAATCCTTCCGCGCCTGCTCCGCCTCCTTCTCAGTCTCCGCCAGCTTTGCCTCCACATCCTCCAGCCGTTCAATGGCCTTCATGTTTGGCGCCATTTTCTCGATGTCCGCAGTCAGTTTGGCGATCTGACTATCTATTTCTTGGAGGGCTTCTGCTGAACCGTCTTGGCGGTCGTCATCATCTAATGCGTCAAAGTCAACCTCAATGCCATAGTCTTGTACTCTTCGGGGTTGTTGAGCACCGTCTTCGTCTTCGTCCACTTCCATCGCAACCTCATCTTTCAGATTCTAACACTCGGGTTAACAGTTGAATGCTACAAGAAGCAAAAAAAAGCCGTACCTCTTCCATCGGCACATGCTTTAGATGACCTTGCAGTAAAGGTAATTTGATTTCCTCGAGTCGACATTTGCGATAAATCGCTGACCGGTCCAGCGCAGATTTTTCAATCTCGTCGTTCTAGACGTCAGGGATCAAAGTGTGTTGACTCGAGCGGGAGGTGAAGATATACCATAGTCGTAATTTCTTTCAGTGCCTGGTCAAGTTGTTTCCCTGCCTTGCCCGTCGTTTTCTTGACTTCGTCTACCTTTTTTGTTTTCTCGTCTAAGGTCTCCTGCAACGCTGTCAACTCCTCCTTGAGCTGTGCAACCCCTTCTTCAGCCTCTTCAATTTCTTGCCCCGCAGCCTCCTTTTTGAGTTCCAACGTTTTGATGCTGTCTTGCTCTGTTGACACCGTCCTCTCGATATTCCCCAGTCGGTCTTCAATCCCCTTCAATGCCTCCGTCTCGAAGTCAACCCTGTCAAATCATTGTCAGTATGGTTACAGGCCAATTGAGAGTTAAAACACACTGGTGCGTGAGTCGCATAATCTGGTTGTCGAACCGCAACCGTGCCTCGTTCTCTTGTTGGGCTACCTTCATTTGCCGCTCCTCATATTCCCTGATATTCTCCACGTTGATCTTACGACAAAACGCCGCAAATGTGCCAGCCTCGGCCCGATCAATCGTCACAGTCAAACGAGCAATTTGTTGCTGGAGCGAGTCAGACTTTTCTTGGGCCTTCTTGAGCTCTGGAGCATTCTTCTTCAGCTCCTCCTTCAAATGCTTAAGTTCATCGCGCATTCCTGTTAAGCGAAGTTTACAGCCATTCTGGAGATTCGTCAAAAATGATCATGGAGGAAAGATCTACTTACGAGATCATCTCTGGCCAAGGTGAGCGCGGACTCGAGTCGGCTCATCTCCGCAGTAAGGTGATCGTCCGCCTTGAGCTTCTGTTTCTGTTTTCCCAATTCACGCAACTGAGAAAGCAAATTGTCTTTGTTCTTCGTCAACCCCTGAATATCTTTGTCGTCCCATTTCTTGCCACTATGCGTGCTTTTGCCGCCGGTAATGAGACCACTCTTATGGATGATGGTTCCCTCAAGAGTTACCGCTGTGCTGCGATTAGTATGCGGTAACGAGAATACGCACAAACATTACCTTTGACTTCGTGACCTTTCTCGTAGCAAAGGTGTCGGGCTACATCCAGAGTGTCGCAAACCAGCGCATTGCCGCAAACATGGTGCATCGCGCGCTCGACGGCAGGCTCATACTGGATGATATCCACCACTAATCGAGCGGTTTTCATCCCTCGAAATTTGTCGCTAATGGGCTTTGCTTGAATAGTATCGAGAGGGATGAACGTGGCCTGGCCCACGCGTTGTGTCCGCATATATTCTATGCAATCAATTGCGATTCGCTCGGTGTCGACAACGATTGCATCGATATTCCAGCCAAGCACGACGGAAACGGCTGTCTCGAACTTGCGTTGTGAAGGTTTGCAGAGATCTACGACACGCCCGCGAACGCCTGTCCAAGCTTTTTGAGTACAGAATCAAGATAACACAAACCACGCACCAGTGAAAAGCCGCTGAAGATTGGCCAGATTCTCTTTCGCTTTCACTTCTTTCTCTGATTGTTGCCTATCCGCCCCGGCCTCCGTCAACTGGTTGAATATATTTTGTAATTGCTCATTCGCTTGTCGTTCCAGTTGTCTGTGATGTTGTTAGGGGATGGCTCGAAGGAGAAAAAGACGAGCCACGTGATTTTAGTCCGCTCAGCCTGCTGATTCTCTAACTCTTGCCGAACCTCCGCGAGGTCGTTCTGGAACGTTGAAACCTTGGCCTCCAACTGAATGCTATGAGTACGCGCTCAATAATAGGAAGCGACACAATTACCTCAGATTTTCGCGTTCCTTGGGTTTCCGCTTCACCACTCCTTGTCTCTTGTGTCTCCTGTAACCCTTGTTGTTTTTCCTTCAACTGTGCTAAAGTTCGCGAAACCGTCTTCTGCTCGCGAGACAATGCCTCCAAAGACTGTCGTTCGTCGACGGCCAGTTCGCTTGCAGCCGCTTTACTGATTCGTAGATGAGTGGTACAGTAAGGTCGTGTTAAAAACACGTACAGCTCACGATATTCGGCTAGAGTCTCAGCCCCTAGAGCTAGGTTGTGTTGTGATGCTTTCCGTTGCTCTTCTATAAATGGTTGAGACACTTTCCTGACTCGCATTACAAGCCACACCTTGAGCAGCATCGGCAGCCTTCTTGACACTTGCGAGCTCCTTCTGCAATTTTGCAACTCTTCCCTGCAGATTTTCCTTTTCCTTCTCGAGTTCGCCTTTCATCTTGGTAGCATTTGCCAGCTTTCTTTGGGCGTGCTTGATTTGAGCTTCGGCAGTAACAAGGTCAGGCCTTTTGTTATCGAGTGATTTCTCGGCCTTCTTGATTTTCTTCTCCATCTGCATGACTTTTCCACGGGCTTGAGCTTGTTCTGCGCGGGCCGCCTCGAGAGCTTCATCATGCTTGCGTTGCTCTTCTCGCAAAGATTTGAGAGCCTTGTTCTGCCTCTGGATTTCACGAGCATTATTCTCAATTGCTTCCTCGATGTGGTAAAGTTTGAATAGAATTCGATGAAGAACACGTTGGTCCTAAATCATCGTCAAGAACAGAAAACAGAAAGATGAGACCCACACACGCGTTCTTGACACATCGCATCGAAACGGTCAGCCTCTCCTTTCTGCTCTTTGTATTGCTTGATCTCCCCCGCAATACCACGTCGCTTTGTGAAGTTAAAAGTCGCATTCTCGGTAGCGCGATCCTGGGCCTCTTTCGCTTTCTCATACTCTGGCGCAAGCTCTAAACTTCCACTGATCTGGTCTATTAGTCGCGACAGCTCACGAGGAGACTGCGATGCGACAGCTTCTACGTCACCTTGGAAGACTAGGAAATTCTTGGCTTTGACGAGGATGTTTTGCTGCATGAGTGCGGCATTGTAGGCGTTGTATGTCACGACCTTGTCGTTAAGTCGGTACTCGGAGGCGCCCAATGTAGAAATGCTGACGAGGGATGAGCGCATTCGATTAAATAGATGTGCATGCGCACGTTCTCCTGAACCTCCACTCCTTCTTGTCCGCGTCAACATACAAAGCCATGACCCATGCCTTCTTCGCGGTGCCCTCTCCTTGGTCATCATCCTCATCTGCATTACCGCTTGGTTCTTCTTCCCCGTCTAACCCACTCGTTCCAAGTCGTCGGCCGCGGTATACGAGGTCCTTCAACTGGGAACTCCGCAACTGGGCGCTCTTGACGCCGAGAACGAAAGAGATCGCGTCCATAAGGTTGGACTTACCGGCGCCATTGGGACCAATGACGGAGGTAAAGTTCTTGAAGGGGCCTATGGTCTGGTGGCCACGATAAGATTTGAAGTCGCACACCTCTATCTGCACGAGTGGCATCACGGTTGGTCGAAACGCGTTGGTCACAGCTGTGACACTGTCACCTCTCAGAGTCAACGTTCATTGTCAACGTTCATTGATCTCTAGTTTAAATTGCCCCTCAGTCCACTGAATGTCTACCAGGCAAGGATTCCGAGAAAGGCATATAGCATCTTACCTCCGGCCCCAAACCTCAGTGCATCTACATCGGCCTTGAGTGCATTCTCAGTCGTATGCGTCAACCACAGTTAACTTCCATTCTTGTCGAATCAAGACTAAGCACTTCGCCCGTGCCTTGGAGACTCCCAATATGCAACAAAGGCATCAGTGACACCTCGCGCACCCATTTCCCGTGACATTCTTCCTCATTATCCTTCCATAATTGCTTCAAGCAGCATTGGGTCCCCATCGCCACTCCGATTGCAATCGTTCTCTCATGCCAGTGGCGGCTGCTTCTCGAGCTCCCCAGGCTGCGCCACTTGATATAGAGGTCAGTCCGCTGCAGAACACCCACTTTTTTCAGCTCTTTACTCAACGAGATAAAGCACGACATCCGACGCGTCTTGAAAGAGGACCTCGACTTCCAAGGTCATTTCTCTATCCACAAAACCTATCCAAATGCGCCCAACCCGCTCCTAAGCCTCGATGGGCTTGGTCTCGTAGGCTTACCGCTGGGTCCATCAGCGGCCAAGACTGTCATCGCACATTGCGACCAAGCACCGTTCGGCAAAGGTGAAAGAACTATCGTTGACAAGGAGCTTAGGGATACATGGGAGATGGACGCTATCAAGGTCAACTTTCGAAATCCAGCATGGAAAGCATTCATGGCCGGTGTTGCTCGAGACGTCTGTGATGCTCTCGCTGTAAATTTTCTATTTAGTAGACCCCGGGTCAAGCTCTACAAGCTACTTCTCTATGAGACTGGCTCCCAGTGCGTGTCATTCGCATCTTCGCCTATGCACAATCGACTGACGTGTTGAGCAGCTTTCTGCCGCATGTCGAGTACGCGACTTACTTTTTCCGGTGCTTCATTTCTGATATTTTATAGTACTGAAAGGGAAGACGGGATGTTTGCGTCGGTTGTCGTCGTCCTTCCATCCGAATTCACTGGTGGAGACGTTCACACAAGCCACTGCGGGATCGAAGTAATTCACGATTCCAGCAAGGATAGCATCACCCAAACGACTGTACTTGCTTGGTACACCGACGTCAAGCATGAAGTTGTATGTCATCCTCCCCATTCGGCCATCACACTTTAACTCAGCACATGAAAGAAACCGATTACGAGCGGTTACCGCTTTGTCCTCGCATACAATATAATGCACACCACCTCCATCCGACCCACGTTATCCTCCTCAACGACTGATGCTATCGACAAGCTCCGCAAGATTTTTCACTCCTGGAACACTAGCAAATCATCGCCTGATCAAATTTCCTACTTGCTTGAACATCAATATTCCCAAGCAAACCTTTCGGCAAGTGCCCTAAAAGGCGTTGACGCACACATTGTCGCTGTCCTCAATAGTTTGGCGAGGGAAATGGGCTTCGGGCTTGGCCTTGCCAATCTCGAGCTGACGATGAACGGGGAGGCTGCAGACACCAATCCGTATCCTCAAAAGCGGAGGAGATGGGGTTACGACAGCGAAAGCGAAAGCGACACCGAACCTCGCCCAGCCAAGCTTCAATTCTCGTCCGTCAAGTCAATGACGATATCTGTTCACAATGTCGTGGACCTTGATGGGATTCATATGGATCAAGACTTGGCTCCAAACAAGAGTCTTGTGAAGCAGTTGAAAGCACAAGGGAGGATGACGCAAGAGTATGAGGACTATATGGGTAATGTCAGTTTTCGCTCACTCTTCATTCAGACTTCCGCTGAAACGAGTTACAGTGCGCAGCCTCTCTGGATCGATGTGTGTGTTGGTTTATGTCAGCAATCGGAACTGACCATCTCTATTTCTATAGATTATCGCAGCTCCGTTCTCGTCATCTGGCCGAGATGGTCTGGTATAGGCGATCGAAGAACAACTCAAGCTCAGCAGCGGCTCAGAATTGCCTCCTCAAAGCTTTTATCTCCGACCGAATTAGAAGATTTCGAATATCTTTGTCAAACCATCCGCTTCATACCAGACGAAGACCAGCAAGGGGACCTATTTCAACACTTACTACGAATCGCTCTTGCTCGAGATGACATCTCATTATGGCAAAAAGCAGTCAACGGTCATTGCGGAGGCGATCGGTCGTTGGATCAGTTGTCGATTGAACGCCTTCAAGAAGCCCGCGAGGCATTTGGTTTTGATGCTATCGCAAATATGTTTGTATCCACACCCACACGCAAGTACAGGGTTGAGCCTTCTGACGAACCGAACAGACTGCGACCTCTCATTCAGGGCAACCTTTCCAATACTCGTCTCGAATATGCCATAAATCTGTACGATCTGAAGGAAGACCATACGGATGCCGCTCAAATTGACGCTTTCGTTTACGAGATGCGTCAATATTCTCTAAATAACTTGCAGCTCTATAGGTCAAGCGACGAGCTGCAGCTTTATACGCAAGAACTTTGGGCAGAGGGAGGAGCTCAGCTCGTTCATGACCAGTATGTTAACGCGCCGATTCCTCTGTTCCTCGGAAGCTAATCGTCGAACCCAGGTTAGTTCCACAAATACAAAGTCGGACAGCACGCGAAAACATTTCTGCACTAGAGCACTACCTTGAATGGTTTTGGGCTGCAGACGAAGAATTGAGCAACAGCTATCAAATCCCCCAAAGTATCACCATCCGAAAACAGATCATCGCAACTCTGTTGAAAACGCTCATCTCACGGAGACCGTTATACGCCGTGAAACCTGTGAAGGTCCTGGACCAAACTGTGTCCCATGCGCCGAAACAGGTTAAGATCGCTCAAGGCGACCCGATGCCTGCGGTTTCCTTGATCGGGAAGTGCTTGGACTACGAAAACTCTGAACTCGTTTTATCTGTCCTCCGAAAGATGAATCAAGCAGCAGCTCGGTTGGCTGATGAGTATAACCAATCGAAGACAGAGGCTCGAGTTGTCCCCGAGGTGGTGTTTCCTCTCGTGCCTACGGTGCAAAACTTGCTTCGCCTTTCCACACCCCCAATCACACCCGCTGCACATTTCGAATTGGAGACCTTGGCCGAATCTGCGCTAAAAATCAAGCTTGAAGTTCTTCGGGATCTTGGGGGTGTTACACACAAAGACTTGGTGTCGCTGTTTGATTTTGTCCAGCATCTGAAGAACATCGATTACTTGGTTGATTTGTGTGTCATGTCCTTCACATCTAACACTGCATCTAATTTGTGCATTAGCGTCGTAGCGGGTCTTGCTGCCCAACCATGGGATGAATACACCTGTTTGGAATACTTGGAGGAGCTTCAAAAGCGATGTCGCGTAAATCAAGCTACTTTCGAGCGGCCTATGAGAAACTTGGCTCAACTCTATGCGCGGAATGTGTCCCTGTGCAGGCTGACACATCCTTCGAACATTGCCGATGGTCGTTTCGCGGAATATGCCACTTGTGCGGAAGCCTTGTCTCGCTGCTGGGCACTTGGAGGTCCAGAAGCCTTCTCCACTCTCATGGAACGGATTTTACACCCGCCGTCGCCTGACGAACATTATCTGGTCACTATTGCGCTTCGCCTCATTTCCCACGTGGAAAACACGGCGACTCAACATGGCTTCCTCTTGACGCAGGCACCGTTCTCAACATCTTTTATGGGCATCATTACGGAATGGATGAAGCATGTTCTGGGTCCGACCCCGCCAAACCTTCATCGAGCACGCGCATTCCTAGCAAGCATCGATCGAATCTCTGGATGCTGCCAGAACTGTATGCAGGTCATTGGTTTCCTGCGAAATGCCAGGCTGGCGGAGGCGCGGTTACGCGTGATGAATACAGATCACGTGATCGCGAAGCTCAGTCAAGATTTGTCTTCATCCCATGTTACTTTCAATATTGTGCGGGCAGTTCCGCAAGGAATATTGGTTATGCATACTCTCACACTGTGGATGTTTTCTGACTTTTCGATCAGGTCGCCATGTCTTCAGAACTCTTTCAAGCAGTTCGCTGGATACGCCACCAAGCTGAGGGTCGTAGATTGTTAGCGATTTTCCCCGATGAGATGCTACGGACGATCTGGGGAGACACATATGAGCAGGCCTTGGCCCCGCTGCTTCCAATCCAACGCACAACTCGACAATCTGTGCCAACTGTTTCTTCCGCGCCATTTGTTCACGGGACAATGGCTGTGATGCACCCGCCATTACCTGCCCATGCCGCGCCTCAAGCTGCGTCTAACAATGCCCATTCTGGACCGCCTCTCCACCAACCACTTCCTTCAGCACACGAAGTTCGAGCCTATCATCAAGTCACCATCTCCAAATTATCTCGTCCAATGCCGGTCGCCAGTACATCACAGCCTTGGCCAGGGCATTCCGAAGCCAATGCTCCCAGTCAACACACACCAGTCGAGGGAGACTAGTCGTTACAACTATCTCAATCTTATGTATAATCTAATTTGTATCTCCTGTTACTGGCAGATATTTTACGGTCTACATTCTGTAACACGGCCTATTCGCAAAAACGAATAAGATTCCCTTTTCAGGAACATGGCGTAGTCATTCGCGTTGCCCCATTGACAAGGATAACGCTGCTTATGGGGAAGCTTGCTTCCCCATTCACGTGTCAAATCCCCCCCAGCGCCGCAAATTACAAAAAGGCGACACCGCTTACAAAGCGATTGGTAAGCGACCGCGGAGCGGTCGCCTCGCTGACAAGCGCGAGCTTCCCCCCAGTATGTGGCTGTCAAGCCGCATCCAGATATCATATTTTAAGCTATTCGCGCATATAGCGCTAAGCCGTCTTAGTTAGTTATGATAAAGATACTTGATACACGAAGACCTAGTAAGATGCTGGTACTTATCGCTTGAAGACATTGTTCATTGAGCGATTCATCGTCTGAGTTTTCGCCTTTTCTGTCGTGTTCCCGCGACGCTACCGCAAATGAGCGTCGAGACAAGAGCGAAGGAACTGACTTACACAAGGGCACTCTTTTCATGGCTGGTCCTCCAATTCCTCGACAGCTAATACAACCTTGCTTGCTTCCCCTCCTTCATTGACCCCCTCTTGTTCGGTGGGGTCCGCAACTGCATTGTCTTCTGTGTTGTTTTTGCTTTTGTGTTTCTTGCCGTTTTCTTCGAACTTGCGTTTGGGTATCACGGTATGAAACGCGGTCTCCCAATCGCGCGAGTCGACCCAGTTGACGAGTATTTCGAATGTTTGGTTCACGGTGAGCACTTTGCGCGTCTTCATCTCCGCGAGATATCGACCAATAGGGAGACGAGCGGTCCTGACTCCGCCCTTTTGAGCCTTATCTAGAGTTGCATTCTAGGAAGCTGACTGAACCTCGCAAGAAACAATCTTGCAACGCAGAACGCACTTTGAGCCGGTTGTGATCACAAATTCCGCCAATGATATACGTTTCCTCGGGTTTCAGCTCAGTCAGCTCCTCCTCCGAGTCCGCAGTGAGATAGACGACGGAAGATTTGACGTTTGGATCGGCCTCCCATAGCTTGTCGTAGTCTTCCGTCCACCATTCCGCGTTCTTCCATCTTGAATGTGCAGCATCACCCACACTCTCCAATCTTGTCAGAGTTTTCCCGTCCAGGTGAGTGAACAATAGCCTGAACTGGTATCCAGAGTTCCTGTTGGCGCTATACGAGTAGGCAAGCTGCGAAGTCAGCGACAACACTTCCTTCTCCGTCATGCTATTGTCGAATCCTAGATCGATGACGACGCGACCCCCAAAGGGTGGACCGACTCGTCGCCTCTTGGCCTTTGGCAGGTCATCCTCCTCAAGCTCCCCTGCCGCCCTACGCTCTTCCCTCTCGCGTTTCTTGGCTTTGCGAACCTCCTTTTCGCGGGCACGCTTTTCTCCGCGTTGGGCTGCAATTCGCTCGCGTCTGGCAGCCTTTTTCATCGCGCTTTTGGTCATCGGCGGCGGTTGCGCAGTGGTATCGTCAACCTCAAGGTCCGGTTCACCATCTCTAGCCTCAGACATGGTGGTATGAGCTTGTGACAAGGGGATCGCAGCTTATCCCAATCTCTCATGTCGAAATCGATTGAAGTGATGATTTCCAGCCAAATAACTCCTGGTCTTCATAGCCTTACACAATCCCCGAATATGATTGAAACCGTCGCCTCTTTCCAGTGCTTAATCGGCAAAAGCGAGTAATTCAACGAATCTGGACAAGTTTTTGCACCGTCACCTCGTTCTGTGTGATTTGGATCAGAATGAAGCTACGCCTTTAAACCCTCAAAGACATTCAAAAGACTACACAGCACAAAGGATCCTTAACAACTCTTTGTTTCTTTGTGAAGCGTACGGTTCTTTCCCTTCCACCAAATGGCCATCTCTACCCCTCTTCGATTTGTTCCTGAGGACGGTGTATTCGCGTTGATGACCATAGACCCTGTGGCATCTCTCGAATGCCTCCATGATCCAGAAGCGCTTGCAATGGCCGCCTCGCTTACCTTCAATGATTATCTGGTCTTTGTTCCTGGTGTAAGGTCGTTCGCTGTCTCTTGCCCACTCGTCTAACTTCTACACAGACCAACCAATCCAGAAATCTCGAAGCCCCCTACCGTGAAGAGGTTGTTCACTTTGTCCTTCCACAGCGCCCAAACGACGTTCCCGAGAGATTCATTGACGCGGCCATGTCAGTCCCCATCCACCCAACCCTTGACGAAACACATCCGGAGCGGGAGCCTCTGGAAACGTTGGGGGAGTTTCCTTGGCCAGGGTGCTTCCTCTCGCCTTTCATCGGCGCGACAGTCCGTACCAGAATAATGCTGAGCGTTGACCCGATTGTGTGCGAGCTTGCGCTGTCGCAGCGGAAACGTTGGAAGCGGTACGAAAAGGAGGATAGACACCGCCAAGCAGACAGAGAAGTTGAAGTTGCGCGTTCAATTTGGTCCTCGACGGACTCGGGCTATGAATCTGACTCTTTTGGAACAATCACCAATAACATCAACCTTTCTTGCGGGAGTGTTGGCGCCGACAAGCACTCTCTCATTGATGGAGGCCATATAGAGCTCGAGTTCGCGCCAATCGGACTCGGAGAGGGTGAATTGGATATCCCACTAACAGTAACCTTTACACACGACTTGAAACGGATGGAGGAGATGAGCGATCCCTTCGAATTTTTCCTCGAGAAAGAAGCCCTGGAGCGGTAAGCATTGAACCGAGTCTTTTCCAAGAGGATGACATTGCTTGCAGCATCGGGCGTGAGGCCTTAGAACGTAATAAAAGAGAGGTTGGATCTAGGAAAATAAAGCAAAGCCGTATTCTACCCCTTGTTAGGCATGTTCTTGGAGGTTTGCTTTGCACGAAATGTTAGCAAGTAGAATTTTGCGATCAATCGGGCCGGATGCCGAGATTCCTTCCTTCTCTCTTTTCGACCGCCGCTGTTGCCCTCGTCGCATATCTCTACCTTGTGTGGACTAGCAAAGAAATGGCTGCAATTGCGCCTCTCAAGTCTCTCGTTGTCCCCGCCCTCTCCAAACACACTGCCACTGTCATCTTCGTTCACGTTCGTCGCCGCGGAGCCTAATTCCCCGCTCAATTGCGCTTCAGGGACTCGGAGACTCGGGTTTGGGATGGCAACCTGTAGCAGAGATGCTCAATAAGGAGCTGCCCCAAGTCAAATGGGTCCTGCCGAACGCGTAATGTCGTGTTGTGCTGCAGAAGTCTATGTACTGATGCACGAAAACGCAGCCCGACGATGCCTGTAACCGCCAACGGCGGCATGGTCATGCCTTCGTGGTTCGACATCCTTTCATTTGGCTTCGACTCGAAGGAGGACAGGGAGGGCATGCTCAAGACGGTCTACTCACTCAACCAGCTCATCTCGGCCGAAGTCGACGCCGGCATTCCCGCTAACCGAATCGTCCTTGGAGGCTTCTCCCAAGGAGCCGCAATGACCCTTCTGACGGGCCTCACTGGCGAGCGCAAACTGGCCGGGCTGGCGGTCCTGAGTGGATGGTTACCATTGCGCGCAAACTTCAAATCCGTACGTCAGCGCTAGTCTTCTGCACGATCTATTCACTAAGCACCTCGTTTAGATGGTCTCTGACCACGCAAAATCATATCCGATCTTCTGGGGTCATGGCGCGGCTGACCCACTTGTTCGACACGATTTGGCCGTTAAATCAGTTGACTTTTTACGCGAATCCATTGGCTTGAATACCTCCCCCCGCTGCAGGAGAGCTGATCGGGCTATCCTTCAACTCGTATCCTGGCGTTGAACACTCTATAAACGACAAAGAACTTGGAGACTTTAAGACTTGGTTGAAGAAGGTGCTGCCAAGTGTAGACTGATTTTTTGGGAAAGAAAAAGGAGAAAATATGTAATTCAGTTGTACAAGATGAAGGAGAATACATAGCGCAGAGTGCCACGGTACCAAATGTTCACGGATAGCGAAAAGAGTTGTTTATTGGCGGAGGAGGACGATCCAATGTAACCTTTCCATCGACACCAGGCACGACACGCCAAACCTCCCAAAACAGGTCCGAATTCAGACCACTTGAAGGTGCCAGTGTTGGACAAAAAGGTTGATGATGTCACGCTGTGAGGCTCAACCTGAACGGTGCGTCATGCCCGTGGGGTGAAGTACCCTCAGATTCAGAAGCCACATCGTCGGATGACTTGGTGAAAGGAAAGGTAACTACATACTTATGTCCTACGGATAAAATATCGAATCAACAATTGGTGGTGGCGGGCGATCCAGAGCGACTTTGCCCTCTGGAGCAGAAACAACATCCCATACTTCCCAATATAGGTCCTCGTCGCTGCCAAACGCCCGATACATCCCAATGCTCTTCACCCATGGCGCGGCATTGACGATCTCGCCGGCCATACCATGGAGTCGGCCAACCATTTGACGGAAATCACTCGACGGGTAGGACTCTGGCGGCCAGCCATAGCGTTCCGGGAGACTGGCATCGAATAGAATCGACTTGAGGTGTTTAAAACGAGAAAAGAAGTCGCAGACAATGGGCTGAAAGTTGGTCAGGATACAACCAAGATGCATCCGATCGCATACCATTGGGTCCCACTGACACCCTTCCAGCATTGGAGAGAAATGGTCCCACTTCCGGCTAAACTCTAGGTGTTGGACAAGGGGAAATAGTTTGGGGAGAAGGTCCAACAGTGGTTTCTCGTGTTCCAGCTCCTCTTTCGAGCCAATCAGATACCAGAATCGTAGTGTCGTTAAATTGGGTAATTCAGCCCGCTTTAATAGATTTAGAAGTGTTTCAGGTGTGACCCAGACCCGACGCATCCCGTCCTCCAGCGAGAGCGGATACCTCCGTAACGAAAGCAGTTCCAGACTCGGTGGCAGAAAGTCGATGATTCGGTCATCATTCGGGAGGCAGGTCGCTTGAAATTGGGTAAGACGCTGAAGAAATGGAAGTGAGGGCGACCTGTCAGGTCTGCAGATTGGTAACTCAGATTCTGGGCCATCGGCTTTCTGAAATACAAGCATCATATTCAAAAGGCGGAGGTTGGGCATTCTCTCCAGTATTGACAGAATCAGAGAGGCTTTGGTCGATGAAGTAGAAGGCGGTTGGTGAGAGGCGTTCTCTGGCGGGTTTGCTGTTGTTGTAAGTGATGGAGTTGAGGACGATTCCATGACTTTCGATGTGCTCGTGAAGGTGTCAGGTAGTTCGGGTACGTGAACTGGATTTGGTTCATTCTCCGCCTTTGATATCGCAGGTGAAGGCGGAGGGCCCTCCGTTGGAACGGAAGGATCCTTTGCGGCGTCGGAAGACTCAATAGAACTTGTCCAAGCCACAACACCCAATGGTGTTGACGAAGTGTGTTCTAGAGAGGGCCCAACATCTGGGAATTTTCCTTCAGCACCATCGAAGGTCGGCCAAAGACCATTGAGATACAATTCTGTCAATGATGTCCAAACCGGGCCATCCAGAGCCGATATGAGCTCTCCAGGAATCTCGACTTGGGCCATGGTTGGTACAGAGGCCGCCAAAATCACGCGAATGTTCTGGATTTCGAGCTTGAGCACATCTGGCAGCCTACGCGCCATTTCACGATCCAAGACATCGAAAATGAAGGGAACAGTGAACGAAAAGCGGCGTAGAGGCAGCGTTGTTGTTCTTGGTTCCAATTTTATTGGTTCCTCCTCGTCGTCGTCCGGCTGCCAGGGAGCGTGGACAATTAGGTCGATTGGGTTGGACAAGACGGCGAAGGCATCGAGTAACTCCGACCACAACCCATCTGCGACATTCCCGCCCAGGATGAAGGTATGTAGAGATTTCATAATAGGGAACGCGTCTCGGAATTGAGATGCGATGGTTGCGTGTTGGGCCGAAGTGAAACTACGGATGTTATGTCCAGCGAGTGTGAACACTCTAAGTGTAGACCATGAGCGGCCATAGGAAATAACGGGTGTCACTCACCGGGTAAATGGTAAAATCCTTCGCGGCGGAAAGTCAACAAGACCGGGGGCCCACCCCAGCCTTCGGTATATGACTGGGAGGAGAACGGCTCGCAGGCGTCGAGATAAGGTGGCAAGTTTCAGGCATTCATCGTAAGGGAACTGCTCAAATATCATGAGCAGAACGTCATGGCTGAGTTTGTCGAAGCTAGTTGTGGGGACAGGACTATGTTCGGTCTCTCGGGCAACGACACGCATCTAGAAAGCAGTACAATGAGAGGACAACCTCTTCAAGTTTTTGATGTAAACTCACACTGACAGTCCTCTCCAAGTTTGTGTGGGTGCGGTATCGATCTTGTCCTTGTTATTGTTCTCGATCCAAGAAGAGTTGGCATCGTAATGGGATAGTTGAACGTTCAATGCTCTTCAATGTTTCCGCGTTGAACCACTGCGTTGGAATCATGGAGACAGACACTGGTGTTGGATGTAAAAACAAAACTTGAAGTTCAGTGTCACGGGTGACTCGATACGACGAAAAGCGAATCGAATTGTGGACTAAATCGCTCAACCGTACAAACAACTTTGTAACAGCTACATAATAGCTAACTGAAGTATGGACAGTGAAGCTTGGAAAGCCTAATGTTTGTCATAGATCGTTTTGGCAATGTCGCGGCGCAAGCCCGTAATCTTTGCATGTATGATTTCATGTCCACTGGGACCCGAGAGAGCGGTGGCCAAATTCTCGAGGAATTCCTTCTTCACATTGTCCTTGAACTTCATGTGGTCCATCGCCTTGTCGAACTCACTGTTCTTCTTTGCGCTGTCGGGATACATCAACTGCCAGAGAAATCAGCTCCTTCGTGAAGAGCAACAAAGCAACTCACCCGAATGAGTGCGAGGTCAGTGGGCGAGGGAGAGTGGTTCTCTTTCGTGATTTTGCTAGGATCTTTGACGTACTTCTTGCCAGAGTACAGCATAATACTTTTCTCGTCGAACTAGCCAGTTGTTATGACCACAGCTCATTTGTTAAATTTGAAGGACATACCAATGTTGCTACCATGACCTCTGCAGTTGTTGCGTCGGCTGTTGGGGAGAGCGGCGACTCGTGTTCGTGAGCCAGGCCAAGGGTGTGTCCCAACTCATGGAAAACCGTCGAATGGGCCCTAACGAGGTCTCTTGCGGGAGTTTTGCCCGCAGCGTCAGCCGTCGCTGGCAGTCCACCGAAGTAAATCGTCGTATAGGCCGGGCCGGGGTCCTCCGCTTTTGGACACTTCGGCCCAGGGAGAAAGATATACTGCCGGTGCAGTGGCCCGAAGCACGACCAACCCCAGTTCTCGGCAGCAGTCTTCCGCCCAAACGCGATCCGGATATCAACCTGCTGGCGGTGGTCTGCCCGGGAGAAGTCGAGGTTGGCCATGACGCTGTCGGGTACCTGTTCGAACTGGAGATTCGCGCGCTTCATGTAGTACTCCAACGCGTCTTTGACCGTTTTCTGGCGGTACGCGGTCGGCTCGGCTTCCCCTTGTGTGGACAAGTCAACCGCGTTGCGCCCGCCAGCCTGCCAGGGAATGAACCCGTATGTTATCGTCTCTTTGAGTCGCCAAAGGCAAGCCTCATCGTAGATCATCCCATTGGCATGGACTTCACCCGTTACTTCACGAACTTGGGAGGCAATACTTTCTGGTGTCGAGCACCACGTGTCGGCAGGCACAAGGACGCCCTCTGTAGTTATAATTACATTGAGGTGGATTCCTGGCGCAAGAACATATGACAGACCAGAATTGCCGCTCCCGCCTGCGACAACAGCGCCGGCGTCGAGGATTTCGGCCACTTGAGTGACCAAGTCATTTGTTGCCATTCCTGAACGATAACTTTCTGACTCTTCCCATCCCCCCACTTTATAGTCTGGCCATCAGGTACAAACGTCGATTGGCATCGTAATTCCGGCGCAATTTGTGAGCCCCCGGGTCCGACTTGTTGTTCTATAGCACCGGAGTGGCGGCTAGTGCTGGTTATTCCAGTTAATTGAGGTACAAAGGGATGAAATGGGAAACGGTGACACATTGAACTCAGTGGCACGTGATGTGTTTCTAAATCGTACACCAAATTCCTTGACGCTTCTTTCTTTCCGTGGGTTTTGGAATTTAGCAATTTATAATACGGACATATAGTCGCGATAGTTTACGAGGCAAGTTTTAAGCTGTAGGAAACAGAGTCGTCCATGTTTTAATATCTCCCACTGTCCCGGTAATCGTCCCTTCCACCTCCCCCCGCCACGATAGTCGTCTCGACCGCCACCACCGCCACCACCGCCACCACCACGGCGGTCATAGTCACGGTCCTCGCGACGATCACGGTACTCACGGCCTCCCCCACCACGGCGGTCATAGTCATCCGCATATCGTCTCTCACCTCCGCCACGGCCTCCACGGTCGTAGTCCCTCGAGTAGCGCGAGTCATACGGGCGAGGATCATAGGGCCGCTCACGGTCACCTTTATGATTCATTAGTGAAGACCTCAGAATAGAGAAATGACCCACTTCTCTTGGGTGGGCCGTAATAACGACCTGGAGTCGGGGTTCGTGCACGACCACGACGAGCCTATTGAAATTGAGGGTGAGAAATAGCATGAGACTATGTATCGAGCAACACACTTTTTCGACATGGAGATTTTTACCGCCAAGATCAGTGCCATTCAGTGCTGCAATAGCAGCATCGGCCTCCTCCGGTGTTTCCATCGTGACGAAGCCGAAGCCACGCGACTCGCGAGTGTGAGGGTCATACACAACTTGAGCCTTAGTGACCTAGATAGATAAAAAGTCCATGAAATAAGCCGAGTTTCTGGAAGAACGGGGCTCACTCTGCCAATTTTTGCAAAGGCGGCTTCGAGGTCGCGCGTGTCGATGCGGTGACCAATGCCAGAGACGTGGAGGTTGTTGCCAGGGTTGCCGGCCACGCTAAGGGAAGGCATCAGTATAAGTTACAATGGAGCGAAAAACTGAAACTCACCTGCCTCCATCTCTGGCTGGGCTACGGCTACGGCTCCGCCCACGACGGTCCGTATCCCGCTCGCGGTCACGGTCTCTGTCACGGTCGTCGGTCCATCCAGGGTCGCCGCCATTGGAGGCAGGCATCCCCACGCCAGAGTCCACAGGGGGCGCGATGTCGTATGCTGAAAGGTAGGCTGAGTTTGAGTTTGGGATGACGTGGCTGGGGGAGAGGACGGAATATAGGGCAGGAAGCCGAATGGACAGAAAGCGAAAACAGGAGAACGACGTGAAAAAACACCGAAGCCGAATCGAAAATCGAGTCGAGTCGCACGCGGATACATATTACGAGTCGGGGTGTAATCTAGTCGGAAAGGCGAAGGCGAGGCGCATACCGTCGTCCATGTAGTGTTGAAGAGAAAGTTTGCGGCGAAAGGTTGAAGGTCGAAGTCGAGAACGAGCTGGCAGGGTGACGTGACAGCGGTCACATCCTTGATCTGTCAACCACAACGGCCATCACTGGCAAAACGGTACCGTTCTTTCCCGACATGAACACAGAAGCCATACGCAATGAGATTCCCCGGATCGAAACAGAAATAGGGCATCATAAAGCCGCGACGGAAATCCTTCGCCAGCGGCCAACTTTGCTCACCAAACAACTTCAGTCAAACGCAACTTTTTCCATTGATGCTCTCCCACCCGAGATTCTCTCCGAAATATTTGTTCAATGCCTCCCTCCCAAAGGCTGCCTCATGAAGGGTGAAGAGAACCCCCTGCGAGCAAACTCGACCTCACTAGTCTTTGCTCAAGTCTGTAGCCGATGGAGAACCATTGCGATACAAACACCTTTCCTTTGGACGGACATCAGGATCCATCTTACCTCGCGCCAAAGGACGAGGGGTGATGACGGCGAATTACAAACCTCCACGCTTGCTCGGCAAGCCGAAAAACTCCACGTCCTTGGCCAGAGGAGCGGCTCGTGTTTTGTGAACGTTAAACTGGCTGGCAACGGTGGGGCATTTTGTGCCCCCGATGCTAAGTTGTTGGTAACGGCTCTTCAACGCTGCTCAGCGCGAATCAGCGTGCTCGAAGTGTTTTTTGGAATTGAGGGCCTGGAAGCCTTTGACAACCTCGCTGCCAAATTCGACCTCCATTTTCCGACTCTGCACACACTCCGCTTAGACTTAGACGCGGGGTTCGGAAGCGCCGCATCTTCGCACTCCGGCCGCATCAAAATGTTTTCTGGCTCACAACGTCTTCGGGCAATCATGTTGGATGTGCTGCCCTCCACTCGTCTTGACCTGCCATGGTCCCAAATCACGCACTTTCGAGGACAATGCTACGCGTTATCTCAGTGTCAACAACTCCTGCGTCTTGCCTGTAATGTCGAATCAGCATACTTCAGCCTTTTTCCTGGGGAAAGAGAATTAGTCCCAACAGACCCTTTGGTTCATAATGGGCTCAAGGACCTGACGATCTGCGAGTGTTACGCGCCTGACGAGGAACCTCACGTCCTAGAATACTTCGAATTCCCTTCATTGCGCAGTTTTTCGCTATCAAGTGAAAACGCTGACCCTGATAAAAACTGGGATTCAGATTCAGAACAAGTCGAAATTCTCCCGCCAGATTGTGTGTCTGCTTTCTTACGACGCTCCCCGTCTCTCCAAAGTCTGACTTTGCATACCTTTTGGGAGTCACACGAGCTAGATCCTCTCGCTAGTCTGGGCATCACCGAGCTCAAGATAACAACCACATCATTTGTCGTTTTGACGGACCTATTTGGCAGATTGGGGACAGCTCCGTTCTTCCTCCCCAAATTGACACATCTTGAGGTAGAATGCAGCGAGCGCTTCCGGCATCCGTGGTCGTCCGACTTCGCGAGCTGCGTCGCTTGCGCTGTGAACGGCATTCTACGACGAAACACTTCTTTCAAGACCAACAAACCAGCAACTGCGAATCCTTCTCCCATAACGCGGTTGAAACTTACCTCAAACTGGTGCTTCCCTGATCTCTCATACATTCTTTCGGACCTTCAATTGGCCGACATGCGAACGCTCAAGTCAATGGGCGTTGATATCTACATCGGCACAAAACGCCAACTTGAACGCTTCTTTTAAGTATTTACATGTCAGTTGTTTTTCTACCAATCGTGACTAGAAAATCAAATAGTTTATACCAGATCATCAGAGTACTCGTCATACCCTCCGCCAGAGAATTCGTCGTCGTCGTCATAATCGTAATCTGCTTCATACTCGTCGGTATATGCACTGTCAGAAAAGCCGGACCCGGAGTCATAGCTGCCTCGCTCGTGTCTGTGTCGGGAATAATACTCGTCTTCCTCGTAGTCTGCATCAGACCCCGCATCAGAAGGCTCGACGACGAAAGTTGGCCCAGAATGAAAGTCATTTCCTCTCGAAGGTCTGATTGCAGGGAGATGACGACTGCGGCTGGAGACATTAAGCCCCGCAAGCGCGTAGTTGAGGCTGTTCATGTCGTCTTCGCGATCACCATAGATGGGTCTGCGTCCCCGATCACGAGGAATGGTGCTATACCTCGATGATGGGCGAACCAAATCACCGTGCCGTTGGGTGGACCAGCCAGGCGAGGCGGAGTCCCGTGACTGACCCGAGAAGTACCCATACCCATCTTGACCTGACTCGTATGACCCGACAGCAGCAAGACTGCTTCCCGTGCCGGTGCCATTGGTGAAGCGGGACAGAGACGAGAATCCCGAACCAAGAGACGACATGGACATCGAACCATAACCTCCAAGTGAGCCTGGCCCACGACTACGAATTCCCCGGCTCGAAGCATACCCGGACCCGAATTGATCACTAGGGGAGTATCCCTGGCGACTGCGAGGGCTGTAGGTGTAGGCGGAGGAAACCAATGACGAGTGCGATCCAGCGCGGCCGGAAAGCGATGGCAAACCGCCTCCAACGACCGGGCTTGTATACGGAGTTCTGGTCGACACAGGTGCTCGATGAAAATGCCCTGGCCGCGCAATGGAAGCGAGCGCGCTAGAACGCGCATGATCGACGCTGGTTGCAGCAGAGGCTTGTGATTGAGGCCGTGGCGGCAGATAAGTGTGGGTGGTGGTGGAAGTAAGATTGGGCGTGCCTGCCTGGCCCAATGAGAATGAACGCTGCATATGCGAATCGTCGAGAGGATTTGTCCCGTAAAGACCTAGACCATTTGTATTTTGTTCCCAAGAGGCCCCGCTTGCCGCTCGAAAGCCACCTCCCAGATCTGCCCGATTTTTCCCTTTGCTTTGGCGTCGTGAAGATACTCTGGGGATGATGAGTTAGGTAACAAGCCGAAACGTATAAGTCTGGGATGCGTAGTGCTCACCTTTGTGTCGACATGCTCTCGCAGGTTCAGAGGTGAGAAGACCTGCGGACAAATGGCTTTTGAGGGAAGGCCATGAACGCGTGTTTTGCATGAGTGACGCCATAGATGCCGCAAGGTTATGGTGCTGAGACAGTGAGGTGAGGACTGCCTAGACTATAGTAGACGTTCCAATGGGACAGCATCGATCCGATGGGCATGGGAGTCGGAGCGGAGGAAGAGGATTGACGGATAAAACAGCAGAATTGATGGCAGGTTAAATATATTCCCACATGGTCAATGTGGCTATGCGGCACTACCGCTCAAGTCCCGAAATGGAAATTTCCGATAGCGATAGAAAATCTTCTTTAGGCCGCAAAGAAGACAAGTTGGAGTGCATAGCACATTTACAGCTACGTATAGTGGATCAATCCACATCCAGAAGCCGCTCCACGTGGCCCTGTAATGAAGTTTGGACACGTTGAAGAACTTGCACATGTCCCGTTGCTAATAAAAGCGATTATTTTCATCGGAAAGTAAGCTAGCATTAACTTGCCATTTCCTTCGCGAACATGTTCACTGAAATCTTTCTGCCATGTTGCCGAAAGGGTCACGCACAACAGCCTTGCCTCCCCAGAGCACGGGTCCGTCAGTGCAGCAGACGAGATGCCCATATTCGCTGCGAGATTTTCGACAAGGTTTGCTGTGTTACCGAAGACTGCACAGGCGGGCAATGCCACGACACACCGTATGCAGTTATTCGCCCTGGGAGCTTTCTTAAAGTCTCGTAGGAGTGATTGACTGTACTCTGCATTAGGAATTGCGCGATACTCCTCGATAATTTCAGAATCGTGCCGCATCCCGCCCATCGTCACCTAGTAGTCAGTGAGCACGCAAGTCCTTGGATGAACAGAACAAAAAAGACCCTTCACCTCAAAGCGTGCCGGAGCCGGTATATGACCCTTAGTCTGTGAGCGCCGTTTGAGGATGACATAGTACCTTTGAACCATCTCGGAAACAGCATCTTTCTCTTACAGAGAGATCAAGCTTACGTGTGGTTGGTCAGATAATCTTCTGGTTGGTTTGCCAGGTTCGCCGCAAGCAAGCCCCACGCAAGGATAGGGTCTTGCCACGTCTTATTCCACTTGATATAGTCCTTCATATACTGGTCGAGCAGCGGGTTTGTCGGATCTGACAAACGCTCCTTGCGGTTGAAACAAACAGCCTTGTGGGTTGGTTTCCAGTCCTTCTTTTGGCACTCCTGCGAGCAATATCGCGCAATTTCGCATCGAGCACACTTGCGTAAGGGCCCGGGATTCTCGCAGTAGAAACAAAACTCGTCTCCCATTGCGATTGTCGTTGGCATTTTTTCGAAGACCTTGGGGTGCTGTCACAATGCTGTCACAATGTGACAGCACCTTAAACTCACCCCTACTCACCCCCAACCACGCAGCACATGAAATGTCAGTGGAACATATATACAAAGACATCGTTGCGGTTTCCGGTCGCCTCTTGTGTCAGGTACATTGTGCTTAGCGCGACAGGAAGCCTGCAGTTCCTCGCCAGCCGCCACCAGCGGATTGGTTGCCCTGGCGGCTGGCCAGCAATGCCGCCGACATAGGTTCCTGAGGACGAGACCATAAAAGGACGAAACACTGAAAAGATCCCCCCAGTGTTCGAAGCAAATCGAAACACAACTTGCCCGCAATGGCCACAGAAGCAGCATTCGTCAAACTCTCTGAAATCCTCGCGCAGGAGGAGTTCTCCGATAACAATGCCGCTCCAATATCAGATGATCCCAGTGAGTATTCCTGTGCTGTCTCGCAAAACAACGTCTCAAGGTTCATGATCACCGTAGACTTTGTCATTCACCCTGCTGATACATGGTGCGGTACAGTCGAGGCATCTCCTCAACCTGCACCAGATGTCTCCATCGATGCCTTTATTCCTGACCGGACTCGTCATCTATGGCGACTTGACGACGTCATTACTTATGGTTTCATGCCATACGAAACCAAGTACAAACGAAACATTGACGATACTGCGGAGAACTGTGAACCGACAGAATTTCGGAAAGACACTGTAAAAGCCGTTCTGAAGTTCTACTTGAACTATCTCCCTCTCAATTTCCAAGAAACGAACGAAGACATGAGCAAGCTCGACTTCTCTAACCCAGAGCATCGCAAGAAAGTCGATCTCCGCATCGCTTTTGGCTCCCCAGTTCAACAAGGCTATTGGGGGTGGGCGATGGGGATTGGGCCTCGGATCCGCCAAAAAGTGTTCATGAACAAGCCACCAGAAGCACCCGGGCCAACATATGCTTCCGTCTTTTTGGGAGGCATTCCTTCTTCGGAAGAGGAGGCGAAAAAAATCACCGAAAAATGGCGCAAGGAGACGCAACGAACAATCTACCACGAAATCGGTCATGTCCTTGGATTAGAACACGAGCATGCGTCGCCGCTATCGCCGACGACCGGGGAGCTGAGGCCAGTGACTGAAACTATGGTCGCCACACTGGTAAGGATGTGCATTCGAATTTCATGGCCATCTTGTTGAAATCTGTCCAGTTCGACGAGCAGAGCATCATGCTATATTCGGGCATAAAGTACAAAGCAGATCCGAAAAAGGTCACCAAGGACACCTTTTCCCCGTCTCACACTGATCTTGTGCTTCTTATGGTATGCATGGCTCTCTTGCTCCGGCACCGATATCAGGCTAAATAACGCAGTTGATGTATCCAGACAGCGCAAAAGAAGACGGCAACTTTGCGAAAGCGGCAAAGAGCATGGGTTACACGAAAGACTCGCGAGACATCATGTTGGACATGTTGCATCATGCTCTCGAAGACCCAACTGGGATACAACACAAGATCATCGACAGGTTGCGCGAGGTCATTGCCGACAACATCAACGACCATCCGCGGCTTGCAGTTTGACACTACCCTCCTTGCCTTGAAGTGGGAATGGGTTCCAGGCTTCGATACTACACCCTTCCTGACATTTAGTTAAACCAATTAATAAACTGACTTTGTTTGAATGGGGGCCAAGTACTGGAGCATTCAAGTTCTGTGGGGAGGAGGGGAACGAAAAAACACCCTGCATGGTTCAAGCACAGAAATGTAAATTTTTAGTACAACCAACAAGGCTGAAGCGCTGAAGCTCAAAACAAGATCTAAAGACCCTTGGGCGACATAGTTCTTTACGCACAACTTTCGGTGACTTTGGATGCTCAGTATCACGACTCTATTTGCGAACCGCCTCTAATGTAAAGCAGTACAATTAAAACAACAAAAATAATAACTGTGGGTCAAGAAAAACGAAAGCGACAGGCCTAATAACAGTACTTCAACCCGTATCACCGTCTTTGGCACCGTTCTTCAGGTCCGTTACAGCGGCAGTAGCAGCCTGTACGACGGACGACACGCCGATCCCAAACTTGAGTTTGAGCTTTTTGAGTGGGGGCGGGTCGTCTCCTGATTTGGTCGTCAATGTCCGTGCTCCCCCCTTGTTCAGAGCCCCACTGTCCTGCTTTTTCGACGTTTTCGTCAAGCGCTCCAGCATTTCATCGTCATCATCCCCATCTGTTCGCCTTCGTTTGGCGAGGCGCGGCGGCCCAGGCGCTGATTTAGTGCGAACGAGGGCTTCCAACATGTTGTCTTCCTCATCATCATCATCCGTGGCGGGTGGTGTTAGTGGCCCATCGCCATCCTCTGAAGGTGTCGGAGAGGGGCGCCGTTTGATGGCATCGTCATCATCCTCGCCATAGTCCATCAGCTGCCCTAATGACGGGGAAGTTGATCGTTGGGTCACGTTGAGGTTCAGCGGTATAAGACCATTTCCGATTGACCCCATCCTCCGTTTCCGCTTGAGATTCGGGATCGGAGACGACCCTCGACTAGCACCGCCACCAAGACTGCGAACCCATTGCTGGTGACTTATGGGCGGAATATAGTCATCCTCGTCCTCGGTATTGAAATAGTCTTCTTCTTCAGCATCAAGCACACGCTGACCGGCCTGCCAACGGGGATTGTCCGAAGGTCTATTCCAACGAGTTAGTGTTTGAATCAAATCGAACCGAAGATGGCATACTTTTCTGGTTTCGACTCTGACTCGGGCGGCGGGGGTTCATTGTTAATTTCCCAACGTCGAATGAACATGACGTAGCGGTCCTTCCCAAGTGGTGTTTCGGCAAGTCTTCGAATATCCTCCTCATGGCGAGTCATGCAAAACTTGATCAGGTCCTTCACGTTTTCCTATCCGACATAATCAGACCAGACCAGACCAGAACAGTTAGTAAAGCTCCACTAACCCGTCTCATGTAATCAAAGTACTCGTGGCATGAGCAACTCAGTAGGTTATCGCGTCTCGATTCCCGCATAGTCAGATCGAGTATTGGCTTGAGGAGATCATGCTTCATAACGAGTGTGTGCATATTGCCGTTATTAGTCCTCAATAATAGCCGAAAGATCCGAAACGCAGCTAAAACCAATCGATGAAGCACAAGAAGCCGGGACAAGCTAAGACGTACCATGCTGTAGATGCTTGTCTCGCGCCTTAAACAACGTGGGCACACGAGACAGAATTTGTGACGACGCGACATAGAAGTATCCACGGAAGTTATGTCCCGAGATAAAGTTGTACAACAGGTCACAGAGGTAGGTGAAGCGATTCGTTTCTTCTCGAGTTAATGAGAGAATTGGGTCTAATGAAATGCATCAGACTCCGGCGGCCGCCAACAACTAAATGTAACCAACCAGTCGCGTACTTCCACTCCGGAAGTTCTAATAAGGGTCTGAATAAGATAGTGACGCAGTCTCGATAAAAATATTCCAGGAAACGCTCGTTTCCAGGCTCATCCTTGCGTGAAGCGCGGATACCACCAGGCTGTGAATGAAAATGAGCTATTTTTGATTGAAGGATTAAGAAAGCTTACGGAAGCTTCCGAAGGTGGCAGTGGCGGACCCGTGTCACCAGGCGGAGGCACCTCCAAAAAGACCTTGAGTGCATCGCCGAGCTGGCTTTGTATTGCGACATTCTGACTCTTCGCAACAATTCCACATACAAGCTCCGCCAATGTCTCTGCTTTATCCGCCCCACGCTTTCCCGCTGACCGCTCCTTTTCGATGGCCCCGACCTGTTTCAGCACATGACTGCGGACACCATAAGCGTCGTGATCAAGCAACGCCGTAAGGATTTCGCCGCCAGCACTCAAAACAGACCTGGATTCGGGATCATTTTCTGGTAGTCCCAAGGCCCATTGAACGGCAAAAAGAACAGCGCGGTCCACGAGGGTGCGGAACAATTGCATACGCGCGGGTAGTTGAATGTTTTTGCCCAATGCACACAGACTTTGGAGGAGATAGACTACTTCGCGTCGGATCCGAATCTCTTCAGGAGTCAAGTCTTCTGGTGGGGCAAACGCATAAGCGCCAGATGAACGTCTGGGCTGGTGAGCCGAGGGAGTGATTCCGTTGGAGTTAGGTAGCTCATTTGGTGGAAGAGGCGGTGATTTGGTGCCATTTGTTGTCGTAGCAGTTTTCCGAGGAGCACTCGCGCCAACAAGCATCTCCTCGTCGACATACAGTTTCACAACGTCGCGGAGGAAACCGTGGTCAGCCTGGATATGGTTGATGATGTCAATTTGGTTGAAGATGATACACGAGTTGAGCACGTTGAAAGTTGAGTCGTCCAAAACCCGAGCCAGAACGACATCCTTGAGAAATTGGAGACGATAGGTGTGGTGGATCTTGCGCTGCAATGTGGCATCGTTTAACGGTATCGGTTGGTGGAAATGCGCTTGTTTTTCGATAAACTCGCGGTAGTTTGCTTTGTGCATGGGAAACTCGGGTTCGTACTCGAGTATACTGAGGATGTCGGGGAACAGTTCATCGGTGATGATGTGCTCGTAGAGATTGTGATCGTTCAACAGGACTTGGTCGCGTGAGACAATTAACAAGGAAGAATGACGTAGTAAACGCACGGATGGCTTGCAACAGGCCAGACACTCCAAGCAGGTTATCGATAATATCTAGTTCCACTGCCTCTTTGAAGAGCTGAATGAGAGTCCCGATGTAATCCTGGAATGTCGATGTTAGCCAGTGGCAAACGACCGCAAGTTGAAACTCACCACTTGCATGATATGTTCACATATGCGCTCTCTTCCCGCACTCTGTCTGGGGAGTCCCTTCACGGCACGCTCAATGTCGATGAGTATTTCAAACTTTGGCGGTGGAAGCTGGCCACTCCGTAAAAGTTGTGGAGTTGTGACAACGGGAGCGTCGATATCGGGGGATGAGGATAGAGCTCGAGTGGCTTCAAGGCCGGTAATATGTTGCTGGACTTCGCAAATAAAGTTCCACACTTCGAGACAGCCCTCCGGATCCTGGAAACTCAAGGCATAGTCGGCCCCGTTTGGCTCGGTCCACACAATGAGCGTATCTTGAACAAGATAGGAAATTGGATGGAAGGCTGGATAGGCAACACACCTTGCTGGCGCTGATAAACGTCGCTTGCACGAATCGGGGTGGAAAGAATGACATCAGCGAAGTTGCGCTCCGACCGAGCAATTAGATGTGCCTGTTCCGTCTCCTCTTGGTACTCCCCAAAGCAAAATGCTGTTCCCTGGTCAACCCATCGTTGGCCCACGAGTTCATAAACCTAATTGAAAAGTTACGAAAGGAAACGCGGTCCGTGAAAACAAACAAACCTTGACGCGTTTGATATCTTGGTCGGGGGGTAACCAGCCGCGCCCGTCATCTGCATTGAGCGGTGGTTCATTTTGCGTGAGTTCGCTGGTGTGTATTGCAGCCTCGTCGTTGGAAACAGTGCTGCTTGGAGCAACCGCCGGGTTCTCTTCATCCGGTGGTGGTGGTGAAGAAGAGGGAAGGGTGTCTGCGGGAGCCTCGGACTCAGTGTGGCCAGCAGCAAGAGTGTCCTGAGGGTCTTTTTCGCCGGCAATTTGCTGGCTGTCCATGCCAGTCCCTCCGCGTCGGAGATCACTTGAACTTGGCGCGTGGCTGGTGAGAAGCCTTGGAAATCAAACAAGTCACAACAACCGCTCACAGTCCCGATTAGGCAAGTCAATTTTCACACCCGCGACTCAGGGAAGTAAAGCTGGATATCGATTGGCGCTCCGTACTCAATGCAATTGTTGTTATATAACAGTGTGTTTGTTATCTTCCGACCCAGCTACTACTACCACTCCGGATGCTTGTAACCGCTTGATGTGTTGCAGTCGTTCCTCGTCAACCTGATACATCTTGGGATTCTTCCCATCGGATAGTAGCTTGAAGATTTGGATTCTAGTGAGGTCGCGATACCGCCCGCTAGCAGCATTGCGTCTCAAAATAGCATGGCCCGCTGACCACAACACTGAAGGAAAATTCCATTCACCCTGAGGCCAGCCGCCCGTTGCGTCATCTTCTAATTCGTCCTCTGAATCTTGCTCGTCATGATCTTCATAAGGAAGGACAGTATCATCATCGACCTCGTCCCTGTTCTCATCATCTTCATTATTCACGTAATATGGGTTTTGCCACTCATCATTGTCCCTCTCGTGACAACGGATTTCAAGCCGACGCAAGCAAGGCAAAAACCTGGGCTGAGGCAACAACAAGAGGAATGGCTCCGCGAATTTACGGACCACGCCGCCCCCGACGATTAATTCCGTGATTCGCAAGTCATAGAAAGGATCATCGTCACGGTGATCTGGCCAGGAAGAATGGCGCCAGGCACTGAGAAGGACAAGCTTTTGGAGGTGTGTTGTGCCTGAAGAACGGAAAAAGTCGTTCAGCATATATGGCTCGAGTACGTCAGGATCGGGGACGAAATGCTCCAAATCTTGCGGTTCATCGTCGGGTTCAGGCTCTAGTCCTCCCCAGCCACTCGAAACTCCAACAGTGAGCGTTTTCAATAATGGTGCTCTCAGATGCTGCAGCGCGTGTGAATATTTTACACGTCCTTCATAAACAGCGAGTTCTGTTAAGTTTTCTCGAGTGATGCGCTCTTCGGGAGCGTCCATGAACTCCTCGTCCGTATCCGGAGAGCGACGCCACGGATACAAGTCGGATTCACGAGGTTCCAAGTCGAAGGATATTTGCCGTAGATTGACAGTACTAGTCATATTCATTATATCGAGGAATCCTCGGAATGTAAAACCCTTTGCTGTGAGGTGGGTAAGTTGGGCCCATGGAATCACCGGTTGGATGTGATCCAGCCAAATAGAGTCAAGGACAACCGATCGAAGGTCTCGAAGATTCTGAAACATGTTGAAGTCCTCGCCACCACCAAGGGAGATTGAACGTAGCTTCGAGAAGTCGAGCCGTCCCCGGGCCAAGGCATTAAAAGCACGCATGTCTTCCGTCCTAAGTTTGACCTTTAACGATGCCAGTTTGTGAGTGTGAGCTTTGAGGGCGTCGACGATGGAAACAAAGTCGGTTTGCGTCTTGGAGGAGGAACTATGGGTGCAGCCTAGCCCGATGGCTAACACACCGGAAAAAGCAAAATATCAGCTTGAACAGAAACTGTAATTGATTTTAGACCAATCTGAAGTAGAATTAGGCCAACTTAAATGCAAAGTTTTAATTGAGCAGAAACCTACTCAGAATTTGGACAAAGATGTACAAAAATCAGCTCCAACAAAACCCCTTCTTTCTTCTAACCCGAAATGGCCATAGAAACTACGCCTATCAGTGCTAGTTTCTGCGCTATTGAAAGTGGCAATTTATAGCTCACTGATTCTTGCACAGAAACAAAGGGTTTCTGTGCAAGAATCAGTGAGCTGGAAACAGACAGAAACCCTTTGTTTCTGTACAAGAATCAGTGAGCTATAAATTGCCACTTTCAATAGCACAGAAACTAGCACTGATAGGCGTAGTTTCCATGGCCATTTCGGGTTAGAAGAAAGAAGGGGTTTTGTTGGAGCTGATTTTTGTACATCTTTGTCCAAATTCTGAGTAGGTTTCTGCTCAATTAAAACTTTGCATTTAAGTTGGCCTAATTCTACTTCAGATTGGTCTAAAATCAATTACAGTTTCTGTTCAAGCTGATATTTTGCTTTTTCCGGTGTGTAATAGCCGGGCTTTCGCTCGTTGCGAAAATGCTTGAAGCTTCTCCAGGGCTATTTCGGTACGAGTTACGCCCTTGGTATTCAGAACGCAATTGTCGACAATGCACAACGAAACGCTAGACCAAAGCCTGGGTGTTTTGATTGCTATCTGTCTCCATTCCCGACAAACCCAAGATACAAGTAACGGAACGGGGCGGGAGCATCGCTGGCTGGTTGTCCAGGAATGATGTAGGTATTCGCTGATGGATTATATCCCTCGGCCTTGATGTAACCCTTATGGAGTCCAAGTTTAACTGGTAGGCACTGGGTGAAAATCTCAGCGAGAATCTCGTTAGGCAAGCTTGATATGCTAGTGCATGGTGACCCCGTTTCTAGTTGTTGTGGGGGACCAGGGGAATTCGAGTCGGAGTCTACGTAGACTACCTGAGAGAGATGGCGGTTCGAGGCCATAAGTATGGTTTCTATGTGACCGTGACCCCAGGAAGAGCTTCTAGAGCATCAACTTAGATGTGGATAGTAATACTCAACGAGGCTTCATTGTTCACTTTTGATAATACACAGGTTATGCACTACGGATGACCACGCCAAGTAATTGTGGTGCTGGTAGTGAAGTCTCATAAGACCGTGTTCAAACCGCCAAACGAGCGTGTTCATTGATATTGTCTGCGATAATCTTGCGCAAGTTGTCAATGATGTTGTGTTTGATCGCGGTGGGATCTTCGAATGCCTCTTTCAGCATGCCCAGCATGACGTCTATCGAGTCTTGGTTAAAGCCCATGCTCTTCGCCGCATGCGCAAACGCGCCGCTTGGTTCAGCAACGTCAGGATACATCAGCTGTGGCAAAAAATCGGCAGGGTTTAGCATGACATCACCACCAAAATAGTCAACGCCTACCATAAGGAGTACGAAATCCGTATGAGACGGGAAAAGGGTGTCCTTGGTGACCTTTTTCGGGTCTGCTTTGTATGGTATGCCCGAATACAACATGATACTCTTCTCGTCAAACTGAAAGAATGTTCAACACAATATTACTCGAGTCTAGGGCCACAGACCAGTGTAGCCACCATGGTGGCAGTGACGGGATCCAACTTGTTGGACGTTGGCGACAGCGGCGACTCATGCTCGTGGTCTAGTCCAAAGGCATGGCCGATCTCATGATAGATCGTCCGCTTCACCTCAGCAAGCCATTCTTTATTGAAGTCTTTCGCGTCCTCTGCGGAGCTGGGAAGACCCCCAAGAAAGAGTGATGCGAATCTCGGGCCAGGAGCGTCGGCAGGATCATTGAGGAATACTGTTGTGCGCATCGTAGCGCCTCTCCCCCCGAAGTCCACCCCCAGGCTCCCCCTTGAACTGGCCACCCAAAAGCGATGCGAATGTTAACCTTTTTGCGATCTTCTGGTTTGGAGAAATCCAGCTTGCTCATATCCTCGTGCGTCTCCTGGAAGTTGAGAGGCACGTTGTCCAGATAGACTTTCAAGGCAGCTTTGAACGCGTCTTTTCGATAATCCGTGGGATCGCAGCGCTCGGCCTTGTCGGGAATGTTTCTGTGGTACTTGGTCTCGTAGGGCATGAAGCCATAGGTGATTACATCGTCGAGTCGCCAAAGGTGACGGGTCCGATCAGGAATGTAGGCATTTATCGTGAAGTCGGTTTCGGGCTCGGCAGGAGATTCGAATGTACCACACCATGTATCGGCGGGAAGGAGAACATAGTCTGCCGCCATCAGTAAGACCAGAAAGATAAACTAAAATAGAACTCACTGGAATCGTCACGAGGAACTACACTCTGGTTGGGATACTCTTGCTTAGCAAGAGCTTGGGTAAGCTTCGCAGAGGCTGCTTCTGTAGTCATTGCCGTTGGAGAAATTAAAGATGGGGTTTCCATTCTCTCCCCCTTTTTATACCAGTGTCCTCAGGAACTCCTGTCGACCGGCGTTGGCTTGAAGCGTCAAAATCCGGGATTACTGACCGGTCGTCGCGTCAACAGGGCTCCGGTGGCGTTTGATTCCAGGAGGCTTCAAGCTTCCTGTCGTGCTAAACACCTATGTACCTGGTTTACGGTTTGTGTGAGTGCTTCCGAAGCCGGGACCTTACGCAATGACGAGAAAAACAAAAAAGCGTCGTGGAGCATTATGAATGAGCAAGTTAGAAGGAAATATAATATACTCGGGTTTGTTTCAGTCGATGGGCCACAGAATCTGGACATGACGCACCATGATATCCAACCCCGACAACCCAAATCAAAGCGGAGCAGCTGCCGGCCCACTCCACCATGCGAATATCTTGCGGACCAACAAGAACGAAAAGAATAGTGCAACAACACCAAGGGCGATGCGCCACGTCCGCAGTCCACCTTCGCTGATTCCGAATGCCTGGCCAGCCCGCCGCGTTGTCTGCGCTAGGGAAGCACCGAATGAGTTGAATCCATTTCCCTGGCCACATGAGTACTATGATCAGCAGCTGGACTACAAGGACATACTGTGTCGTCTAACATGACATTCTGTCGCTCAACATCATCGTAAATATCCGTCGTGACCTGAACAAGTCCAAGGTCAGAGCTTGGCTGGGTAAGGAGAGACATGGCTGACACCACGAAGCGTGCGTAGCTTAGAGTGTAGTTCGTCCAGCCGTTGATCATTCTGAGCTTCGTATGTGTTCTCTGCGGAGCGGGACGAAGACGCCATAGACAATGGAGAGGTCGGAGTCAGATGTGATGAGTAAGATCTGAATCGTCACCGTCGGTCACAACAGGCCTCCTTCATTGCGTCCTTCACGATGAACTACCGAGGACCTGGACCGTCAAGTCAAATTCCAGCGATTTTGCTCTACTAATTCTCTTCTGCGCAACGTCTTTATACCACCACTGGGGCTCCATCACTGTAACTTATCGCACAACCACGCCGTATAATGCGGTGAAGCATCTCTCGACCCAATTCCCTCCTCTGAAACCACCTCGTTGGATCATGTAAAATAAGCTCGTTCAGCTCGGGGAACGACTCGCCCTCTAGCACCTCCATCTGCCGGCGCAAAACTGGCCTGATAGGATTCCAAGTATCGGGGTCCACCTTCAGACGGATCCTCTTGACACTCGGCGCTCGGACTCCGTTGGCGAGTGCACTAATTTCAGGTGCACCCAGGAAGTACACGAGCTCGGTGAGAGCGGGCGTTCGGACGAGGATTTGTCTCAATCGGTTGCCTGGAAATACCATCTGTGGGGAGAATGCCAACTCGAGTGTTTGGATTTGCGTGCCTGCCGTCTGGATGAAATCGAGGAGCGGGTTCGGCAAGACCGTGACAGTATGCAAGATCAGTTGCCGTACGGCTGACTGGGAGGACACAATCTTGGGCGGAGGAGACGCCAAACAATTCTGGTGATTGCCAGCGGCATCAAAATGCGAACAATCAAGACGGAGGGTATGGAGGGTTCGCCGGAGTGCCAAGTCAGCCAACGCAGTTGGTCGGTCTGACGAAAGGGATAAATATTCTAGGTTGGGGGAAGTACCGACAAGCTCGCGAAGTCGGGCGCCATGGTTATTGCCGTAGAACCGAACGTCAAGCTCTGTTTCGTGCCATTCTAGACGGCGGAGATGCGTCGATGGTTGGACGATAGGGTCTCTGACGAGATGGGCCCAAAAAATAATATTCGGGGTGTTGAGGACAAGGCATGGTCGAACAAGTATATTGACTTGTGGACACAAGGCAAGGAGATTCGCGAGCGATGGGGCAGAGTCATCGAGGGGTATCGGGGCCGTTGGCCATGGCAGATCGTGGTCTGGGTCGCCTGAGGGTGTGGCGATTTGCGAGATAGAACGACGCCCAAGCAATTCGAGTCGACGGACATGAAGTCCCAATGCCTTCTCGCCGTCCTCGCTCGCAGACCGTTCTAGACCTTGGATCAGGCTTGAAAGTCCTGCTGGGCTATAGATGCACACATCACGGTACAAAAACTCTGCTACCAGTGAGCGACATCGTCGAGAGACCAGCATTAACGCCAAACAAGTCCGCAGGCGCACTCGCTCGTGAATCGCCGACTCCTCCGTATTTTGCAACTCCGGTCCAGGTTCGAATGGCTGGTAATCGACAGTAGAAACGGCTTCCGATGTTGCTGCAAATTTTATGATCAACTGCCAAATCTCTGTCGGAGCGGACGCCATAAGCACTTACTCGTATGTCCGTTTTCTGGTGCTACTTATATAGGCAATCCATAAGTGCCAGATAATTACCCAGAACAGCCAGTGGACGTGCTAAGTGGGTCCTTTCCATTCACCGGTTAGGCAATTCCGTCCGGCCGTCACGCCCGAAGTCCGGGAAGTTGGAACAAATCCAAGTGCATGAACTGTGTGGAAAGGGGAGGGAGAGCTGCAATTGAATTCATACCGTAAGAGTGCAACTAACCTCGAATGGCTCTCTACTGAATTATGGTGACTTACTTGACCATATATCTCTTAATTTTCATGCTTGACAACTTAAACAGAAGAGCAGTTCAAAGCAAGAGCAGTTTCCCCCATATTTCACACAACAATTCGAGTTGCTTTGTGACTCGGATGGCTACTTATTGCAATAGACAATGTCGGCGACGGCAAGAATACTCGTTCTTCACAGTTGTCTAATCCTTGATTTCAACGGTTGAAGAACCAGACTATAGCCACACGCGAAGCTTCGGCTCCACGTTTTCGAGGCTGATTCGCGAGAAGAGTGTAACCGGATCGACTGGCTGTGTTCGCGCGAACCATAAGGTCGTGCAAGCAATCTCCCCGAGAGCCTCAGCGCCTTGAATAGAACAGAACAAAACAGTGCGGCCCGTGATGGACTTCTTGCAAAGCAGAATGGTCGTGTGGTTTGGAAAACCTCATCAAGTGTTTCCCGAATTTGGCACATGAGTTGTTCGCCTGTTCGCACGACTCGGGCCCTATTTTCAATGTCGGCAGTTCCGAACTTGAAGTCTTCTCCATTGGCCGCGAACATTGCGAACGGCGCCAAAGCCTGTCATAGCCCCATACCTAACCCAAATCCATCAAATACACAGGGAGAGGTCCAAGTATCGCTAGAAATATCGGTCCTGGATCAATGTGCAATCGCATCGATATCATGGGCAGGTATTAAAGCTGGAAAAGCAACTTTCTAATATGGTTCAGTGGTACTAATTCTGTCGGATAAATAAGTCGATGTTCTAGTGTGGGTATTGGAGCAGAGATCCGCAGTAGAACCTCACATGAAGACTGTCAGCCGTCTGAAGAACGCCTTTCCGTCAAACCGTGGGCTAGTCGATGAAATGCGACAGTGGAAACAGAAAGGAAGGAAGTCAACCGCGTCACACAGAGTGTCTATACACTTGAACTTTCTTCGTGGCTTTGTTACATTCAATTCGGCAGTCGTAGAGTTTTAAATACATGTACAAGTCTATCAACTGCTTTAACTTATCTTTAAGTTACACAACCAAACGTGAAGCAGGACTAGAAGAATTGGCGTTACTGGCTACCCGTGCACCAGCCTGTACGGAAGAGGACCAGCGACTGAGAGTGCTTTGGAGCCCGTTCACATTGTCTGCATGGTTTGCAACATCTGTGGCGCCAACCGTCAGCATAGTTGTCGCTCCAATGGTGCTGAATCCATAAAGGTATACCGCTACACTGTCGGTATCCACCAGAGCAAGAGACTTCTGGCAGTTAACGGACGTTTTGCAGTCTTGAGAGTAGTTCTGACCGTAAAAGTCAGTGTGATGAACGGACAGTCTCTTGTGAACGGAGCTTACGATGAAGAAGCTGTAAAGACCGGCACCATATCCGTAGACGTGCGATGAGTTTGCGATGTTCAAGGCCCAGGCAGAGCCACTACTGCCCCAAGAAGGATCGTCCCAATCGCCCAGCGCTGAGAACGGATTCGGTGGCGCCGGGGTTGGCTGGTAGTAGGGCGTCTCGGTCTGAATCATTCCCATATATACGTTTTGGGAACCAACGATGCTATATTGGTAGAAAACCTTGTCCAGAAGGTCAGAAGGAAGCGTGAAAGCAGAAAAAAGACTTGCCGCATGTTCTGATGCAGTGCCGGCAAGCCAAACGGGACCGGAAGCATGGTCGATGAAAACACCGCGAGCACTGAATGCGTTAATTTGGCGTTGACCGGGATCATCCAGGTCATGGTCAGCAGTCCACACCCACAGGTTCTACGCATTTTATATTATTAGCTGATTCCGGTGTTTTCTATGAAACTTCTGACCTCGAAATAACCGCCACCACGGATATGCAGCCCCAAAAAGGCGCCCATACAAGAAGTTGCTGTGGTTGTTGTCGGACATTGACTGACTTGCATGTTTGTTCCGACAGCACCGCCAATACGAACATGGACATCCTAAACACTTGGTGAAACAGAGGACGCAGATGAGAAATAACACGGACCCAGGCCCCCACTTGTCCAGTAGGGCCATTAGTATTCCACTCAATAGCAATCGCACCGGCGGACCCTCCAACAGTCGAGACGACAATATCTGAGATCTCCACGCCACCATTGTCCCCACGGTTCCCAACTTGAAGAACGGCCTTCGGGCTATTGGGGTCATTGAAAACCGAGCCAGATGCCAAGATCGTGGTCCAAAACTCCCCCACTACAATCGACCCAGTTGGGATAGTGATGGTGTTGGATACCTTGCACACCCCGGCGTCAAGATATAGGATTTTACAGCCCCAAAACTTGTCAATGAAGGATTGAAGGGCTTCAGTGTCGTCGGTGGTGCCATCGCATTTCACGCCGTTCGACTTGGCCGATGCAAACTCTGCACCCCAATTAATGATTACTTGAATTCTGCAAGGCAACACTTACCGTCCACGGCGTAGTTGTTATACTGGGGTCGCGTGCGGAAGAAGACACCATTGTTGCTGCTCGTGGGATCGAGCAATTGAGCCGGGAGAGTTGGGCCTGGAACAGGTTGCGTGTTGTACGAATGTGAGGTTGAATTCCCTGCTAACAATATCAGAGGGCTCGTTTTCAAGGCGAGCAAACGACTGCATACCCGAATATACGTTGCCGAGAATAAATTGGTTCACAGTTCCGCCTCCAGGAAGGAAGGTATGCCCAGCACCGTCCACAAATCCGGTCGCTGAGCCATCCAAGTTGACATTCTGGAGGAAGATGGCCCCTGCAAGTTTGGAAGATTGATCAGTGTTGGTCTACGGGAAAGATCAGTGGAAACTTAAAGACAAGGGGACGAGGAAAACCTGAATCGCTGCTACATTGGCACTAATCGAACTGTCGAGGATAGTCATTGAACCAGTAGACTGATTTGCTTCCGTTTGGCCATTCGTGTTGACAGAGAAGCCAATGCGAGCATTGGTAATGACAATATTCTTGTAGGTGAACTGCCAATTCCATTGCTGAGGGGGGGATGCATGAGCAGTTTGGAGCGTTGAATGGCCACAGGGCTTACCTGCGAGATGGCGATATCGGCTCCGTCAATCTTTACATTCTGAATGGTGAACTGTTGATTCCCAACCCAAAGGCCGAATGCACCGCCGCTAATTGTGAGGTCCGCTATGAAGCCTCCAGAGCCGTTCTCTATGAAGACGCCTTGGTGCGAATTCCCAGCAGCGGTTGATAACAAGAAATCGATGCCAATAAGTGAAGTGGCTTGACCGACTTGCCAATGGATGCCTGTCCCGAATTGATTTGCCGGTATATTACGAGTGTCGAGGACCAGGTTTCGGACGGAGCGGAAGAAGTTGTTCACGGGACAGTACTATAATTTGGATATTAGCTGGGCTGATGCGCGAAGGACTCAAAAGACACACCCATTGGGGATCACTACTGGGACAATTCCATCCTCCTGCTGGTATGGGACCGCCCGTATAAACGTTTGCGTCAATGAGAGCGATGCCGGTGAAGTCCCCACGGGCAACGATGTGTGGCTTGTTCTTCGCATCGCCGACGCTATTCAGCTTGAGTAACGTCATCACGAAAACTAACAAAACCCACAGAGCAGTATAATAATATTGGACGATGGGTTTCGTGATCAAGTAGTTTCCGCTGGGGAAGTAGATGAGCGCCGGTGTCAAGGTGGACGACTGGCAGTTCAAATCTCCACAACGAGCACCATCTGCAATTGCCCGATTAATAGCATCTGTGTCCTGGAAGGTTTGTTAGCGAGGAGGGTCATCGAATTGAGGGACTCCAACATCGTCAACACCATTGCCTTTGGCAAAGTATGGCGCCGCCGTGACATCACGATAGACCTGATAGGATGGACCACTCGGATTGAAGGGCGACGTTCCTTGACGTGCAATGTTCTTCATCCAAAACGGATCTGAAGAGAAAATTAGTGAGCGTGTTCATTCATAACAGATAACGGGAAAGACCTGAAGAAGCTGCACTTCCTCCACCGAGAGGACTTGAGCATTGACTCCCAAGGGCAGCGACATTGGAAGCGGCAACGAGGAGTGGAAGGACGGCAGTGAGAGGTCGACGCATCGCGGACCGGTCCTAAGCAGACTCAAGGCGCGTGCTTTTTGAAGGTAAACCCCGAATGATTCTCCACAAGTTCCCCGGCTGGGGGATCTTTGATGCATGCCCTCCGTCGCGATGCAACCACGAAGATCGCAACTCGGACGTGCGCATCGAATGAGCCAAAGTGGAAAATGACGATATGTCTTTGCGCTCGCAGGTATTAGAAGAGGGTTTTCACCACAAGTCTCCGCATTGCTTGTCGGAAGAGGTAACTGATGCAGTCAGATGGTTGTTTGTCGCTGGCAGAGGTCATGAAGCTCCGGTTCAGCCAAGCGATACACAGTGAGGATCAGCGTGCATGACATGGCCTTGTTTGGCTTCATTCGATGACGTATATGGTCATGTTCATAGACAAGCAAGGTGTATTTTGCTAAGTCTAGGACCCAGCATTAACAAAATGCGAGAGCATGAAGAGATGATGGACAAGTGTAGAAACGATGAATCACATGTTCAAGTCAATTTGTGGAAGTGTCACACGTGTGGTCACATTCACGTGCATGAATCCGACCAGTGCCAGTCTTGAATTTGTGTGAGGCTGCAGTCCAAGTCTTTAGATTGTTCCTCAACATGCTGACCCTTTACATTTAGGGGCATTGGTCCAAAAAGAACAATAGCAGGAACATTGCGGGCTTCTCAGCACGACAGGATACTTGGGCGATCAACGGCATGGGAGGCTCTATGGCCAACCTTTGGCACTGAGCCCTGGCGCCCAGCAATCATGGTCGGATGTCGAGGAATATCGTGGATAGATGACAGTGCCTGGATGAGACTATAAGAGAGAATGTAAAGCCACTGGTAATTTCTCAGCGAACTCTGACCGAAATGTCTGCAGACCTTCTCACACAACTCTTGGACCTTTTTACCAGCGAGGAATTTGGTGGCGATACAAGTGCTACTATGACAACCGCAATACCTTCTGACCAACCAGGTATGCCTTGCTGTTGTTTTCCCGCTTCTCAAATGGCTAATTTTACCCATAGGTTTTGTTCTCTGTCCTGCGGAGAAATGGTGTGGCACGCCAGACTTGGAAGAAGAAGAACCCCCGGCTACGACGGACTCAGAGGTCCGTCCTCAAGGTTTTATCAACAAAGAACAAGATATCTGGCCTGTCTATAGCAAGATCTCTTATGGCTTCATGCAATGGAAACCGGACGAGAAGAAGTCGGATTGTGACAAGTCCAAAAAAAATGACCGCACCCCCTACTCCGTATCGACAGAAGCTTGTCCGAGATGTCATGGACTATTTCGAAAAGCACGCGGCTGTTAAATTCGAGAGGATTCCCAACCACACAAATTTCATGACCAACGCCGACTTCTCGAAGGAGGAGATCCGCCAACAGGTCGACCTTCGCATTGCTTTCGGCGTTCCAACTGCTGCTGGCTGCTGGGGCTGGACGGGGAAACCTGGCCCAATGATTCGGACAGCAGTTTTCGAAAACCAAGACCCAACACTCCCGGGACCGCGCTATACTACCGTTTACCTGGGAGGACTACCGTCTGACGCGGAATGGGAGAAGAAAATGCCTAAGAAAGATCTCGAGACGGCGATGCGGACGATATACCATGAGCTGGGTCATGTTTGTGGTCTCCAACACGAACACCAGTCTCCACAATCTCCAACAGTCGATGCCAAGGACAAGTCTTTTCCGCGAGTGGTTGCGACTTTGGTGCCTAACAATTCTTCACTCTCAACTTGCGACTAATCTGGGTTCCTAGTTCGACGAAAAAAGCATCATGTTATATGCCGGCAGGCCGTACAAGGCGGACCCTAAACGACTGACAGAGAGAACCCTGTTTCCTTCGCTCACAGACGAGTGTTTACTCAGCGTATGCACTACCGCACTAAATCTTCGCTTGCTAACCGATGCCTTTTGTAGATTATGTATCCATTCAACGCGGATGAGAACAGGACATTCTCCGTCGCCATACAGCATATGAATTTCAGTGACAAGGCGAGGAAACTCATGTTGGATGTTCTGGAGAAGGCTTTCGCACAGTTTCCCACCATAGATCATCCCACCATCCTGAAACTGCGTGCAGCAATCGCGAAAGAAATCAACCTGCGCCCTCGTTTGGCTCGTTTGGAGAAACCCGACCCTGACCCAAGACTCAACATTAATTTTGAATCCTGATCTTGTTCACTGGCATAGGATCCACTAGGACGTGGATATTAAAGCTATTGAATACATTCATAACAGTACCACGAGTGGCGTTGTAATGAACGATGACACCCGTAATGAACAGTCCAAGATGAAGTCCAACAATGACTGCGACAACGATTTTACCAACTCGGCGCTACGAACGACTTCGAAAGCAGGAAGAGGCTCAAGAATGGGTGTTTGTCGGTGGATGAAGACGAGAAATTCGCCCAAGAACAGGGGGATTGAAGGAGAAGCGTAGGGCAAGCACAACATCTTCGTTCATGCAATGCGAGGAAATGGTAAACAGATCGAGGTTCAGCAAACAATCTTCTCGTTGTTTAGGTGGGCAGTTTTCTTTAGGATTCTTTATCGTTTTCTATACCGATTATTTGTGTCTTCAAGCTCTCTCACTAGTAGCAATCCACTTGTTTACATTTCCAGTCACGGTTCAACGTTTGACTAACATCCCGAAAATGCTTGTGAGTCGGTATTTCCAATGCCGGTATGAAGTTCTCAAGCTCCTGTGTGCGTGAGTGCCGCGCCGCAATCGCGTCATCCGTGCGCCATCTTAGCTCCATGTCTTATAGCTCGACACGGACACAAAAGGTGACGAAATGGCTTCCCAACCACAACACACAACTTTTCTCGAGCGGAATGCACAGTATGTTGCCTCTTTCGGAGACAAAGGGTCGTTGGCCTTGCCGCCCGCGAGGAAGCTGGCCATTGGTGAGTTAATCGTCCTTATCTTATCGTGATTTGGGAGGAGTTTTAATTATGATTGGGTTTAGTAACGTGCATGGATGCTCGTCTCGAGTATACTTCCGGTTTATTTGCTCATTCGTAATTTGACGAGGGTAGTCCAGAAGCCCATCTAGGCCTCAAGGAGGGCGACGCTCACATCATTCGCAATGCCGGCGGTGTTGCGTAAGTAGCTCGCAGGTCCCAAAATTGTCCAATCTACTGACATCACGACAGCAAAGAGGCGTTGCGCAGCTTGATCCTTTCCCAACGCCTTCTCGGAACGCGGGAAATCGCCGTCTTCCATCATACCGACTGCGGCATGCTCACATTTACCGCGCCGGACGTGCAAGCCATCATCAAAGACGCGGCACCTGGTAATGCCGAGATCGCCGCACGTGTCGAAGCAATCGACTGGCTCGATTTCAAGGACTTGGAGAAAGCGGTGAAAGATGATGTTGCGTATCTGAAGAGCGAGCCCTTGATCCTTGAGGGGACACCGGTGACAGGATGGGTGTACGATGTGGGAACAGGGAAAATTACGCAGGTTGCCTAGGTGAAATTTCGATGGCGGGTTAGACTGCATTTTCTAGTTTCCCACAGTTGAATATTGGCTGAATTGTCTAATGATAAATATTGACAAACGCGATGACGGGCAGACGAACGGCAGTAGAGGATTGTGATATTTGATCATTGAGAATCCAAGACACTGAAATTGACTGAATACAAGCTCCAACGGAAGCAAAAGAACAGGGAAATTGCATGACGACGACGTTGATAGAATAACCGCAAGTCACAAATTGCCTGCGTCAGGAATACTTCAGAGCTCCCTAAGAAAGAAAGAATTGCGAAGCCCAAGCATCATCGTGGATATATTTCAATGATTCGGATAGATTTGACCATCGAAACCTTCGAGTCTGCACTGATGCCTTCAAGGAGACAATCATCAGCAATTGATCGGCTTGAAATATCTGAGTGTTACCCCATGGCACCGTAAATGCCACTGTACCCGTCCCGGCAACGCCAAGATCGAGAATTTCTTCTCGGGTCCAGATTGGACGCCATACTTAAAACGAGCATTCCAAGACACAACAAAGTCAGTATTCGCCAGTCGTTCATCATGTTGTTCGCCACCGTCTTCTTGTCGTTGTTCTTTTCGCTTTCTTCTGCGGCCCCAGTGGTCATTTCCTCTCGTGCGGCTTGTGCCGATGTTATGGTGCGTAGATTACAAGTCTAGAAAAGCATGTTGATGGAGAGCAGGTTATTTTTGCCCGAGGGACAACGGAGCCGGCTCCGATTGGGATTGTCGCTGGCCCGCCTCTGCAAGCGGCGCTCAAAGCAGCATTGAAAGGAAGGACGCTGTCGTTCCAGGGCGTCGACTACCCTGCGAATATCCCAGGATTCTTGGTCGGCGGTGATAAACAAGGCTCGAAGACGATGGCGGACGACGTAAGGTGTCTTGTGTTTTGAATTCTGGGAGCTGAGACGACTCCTTCAAAGTTGACCCAGGCGGCGGACGCATGCCCTGATGTGAGTACATTGACGCTATAGAAGTCCTTCATCTAATAAGATGTTGGTAGGCCGCCCTCGTCACTGTCGGATACAGCCAAGGGGGGCAACTAGTGCATAATTCCGCCAAGTTGCTTTCCGAGGACGTCTCTAAACGTGTCAAGGCTGCAGTTATCTTTGTAAGCTATGTGTGGGCTCGAAATATTGTAACTCACGCGGTCCAATATACTCAGGGAGACCCGGATAACGGCCAGGCCGTCGCTGGAATTGACGCCGCGAACACCAAAGTTATCTGCCATGTGGTGAGCTGTGAACCGCGCTCCTATGATAAACACGCTAACTCTGGGTGAAACAGGGCGACAACATCTGCCAGGTATGGCTTGAGTATTGCCACGAGAAACGTGTCGCTGACAGTGAGAAATAGGGCGGCAGCTTGATTCTCCCCCCGCATTTGTAAGCCATCCTACTTTGAGGAGACTTCGAAGTTGACAGGCAGCAGGACGTATGGTCAGGATGCGAGGTCTGCGGCGGCGTTCATCGCAAGCAGGGTTTGAAAATAGTCGAACTCGTGATGAACGGAAGTTATCGGGTATGATGTATGGTGGATCCAGGTTGGGAAGCGCTTTGGTCGGAGAAGGGAAACAACTGAAAGTTGGCAATGAGTTTGAAAACGTTCCTTGTAAGTTGGAGCCTAGTCGAACGTTTCGCGATGGGTGGTCCACGGAAATGCTTTTTTTGTGTAAATTCAGGATCGCAGCGAGTTATTGTGAAGCGTTTTTGCTAGAGAAGTGGTTGGATTGGATTGTTAACACACGCGTAGGACACGGCGTGAATCAATCAATAATTGAAGCTTGCTCGGGCGACACTGCCTCGTGAAACGACAGGGATAAATGTTCACGAGCGTACAGTGTGCCATATACGTATTCCAAGGAAAAGGTAGAGACAGTGACGAAAGAATGAGGCGGGGGTACTTCCTAATTTGGAAGGATCACTTCTTGCGCTTTGGCTTTCGCACTCATATCTTGGTTCTGCTCCACCACCACCCATGTCTGTACCCACCGAAATAATCCCCGATATCGACCCCGCCCATCTTCCAGCCCTTCCTCGCTCCAATTCCAAACCAAAGGGTATTCTCAAGCACGCTCCTGAACCGCGAGGCAGCGTTGGCCAGTGAGTAGTAGTCTGCCTTGTCCTTATCAACGACTCACTCGTATCGCAGCAGCTTACAATGGGATGAAGAGAACTTGGCTCTTACTGAGATCCAGAAAGACAGTCTCATGAAGATTACGGAACCCAAGACGCCCTACGTGAGGTATAACGCCGAAACTGATACTGTCGAAGGAGGCGCGTCGGCTTTCAGCTTTGTTACTGCTCGCTAAATCAACCGGCAGAAATTCCCAATCTCGATCTCAACGGACACTGGTCCAACTCCAATCCGGCATCACCCACAATGTCGACCTCTCCAACAGGTGCAGACGTTCCCGGCTCCGGTCCATCTTCCAGACGCACTTCTTTCTCGAGCAACGGGCGATCTGGCTCTATCTCGGGCCGGTCTGGCAGCGACCATTCTAGCCGCAGCACTAGCTTTAATCTGCCTGATGAAGCGAGGCGGGGAATCCGTGCTGATGGGCGAGAGCCAGGCGACGAGGTTGAATTTGGCGAAGAAATGGACGAAGAGAGTAGGCCCAATCATGATTCGTTCTCCAGACCTTCTCATCGATCTTGTCCTAGCCGCTGCTAAACACGCCGCTTTCGTTCGTGCGCGTGGACGACACTATTCTAATGAAGCAGAGGCCATGAAGGTAAGCTATTTGTCATTTCTATCGCAATTATTTAAATTTTTTGTCCCAGATGGCCGCTAGACTATTGCGTGAAGAGGAAGATGACGAGGGTAATGAAGACGATGCAGTCGACGAAGTTCCGCCAGTACCTCCCCTGCCGCCATCGGTAAACGGTGTGACCCACTGACTGAAGTTTACAACAACTGTTTTTGCTACATGTAACTCTGCCACAAATAATACACACAACAATTTGCAAGCTGTCCCATAGCCCAAACAACCCATAAAATGTCCGATAGGCCATGGGTCAATCTTTTGTGACTCTTTCCGTCGCGTATCAAACCGTCGATCCTCGCCAAACAAAAAATCATCAGCTGTCATAGTAAACTTTACCTTACTGGGGATTGAACAGCACTGGCAAGACTGTGTTTTGCATCTGAGCATTTTGAAAGGTTTCTAGCACGGGCGAGATTGCCGCGAGCTCAAAATCCTGTAGTTTTTGTGTGCCAGGTTTTTTTGTGACGTGTAATAAGGATAGCGATAAGATAACAGTGTAGAGATAGAAAAAAGACAGTTAGCGACCTCTAAGAGTCGGCAAGGACGACACCTACATCAACTGTCGACCTGTCAGAAGCGAAGAAAAGTGGAAACTAGCAGACACACCATGCATACTAGGCAACCGGCTTGTGTTCAGCCTCGCGGCAGGGGCCTGGCGCAAAGCACGGAAGTCGTTCTTCTGGTAGGTCTTGGTGAGGCCCGTGGCAGCTGGTGAGCGAAGGAGCCCGGATGGTGATGTCAACACTCCGAGGATGTCTGGTGTGTGGGATGTTTTCGGGGTGCTGGGTGCCACCTCCGGTTGTGCCGAGTTTTGGAGGAGGTTGATTATTTCTTGGAACGGTAACTCAAGTCGTTCTGGCAGCTTTACCGCGTCGGGGGGCATTGCGTCATTATCGTCCACTTGAATCACCTCTGTCACAGTTTTGAGTGTAGCCCGTGAGCTGGCGGGAAGGGCCTCGGCGAGTTTGGCGTACAGTTGCGCTAGCGCGGTCGATGATATTCCCGATAAGCTGGCCGTGTGCTCCGACAGCCATTCAAGGATTGACATCGCCGTTCCGGCGAGTTTGGGAGTGACTTTTCCGCTCGCAACGCAAGCGAGGGTCTGCCCAATCTCCAACTTGAGGAGGGCTGCATATTGTAGGTCGGCCGGCTGCCACGGCAATTCCTGTTTGAGGACATCGAGGAGCACCCACGGCTTGTGGTGGAAAGCACGCAATGTTGTCAGTACAAGAGCGGACTTGAGTTCAGTGCTGAACGACTCCGTCCGAACGGCAAGAGCGCCAGTAATCTCATTGAGAGCAGGACATAGAACGTGGATGTCGAGTAGAGCTATGAGACAGCTTGCGAGGAGAGTCGAAACCTCAGGGACATTTGAGATGGTGGTGATTAACCATTGTGATGATGCATCAATGAGCTTAGACAGGAAATGCAGGGAAAGGTATAGCTGATGGTGCTCAACGACATGGAGTTCATGGGATGACTCAACTATACCGGAAAGCTGTTTCAGCTCTTGTATAAGCAACCATTCTCCGACCCCGGTAACACCATCGTCCAATTTGACCAACCGCGTCATGACGAACACCTTCTTCTCCGGCTCCAGCAGGTCGAAGAAACCAGTGAGCTCAAACAACGTGTTGGGTATGATATTCATTATCCAACGATCGTCAGACACGGAGTTCTGTGGCAGCACATGGTCGACAAGAGAGAGAATATGGGATATGACCAAGGTTGGATCGCGAAGACGTCCAACAGTCACCGTTGGATATTCCAAAAGTGTTCTAAAGACTACTTCTGCGGCGAGCCTAGGCGGGTCGACGTTAACTTCGGGTTGTACGAACGAATTGAGGGCCTTCAAACAAGACTGACGGAGGCTGGAAAGAAGTGCCTCCCTTCCTTCCAAATGCAGCAGATCGATCTGGGCCAATTGTGTAGACAAAAACACGTAGACGATGCCAGAGATGAAGTGCCGGAGAGTTCGCCTTGTTAACACATGTTTCCCACTAAGCGCCGTGATCAACCTTAGCAAGTCGTCTCCGGTGTGGAATAGCTGAACGACAAGTGGTACATCTGCCGTTGGCGGCAGAGACAAACCAAAATGCCTCGTCAAATCATCGGCGATTTCGAGGAACATCTGGGTCAATCGATCCACCAGTCCATGAGAATTTTCTCGCCAAAGTGCTTCTAGTATATTCCACTCCCCTAGCTCCCCTGAATCCAGTTCTTGTTGAACAACACTCAGTGCTACCCTGATGGCGCGCAATCGCCGCAAAGAAAGTGGACGTGTGCTCGAAAACGTCAACTCTTCGATGGCGGCAGGAAGTTTGTCTTGCGCAACCAAAGCCATTTTGGTCATAACTTGGCGTTCATGCTCTGCGATGTATGCTAGTGGAGTGCCCTCGAGATGGCTTATCGCGTTGATGACGTCAGTCGAGAGTATAGCTTGTGGGTCCGTGGTCAAATCTGCGAAGATTTGTTCCGCAAGAATTCCAGAATGGCGAGGGGGTTCATTGCCAGTTATGATCCATTGTAATCGTCGAGTGAGCTGCCGAAGAAGGAGGAGATGGTTGACAATCTGAACGTATTGCCGTCAACACTGAGCCAAGGACATTGTTCAAGAGACAACCTACCTCCCGATAACCATTGACGCCTTGCCATAATTTCACAATCGCGAGTGTTTGAGTTCGACAAATATCGTTGCCCAAGCTATCTGACCATGCCCATACAGCTAAAACACTGGCAACTCCAATATATGCTCGAATGAATGCAATAAAGTCTTCACGCGTGATTTCATTGCGATGATGTTTTCTTGTGAAGGGCTTTGCGCTCAGCAGTTGCTGTTCCGTCGGAATGGGAGCCTCGGCAAGCTTAGCAACAATACTTGAGTGTAAAATCATCGTCTCAAGCCATATTCCGACGGACTGTTCGTCCAGCCCGATTTCTACAAGTAGCTGGGATGAGTGGTCAAAGTCCCCCTTCACGTCATCAATTGCATGCTCGAATGCCGACCAACGTCTTATCCGTTCAGCGAGGCGAAGGGCGAGTTTTTTGTTGCCTTTTTCTGCTGTCGGATTGGCTTGAAGTTTGTCGAGCTCGGTAAAGAACCAGTCAGCATGAAAGTGTCGCGAGATATCCGCGTTGGAAACGGCGTCTAACATGTTTATCAGAGTCATGTTATCGTCCATGGTGGTTGAGTCGAAAACGGCTTGGGTATCGACATGTTGCTGACTAAGATTGGATCGTTATGGGATGGATGTGAGGTAAGTAGCGCACCAAAAGCGTCTGAGCCATGTCGGGATGCTGGGAAGCAGAGACAACTAGCAGTTGACTGACAAGGTATGCTTGGTTGATGGTCTTGAACCAAATCAAATAATGTTCGGGGCAGGCAAGACAGGAAATAAACCTTGCGTCCGATTGCATCTGCTACTTTCATTGCAAAAGTAGAACGAGTCTCATACGAGGTGTCCTCTGGTAGTGGTCGCACAGTTAAATCTACTGCGGCTTCAAGGTTCAGCGGATCACTGGCAGACTCCAGGTCTGCATGAAGATATGGAAACTCTGGGAGGTCCCAGTCGTCATTAGAAGGCTTCAGGCAGAACATGAGACGGATGACGAGCTCTAGTTTTGGAGAATTAGGAATGAGATCGAGCAGTTGTTTGGCGATGAGAGTTGGGTCTCGCATTGTGGCTGGATCTAATGAGGCTGATAGTGGCAATGGAGGGGACAGTTCAGGCAGAGACACTGGTTCGTATTCTGGAGATGTTGCTGGAGTTTCGACTGTGTCGCCATAGATAGCAATAGAAAGGCTTGTAAAGTCCCCTTTGACTATCATTAAGCGTGTAGCGTACTACAGAAATATTAGTTTCTACTACCGCTTGAAGAAAAAGACACACATCTTGGACCATATCCACCTCGAAGTCCACTTCTCCGCCGGTGTAAGCGATCGAGGTCGGGACAAGAGCATTTGCAGGACGCTGCTTTTCCTTTGCTTCAAGGGAAGTGGGTAGTGCGTTCAAGAATATGTTGAGAAAAAAAGCCTCTGGCTCAGTGCAACTAGATATGCGTTATAACAAGGGACGGAAAGCAGAGATGAGACTGACGCGACAAGGTCAGGAAAGGGAGTGGCTCCAGTCGGAAATACGCGTATACATGAGATTCGAAGCGGCGCCGTGAAACGTAGGGCTGCAATGCCGCTACCGCCGCTGGGGGCGAGTGTAGCCCAATGGAGGAGCGGCATCCAGGCTAAAGCTTAGACTGAACGTGACGGTCACCTGTGACACGACCTCTCAGGAACTGCGGAAACAAATGAGCCGACCCACCGCTATAACGCTGCCGCCTATCGACGTGCAACATTCTGCTCCTTTTCGTTCCCGTCCACGGAGTGCTAGTATCGTAAAAGTTGAGCAGGTTGGCGATGGGTCGTTGGAGGAGGTGCTTGACCAAAGTGCCTATGTCAATATCAATGCAAACTGGGTGAATGCAAAAGGTCCGGGGCCATTTTATCTGCTCTCTTGTTCGTTACTGAGTATCAGAAAAGGCGCATGGCTCATTCACGTCGTCTTAATTTGTCTGGGAAAACTGATTATTGACACCCTCCCGGGCATGACGCAGCAAATAAGCTGGACGCTTGTAAATCTCTTATATCTTGCCGTGCGTCGTCGAAAGTCAAACAAAGAACTGCTTCTCAAAGCCGACCTAGCTTTCCTACTTGATGTTTCACTGGGTCACCGGCATCCCTTTCGGGAGTGACCTGCACAGCGGGGCTTACGACGACCTCACACTGTGGGAACAAATCGACGATGGTGCGCAATATACGCCCGCAAAGAAGTGGCTTACCTTTGTTCCTGTCGCACTGTGTGTATCCCACACTTCACATTCTGTCGCTGATTGTGATCCAGCTTTCTCGCATCAACCCACTATACCAGCTACAATCCTTGGCTATTCGCTATCAACATTACAGCGCTCGTTTTCGTCCTCATTCCCAAGCTGCCGCAGGTTAGCATTCGTCTATACCCAACTCAATACCAAAAATTCACGTCCCTCGACAGCTTCACCGCCAACGCGTTCGCTTTATGCATGAATCAGAGGCCTCAGGAATGGCAACACCAGTCACCCCGATACATTCCTCTGGCATGAACACGCCCTTGAAAGACATCACAGAAGCCCATTTCTTCAAGTAGACAGTCGCGCAGCATCTTCACGCAAACTCTTGTATTAACAATACACACTTAGAGCCACCAAGACTAATATTCTGCAGTGGTTTCCTGCGGAGTCTCGGATAGTACGATTCGATATCCTAAAGTACTACGAAAATCACCATTGTGCCAAGAAGTTGTTGATGTTGAAGATAGAACTCCCGTTCATCAACCTGGAGAGAATTGAATTTGTGGCAAGATTGAGCGAGAAAAAGCGCCTTCCTATCTCTCTTTTATCTCAATGTTCATTTTTTTCAAATTTGCCATATTAGTTGTTTGCTCACTAACCAAAATTATTTTGCACTCTGAATTCTGCTAAATTTCGGGCTGCTAATTGGCGAATACAATATGATGGTAAGTCAGTCTCTATGTTGCTATAGATGTGGTGACTGGTATTGCTGCAAACGCAACCTGCAAAATTATAATCAAGGCCGAAACTTGGCGAATGCGAAATTGCCCACAAATTTCGTAACAGCATCAATATTGTCACTTTCCCTACGGCGGGAATATACATTGAAGCCTGAAGAACTCCTTCAGAAGAGAACCACGAATTAGCATAACCTAACCGCACCTTTTCTCTGACATCGCCCTCGAAATTCTTATCGGCAGCCACATTGACACATATGCAACCATCTTTGAGCCACTCGGTCTTGACTTTGTAGTCGGCTGAAGGAACAGCAGAGATGACGACGTCGGACATGGAAAGGCATTCTTGAAGGGTGAAGTTGGAAGGGTGAACTACATGACGGGGGTTGTAGCGCGGTGCCGTCGAGGTCTTGGGACGTTTGGTGTATTCCTTGAGAGGAGAATGAGTGTCTGATCAATAGCAAAGCAGAGATGAAGCCAACCTGGATGGAGTCAATGTCAACAGAGAATACCCGAGCACCGTCATTTGCGAGGAGGGCAGCCAAGGGCCTTCCAACAACTTCCGATCTGCTTTCATATAAACCTCCGAAGGAATCTAAGAAAAAGGTCCTACCGGTTGATAACAGTGATTGTACGGCCATATGCACGATCGCCATAAGGAAGAATCTTGTTGTAGACGCCGATATGTTCAAGGCACTTGACGATGGCGAGTGGTGTGCAGGGAATAATACTTTTGACAGTTCCAGCAGGAGCGTCTTCTCCATTGACACTGGCAGAAGATCCAGACGGAAGACCGCTTGTCAACAACGATTGAGGCTCGATGAAGCGGATGCTGCCAAGGGTTTGCTACAGCTAAGTTGACAGAGAATGCGTACTTGTGATATAAGTTGTAGTGGAATTTGAAGTGTAGGCCTTCGACATCCTTATATGGTGACACAACCTATGAGATGTTCCAACAAGGTCGTAAGGAACATACTGATGGGCTTGCCTGTTGAAGGTAATGGTCCTACGAAGCATTACTCTTGGGAAGGAAGGAACGAATTGGTTATCAAACCTGCTGGTGTCCGAATATAGGGTAATACACCTTTACACAGTGAATTGTCGTACAGCTGATTTGGTCTTCAAACCAACCATGATTCCGTCCACATCTGGGTCATCGTTGGCTTCGATAATGGCCGCTTCCACACCATCTCCCTCAGGAAGGTCGCCCGTGTCTCCAGCACCTGTCTTCTTGAGAACGAAGTCGAAGCCAAGCTCTTCACATTGTTTCCTGGTGAAGTCTGCATAGAATTTACTTGGTGCGGATGATGTTGCCAGAATCCCGACCAAACGTGGTTTCCGAGGGGCGACAGCTAGCGAAGTTTTGACTTCTTCCCGAAACGCGGCGGCGATGGGATCTGCTTTGAGTAAAAGTCCTTTGCCAGCCATGGTTGCGAGACAGAAAATAAATTAGTCACGGCGTAACGCGTGTAACGATTTGCCGAATTCGTTCGTTGTCCCTCAAATCGCGGCAACCCCATTTCGTTTCTCTTCTCGACGGACATGCAACCGCCATGTCTTTTACCTTCCACTGGCCAGATTTCTCCGACCAGTTTCACTACGATGCCATCCAAATGCTCAACACTGCGCTCAACAAGGGTAACAAACCTCCCATTATTGCGGACAAAATCGAGGTAGTGGAATTGCAGATGGGGACCCAGGTATGCCTCCATCACACTTTCCCAAGACTCGCTCAATATTCCAAGCCTCCAGAACTGGAGATACGCGATATTGGCGACCTGACGATGGACCAATTTCGCGGTATCTTCCGACTAACTTATGCTGGCGATGCCCATTTGGTACTCAAAACGAAAGTCCAGGCCAACCCACTCAACCACAAACAACCCGACATTCATCTCATGACGGGCTCTCACGGAATGCTTGCCGCAAAGCAAGCCCTCGTTGTGCCCATGCTGCTTCGACTTTCAAACTTTAAACTCAATTCATATGTTGTTCTTGTCGTCTCGAAGCAGAAGGGCATTACGCTGGTGTTCAAGACCGACCCGCTCCAGAGCGTTGATATAAACAGCACCTTTGATTCGATTGAAGTTATCCAGAAATTCATCCAACGCGAAATCGAGGGCCAGTTGCGGCAAATGTTCCGCGAAGATCTACCTGGAATCATTCATCGACTCAGCCAACAATGGGTTAGGGCCAAAGTTGAAACTCCACCACGACGGACGACTTCTGAACCCCGCCCTCCTAACAGCACCCCTCCCAGTTTAACACGACAAAACATCAAGATGTTCAACTCCTCCGCATCTCTGTCACCTCCGGCAGTCCACCGCGCTGGATCTATAAGTCGCTCGACAAAAAGCATGCCCCCTCCTCCCCCAAATCCCATTATCACCGATACCGAGCCTTCTTTTGACCCTACCTACGGTCTTCGACCAGAAGGCGTCCCGGCCAAGAACGTCTTTCGTAGTTTTCGAAATCTATTTTCGTCACCACGAGGGCTCGCAGACCTCGCAGAGACAGAACATGAATCCTCGATGGCTGACGACTTCGAAACATCTTATGATGTTCTCGAATGGGGTCCGCCAATTCCGCCTTCAAGTATTACCGGAGCAGAGTCACTCTACGAGCGGATGCCAGCCGTCGGCGGTGGAACTATCATACGACCACGCGTCCTTCATTCCCAGTCCCCATCTCAAGCACCGTCACAAATCCACACTCCAGCTTTACATCGTACTCCGGACCGTCCACCATTGTCTCGCAATCCATTCTCTGCTGCATTTGCTTCGTCAGCATCTCCTCCTTCCTCTCGATCAACCTCCCCATCGCCATCACATACCCTCTCGCATTCCACCAACGAAACACCTCCTTCTGAATCTGACGCGTCAGGCGCCTACCATGAACCTCAATCTTTAACAGCCCATGCTGTTCACGCTTTGGCAATGCTCTCGCATTCCAACCACACTCTTTCGCCATATACCCGTTCCTTGGCCCATTTTGCGGTACGGAGTGGCCCACCAAAACCCCGTCCTCCAGCGATCAGTGCTGCCCGCAAAGGCAAACGAAAACGAACGTTTCATATTGGCAAGGGGACCAACAACGCCTCAAGGGACGCCAACTCAGAAGCTCACTCGCTTCCTAGTGAGATGTCTCCTTCAGAGTTTGATGCTGGCGACATGGATGTCTATTTTCGGCCATTGGACCATGACGAGCTTCCTCACTCGCCGCTGCGACACTCATATTTGCAGAATGATTGAACGATAGACTTGGTGTACGAATAGAAACCCTCACTCAATCTCACTCTCATTTATCTTTACCATAGTCTGTATTTCTCAATGTACAGTATTTGCAGCATCAAGTTTATTGTCACGTGGCATTCTTTCTCCCTTCCTCCCGATTCCTTGCAAACGAATCATGGCCCGGCCTGGATCTAGAAGATTCTTTTGTAACTTGAGTCGCTTAGACGTCCGCTTTCAGGTTGCTTTGACTAACATCGGGACAATGCGCCTTTGATAGGTGTCGTCAAAGCGCATAACAACTCTCAACTATAAAATGACCCAGACTCTCGTGCGAATCTTAGCACTACAAGACCGTAAGTATTCAAGCACCAAACCCCCATGGCTGTCAACAAGACAAACAAACGAGGAACTTTTCGTGCACCGAGCGCCAGCACCAGCTCCATTGCCAGCTCTTCCAGCATTCCCAAGAACTTCTCATTCAAGAAGATTGGCCAGATATCTAGCAAGGCAGTCGCGGCAAAGACACACGGACAGCGCAAACAAGCGGCCAAGCTGGCCGCCTCAAGCTCCCGCGGCAAGCTCCGTCGCGCAGAATCTGCAACATCCAAGGCGATGACACTTTCATTCACCCCCATGACCACGGGATGGGTCTTTGTTGGCAATGTTTGTCGCTTGCCACCTCGATTTGGCGAAACTGAAGTGCATCCAGCTCCCACCAGCGGCCACCGCGCGGGCTCTCAAGCGTTTCTTCTCCGAAGTCGCTGGCCCGGTCAAAGACGTTACCATTCGCTACAGTGGGGCAGGAGACAAGGCAGGCACAGCTGCAACTCCGAAATATCGCTACGCCGTCGTCGTCTTTGATGGTGATGCGGAAGAATCTGCAAACTCAGCAAATCGTGCAGTGTTGCAGGACGGAGCCATTATCACTGGAGATGAAAGGTTCCATGGATTCCGGCTTGTGGTGCGCAGTACAGTCTTGCTTTCCCTGACGCTGTCCTGATTATGATGAGTAGGTCACAGACCAACCAGCCGGTCTGCCCGACGTCAATCTGGTTGCCAAAAGTGCTGGAATCAGCGATAGACAGGAAATGACACTTTTCGCGGGCCTCCCGCGGCACAATCCTAAGCTCGTTCCGGGGGCTGAAACCGCAGCTGGTCATGTCGTGTATGTTTCCGGTCATTATCAATATCCTCCACAGCTGAGAAACGTTTGTCCAGTGGGAATGAAGGACCCGCAAACGGTAAAACCGTCAACAAAACCCAAGTCTGGGACCCACGCAGCCTCGCCAATCTTGTGCAGCGCGAAGCATCGCGCTTGGACCGCCGGAAGGAGAAGAAGGACCAAAAGTGGCGACAGCTGACGAAGCTTGAGGAGGGCGACGAGAACTCTGTTCATATGGTCAAGTTCCCGGTCGGTGACAAGGGGAAGGGCAAAGCAGCTCCCCAGAACACTATGTTCGTTGGCGGACAGCGCTTTACACTTACTCCGGTACTTTAGGACCACAACATTAGTAATAGTATTTGGAGTACTTGTACTTGACCACAATTGCTTAAAATCATGTGACCCTGGGCAATTTCGGTGATCACATTTCAACATCAACAGGTTGTCAGACAGTCGTCTATAGCCTTCCAACGAGTCCTCGCCTTTTCCGCAGTAATGGCGGCGGTCCGGTGTATCGTCGTCAGCTGGACATGCGTCATTCGCTGGGACTGGACCCTTACCTGGCCAAGGTCCCATACGACCGCAACGAAAGAAATTGCTCCGAGAGTACTTTGGGCTGAGTTGGGCTTCAAGTCCTTGTCATCACATCATCTATTTGAGCAGATTTGAGCAGTGTTTCTTCACCCAGGTTCAAAGACATCTGGCCCAGTCCTAAACATAACACAGTCTCGTGGCCTCAAGAGTGCATCAACTTTCATTGAACAACTGACTCAAGAACCAGGATACTCCACACCAATATAAGTCAAGAAGAACGTTTCGGACGGTCGACGCAAGCATGCCCTCCACTGTAGTGTTTTCTTTGCTCGCTTTCATACTGGGAGTCTCTGCAATCAACTGGGTCCCCCCGTTCACCAACGTCACCATCTTCTCGCCACCATCTACCTACACCGCCCCTCAAACGTCCTACGCACGCACCGTTGTCATTCCAAGTGATGGCAAAGACACCAACGTGCTCCTCGCGACATGGCAGAACCATTCTCCTGAACCTCCGAAAGTCTACTTCCATATCTATCGCTCGACCGACCTTGGACAAAGCTGGGAACCGTTTTCGAATGTCACCGATACGGAGAATAATTGGGGACTGCGTGCCCAGCCGTTTCTGTATAGGATGACCGAGAGAATCGGAAAGTTTCCCGCTGGGACAATACTATGTGCTGGGAATTCGATACCCGCTAATGGGAGTCATACGCAAATCGATCTCTACGCGTCAATGGATAAGGGAAGAAGCTGGGAGTTTGTCGTAGGTCGATAGGTTCAATGAGGATGCAATTGGCTAACAACAGACAGAGCCATGTTGCGTCAGGCGGTGCTGCTATCCCGAATAACGGAGAAACTCCGGTATGGGAGCCGTCCATCATGACCGTCGACCACCGGATTGTGGTTTTTTACTCAGATCAACGCGATCCTGCCTATGGACAAAAACTCGCTCACCAATCGTCCTCAGACTTGATTACCTGGGGCCCCGTTGTCAATGATGTCGCAAAACCAACATATAGCGACCGGCCAGGGATGACCATTATCGCCGCCCTGCCGAATGGACAGTATATCTTGACGTATGAATATGGCGGTGCGCCTGAAGCAGATTTTGCAGTCTACTACCGCCTGTCGAAATCTCCGCTGACGTTCAACTCACCTGCCAGTGCCCCTGGAGCGGTCATTCGAGCCACGACGGGCGAGCTGCCAATAGCCTCCCCGTATGTGACGTGGACACCTCATGGTGGCGTGAATGGGACAATCATTGTCTCTGCCAGCAGCCATCAAGGTGTTTTCACGAATACCAAGTTGGCTGCCCCAGGTAGTACTTGGACATACGTCGAATCAAAGGCCGGCGCCTCTTATTCTCGCGAAGTCCGGGTCCTCCCTCGAAATGACCAAATCTTACTCACTGGTGGCGGGCCGTATGGCGGGACGATGAACTCTGTAACTGCATCTATATTGCAGCTCTGATTATTCCAAAAATACTCTGTTTTAAACATGCTGTGGTTTTTCTCTAATTCTTGCCGTCAAAAATCTCGATCCCCGAGTCACTCGCACCCAGATCGTTGAACACAGGCCGTGCCTTGGCCAGCCCACGGGCATTTTTGTAGAACACGACATCACCTTCATCCTCCACGAAACGGCACTCCCGGAAAACGCGGTACATTTCTGCCCAGCCTCCGGCCGCGCCTTCCCATCGAACGCCTGCTGGCCTTAAGACCTTCTCTCGGAGCGCATCAGTCGCCTCCCATGCATTGTAGTGTGGGATCTTGCTGCAGATATGGTGGGTGACGTGGGTCTCCGATATACCACAGGTTGCATGGGCACCGATCCAAGCAGCAACCGAGCCGAGGTCACCGAGAAGCGACCGATCCAGCGTAGCGAGTGCTCCACGCTGGAAATTAAATTGTGGTGCGCGGTAGTGCGGCAGGAGAGGGTCAGTGTGTTGTAAGAAGGTGATCAGAACAAGCCAGTGGTTGATCCAGAGGTAGGGAACGAGATATACGGTGAAGACAGTCGCGAATGAATACTGCAGGCTCGCGTATATGATCCCAGCAAGCCATAATACGACGCCAACATCAGACACGATGATGTCCCTGTAGTGGTGTGGGGAAAACATGACTGCCTTGGGGTTGAAGTGGTTGGTGACATATGCTGGATAGCGTCGCTGGCCAGACTTGTTGCGGATTATATACATTGGCCAGCCAAGCAGAACATACATGGCGACTTGCCAGGCAGCGCCAATAGGAGAGTCGCCTATCGCTTCTTGCAGCTCTTTCTGAACTTCAAGAGAAGCACGTGCGCCTAGTCTGTCTTCACGTTTGGGATCAAAGGGACGAAGACCCCGTTGACTACGAGTTTTAGGGACCCAGACTTGGTCCTGTGTCATATGACCTGTTGAGGCATGGTGTTTGGCGTGAGTGATACGCCAGCTGTGGTATGGAACCCCAAGACTGGCCGTATTTCAGTACTGAGAGGGACAATTGCAGGAACATGACGCACGCGGAATGGAGAATCCAGCCAATGGTATTGTTAATCAGCTTTGACTCCGAGTAAGCCTGCAAATAGATGAGATTCAGCTAATGAGTTGAAGATAGTCTTACCTGGTGCCCAGCCTCGTGGCCTGAAGCAGCCATTGAATATTTTCCCGGGCAAGGGCGGAAACGGACTCACCGATTACCCAGATACCAGTCCCGAAAAGGCCCGCCCAGAATCCGTACAAGCTCCACAAAGCAAAACGCACAAGAGAATAAACGAATGGGTGCGGAGCGTTGAAGATTGCTGGGCTAATGAGCGTGTCGAGGTAGGTGGTGGTCTTGTAAATGGTAGCGATGATTGAGAGATGCCAGACACTAGAAAGGGCGTTGTGAGGTGGTAACACAAGGAGGAAGGCGACTCACAGGTACATTGAAGACTTGACTGCGGACCGCTTGAAGCAATGGGCCCTGGAAAGTGTGAGCAGGACGCGTCGAAGGAGACTGGCCCACGAACGGAATGGCATCAAGCAGGTCTTTCATCGTAACATCGGGGACAACGACGCCAACCTGCTCTGGCTCATCTGACATGACGACAAGTGGGGGCAAAGAAGAAAACGAACGACGCGGCTCAAAATTTTAAGTAATTTTGGGGTTGCCGTCATGGGGTTACGGCAGGTCGCGTCTTGGCCTTGACTTCCTGCCAGGCTTGTGCCAGGAAGCTGTTCAAAACACAATTTTCCCACTGCCACTAACACTGGGCAGCACAGAGGATCGTAAAGGATATTCGAGCTCAATATGCAATGTAGCCCGAAGGAATGTTTCACTCGACTGCCCAGCGGATCAACAGTCGCGATCGGTCGATGATCCGACGCGTTGTGCAGCGAGCGACTTTTGCATGACCAAATAAATGTTTGGAGTCGATACGATACGATTTCCTACAAATCACAAAGTGTGTTGCTAGTTACAGTATGTGGTTAGATATACATTAATAGTTAACCTCAGCAGTTCATGCAGTTGTCGCAAAAATCGAGTCGATTTTCTCCTTGTAGAGCTCCTCGACCGCTTTTCTCCGGATGTTTCCTTTCGTTGCTGTGCGAGGAAGGGCTCCTCGTTGCACTACAATGATCATCCGTGCCGATGCAATTCGCTCGTGCACATATCGGCGGGCGTGGAACTGTCTGATCCGTCGAAGGATCTCCCGTGAGAGCTTGTCGGCGTCCATTTTTTCTGCATCTGCTCCGGGTTCCACGAATAGAATCGGGCTGGGACGGCCCGACCCGACCACAATGCATTCAGCAATTAATGAGGCACAATTCAGACGGGCGTTGTCTTCGATCGCCCTAGAAACTGTTTAGCCAGAGATGCGAGGAAAAATGAAACACAAACCTTGTATCGCATCGAAGACTGCTTTCAGACTTTATCCAGTCGTCGTCCCGGCCCTGGGAGACGTATTGACCGGGTAGAACCTCGATGAACAGGTCGCCAGTTCGGAAGTTTCCATCAGGGCTGCGCAGCGAAACATCGGGGCAGTCGTCTGATTGAGGGAGGATAACCAGCTCCAACAGCCGTCCTGTTGAGGCATGTGTTGTCTGGGGTTTGGCTCCAGCGGCTTCATCCCCATTCGCCACAGGAAGGAATTGATAAGCAACACCATCCATCTGGCGTAGAAAGCCCGCCCCGTCACCGCAGCCGCCATTTGAGACCAGCATGGCGCCGACCTCTGTACTCCCAAACACGTTCTATAAGAATCATGGGTTAGCTGATTCTCGTTTGCAGAAGTGGAGCTACTTGCCTTCAATTTAATACCCTGACCGAGAGCCCAGGCCTCCTCTTCATGTGGAAGAGGCAAGCCGGTATAAACGACCTCGTCTAATTTCCGTAAGGCATCCAATACGCCCGAGTCGTGTCGGGCGGTTCGGACATGCGCCGCGAGATATGATGCAAATACATTCACGCGGTTTAGTCCGCATTCACGGACCATTTCGCAGAGCTGGGAAGAACTGAAGGGAATAGAGACAGGTTGAACTGTGCAAGCGTTGTGCTGGAGGTGGCCCATCAACACTGGAAGAGAAGAGAGGGTCAGTATGATCGTGAATGGTTCGAGGTTGAGCTTACTGAAGTTCTGGAAGATATGGGCCATGGAACCACTACGAAAAGCGACTTAGTGCTTGGAAAGACAATAGACATGCTACATACCCCCAGATGGCGACATCGAGGTTGTGATTTCGTTTTGGCGCACAGATTTGGGATGCTTTATGCAAAGTTGAGCGCAACCACCTATAGTTGCAAGGGACAAGCTTTGGGCTGCCGGAAGTGGAACCACTAGTATGGAAGTAGGCATAGATATCGTGGTCCTCGACCATAGGAACCGGAGGCAAATCAAGGTGGCCTTGACTTCGTCCAGCCGCAAGCTCATGATCAAGACTTGCTTCAGGATAGATGGGAAGAGGCCAGGTCCGGAGTGCCGATTCGAAGAGGTCTTCGTAAATGAGCGCTTTAGCATTAGTCTTTGCTAGCAGCTCCAAAATAACATCGGCACTGGGCAAACGGAGGCTGAACAACTGGGGCACGAATCCCGCACGGAAGATGCCATAGAGATTCACAACGTCCTTGTAATCGTAGCCGCCGATCCTACTCCATCGTTAGACTGAGACGCTAAGAAGCAGCGAGTAGTGGACTCACCAGAGCCCGATAACTGAGCGCTGAGGTATTTTATCTCTGCGGAAGACGCGAGTCCAATATATTGCAGAAAGCTCAACATCGTGAAGGAAATCTTGGTAGGTGATGTCTCGCCAGTCGGACAAAGCATTCTGTTGGGGAACCTTGAAAGCGATGGATGTTGGGTTGCGGCGCACGCTTTCCTCCAGTATGGTCAGGGGAGTGCTAGACATTATGGTGGGGGAGAATTCAGAACCCGATGTATAGCAACAGAACCTTTATACTCACTCTCCAAAAAGATATTAGGTGTTTCAAGCGCCGAGAGGCAGTTAGGTGGGCGACATTGTCACAGCGCCGCCGCAACTGACTCGTAGGCTCTTGATGTCCGAGCTGAAACGAACAGCTCTACTAGGTACCAGATTAGGCAGATGAATGCCTGTACCACTCGGGAACTGGGGGCGTCAGTCACCATCAAGTCTGTTTTCGGCCGGGCTTGGAAAAATCGACTCACACGCGGAATGCGATGCTGCATTTGACCAAGATGAGAGGGCGGCGAAAATTTATAGATCAATCTGTTGATGTCAGTAGTGCGACGGGTTCGGAGGAGACATGATAGACCTTGAAAACGGATAGGGAATGGCGTATCTTGCCCTGGAGGGCAGGGGGAGGTCGACTGGGGCAGCATTAGCGGCATTAGCCAAGTACAGCAAAGTTTTAGCAAAGCTAAGAGCTTGAAAGCTACAGCGGCCTGCCGGAAATTGAAACCCGGGCGACCCCGGTCCCGTGGATCGTCGCCAACGCTGTTGGATATGAATCATTCGGTGCGGTGGGACGGAGATAGTGGAGGTTGGAGAAAACTCGAGGTAACGTAACCATAACAGTCAGAATGAATCATCCTCAATGAAGTCGACAGAACATATCCAATTAGCTCAATGAAAGAGGATCTTTGCGAGATCTTTGCCGTGCTATCTAATAGGCAGTTACTTGACAGTCTATAGCATGATGAAACTGCGCCGCATCAAAAATGACACAACAGTCGCTTTCAAGTCCCTCTCTACATTGAACAAGTGCCCGAGCTCGCCCGCATGCGCAAAAATGGGTCGTCAACATCACTCGGTTTCATTGTCCGCTGAACCTCTTTCTTCTAGTGATGCCTCCGTTCCCGCCCACACTGCCATGGCTATTGAGTTGCGGGTTTGGGGTCCGAGAAAGCGGTGCCAATGCGCATGAGCGTCCCTTGACGTATGTACTGTCGTGAACTTTGAAAGTTAGCGACTTTCAGATGTTGTTCCTTTGAGACAATTTCCAGTTATTTATAATTGTGCCTCGGCCTCGTTGGCACCATACGATGGGTCATATCAACCCACAGCAAGACCGAGTGGACAGAACGGACGCCATAGAAAATTGCTCCCGTTCGGCGCCAATCTACGACGCTGTGACTGCGCTCTTATGCCGTTGTTTCGTCAGCAGACGACTGACTCAGTCAAGGTGGCGCAGTCAAGTCAAGCCTGAGCAAAGAGGATCCGGCGCTGACTCGTGAGGGCAGTTCGGAAAATCCGGCACGAATGAAAATATTTGTGTGGCTGTATAACCGTAACAGTTGTTTGTAGAAGCTTGCAAGTAAAGGTCCAAGTGCAAGTCCGTCGCCTGTTCATCAGTGCGGCCTCTCCAAGTTGGATTTCTGAACTTGTCTTCAAGAAGACCTTGAAGTGACCGATTACTTCAGCGTGATTGAATTATACTGGAATCCTCATTCGAGATTGCCGTCGGTTTTGTGTCCAGGGGACCTCTGGGGGCTTGAGAATGGCAGCCATTTTGTGAAAGAGTCAGAAAGCATAACGCTTAGTCACATATCACTTTTCCCCAAACCACCACCACCGTTTGCTCGTAGTGCACGGTGCTTAGCCCAAACCCGGTTCTGTAAACGAGCGGTAGGTTTTGTATGCTCTACTGATGTTTCGCACGTTGCACGTCGCTTTTTACAGCTCCTGGGGGTGAATACGCGATGGCATATAGCCAGCCTTTCCCGCTCGCTGCTCCGCAAGTTCAAAAAGTCCAGGCTCCTACTTTTGGCCCTGATCTCAGCGTCCGGCTCATCTGTCCCGAATGTCGAGATCCAAATCCAGAAATTGCGGAGGAGTTTGGTAGTGGAGACCTCGTTTGCAGAAACTGTGGTTTGGTGCTGGGTGACCGGATTGTTGATACGCGGAGCGAGTGGCGGGTGAGTGGCAACTCCCCCATTCCTTCCCTAACTCATACTATGTCAGACTTTTGCCAACGATGAAGGCGACGATCCATCTCGTGTTGGTGCAGCTTCCGACCCTTTACTTGAAGGTCGAGAACAACTCGACACCATTGTTAGCTTTCGCGACGGTGGCTCTGGACTTGCCCGTGAACTACAGCGTGCAGCATCGCGAGCCCAAAGTTCTCGCTCTGAACGCAATCTTCTCACTGCATTTCGCGACATTTCCAACTGGTGTGACCAGTTTTCCCTCCCAAAAACCATCAGCGATATCGCCAAACAGCTATACAAACGCTCGGACGAAGAAAAACTCCTCCGTGGCAAGCCTCTCGATGCTGTCATTGCCGCCTGCATCTTCATTGCCTGCCGACAAGCTCACGTGCCACGAACGTTTCGCGAGATTTGCAACCTCACGCACGTCTCTAAGAAGCTGCTTGGTCAGTGCTACAAAGCACTTGAGCAAGCCTTCAACCTTACGCCGGGCGCCTCAGCAACAGCGTCGACCCCAGGCGTGACCACGGGTCCAGAAAAGATGCTGGCTCGTTATTGTAACCACCTTGACCTTCCGGCAAATGTCCAGTCTATTTGCGCCGATATCATTGTCACAGCTCGAGAACTGGGAATCGCGGATGGACGGAGTCCTGTCTCAATTGCGGGTGGAGCCATATATTTCACTTGTAATCTTCTTGGGGCGAGCAAGCCGTTGAAGGACATCAGTCTCGTGGCTGGCGTGAGCGAGGGAACGATCAAGCTGGTTTATCGGTTGTACTTCTTGGACAAGGAGAAGCTTGTCAAGCAGGAATGGATTGACGCAGGCAAAGCAGATTTGAGTCGGCTTCCTGGGCCTACGGTGTCGTGACTCTTTATCGTTATCCTACGTGTAAAGTTATAGACCGTCATTGGGCTGTATTGTAGTCGCATGAATAATAGTATCGCTTGCAAGATGGGCTTCCTAAATCGGGTAATTTTCTTTCTTGCTTTTAACCAGCATGACGCTTAGCTATGTGATTGGTACAATACCTCGTATACCCTGATTCCGCTCTCTGAACTGTAGCAGAACACATGGAAGACGACGATGACTCTCCAAAAGCGATCCCGCCTTGGGTCGAGCTAGAGTACGCGGTCCGAAGCCGTTTGCGATCAGCAACAACCTCTTCTTACCGAACCCACTTTCCAGCATATGCGCTCTTTAGCTGGTCCCGCTGCTCAGATACACTTTACCTCTCTCTCCAGCGCGTCCAGATCCTCCCTTTCCACAGTGTCCATTCCGGCAGAGGGCCTCGCAGACGCTAGTTGTCATCAAGCAGGGATAATGCAACTGATGGAAGAACGAGGGGTCGAGCTGAGCAAGGTCTGTCTGCTAGACCCGAAGGCGGAGAAAGCGTTGGCGCCAGAAGACGGAGATGGAGAGTTCGAGTGGTTCCTTTTCGGGGTCAGTTCCTCTGTGCTTCGACCCAATACTTGACTGAGGCGCTTCGAGGGCATTTTGGGTCGGTGTTTTTTTTCGTCCAGCAACACATCATGCTCAGGACAAATAGGTGACGACCCGCCGCGGGATAGAACGTCTGAGTTGCGCGTGCGAGGCTTTCCGACTAGGCATCTGGGACCCGTTCAAATGACGACGGATACTGCGTTGGGTGTAACTAAAAAGGTTGTCCACGATAAAGGTAGGGTGTCCATGCTACACAGGCGCCTCGCTAACGGACTATAGTCCCTTTGGACAAGATCCCTTATGTCGTATGTCCACAGGCGAATGGAAGGAACCAGTAGTATTGACGATGGACAGGACTTTCCGACAATTCGGTTTAATGCGAAGGAAAGTGTCGAGATGCCTTTCCGTGCGCCATTTGCTTTTGCCAGTCGCGAGTTGCTGAGAAGCTCCACCTAGGTTACATTGCCAACGAGAAAAGCGAGCCGATTCTCCCTGTTGGCATGCGCGACCTTCTCCACGAGGATCTCAACAAAAGCTTTGATTTTTGAAGAAGTTTACATAGGCAACTGCAAGCAGCAAATGTATGAATCAATGGGTTCAAGACCATTACAAACTCGTCACTTCCTCAGAGATACTACTGACTACTTCATTCCTCTTATGTATGCACCAACCACTTCACTTGTTGTGACTCACTTCTTGAACCCTTCATTGGCTCCTCAATTTTTAACCCATTTTCTTTGCTATATTGCAGCAGGAAATTGCGTGAGTGGACGACGAATTACGAACAACCAACGGTCCGGTAAATAACTATGATACTTTCTATGTAGTTGAGGGACCCGAGTCTTACGGACTGATGACCTCCGCGATGCACCTCTCGCATTGGCATGCGAATTTCCATCCCCGCGCGAGTTCTTTCCGTCTCCGCAGCCGACAGTCGACGATGCTCTCCTCCGGTTGCGGGTCAACTATGACGTACGCCATCGAAAGCTCGTCGCCCTTCTTCATGTCCTTGTTGGCGATGACGGTGAGCTCGTTTGTTTCAGAGGCGAAAACAGGGCGGACGTTGGGAGCGCAAGAGTGCGGGAGGTAAGAAGAGATGGAGTAGACCGCTGTGCCAACTTGGTGTGCCGTCCCAAACGGCGTACGTGTTAGCTCGGTTTCTTCTGGACGGAGAGTCGATGGAGGCTATTGATCATCAGCCAGAAAAAAAGGGAAAAAAGCCACGAACTCGGTCGTCTCTCCCCTTTTCGCCATAGCACACACCGAACGCGTTGAACACAAGTTTTCCAAGAAGTGACTTATGGCTGTCTTCAGCGAGGAATGCTTCCAGCCCGGGCAACGTCGTCTTGAGCATCGAGACCAGCAGTTCATATTCCTGCTCTGGCGGGGTGAGTGGCCCTGTTGTCCATCTCTCTACATGGTCCTCAATACGATATTCTGCAATGTCGGCACCAGCAAAATCAGGGGCTGCCGAGGCTTCTTTGGACACAGCGGTCAGTTGTCTGGCGATGAATTGTGCGACAAGGAGGGCCCCAGCACGACTGTCTTTCTTGAGATAGGCTGAAAGATGTGCTTGGGCTTCCCTTCGAGCATCCAGAGTTGCTGGCGACATTGCGAGGCCCCCGAGTTCGACGATAGCAGGCAGGGGGAGGGTCAAGCGTGAAAAGGAAAGTATGCCATCTTGTTTTCGCAGCTTGTAGGCAGATTTGGGAGCAAAATGTCAACTTGGTTCCGTCAGATGAGACCAACGTTTCGGGAGCTGTTATGGTACAGAAGCATTGGATACAATGGGTGCCTGCGTGTTGCAAGTCATAGTCCAAGCAGGTGAGCATTGGGTTTTCCTACATGGACATGAGATCAATCAGTTTGATAGTACATTACTTACTTTGTAGATGACGTCGCCAGCAGCGACGTCCTTGGTCAAAACAATGCTTTTTTCAGGGCCGAAGGTCACTGGTGCTTCAGGCCGCGATTGTATAGTCACATTCGCGGATTTCGGGGGGAAGACCTCATAATATGCTAGCAAACTCAGCGTCTATCAAACTTCCTGTGAGAACCCATGCGTACCTCCAATTTTGTCGGTTAACTGGCCAAGAGCGAAAGCGCAAAGCAAAGAAATGATATTAGAAAGAGGATTCGTGCGGAGCGGAGGCAAACTATGGAGTGGCTACAAGGAAGCAGGCGTATTGGAGCCCGGATCGGTGACCTTGTCCCACTCCTGAGACGATGTCTCTGACGGTGGCCCCCTGGTAGGGCTCACATCGCCAACATCGTCGATTCCAAGATCTGCTCCAGATGATGCACTCACGTCCAAATTTATCAGCCTCAGAATGAGCTAAAAGCAACAGTCAGCGAAGCACAACAAAGGCATGGGAGGCATACCTTGACAATCTCGTCTGGGACCGTCTTTTGGTAGATAGCCAGAAGTTCTGGCGGGGAGGGATAGACCGCTAAGGCGCGGTAGAAAGACAATGCGGCGGTTAAATGGAATGCTTCGCCTATAAAGCCGCATTCAGTGGAAAAAAACATGATGTTTGGGGAGGGGGGGTCAACACACCTCTAGTTGCAAGCTGCTCTCCCATAGCGACCTGGGTCATAAAGTAGTTCTCCCTCAGGTCTGGCCCGGGTTTTGTCTCCGCCTCGATTTGTTTCAGCGCCTCCCGCAATTCGTCGTCAGACACATGACTGGCGGCTTCCAGAGCCTCGCGCGACTGCGCTAGAGACTTGTCGACGCGTTTCTTTTGTTTTCCTTCATCCCAGTCAGCAAATTTTGGAAGAGGTGGGAAAAACGAGGTGGCCATACGCAATTGTTTGCGGAAAGTAGTATCTGTCCGCCGCTTGTAGTCGAAGTAGATGGCGTACGCGACGAGCCCGCAAACCGAGATGCCAGCAACCGTGAGCAATGGCGTTAGTCGGGAGGTCATGCTGGAAGTGGTTTGGGAAAAATCGTCATAAGTCACAGCGTGACTCGGACGAATATTCTGGACAGAACGCCAACTACTAGCCCATTGCCTGACTTCAACTTCATCTGCCTGCACATACAAAGCCTTCCTTCACCCGCAATCAGCGTTCAACTACTCTGGTACAAGTCTATCTGACTTGTTCTGCATTACTGGAGGCGGAACAAGCGTCAGCGATGTAATAGGTATTGTTGTTGTTGTTCCCCGGCGTAAAAACAAGCAGCGTCAACATGAGCTCCATTTCCACAAGCCGTTCGTCCACCGTAGAAGGATTTCACGGCCCGCCGAGGCAGTTTGTGAACAAGGAGCAAATTACTTGTAGAACCTTGTTGTTTCTACCATCTCCTGCCAATCTATCTGACCTCCTCGTTCCACCAGCTGTCGCCATCGATGACCTATCGGGTTTTCGAGACGCAGACACAGATCGTAGACGCCTTGCAGTGTCGATGCTGTTTGACATGTCCAGTCTTGAAGCTCGCCAAGTAGGTTGTCCGGCAGTGTCCTCCCTGCACTGCACGTGCCCGTGGCGACGTCTAGGTATTCGTTATACATGATAAACCGTTCACCAGCGCGCAGAACAAAGGTGTCTGGATCTTCATATGTTCCTTGGAGAGCAAGGCGGCCCGGAAAGCCGTAACCGTGCTCAAGAAGCCAGCCATGGTCACACGGCAGACCGCGAAAATCATGTCGGTGACAGTACATGTTGAAGTTGCGCCATGTCGTTCGTAAGCCCAACGGTCGCGCAACTGCATCAGGGCACCACCCACTTCGAGATATCACAGCATCCATCTCGTCATATGGTGTGTTGTACCGAGGGCCGGGAATTTCAGGGAGTGTTAGGGGAGACTGAAGTGATGTGAGCACAAGTATTTTTGCTGGATGGCAACCAAACCTTGGAAATGCGGATGGTCTCGGAGGCTTGTTGTCGCGCCTTCAGAGGGGGGAGAATTGCGGAGAGACTCTCGAGACGCCCATCGCCGTGGGCATATACCGCAAGTTCGCCAAAACAATTCCCGATTGCCACAACCCCCAGAGCATCATCAAATGCAATGACGGGAAGAGCCCATATGGCGGGTTCGTTTTCCCAATCCAGAGTCCACGAGTGGGTTTGAGGCGGGCAAGCCGCTTTCGGTATTGAACTACTTGGAACGGGCAAAGTCGCTACATGAACACACGGGAGCGTCTGATCTGCAAGATCTTTTCGGCAGTTTTGGCTGGAAGTTCTCAGAAACTCGTTGGCAGACACCCACAAGGCTTTTCGACCTGTGCTGCCCATGGTGAGTTTATACCAAGGGAAACGTGCATCGTATGGGTCTCCCGAAACTCCGCGCCAGTTAATTGCCCTGACCATGTGGTAATGAATATGGTTTGGCGGGGAAGATTCATTTAGTTCGATGCTCAGTTCAAGTTCCTGGAGGCCAGTCGGGCAGATGACGAGAAGGTGCAATTGTGTTGATTCGTTTCCCGTAGCGGAGGGCGGACACGAACGGACACAAACTTCCCAAATATCTGGCGTGCTCTGAAGCGACTCGAAGCTCAGACGGCCATTCTGCGGGTGCCTATATATGGCTAACTCCGTCGTCCTGATTAGAACGAGTCTTTCTCCCCATTTCGTCATAAGATGGGGAACCGACTACTCCAAGCGGTTAGCCATGTTACTTTAAAAAGTAACACCGCAAACGCACTCTGCGTTTTGGGATGTCGAGGCCGCCTGGAGGGGGAGGGATATGAATGACTTTGTTCTGTACCCAGTCAACAAGATGGGGGATATTATTGCCACGGCGAACAGCACATCCGACAAGGTTTCCTGCGAGCATCAAGACATGCGAAGAGCCGTGGATTCGCGCCAAGTCAACGAACGCGTACTCTTCAGAGGTGCGCTCCAAAGCAAGAATGTGTGTGGACGGCAATCTTGATGATGCGTCAGCGAGAGAGAAAATTAACTGAACCACCCACTCGGTCTCGACGCCCAAAGCAAGCACAATTTTGTTCTGTTGTACCTCGATTTTGGCAGTTTTGACACACCCCGGCAGATATCCTTCTGCAAGCGCCCGAGGTGGCCCAGGACTCGACAATAAGTCCCAACAAATGATCTTGCTTGAATGATTGTCAGAGCAAGTCACAAATAGGAACCCGCCCATGCAAAGCTGTAGCCAGGTGATAGACTGTGGTAAGCGTTGCTGAAATACGATGGACGGTGTCGATGCCCCTGATTCAGAGGCGGACCTGTTTAAGAACTTTAACCGACGTATAGTCAACACAAGGGTGGCAGTATCCATCGCATTAAGATCGTCATTGTGCTTCAATGGCGAAGAATTACATTGGCTGAGCAGTTCTTTCAACAAGGCACGCCAAAGTGTTGCATCTTGAGTAATTCGCAGCATCTCTTGACAAACCTATAAGAAGATGTGAGCGGCTGACTCCAAAGTCAAGATCAGTAGACCTGTTGTAAGTTTAATATATTGGGGATTGAAAGTTCAAAACAAATGAGAAGCAGCAGTTCGTCGTTTAACTGCGTGAGGAGCATCCCCGACTCTCTCTGAAAGAGAGAAGAGGGTTTTGTCTTGATTAAGTAATTGCCCCGCCAAACTCGTTTCCATGCGATCGGTGAGCTTTCCCACAAGTATGATTGCAAGTCCAATTTGCGTCCGAAGTTCAATTCAGATGATGCAGTGACTCCGACATTCATTTTACTTGTTTTGTGGTTTGTCATCCAATTGCCATCTGAGACAACCTGTGGCGTCAGAGTCGGGGACTGGCGCCTTGTCGCCATTACCGATGATTTAACTGTGTTGTCACAACCTGTCACAAATTGGAATGTTTATGATGTAGCCAAAATGTCTGCAGCTCAGCCGCTCGCTCTGCTCGATCCTCGCCTCACTAGGCACACAACGCCATCTGAATCCACCCCTCCAATTGCGACTCTCATCCGCCGGGATTTGACTACCCCCATCGCTCGAAGCTCAGCGAAACGGTCTATTCACGACCATGACGCATTTCGCTGGCGCGCTAGTCAAGTTGACCTTCCTCTTGAATCTTTGTGTATCATCTCACTCCGCCCAGATTGTCGAATATATATACCAAAAATTGGACTCGCCCGAGTTCTGCAAGTTCAAGCGCGATAGAACCGCCCTTGCTCTCTTTGTTCGCATTTGCTTGTGAGTGTGTTGGAGACCTACTAGTGATAGTCTGCTAAAACTCTCCACAGCTCTATGAAAGTCCCGCGCTTGACCAAGTTGCAAGTTACTCACTATGCAACGGCGAATAAAAACGACAAGGAAGACATTGAAGCCTCAATTGCTTTCGAGCCTGAAGGGGAATTGGCCTACGTCTCGGTAGCTGGCCGATTCAAAAACACCTTCTTTATTTGTGATATCTACTCCGCATTAGGTGGGTTATGCCATATCTTGGTTTATGAAGAAAAATGACCCACGCTAGGCTTCGTTATTGCGGAGACGGATCCCATTCGCCTTCCAGATGTTTGTATATCGGAGGACAGATTATTCCTGGCGATGTTTCGTTTCGTTGCTGCCTATTGTCGATGGATCTACGTTTTGTGTGGGCGGGCCAAGGATGATGAAGACACACACAAATGGAAGACAAGAGCGATTCAATCAGAGCAACCCCCTATCCAAGACACTGTTCTACCGAACACGGTTTGTGTGATGTATCGGCCTGAGCCGCAACACCAGACCGCTGCATCGACTGGTAGTCAACCACCATATGTGATGCTATCATTCATCGGTCCCAACAACGGTGGCCGAAACCCATTGAAGCATTCAGCACGCTCAATTCGCTTCAACCACATTTCTCAACTCGTCAATGACCAAGATCTGGGCCTTGACGTCTATCGCACCCCTCGGGAATTAGCAGGCGTCAGCAACTCGCACCTTGGTGAATGTGCAGAACCTTTCCCACTTTTAGTGTAAGCTTCCTCGATGCACCATATATCCCTTGTTTATGTTTTTGTTAGTCATGCCAGCGAGATCAACACCCCCAACGGACAGACCGCGAGTCCAACGCAGGTGTACGGGATGTCGCTGGACGCAAGAGCAGGACAACACCTCGCACATTTTATCCTCACCAAGGTTTTGCTCGAATTCCTAAAGGACACATGTGTTGATTGTCGCTTCATCTTGCATGTTGCACATGAGTTTGGAGGCGACTCGCTCGAATATCGAGATCTTGCACAACACCGCATCGACCAACCCTTACCTCCCGCTTTCTGCTATCTTTGCCACGCCTGCTCACGAAATCGTCCGGGCCTCTTGGAGTTTGCCTGTAAGGGTTGTCGAGTATACTTCTACTGCTCGTCTGCATGCCGCGCCCAGGATCAAGAGCATATTCCGCATTGTGTTAGCTCGAGCTTATGCGCAAATTGCTTGACTCTCAAACCAAACAAGACGGACACTTGGTTGTCATGTGAAGAATGCAACAAGGTCGATGAGCATGTGCCAACGCTGTATTGTGGTGAAGTATGTCGAGCCAGCGATCGAGAAAAGCACAGAGCATATTGTGAGGACACAACAGACAAGGGACCTATCCCTGAGATCTGTCAATTATTTTGGGATGCTCACTTGGACTCGTAGTACTTATAATCGATAGACCTATAATTATAATGACACACATGACTGCCAAAAGTGCCCACACATGAATAGACAAAACAAAAAACTTTCTGCTTTTATTTAAATAAATTTCTTTCGCATGTGAGCAAATAGTGTTGGGCTCAGCCACCTGTGAATGCAAGTTATCGCTAAGCGGATTCAGAGTAAGCCCCAGACGAAAGACATACCGACACGGGTTCCATTCTGGTCCATGCACTCGACCCACACAGCACATTGAGGGAATATCCCACCAGGCTCATCGCCGGCGTCTTCCAACAGAAGCGCAATGACGCCATGGGCGGGGACAGCGTGGGCCGTGAAGTTGCGCACCGCCGTGCCGTTATCGGTATGAGACCAAAGATCCTGCAAAGAAGGATCCAAACACAAGTTTGCAGCTGAAAGGGGCACGCACCCGTACAGAATACTGTCGTCCGGCGCGAATCCAAGGCGATTCAGTCAAGTTGAAGAACATGTCTGCCGGCTCGTTGAGTGTGTTGAGCTAAAATCGGGTTAAGATGAGGAAATCGGTCCAGCGTGGGCTTACGAGCATGAAAACAGTGCCATTCTGTGATGGACCACTCCAGTATTGCGCAGGGAACGAGTTGTTTGACGTCCAATCCGGCTCCAGACACACATCAGTGCCACAAAAAAGCAATCGCTCAAAAATGTAACTGACGTTAATTCCCCAGCGAAATGGCGAGATACTCTTCCCGACCACTGGGTCCTGGTTGATGGCAAGAATTTCCTTGTTGGTGAGGATCCCAAGAATATCGGGGGTGATGGTGGAAAGCTATTTGGGTCGTGAGCCTTGATCAATCAACTCATGTTGCTGTACGTTGTTTCCAATCTATGCACCTTGACATCAGTCCATTATCAAAAGCCAAGTCCGGACTCACGAGAAGAGGCGATTTCAAAAGTGCCCACGCTGTGAAATGGGACTTGGCTTCATCGAACGTAAGCCCGCCGTTTCCAAGCTGGAGCTATGGAGTACGTTGTCAGCAGGCGTTGTTTCAGCATTGTGGCCGCACAATGTCCAGATCGTTGTGGCCATAAAAGTCCGTGGCCTGCGTGATGAAAGAGTTGCTGGAAAAAAATCAGAGTCTTGTCTCTAAAAGGATGCCGAAACAGCACAAGTTGATGCTAGCCGCAAGGGTGTCCCACTGTGGAGCGATGTCGTTCACAGTACGCCAGCTATGTCCCATCGTTGCGCCCCAGCTGTGGATGTGTCAGCCAGTCATTTTGAAGGTGTTAGCCACGTACAGCCAGACTTGGCTCCACCCCCACTCACAAAGGGAAAAAACAAAAGGTTTCTTCCCGCTGGTCTCCGCGAGCGATGCGATAGCATCTGCCATGCGTTGATATTCTGGTCAATCTTAGTGTCAATAAAACTACTTAGTTGGCTACTCACTGCCCATCATGCCTTGCCGGATAATATCGTCGAAAGGGACTGCAAGCGAGTGAGGTCCGTCTGTTTTCTGACATGTACTACTGACTGGCGCAATTGTCATATCTGTGTTTGACTGTCAGAACAGCGAAGTACCGAGAAAGGCAAACACACTTGAGCAGATCGAAACCCCATTCTTGGAACTGCGTGATGTCGCGCAGCTCATTCATGAACGAGCCAGGGTACCCTGCACAAGTAAACCATCCAGAGTCGCTGGATGCCAGCTTGTCAGCACCGAAACCGTCGATGACTCGAACATTTACCCATACTAGAGCGAGGTAGGTTAAGCCATCCAAAATCAAGAACAATACACTTACGATTCCCGCGCGGCTTGGAGGATTGTGAGAACAATGAATATTCAGCGGTGCACCACTTACAGACCCAGAGCGTGAATCTCACTCGTCATTGCGGTGATGTTCGGGAAGCGAACCTTGTCTGACCTCGAGTTTAGACTGGGCGCACATATGTACACAGCAGAAACCAACCCGGAACAAGATCGCCCGAAGCAGAGCGGTTCTTCTCCGCCCAACAGTCGTCGATGTTGATATACTCATAACCAGCGTCCTGTTGTGCAGTTAGATGTGATCACAATATGCAACTGGTTAAGCACTTGAAGCCCAAGGGATTTAATAAGCGTTGCGGTGTTGAGGACCAAATTTTGGTCAATGTTGCATTGGTAGGCATACCAAGCTGATAAATGCCTATAAGCATTACTGCTCGCGGTCCAAAGACGCACTGTTGTATCCCAGAACTGTGTGCATAAGAGTCAGTGCTGATATCTTTTGCGAAAAGAAACACACTAGGCAATTTGGCCACCCCATTGTTGAGCGCGTTTACCCTCGTCAACACGGCCAGTGCCAAAACACTATGCAAGGACCACATCTTCCCCTCCAGTCGAGCTGCTGCTTCCCGTCTTATACTGCTCCACAAGGCCGAGAAACGCGCGTCGAGAATTCAGCCCAACAGCGCATGACCCATACGACCACGACGTAAGACTGAACAAGGCAGTCGGATTTCGGGAGAAGGGTATGAGGCCGGTGCACGGCCAGCAGCCCATTGGTATCAAGGACGTCCAAGTGGCAAGTCGAAGTTGCTGGAAGAGGGATATTGATGACTAATGGTGATGGCCGTGGCGTAGTTACAGACTTTTCGGGCAACGTACTATACTTGGAGTAGATTCTAAGTCTGTTGTCTGGTCTCCGTCAATTCACAATTCAATAGTCATCATCGTCGTCGTCGTTATCCTCATACCCACCATCATCGTACCCTTGGTCCTCATACTCGCCCCCAAATTCCCCAGCATCATCAAACCCTTCCAGTCCCTCCTCTTCAAACTCGTCGCCGAGATACAGCTCGCTCAGTCCCAGATCGGCGGGGTCATCAATGTATTCAACGTGTGCAAAACCACTGTGGGCTTCATAAACATCCCCATCAAACAGCTCGGCCTCTTCTCGAGTGTCGGCAAACTTGCTATAAGAATCGTGTTCGTCGTCTGAGTCGTCTGCGCTATAATATGCCTGCAAATTGGACACATAACCATCATACGTGCCTGAGAAAGGCACATGACTGTCGGTGCTTGCAATGGAGGAGGCATAACCATAATGATGATTTGCCTCGCGATACCCGGAGAACGCTGAATTCATATGACTTGAAGTATAACTGCGGCTGCTCGAGGAGGATGCCGCTCGACTGTGGGTACTAGATGATGGCTGATGAACACTAGCAGGAGATAGTGACGTTGGAGCGGTCGTATGCATATGTGTGCGATTGTGAGACGGTGTTGTGTCAGTAGGCGTCTCACGAGAGTAGTAGTAGTAGTATCCATTATGCGTCGATGGCCAATGCTCATGATGCCTATAAGCAGAGTTGGATGTGGTATCGGATGCACTGTAGTATCGACCGCTCGAACCGCCAGGATGTGACGCCTCATGATCACGAGCATAACTAGAGCCAAAGGTAGCCCGAGAAGATGGATAACCAGAGGCCCTCTCGCCGTAGGCGCCGGCATTGCCAGAGGGTGTCGAATGATTCAGGTACAGTTGTGTTCTTTTGTATCCACTAGAGTCACGGGCGTTGGGATCGTAGTGAGAAGAGTGTCTGTCCAGTTCACGCTCGAATTCGCGTCTGTTATCTGCCCAGGGCTCTCCATACTTGAACCCATACGAGAGGAGTTCATTGAAAGTCAGCCTTTTGCAGCAGAGGACATGGTCAGTATGTGTAAAGTCGTATTCAAGCCAATGCACCTGTTATGGGCCATCTGTGGCTGGAATTTCGAGGACGTGGTGAAAGTTGCTCACAAACAAATTCATGATAAAATGATTCGATCATTTGATGTGACTCACCTACACTTTCGTCAACGCTTGTCTCAGCTCCCAAGAGCTTACAAGACGAGAAGGACTTGCCAAACACTTACCCTGGTGTTTATGCCCAATAAAAAACCGCATATTTTTCTTCCGGTTAACGTCTTGTCAGTTTTTACATGTCCATGAACTTGAAGTACAACATCTTTAAGGATAGCTACTATGGTATAAGTCGATCTGGCTTGTCTTCTTTTGTGCTACTGGAGATGGAGCAAATGTCAGAGAAGTAGGTATCGTTTGACCGGCGTTGTTGTTGTTGTTCCCCAGTGTAGAAACAAGGAGCGTCAACATACGCTCCATCTCCATGAGCCGTTCGTCCACCTTGGTCAAGCGATCGTTGACCGTCGTTTCCAACTGCTGCAGCCTTCGCTCGATATACTGCTCGTGCTGTTCAAACCGCTCTTGGAAGTCTGCTTCGCGCTCTTCGGGCAACGGCAGCTGACTGCGGACGAGGTCGTGGAGGTCCATGTTGTGATTCCCAAATGAGATATGTTTCCTAGCTTCGCACGCGTTACAGATGAAAGAAGGCTCTGCGGGGATGTGAATGGCATTCCTAATCACAAATCCAATAGAAAATGCGGACCTTGACATTGAACGCAAAACCAGCAAGGTTGCGACACAGTCCTTCTGCATACCCGACAATTTGGTGCGGGTTTATGCCGCTTCCTAGGTTCTTGGTCACTGGGATCAGCGAAAAACTCTCTTGATCGTTTCAAGGCGGCTTGTGCATCTCGGAATGTCCTTCCAAAGTATCGGATGTGTACAACGCGCTTCACTTTCAATATGTCGTGGTTTGGTAAATGCGCTTTCTGTTCTCGACATTCATAAACATCCCCTGTTCAGGACAGCAACATACCGTGAGCCCAGATGGGACGACCTTCACTGACGTGCAGCTTAAAGTGTCGCAAAAGTCAACTGTTCAACAGATGAGCTGCGTCAAGAACATCGTCAAGCGACGCATACCGGTATCGAATGTGCCCTCCAATCGACATGTCAAGCATATTACCCTCGTTCCTCCGATATGACCCTGACAAGCATCACACGAGACACTACAGCAGAAAGAATATTAGACTTGTAAAACAAACGGGATGGAGCCAAGGCATACTCATGGTCTGTCGTGAGTCTTATCTGACGCTCAGCAACACTATGGAAAAACCGGCTGCAAAGCAACATCAGATTTGCCACTAATCAGGTGAAATCGGACCTATCGGCAACCGTAAAACCCTTCCTTAACATGCCTAACTCTTCCTGTTCTACCGCCGCCAACGGTTTTCCAAATTGGGTATCACGAATATAGAGTTCAATGAATCGCTTCCGTCGGGCAGCGCGCTGTTCAAAGAAGGCCCACGACCATCCTTGCCGGCTTACAGCGTACCGAACTGCTTCGATTGCAAACTTCCACAATGCTCTGGAAGGCTCTATTCCAAGTTCGGAAGGGGCCGGAAAGAAAGTCAAACAGTCTGGCGACATCCTCTTGAATATGAAAACTCCGGGATGGGTTCGGGGGTCTGATTCTTCGCCCCATGTCCCTGTCAGTGAGTTGGTGTCGCTGGTCCACGAGCCGGAGAAGTACAAAGGAGCGTAACGTGTCGGGAAGCTCTGCTTGAATTTGAAGCCAATGGTGTCCATGTTTTGTTGATTATTGCCACATTCGCCTGCGATGGTGAAGTCGGACATGTTGGCTCGCGAGGCCGCACCAAATGTGAGCGAACCGGTCGCGGTAAGCTGAAAGTCATCCATAAGCGTTTGAAGTGTCACGAAAGTCAAAGCATACATCCATCGAGATCATCCCTGTTGTTGGAACAACTGAAGTGCCAACATACGTGAAGCCATTCCACGTTCCAAGAAGAGTCCTCAACACAGCAGATGGACGAGTGGTCCCTTTCTTAGGCTTCGTCGGCGCCTTGTAAGCATCGAAATCGACCTGTTGCGCTCCAAGAGGGTAATTGAGGATCTTGGAAAGATCTACACTTTGGTCTTCAAGGTTGTCATCGTATGGGTACTCCGCTTCGTCTTGCGCAAGGACAAATTGTGGGTCCCACAATCCATCTGGGTCATGAATGTGTTGGAACTATGCAGTTCGAATCGATGAAGATAGGAAAGCCGACGGAAACTTACCAACCCATGAGAAAATGTCTTGAACTGCTGCTTGGGATCATCCTTTTGCTGCTTGAACGTCTCTGTCAACGTTCTAAATATGTGAAGCAGCTCAATGGTCAAGATGATACCTTCTAATAGTGTCACCCGATCTCTCGCAGCCAGTTCCAGCCAGTTTATTGTATCCGCAGAGTCCCAGAGTTCGTCTGGATGGACTGCTTTATTCTGACACGCCCGTAGAATCTGAAAGTCCCTCGACAATAACAAGTAAAGGAGCGGCATCAAAAAACGTTCGATGCGGCCTTGACCAGTGACAAGATAGAGCGTGTTGAGCGCGTCAATATCGTACTTGACAGCTTCTAGGTTTCCTCGCAACCTCGCCTCCTCCCCGTCAAAGTATGGCGCAAATTTCTCCTGTAGCGATTCGTTGATGTAGCACGGATTGACACCAGAATGCAGTGTGGTGACGCCATGGTAGATGGTTTCGAGATATTTGTTGACTGCGACACGGTTCTCTGGCAAGACGTGCAGACGAACGGCAAACATCTTCGCAAGAAGTTCCCTGACTTTGATCGCATATTGTTGCATTGACTGATGAAATCCAACAGCCCAAAGCGCAAGCCACTTGGTGAGAGACCAGTCGAGTGGCCGAGAAGATGTGAAAGTATTCGCCTCGAGAATCGTGACCCAGCCCGAGCCATCATCGTCCAAGGCTTCACTGATACTTTGTAGTCGCGAAACTGAAATGTATTGCAGCGCCCAGTCGTCAACACCAGCATTTTGCTTGTCTGGTTGGTGGTCCTGCGTCGCGGCTGCTCCTGGTCCGCCCTCTTGATAATGGTCGCGCAACGCTAAGACGAAGTGTCGAGCTTTAGCACTGCTGCGCCAACCCGCGTCTTTCCAGATGTGATGGACATCAGGGTCAAGCAAACGGTCGTGCGGACCGGAGCTGAGTGCTGATATAACACGATCGCCCTCCCGTTCAATAACCTTCGTTAATTCGTCACTGACAAGTAGTCAGATCAATAAGTACCAGGAATGATGAAATGAGGGGAATTGGACATACACGATCTGTCTCTGTTGAACCTCAAATTTACGAGCAAAAACAGTCATATTCCGTTCGATGGCAGCGTCAGGATCCGTTGTCAGCTCGTCTTTGAGATCTTCCAGTCCGAATTTGGGCCCGGCACTCGAGGTCCCTTTGGCATTCTTGACACCTTTTCCCGCAGAAGTAGATTTATTCTCCAGCTCGTTGAGCTCTTTGAGAAGTTTGTCGTCATCTTGGCACGCTTGTATTCCTCCGCGTTGTTCTACTACCCTATTCCGAATGTTCATGATTATTCCAAGGAAAGCTTGTGACTGTACCTCGACATTTCGCGTTGCTCTGGTGTCATAAACTGTTGAAACATTTTCATCATCATATCCATCTTCGCATTCATCTCCTGGGTTGTTTTATCGACGGCGCTGATTGCCCGATTGGCAGCATCAACACCAAGGGCAGTATGAATACTAAGCGCGAATTCAAACTCTCCGCGTCGTTTGGTGAATGCGCCGACAAATGCGGTCAATTTCCCAGCCCAGATGCCTGACTTGAGCACCTTGACTAGGAATAATGAGATGGCCACTACAAATCTTTGTTAAACAAGGACCTACCAAGTGTTCGTTTTTTCGTGTAAGTGTCACAAGCATTTGCACAGCCTTTAATATCTTCGGCTGTCATTTTGACGGTCTCCTGCATACGACCCCGGATGGAAGAACCATCCGGTGCAATCTCTTCCGCGTCTTTGACATTTTTCAGCCTAGGCATGGATATTATATTGGGGCAAAGCACATTGACTAATTAAATACTCACTGGGTCAAAACCGCCATCATATCTGCGAATTGTCAGCGGAGAGAAGTTGGCAATAACAAAAAAAAACCACCTCTCATTTCCACATGTAGTGAGAGGATCAGTTTGTCATTGGCGCGTCGCTTTTGCTCAAGACTCCACACAGCCTGTAGAAAAGTGAGTGGCTGTGGATACACCAAGGTGCATAGACGCACCTTGAATGCGAGAACTGCGACTGAGAAAGATTTGGGGTTAAAACCGGCATTAGTAGCTACAAGTTAACATACCTCCAATGAATGGATGAACCTTCGCGACTTCGTCTAACGCGCTGAATAGTGCAGGTAATCCTGGCTATATGAGACTTCGGGTAAGCGAGAGATGTATCGCGCACCCTCCACCAAACTATGAATGCCAGATTCAATTGCATCCATAGCACCAGCGGCAGTCAACCCAGCCACAACTCCCGTTACGAAGGTTTCTGTTTGACTCTCTTGCGCCTGAGCTTTGATGAAATTGCCCTCTAGATAAATATTAGAAAACCTCAAAAAATGTTTGTCATGTATTTACCAACTACTTGAAGAGTCTTGTCAAATTTCGACTGAGTCGGCGCAGTATTCGCAGTCTGCCATGCGGCAGCCAGATCTTTGGACATCTCATCATCGGGAACTTGACGTTGAGACGGCGCTGGTGGGGGATCGGGAGGCGTTTGCGGTGTTGGCGAGGCACTCAGTTGGCTCCCGGTCATTGACATAGCTCCCAGGTATGAAGGTCGTGGAGAGTGGACTCTGGCACGGCTTGGTGAGCGACCACTAGCAGGCAGCTCATCGGGTTCGGGAACTATAAATGGGACTGAACGACTGCTCCCAAACGAAATTGTTCGCTGGCGGGACGGAGGAGGAGGACCAGCCGGTGGCGAGTACACTTTTCCAAGAGTTGTCGACGATTGCGATGCCTGCCGACTGTGGGCGCCCAGAAGGCTGCTGTTACTCCGGCTGGGAGCAGACGACTCGTTTGTCATCGTTAGAGAGCGTTGTCGCGATGGATGATTCCATTCGGGAGTGGAGGAGCGGCCAGAAGACATGGAGCGCACGCTATTGGGAGAGGAGTCTGCGTATGGCGGAATGAAGGCGATACGTGGGTCCCCGTCATGTTCAGGAGGTGGAAGTGCAGGTGGAAAATCGTTATCCGCTTCAGAATCACTGCTATGACCACGCAGACTCTTTCTGCTCAGCTTTTTGAGCAATTTAGGGATCGGCATGGTGGGTGGCGGGATTAGAGGGATTTGGAAGAGCCCAAAACGAGATGACTAAGTTTACTTCAACGAGAAATCGCATCAGTTAACGTTGACTTCTGGAAGCTATCGACGTGAGCGCTCGGAGGGCTCATCGGCCGGCGCTGATGGAGAATTGACTATGGCAAAGGATGAGCGCGGGATATTAATGGACTTGTATTACCACCCACACGGTGCAGTACGGTATCCATGTTTTCTGTGTTCCGTGGAACTTGAAGGTGAAGCAAAATACGAAGTGACACCGCCCATAAGCCAGATGCGATCTGTCAGTCCTCCCAGCGGCTCCTTGAGCGGCGTCAGCGTGAGACCAAGAGCCTGCGTGAGCGCAAGGATATACGAGTGCCCGTGGACCCTTTGTGACTCATTCGAAGTGGCGGTTGTGAGGAAAAAACACGATGACAAATCAACCTCTATTTTAGGAAGGTGAACTGCCTAATTCGAGTCAAACATGAAATTCCAGATTTTGCATAGACAGAAAAGAAAAGAAATATTCGCTGCTAACGGCCCCTAACGACAGCTTCGTACAGGAGCTCAGACCATTCGGACTCAACAGGACTCAACGTTACTAGTTAGATGAAAGACTTACATTGTCCCCCCGTAAGATGCAAGGAGAATAAACAATAATAGTATACCCCTCGGGCTTCAGCGCTTCAGCAGCAATGAAGGATCAAACCACGATAGCGTCCTCAAATTTCTTATATATTATATATTGCCTGTGAAAAACCATGATAACCTTGAAGATAGGTGGAGCTGCCGGCAGTAGCTGTGAAGGATAAGCAGCTGGTTTGCCAATGCAACCCTAACAAGATAACAGTCTCCATAGGTAGAGTCTCTGATGATTTTGTTCCAGCGCTAACCATGTTCGCCCCTCATCAACCCGTCTAAAACAGTGTGCGATGGCGCTTTAGTTCACTCCAAATTTGAAGACAACCAACTCTCTACACTGGCACAAAATATGTTGCTTTGTAAGTACGGTATTAGGTGGTACACGTAGGTAGGTTTGGAAGAGGGCTTAGTATAGCTGAAACAGCTAGATAACAGCAGCGTGAAAGCGCGGCGACAACAGGGATACACAGTTTGCAAGACAAGTGGGAGATGTGTGTTCAATGATATATGGTCATGCAAAAGACGGGAAAGGGGGAAGTTATTAACGGTGGAAGTGAAAGACGGTTATGATGCCAGACTGTAGAACATGCTTGGATCCGGTAACTCGCTTCGAGCTTGGAGAATACGCAACGCGCGATCCCGTGCCGTACTGATTGAGTTTTGGTTGGTCTCATCAGCCCCATTGATTGGCTGGGTCTCGTCTTCCTCGACAATGACTTGATTATCCACGGCAAAATCAAGCGCTCCGGGGTCGATTGCTCGGTGAATGTCACGCTCAGCATACATGTTGTTGCGATGTGAAGTTGAAGGTGCAGTATTTGAGACCTCTTCTCGACGGACACTCGCTTCATTCTGATAGGAAGCTGTACTCAGTCGGACAGGCGGTCGTCCAAGCGTGCGTATCGCAATGGGCATTGAGCCAACCATTGCTGGAGGCGCTGGCGCGTCAAAGTCTTCTTCGTCGGATAGCTGCTCGCTTCGATTGCTAACAAACGCCGTCCACTCAGAGCTGCCCTTCTTCCAAGCGTGGCGGTGACTCGGCAGGCCTGCAGCGACGAGTCTGAGGATTTCGCGGTCTCGCGAGTCGTAATCTTGACCATCGAGATTGTCGTCGTCGTCGTCGCTTCCCTCATTCTGCCGCTGAGAAACATCAGGGAGATCATTCAGCGGTCGAAGTGGACTTCGTCGGGGCTTCATATGTGAAAGAAGGGGGAGAGAGGCAGGACGTAACGCTGCAAACGATTGGGGTAGACCAGCAGAATCCTTGAGAGGCTTGTTGTTACCAGAGGTTCGACGAGGTTGGGAAGGTCGAGGTTGCGGTGGTCCTTCGATAAGCGTCATCACCGTTCCCTCCGTCACCTCGCTTTCTTTGTTATCTGTGTCGAGGTCAAACATCATTTCTGGAACAACGTTAATAACACGATCCAAAATAGGAATTGACCGCCTCACCGTCGCCGTCATTCGTGATCCTACGCGTCTCCTCTTCCTTTTCTGGAATTGTAACCACTGCAGGCTGAGATTGAAATGTGACCATCTTCTTCTTGCCCTTCCCATTTGTCTTGGGTACTTGACCATTCGTTGAACTTTCTGCCACCGTGTTCCCACGACCATTTACACTACTTGGCCCTGCGACTGCTGTCGAAGGAGGTTGTTGTACTGCTGGCGCAACTGAATTTCTTGCCTCCTCAGCTGCTCGTTTTCGTGCCATCTCTTCTTCGATCTGGAAATACCGGTAACTTGCCGCGGTATTCATATTTTCGTCCATTCGCCGAGGAATGTCAAGCAAATTAGCTTCACCGTCGAAAGCACGGCCAGGTAATTGCGGCTGAGAGACGGAGTTGGCAGTAAGAGTGGGTGAGGATCCGGCTAGCGAGTCGAGAAGAGTCGACACAGGTGACGTCGGCTCTTGTTGGTGCTGTTGAGCGCGTGGGTAATGCATTCCGCTGGCCACCAACGATGCGGAAAGGGCGGACATTGACGTAGGGAGGTTCTGGCGAACAGACGCCACTGGCATTGGGGTGAAACCGTAGTCCGCGGCCCCAGAAGAGGTCGGGCTTGATGGAGTACCTATTCCAGAACCACTTGTAGGAGAACGGGGTGAGGCCAGCGCCATCGAATCAGCTTGTTGCACGTTTTGCATGCCTTCTCGAAATCGAGTATATATCGTCTCAACCTGACGCCTCAGTACCGCTTCTGATCGCAGAAGCTCCTCCGTTTTGGCACGGATGAAGGCAGCGATTTCGTCCTCTGCTGTCGAGCGCCAACTGTCGGACTGAACTTCGGCGATGGACGAAAGATGTGCAAAAGCGGAATTTCCGGGGGTGAAGGGCGGGGGGAGGAAGAGAGGGGAGAGGTGTTCGAGGTAAGCTCGCGTGGGTTGTTCTTGTTGAGGAACTGAGGGAGACACAGGTGGAACCTGGACGGCAACAGAAAAGAGTGGCGAGTACTCTGATGACGTTTCAATTCGCGAAATATCATCCCCGGTCTCAAATGGAGTAAGTTTTTGAGGCAAATAGAGTCAGAATGGCTCACCAGACACTGTTGATGGACCTCAATCCAACCAGTCGAGGATTTGAGTACATCTTGTTCAACCCAGTCCTCTGTGGGCAGTAATGGCCCATCACGACTGTCACCATCGAGAGGAATGACTTGGTGCACTCGATACGCTAAGACCTGGCAGACGAGGCAAGTGACTGAAGTGCATCGCGTTCGGCGATTGCGCGACACGGCTGCGGAACGCGACCGAACCCGCGCGGTCAGCTGTAGGTGTCTCTGAATAGCCTATTAGCAGGTAGTTGAGGCCGGAGACGGGACACACAATGGATATACCCTCATCTCCAACATAAACTGGAACAAAATCGACCGAGCAAGGAGGTGGGCTGTTCGTTGTCGGGGTCGCGGTAATCCTCACATTCAGACAGCTACATGCGTAGGCTGAGGTGGGGCCACTGGGCATGGCGCAGGAGGGGACAACGTCGTCGACGAGAAGAGAAATTCAAAATGTCACATTGTCACATTCATGCGTTTTTTTTTTCTGAAAGAAAATGTTAATTTTTCGTATGCGCTTTGGGACGGAGGATCGTCATCCGACCATCTCGCAACAAATAAAAAGACACACTGAGCTCTGAACTGGATGTAAATACTGTACCCATTGCAATCAAGCTAGTCGTTGCGATTGTTGTCACATCTTGATGTGATTCAAACAACTTGTGCAAAGCCCTTTCCATGGCTGCTTCAAGTCAAAGCCCAATCTCGAGTCTCCCAAACGAGCTCCTCTGCTGAATTTCACTACGGAACCCGCGTATCGGTCTCCGCGGCGAGTCAACGTCAACCACTCTTCATGGATGATTGTTTCGGTCAGCAGACTTTGGCGCCAACTTGCTGTGTCGTTTCCGTCACTCTGGTCAACTATCATATTGTACTCTCAACTCACCAGGCCAATCTGCAACAACGCTCTATCTGGGAGACGCAACTCCTACGATCTGCAGATGCACCACTCGATGTTATTCTCTCGATGGCCAAACCATATTCTTCCTCACCGGCCTGGGGCGAGAACTTTGTGAAGATGGTTGAAGCTTTTGTAGCTTCGAGTCCTCGCTGGAGAAGCTTCCACATCATAACCAACAGCGCATGGCCGCCATTTCCGTCCTTCCAATCTATCCAGTTGCCGTTATTCGAGGAAGTGACGTTTGACGGAAATGCAGGTGGTCGACTTTATAAACTGGGCTGGGATATTCCGTTGAACAACTCTTCAAAACTACGTCATGTTGTTTTAGGTCTACCTAGAGCCAACTCCTTCTCTTGCGACAAGCTGCCTTGGTCTCAGATTCGGACACACAAGGCAACATATCCAGCAATTGCTTCAGAGGCTCGTGAGTGATACGATCATGGACTTTTAAAATTCTTTTTACACCGGCGCTTAATAATTTACATGTGCATGGAAACGTCAGCCGTGTGGTTCCGTTTCTCGAACGTTCAAAATGCTCACTTGTCTCCCTTACCCTTTCCGAGTGTGATAGTCCAACGCAGGAGATAACTGAGGTTCTTCTTGCGGTATCGCCGACGCTCAAGCATTTGGCTTTGAAGATCACGAGTCAGCTTTTTCAACAAATCTAGACATGCCCCACGTCTAGGGTCCTCAGAGCTTTAGCCTTCTCTCCCTCAGACAACCTCTGTCCCCATCTCCACTCTCTTGCTTGGTCCAACCCGCCCCATTATTTTGACCGTGACCTCTTCTTGGATGTCATTCAATCTCGCTGGAACGTTCCATGTGGCCTGAATGTTCAACGTCTTCGTCAAGTGACCCTGTATCTCGATAGTCGGCTAACCTTGAAGGGAAAGGAGTGGTATATAATGAGAAGCGAGGGACTGGATATAAACGTTGTGACTTCATCGCGAGCAGCGCATGAAGTCAAGAAATGGCGGGACTCGGAGTACTTTGAAACATAGTTTTATGCCGTGCTCCAAAGTATCTTTTCTTGGCCGACATCATGGGCACCTCCCAGAAATTGCATTCTCCACGTCCCTGACAAGACTGCCTCCGTTTATTAGTAAGTCTCTTTCACTCTGGATTCCTGAAAGTTCGATTAAAGTTGAGGCCCCTGATCAAACTCGCCGTGACACAGCTGTCGCGTCACGTCACACCTTCGGGACAATCGCTTGCCGCACTCTCCCTTGCGCCACCATGTCTACCCAAGCTGCCGCTCCTGCGACACAGGGCCAGCAACGAGAGGAAGAGTCTACTTTCCGAAAAATATTAGGCGTCGCACAGGTCAGCAGCGCGTCTATCTAACGTTGGGGTCATCATCTGTTCTCAATTACTTCTACTATATTAGCAAGCCTTCATCTTCTGGACAATATCCCAACTAGGTATGCACCTTCTCCCGTGGTCTACAATTCAAAAAAGGCGCTTATAACAAGGATTCTAGCGTCCAAGTATCTATTCAGCGCTGGCCCCAAAACCTCCACACCCGCGCAACCTGCAACCACGGGTAGCGATGGCGCGCCGGTCGAAGCCATAGACCCACGTCTTCTACCTCCGGTCAATGTGAATCTTGCGGCAGGCTGGGGCCTGGGCCAAGAATTCGCCATGCACGTCTATTTTACGACAACACCATTGCGGGAAGACGAGTTCTCTTCAAAATGGTTGTCGGCCTACTCTGGACTGCCCAATTTCGTATGGGAGAATATTACGTTTGGAGACTATAATGATGCCAGGGTGGTTAGCCTGGATGTGAACTTTCCATTGGTACGTATATTGCAAGACTTGTGTCGTGATTATCTCAGACGATTGCGCAGAGTGTACGCCATAATGGATCTTTGTGGGCGGACGTCTATCTCTCTAAGAACGGTGCCAACCCCAATCCGAACCACGAAAAATTCAACGCTAACGACATTCACCATACCCGCAAACGTGCGCAAGCGTTCTCCCTGTTTATGGTGTCTTATGGCCTTCAGTTCTTACGCCATATCTCCCTCGAACTAAGATAAGGAGAGTGAAGAGCCTTTTGAGCTCCAACACCACAGAGGAACTTGAGGAGGTGCACAATCAGCCTCTTAGATTCCTGTGTCATTGCTTATCATAATGCTCTCTAGGAAGAACCAGATGTGATAATTCCTCACTGGAGTCCTGTGAGCCGTTTTTTGAATTTGCCTCCGCTGCTGACATCAAGCGTAGAATGTTACATTAGCCCTCGTATCTGATGATGTTGCGCTGCCTTATGGGACCCTTCCACCGCCCTTGCGCGAGCGTAGGCACCAAATTACTCCCCTTCTCTCTCTCGCTCAAAAACACTTCAGACATTCAACTCGTTCCTGAATCCCGAGATCAAACAGGGCGTGTTGGTTTCTACAAGCCTATCGTCTTTCCCAATGAATTCTGGCATCTTCGAGCCCATTATATCGAAATCAACTCTACGACGACCTCGCTTCCTGTGCAAATCGTATTTCAGCCTATGTCGTACTTCAAGTTCCAGATATTCGCTAGCATGACTCATGGCTTTGCGGAGGCTGCGAAGCAGCAAGGTGGTGCCGGTTCGGCGGAGCTGGACGAGGTCAAACGGATGCTATTGGAAACCAATCCTTGGTTCCTTGCGTTGACGGGTTTGGTCAGTGTGCTGCATATGGTGTATGTTAAGGATTGTTTCTCTTCTTTTACTCATGTTCGCAGGTTTGAAATGCTCGCGTTCAAATCGGATGTCTCGCATTGGAGACAAAAGAAGGAAATGGTCGGAGTATCCGTGCGGACGGTAAGCGCCAGTTGGAATATTTCGAATGCTTAGCCATCTTGACCTGTCAACCAGATCATCACCAACGTTTTCGTCCAAATTGTCATTCTCCTTTATCTTATCGACAACAATGAGAACACGAGCTGGATGATCCTATTTGGTTCTGGCATGGGCGTTTTGATAGAAGCTTGGAAGATCACCAAGGCCGTCGATATCAGCGTGGTACCATCGACAGGCTCTGTGATCCCATACAAGCTGGATATCAAAGGTCAGTTTCTCTTGCGCCGTGTCCATCCATTCATTTGCCGTAGACAAGCACGTGTTGAGTGAAGATGAGAAGAAAACACAAGAGTTCGTTTTGCATTCTTAACTCGATATGACAAATAGCTGACCAATGGTTAGATATGACAAACTTGCGTTCCGCTATGTGTCCTACGTGACAATCCCGCTGCTCGCAGGCTATACCGTCTACTCTCTAGTTTACGAATCACATCGTGGCTGGTACAGCTTCATCATCTCGACGCTTACGTCATTCGTCTATATGTTTGGCTTCGTTAGTCCACTTGTTTGAATCTTCGCTGTCTAACATCGTCCAGGCCCAGCTCGTACCTCAATTGATTATCAACTACAAGCTGAAGGTAACGCTACGCTCTCTCCTTTATCCCTTTGGCTGATCATTCGTTAATCAGAGTGTTGCACATATGCCCATGAAAGCCATGATCTATAAAACACTCTCCACCGTAGTGGATGACTTCTTCGCGTATGATGCTTTTCTCACCCTACTTGCTGATTCCGACCTTGCATAGATTCTGCATCAAAATGCCTTTCCTCCACCGCCTAGCCTGTTTCCGGGACGACGTCGTGTTCCTAATCTTCTTGTACCAGGTATATATTTCCCTTAACCATTGACGCCAGACTAACTTTCTCAGCGATGGATATATCGCATCGATCCAAAGCGCATCAACGAATATGGACAAGTTCTCGCAGGAGACGTCGACAAAGCCGATGCCCAGGGTGAGACGAAGAAGACACGGTAGTACTGGATCGCAGTCTAGCTTGTAGCAGATGCGGTTATATCGGGACTAGTGGTAGTATACATACGTCTTAGTTCTCCTGTGTGATTATATAATATGTCCCTTCCAGAACCTAAAATGGCAACTTTGGTTCATAATCGGCAAATCCTGATGGGAGTACTCCTAGTGGCTTGAGTGCTAGGGGAGTTGCTTCAAATCATTATATCCACAGACATGCCAATAATATTTAGCAAGCGGTTCACCGACTCCTCCAGAGAGCCGCTCGCATCCAACCGCTTCGTCACGACAATGATATTATCCCCTTCGGATGGCTCAATCAAGATGTTCTCATTGACGAGTTTCCTGGCGATTTCTAAGTCCATTAGTTTCGTCTTGGACGCCCGTTCTTGACTGACAACGCGCTGCTCCAGAACCGCCAACTCGCAGTGGACGTTGATCCAGAAGAGCGGGATGTTACTGTCGCGCACAATGTCGAGATGCTCGCGGAGGCAGGCTGTGTCCCGGCCACCCCCGTCTTCGGCTAAACATGCGGTCATGAGGATGATGTTGCCTCCGAGCGCTAACTCCCGGATGACCTGGAAGTAGGGGGCCCGGAGAAGTCGACGGAGCCTGTGGTGCGCATCGCTGCGATCCGGAATAAGCGCGTGGACGGGGTCAATCAGGAGGTGGTTATCGACGAGCCGTGTCCTCTCTCGTGGGAGGACCGTCTGCAATTGTCGCAGGATTGTGTACTTTCCAGTGCCGGGGAAACCGTTCAATACAACAACAAATCCGCCATCAAGGCTTGTAGCGGGAGTTAAGGCTTCCATTGAGCTTCAAGTAGAGGCGAAAGCGACCTAAGGTAATGGATGGGACAAACCACGAACATATCATGTGACCATGTAAGTATTTGACAACTTCTGCTAGTATTCAACACGCAATTATGAAGGCTATCGTGGATACCAGTGCTCGTCTCACCAATCGATCGCGGCTAACAAGGTGGCTAATAATATATAGCCACTGGCTATATGAAAAGTTGCCAATGTTGTGCAGCACTGCCTCGTTCAAACATGCAATTCACCTCACCGCTCGACATTCGTGTACTTGAGCCTCTTGACAATACATAGCTCAATACCCTTACTCCAAGTTTTCCGTGCTTTCACCCTTATCCCCCGTAATTCCCGGGCCGGAGAGATGCAGTATCGTGCTGCTCGGTTGTGCAGCCGATTGGGATGCAAACAAGAGTGTAGTGACTTCAGGCTGGGCTTTCGAATGCCAGGATTCGGCTGGACGAGATAGTCCAAGGGAGACTCGTGCAACAATGAGAGTCGGCGCGATACCCTGACAAGTGGTTAGTTGTAGACTTCTAGCATTTTCAGACAAACCGTCATCTGGGCGACTATCGCCTGTGGGTATCCGTCGTTGAATGTGTGGGAGAGGAGGAAAATCAGGTAAGCCGTGACAGTCGCGGAATAGAGCACGGCGGATTCGACGACCATCTCAATGACCAACCCATATCCTCGAAGGGTGTTTTTAGCCATTCTTGTCACCCAAACGATGCGGAATATGATCAGCAAGGTGCATAAAAGGGTTGTTGCCAACGAGAGACCACAATAAGGTGTCGCAAAGTCGATAAAAGCACCACGATCAAGATTGGGATGCAGCGTGTAGCGTGCTTGTTCCTCGACACTCATGTATCCCAGTACTATAGAAATGCCTTCAATCGGAGAATTTTCTCGCCATAGGGTTTGCTTACCGGCACCAGCGATAGTGGAAAGGATAGGGATGACGACAACTCTCCAATCCCGGGCCCATACCGTCCAACATCTCCAAATCTGTCGCTGTGATTAGAATTTAGCGACTTCAATGTTGAGCCACATACGAGAATGGAATCTGCGAGAAGAGTGTTGGTGGTGAAAACGACGGCAGAAAGAGTTTCAATCCATAAAGGAGCGACAAAGAGGTATGAGATGGTTTCGAGCGGGCTGTCTCCGTGATCGATGAAAGCCCTCTTGATGAGCAGCCAGCGAAGGGCGGCGTGAATTGACGACAAAATGTACATCGCGAATACAGCAGGATAAAGCCGAATGTGCTTCGCCGCAAGTTTTGGCTTGAATACTAGGATCGGTTAGGGCTGTGGAAATAAGACTTGGGCAAGGAAACCTCACTAAACGCAGATATTGTAGCAAAAAACAGGACCGAATATATTCCTGTTGGGGTCCCATGAAGTTCTGAGGGAGAGTTGGCTGGACTTGCTCACCATACATGAACAGTTCCAATAGAGTAATCTGGAGGTAAACAGAACGAACAGGGAGGAAAGCAGCGAGAGAAGGCATGGCTGCAAGAACGACAGTACCGTCCTCCACAAGACTACGGTGTTTAAAAACGATCATGGGAATCACAGACGACGCTTTATGCTCCAATAGGAAACAGAAATCTAAGCGCCTCGGTACCAAGATGAGACCGTAACTAAAACGGACTGAGACGCTTCGATTTTGGATTCGCGGGCTGCATCTGATACAGCTAGAGAAACGGCTCGTTCGCTACCCAATGTTCAACAATGGTCTTTGCTAGGGCGGGTTGATCTTTCACTGTCTGGGGTGTGTTAGATGTGATGATGTAGCGGACTGGAAGCACATACGAAGTGTCCAGCCTCGCGAAGAAGGATAAGAGTGACATTTCCGGCACCCAAACCCGCGCTGCGGACGGTTCCAGCTTCTTCAGATGGCCACGGAAGTTCAGGGGCTGTGTTGAATTCGTCACGGAAGGTTGTTGGGAGAAGGTTAAGCTATAAATAGGGTCAGTTGAATAGAAAAAGAGGCAGCAAAAGTCGTAACGAATGACACGGTTCCCGGCCAAGGGCAGTTCGCGTCTTGCATGCCAATGTAATCTGGACGATGAATAAACATTGGGTGGGTCTGAACAACCAAACACTGACGGAGTAAACGTATACCCGCAGCAATCAATGGCGGGTACAAGAGATGATGCTGTTGTATGCTGGGAAAGGAGATGAGCAAGTGCTTCTCCCGCTGGTGAGTGATTGTTCCTACAGATCTCCGGCCTCATGAAACTCAGCGTTCACTTGCATATTGATGGGAACATATTCCAGATGCGAGGGGACGCCTAGTGTTTGACGAGTATCGGAATCGTTGAGTGCCTTGAATATCCAATTGAACTCGGGATGGCAGGCATCTGGAGCGTCGTTTTGGGGTATGCACTGTGGCAAGAGTTGGAGTCGATCATACTAGCGCTAGATGCCAACCTTCCGTCGTATATCTTCTTGTACAGTTCCGTGAAGGTCCGCATTCAAGCCGTCGTAGCATAGCTTTGAGGAGGCAACACGGTTTTTCACTGTTGGCTCTTGGAAAGCGAGCTCGATGCTGTCAAGACATTTGGGTAGCAAGGAGTAGAGTCGGTCACAATCAGTGGTGTTATATATGTGGTGGTCGGAACAGCGATATTGCAGTAGCCACGAAAAATGAGCTCTTGGACTCTGACGTCATTGTTCAGTATTGGAGATTTAACAGTGAGGAGTGCAGACCGTAAAGGGATTACTGAGAATGAGTGCATCCAGATTGATGTGAACCCGCTTGTAGGAGTTCTTTTCCAAGATGCGTTGATTTTCTTCGTGAATGACGATCGCGATATGGGGGACATATACACCTCCATACGATCCTCCAGACACGAAGAACTTGTTGCTGTTTTGTGGTCAGTAGGACTGGAGGAACCTCTTGGTATATTACTCACCCGGAAAGGTGTGGGAAGAGCACAAAGAACTTCTGCAAAAAGTCGTAGGCGTCGAGAGCAGCGGCGTGACTGCTGTTGACTCGAGAGCCGTATGAAAATCCCGCTCCGATAGGCTTATGACCGCCATGAGTGGCTGACTTCAAGCTGAGAGGTGTCGCGTACGTGGTCAAGCGCGATCAGATTGTGTTTTTGAGTCCACCGATTTGGATTCTCGGATAGGCCATGTTCAGTGACGAGACATGCTGACTGTCCGAAGAGAGGATTCATCAGTCCACTGGTTCCCGGTCCCCCACCGACAGTAAGTCTACGACTGTTAGCGCGTTGGATGAAAAGGTGAGCTCTTTACATAATTGGTGCATCCCATGGGTCCTCCTCCGCTTCAAAGTACCTGAATGCTTCTCTCAGCGCATCGTAGGGCGAACGAACGTGTTCTCGCACCAAAAAAAAGATCGTTTAGGAGACTGTTCGCTGTCCCCCGCTAGACCTATATGACCAGAATGCGAGACGGAGCCACACAGGCGGCTTGTAGAGATATTGTGATAGAACTCTGGTGTACTTGGAGGTGTGTTGGTTGAAGAACTTGCAAGTCGTAGTTGGAACAACCCAAATACCAGCGTGAGTGAGACGACGGTCAGGATGTGATACCACCGACGGCGGTGGACTGATGAGTTGTTGCTAAACTGCGCTTGAGGCACCTTCATCGAGCTCGAGGTTCCTTCCAGAGCGCTGGGCGGCTAAGTTGCTTCCTGCTTCCATGCATCTTATGACGAGACGTCACAGGAGACGTCACAGTCACGGTAGAACGAAGTAAAGTCTGCCCGAACATCGGTGGTGCAAGCAAGTTGGCTACTCGCAACTGCTGAAGTTAATGGGATTTGATTATTACTCAAGTACTAGAAGCTAGCAATATCCAACTCGGGCTCCACGTATATGGTTAGATTGGGGCGAGGGGACCGCATCCTATTCATCTTTGCCCAGCCCTGAATAGCTCCATAGTCCCGACAGTGATGCACTATATCGTCGACCTCTATGGCTTCGGCTGCCTCCTCCGACCATTGCATCACAACAGCGGTAGTGTCTCCATGACACATCAGCGCCTGTCGAATGGCCCCGATGCAGTGTCGAATGTGGGTGTTGGGAATGTGCGGGTAGCCATGCCCTGGATGAAGTTGCTGCCGTATCATGTCCTGCGAGAATATGAGCGCTGAAAGTCATCTCAGTGGATTGCACAGCACAAACCAGACAATGCAGTTGGTGAAAGACCTCTAGAGAAATCAAGTAGTAGCCTGGATCGTTGTGGATGGGCCAGGTTGCGTTGGGCAGTTTTGCTGCCTCAGATTTCGGGATGCGGATTTCGGCGTCTGTGTGGTTAGTAGTCAAGAGCCAAAAAAGAAACATAAGCGGGCTCACGGGCGTAGAGAGCGGCCCATGCGTCGTCGACCGCTTTTGAGGGCTGTCGTTCGTAGATTTGAACATCTTCATTAATTCCACGTGAGAATTTGACCAGCTCATGCTTGATGGCAGATTGAGCGGGTGCTAGATTTTCGTGGTGCGTTAGTGACTTGATACTAGTAATCGCACGCTCACAGTATAATCCAAACTGTACGTCTAGAGCCAGAGGCGTAGAAAAATACTGCAACCACGCAAATCTAATGTTGACCAAGAAAGAGGTAATGAAGGCAACCCAGAAAAGATAGTTCCGCGCGCCGAAAGTTTGAAGCCTCGAGTCACGTCCGCGGCCTTGGGGCAACATGCCTTCACAAGAGTCAATTTCAGGGAGTTTGGCGTATGCATGAGCCATCTTGGGCATTGACCGTATGGTCTGATATTTCAAGTTTGCGGTCCCACTTTTGTAGATTTCGGGAGTGCTCGTAAGTACCGAGATGGCGGCAGTAGCTGTACCCTAAAATCATCTGGTTCTGCCGAGGTCCTGTTGCGAATCGTTGCTCACTATTCTGTGGCAGTACCTGTTGCACAGTGCGCATCCATCGGGCTGGAGTAGTATCAAATGGAAGCAACCAGATATAGAGCAACAAACGGCCTAGTTCATCGGCCGCGAAGCTGGTACCAGCGCTACATTTATTTTGGAGCGACCCATAAAGCAGCCCATCGAAAGGCACGAATAGTATCGGTCCAACCTGCGTTGTAACATGCGCGCCAGTTTCAGTTACGCCTTGCTTGCCGTGCTCGTAACACTCCAAGGTACCTGCTCGACTTCCTGCGACTTCTGTTGTTTAGACAAAAATTCCGTAGTGGCTTCTGCAACGACCATTCGTGAGCAATCTGCTCAGATTAGCCACAAATACTTACGCATGGAAAAACATTAGCCAACATTGTCGAGGCTGGGTCGCAGGTTGAGACCAATGCTCGCAGAGGAGAGCGTACTTCCGGTAACTGCAAAAGTTACTGCCGGACATCCGCTAACGTAGAGATTACAGGAGTTTTCTTCGCCAATTATAAGGACATTGACGATGACGAGCTTGAGTAAGTTGACAAGTCTGCACAAACTTGATGATTTCTGATTGCTTTTGAAGCCCCGAGCCAAAGGCCAGCGATAAGAGCTAATGCAGATATAATCATAGGTAGTTCATTGCTGTGGAATCTGGGGACACTATTTTATCGTTCGTGAAAGTTCGAAAAAAGAGGTGTGATCGTGAGATAGTATGACTCAGCAGTCCTCCCAGTTCTTTGCAATCATTAGATTTGGATACCAAGGGTAGATCCATATGCGACGAAATAACGATAATATGCCGGCCAGTACAGAATGCTATAGGATGCAACACAACAAATGCGACGAGTGCGAGAGGAAATGCAGGACAGAGAGAAAGAGAGATCGAAACAACGAAAAAAAACTACTTCTTGATCGCCCTCATTTGGTCTCGCAACTTGGCGTTTTGCTCTTGGAGCGAGTTAAGCTCCTCCAACAACGCCATGCTCTGTCCCTGCTCGGCCGTGCGCATGGCCTCGATGTCCTCCTGGGCAGTAGCAAGCGCGGCCTTGGTCTCTTCCAGCTGTTTCCTCAACACCTCTGGCGCTGAAGCCGCTTCTTCCGCCAACGCAAGCGTTTTAGCACTGAGCGCATTGTTTGCCTCTGTCAGTTGCGCACATGTGGCCGCTTGCTCTGCTGCCGCTGTCTCCATATCGACTTTCTCTTTCCGCACCCTCTCAATTGTGTTCGTCAGCCCGGCCACTTCATCTTGGAGTGCTGAAACACGTGTTGCCAGATCCATATTCCGCTCCTCCAGAATCGCAACTTGTTTCTGGTACACCTCCAAAGCCGTACTGCTCTCAGTAGCGAGCTTTTGCGCGCGCTCGGCGTTCTTCTTCAGCAAGTCGTGAGCCTGAGCAAAACGCACAAGACGTTCAATCAACGCCCGGTCATCGTTGACCAGCGCCTGGACCCGTTGCACGAAAGCATCGAGCGAGAATGACGCAGTACTGTTTGGAGAGGGTGATGATGGTGTCCGCGGGTCATACAGAGTCTTTAACGACCGAACATCGAGCTCCGAAAGCGAAGTTGGAGGGCCACTCGGATTGGGACTACTCGGTGAATTCGCTCCAGATCCAGCACGGAACCTCTGTGTTCCAAATTTGGCCGCCCTTGCTTCTGGAGATGGAAGAATCGCCCATACAGGCTGTAGGATTGCAAGCAGTTGTTTGTTGTCCCCAGAGAAATCACGCGGAGACGGCAAGGGAGAAAGAGCCGCTGGACGAATGTCCGTCTGAAAATGAACAGTCAGACGGTCATGATCGACACATCCAAGAACAAATACCTTGACCCGGAGTTCCATTGCTCGCGCCTCCTTCCTTGCTTCCTCACGTTCTCTACGTGCCTCTTCGATCTCCCGAGACAAAGTTTCTCGCTTGTCGAATCCAGCCCGTACATCATCCTCGAGTTTGCGTCGAGTGTTTTCCCAATCGGTTTGGGCCGCCGTCAACATCTCTATCTTGGTGGCCAGAGCCTGCAAATGAGATGCCAATGTCGACACAAACACAGGAATGGTGGGGTCCCGGGAGTATAGAGGGATGTTGTACCTGTCGACCAGGTCCTGTAAAGCCGATGTGCCGTCCTCAAGTTCTTCCTGGGCTCGTTTGAGGGCATTGGAATCCACCTCGCGCAGTCGCTCGGTTTCTTCTTGTAATTGAGCAAGATCTTCCAACCGCTGCTCTTCCAGCGTCATCTTTTCTCGCTCCCATTCTGCCCTTTCTTCCTCCCAGGCTGTCTTCTCGCGCGCATGGGCCTCTCCGTCAATCGTCTCCGATTCTAAAGCCGCAATGGTTTCTTCAGCCCGAGCCACCTGGGCGTCTGACGCTTCTTTCTCTGAGCGAGCAACAGAAAGTTCGCGAGCGAGCTCAGCTTGCTTGGCGCTTGACACCGCCAAAGCCTCTGTTGCTTTCGCTAACTTTTCCTCAAGCTCCAACACAGCTGCTGCCGGGGGTGCTTTGGCAGAGGTAGACGGCACTACGGTTTCCGCATGACCCGCAAAGAAATGTGCACCATCAAATCGCGGCTTTTGAGAGAGACTTGCACTAGCTGACGAACCAGTTGGACTGCGAAGTGTACCCGAAGGAGTATTGTAGCCTGAGTCGTTGTTGCTATCTGGCGCCATCTTCCGCTCCATAGATCGCACAGAGTAGCTGAGTACCCCGGCTCGGTGCTCGAGAAGGCGTTTGGTGATCTCGCTTGCACGATCGTTGATCCGTGCAAGGTCCCGCTCAGTCGTTTCGACGCGTTTGTTAGCCGCCTCTAGTTGCTCTTCTGCCTGTTTAGATCCATTCTTGCGGCCAGCGTTGACACGGTTAAGTGAATTAGCGGCGTCTCGCATCTTGGTGTCAAGGGTCAACTTCTTGGCCAACGCCGTCTGTCGGGAGACAAGGTCTTGTTGCTCCTACGAAATGCAATTAAAGCTCAGATTTGAGGAGCAAAGCACAATATACCACGCACTTTCTTGAGATCTTCGACTTCCTCTGAAGTCAGAATCTCGAAATCGCGACTATCCACCACTGCCTCGCTTGCGAGAAGACTGAGTAGTAGTTCGTCCCTGATATTGGAGGGCGGTTGTATGGCAGTCCTAGATGTCGATAGCCTCGTGGGTTGGTTCGCCACGCGGGAAAGTGACGACGGCAATTGTCTTGACGGTGAGCTTGACTGCGACCGTGCAGAAATGCCATTTAGCGCTCTCTGTACGGGTGCCGGTGACCTTGGTGAGTCAGGGTCATCTTGTCTGTCCTTCCGAAACGACAAAGCTGCAGTGGATGGTGGGGATGAAGATATTGTTGGAGAAGAGTCTGGCGGCCATGTTGGTGCTCCAGGCTTTAGGGGGAGATCAGAGCCCGGAGGGGGCGAGGTAGCACCATTCCCCGTCGCAGACGCGAGAAATCGACGGACACCTCCCCCAAAGCCATTCATCGCAGAAGCTAAGAATTGAAGTGTGACGTCGAGTCACGTGTGATCCTTCACTTTCCTCTTGCCATCGCCAAGAGCAAAAAGTTACTCCCAAGTTTCGGCGTTAGGATGAACGACGGCAATACTTTCGTCGCACCACTAAAGCTGTGTCAGGTCTGCAGCAAGCGCGGAGAGTTACGCCAGTGTGCCAACTGCAAGACCGTCCAATATTGCTCACGCGAGTGTCAAAAGGCTCACTGGCCAAAACATAAAGTTCACTGCAAACAATCACAACAACGTTCCGAGGAATTTGCCGCGTTCAAAGCTAGCAACCCTATATTTGCACAACATGTCCAATCACTTGGGAAGTTCTCCCAGATTTGGAGCGACGCTCTCTTTGGTTGGGCGGCTTGCGCAGTCGACCTAGCTGTCATCTTGAAGCAAGACCTCAATTACTTGGAAAAGCATAGGTATCATGCTCCTTTTATGGCGAACAGTGAGCTCAAAAGCTGTGCAAGTTTCTTCGTGACCATTGAGCGACGTTCCGACGTTGCAGCCAATGCACCTGTGAAAACTGCGTTTGAGGTTTGCTATGCGACACTATAACATCCTTCTTGAGCTAGCTCCAGGTAATCGACGCAGGTATGCGTGCCGACGAGGAGATTATGCTCGAATTCGAACGCATGGAACTGAAAACCGGCTTCACCGAACCCAAAAAGATGTTCCAGTCTCAGAAAGCGAACCCGTATCTTCTGCGGATGGTCGTCGTTCAGCCCTCGCTTTGTCTCTCCATATACTTATCGGAGTTGATTCCCAGAATTATGCCCTCTGAAAACATTATATCTTGGGCAAACGACAAGATATTATCCTCGACACTAGCGGCGCTTTGGCTACAATCATGTCGAGATAGCATCCGGATAGGCAACAGTCTGTGCGGATTGAAGAACGTCTCGATTTTCTAACATATTCTAGCTTCGGGTCATTTGAAGCTGGTCAAGGACGTGAGACAGGCTATCGGGGTTGATTGATTCAAGTGTATCACACCATACGGGCAACTTGACTGACGAATCTCAACTTGTACCCGTTTCGATGAAGTACCCAAGGTCCACAACTCCTTCGTTTACTCTTACTAGTACATCTGTGACTTACACAACTCCTCCTTACTCTTCGTCGTCGATCAGCTAATCACTTTCTCGTTCCTGACCACTTCGTCTTTCTAGATACGCACGATCACCACTCATCCGATTCACACTCGTCGACTGCCGCTTAGAGTGCAAATATCTCTCTGAATTATCTGCTTCGATAACGCGGCCGTCTGCAAACAAAACTCCCGTGGTGGAGAGCATATGCATCGAGGGAACGTCGAGCCTATTAGGGTCACTAGCAGTGTCTTCAGACAACGGGTTGGGAAGAGACCGGATGTTGATGATCATGCGGGAGACGGCAATGCATGAAATGGCCGAAGTGGGTCTAGACAGAGTCAGATAAGCCGGGTGGCAGTTGCCGTCGTGTAGAATCCCACCCTAGAAGAATGGCGCGATAGAAGGATCCGAAAGAGAGCTCGTAGAGCAGCGCATTGGTGAGGGTGAACGCTAAACGGACATAAGTCGAGGTGGGCGCAACATAGAGTAACTCACTGAATACAAACGCAAAGTATATGAGGGAGTCGCGAGCCAGAAGATCAAGTCTATATATACCAAGGTCAAATAGGGTTGTGATATTTCTATAAAAGGCCCACGTCGGATTCCTAGATTGACGTGGGGTGAAGCTGGCACCTTGGAAGACGCGACTGAAAAAAGGCAGAGATGACAGGCCCGGGGGTGGAGCAATCTTCACGAGGGTCAGAATTAGAATAACAACTGGAGAGCGGTCAATATGGTGGAAAGCTGGGAACGAGGGATATAGCAACATTCGAAGCAAACTGGCGCAATCCACGTTCCACTGGCATAATTTTTGAGCAATGGGGAACGAGCCTCTAATCCGCAACCAAGGGGGGACGGCTGGGAGGCTCCTTGGGTGTTGATGCTAACAAGAACGGAGCACGCGACGACAGCAGTAAATTCCACTGGACTGATTTTAAGAAATGGTGAAGATAGTTTCGAAGAGTTTACCGGTATACAAGCTGAGAAGTACGAAGAGCATCACTTTACTGTTGTTGTCTATGAAAGGCTGCATGAGATTGCTATGTCCCGATCGTGGAAGAAAGAAACCGACAAATCGCCCACAAACGAATGACCATCAGGGCTTGCGCGACGAGGATTGCCAGACGAGCCGGTCTACATAAGTTCAGAAAGAGAACTCCATGATAGCCACAGCGTACATTACTTGCCAAATACCATAGACATCGCAGAACTCTGCTGACATTCCAGGATAGTCACCCACAATGAATTGAAGACTGCTAGCCAGTAAGCGATGAGAGATGGTATGTAGGTATGTGCTCACATTAAAAGGGCTCGCGCAATATAGCGGTTGATAATAAACAGGACTTTAGGCAATCTCCATCGCAGTCTATTCAACGCGTCAACTTCCGGGGAGAAACGACAGGCGAACACGTACGACCAGACTCGTTCCACCTCCTCGTCGAATGTGGTAAAGAGTTCATAAACCAGCAGTGTCGTCGTCGCGTCTGAGGATTTTTCAGCCATATTTCCGAGTAATCCTCAATTGAAACGCCTACACATAACATAGTTCTGGGTCAATGTAAGAAGAACATACTCCTCTGCGTCCTGGGGTGAATACTGGCTGGCATTGAGAGCCAGCGCAGGGCCTCGCATGGGCGGAAGCAAGCAACAGACAGCCGGAGCACGCTATTTTTCTCGAGATAAGGCACGCCACCCTGTGGGGAAGTCTTGCTTGCTGATCACAATCGGTTCGATTCTCTTCCACGTTCGGCAAGTAGCTCGATTGGGTTGTTCTCCAGCTGGATTTTCACGCGTGTTTGGCGGGTTTGCGGTTTTGCGGAGCATGTCGGCGTTCCTTTCAACTTGTCCTTTCGTCCGAGCTTACGTCAACTTCGGGACAACTCGGTTGTACTACAACAATGACTCGTTTTTCAGTGTTTCCTCACAGCTATACTTCTCTCCGTCGGTTCCCCTTGCGCTGAAGCACTGACAAAGGACCGAAAGAGACGGCTAATTGCAGCCCCGAATCCAGTGCAGTAAGACTTGCTCGCGGCAATTTTCGCCGTCCGACCTGCGCAGTCATTAAACCGCGCCTCCCTTGAAGGTCCTCGACGCGTCATGGCCGCTCGTCGTAAGCCCCTCGGCTACCTACCTACCGCAGCGGAAGATGTCGGATGCTGCCAATTTATCTATTCGGAGGAGGGCCATTCTCGTCAATTACTCTGACAGAACAGGCTCGCGCAGTCAGTATAAAGCTATAACACTCAAGCCATGAATTTCTCAATACAATGGCCGGCGCTGAATCGTCAAGCAGTGGTCGCTCGAACTGGAATAAGAGCAAAGCCTGTGTAAACTGCAAGTAAGTGCGATTTTCTACACCACCGCAAGATCGGAGAGCTCAAGAGAGTGAAAGGAAGCGCAAAATTGTGGGATTCTCTTGTTGCTGGTCTCTGTATACTTATTATCCCAGAGATGTGACCTTGTACACCCTCAATGTGGACCCTGTTCGCGGTCAATGAACTTTCAAGACTGTGAATATGTAGAGTTCGGCCCGTCGACAACACAGAGGCTGGAAGGTGATTGCCAGCGTTCCCCTCGTATCCAATCTGTGTCGCTAACTTCAGCCCAGAACAAATTGCAGGTGTCGAGGCCCGTATTCGCGGGCTAAACCCAGCCGCCCCAGTACCTTATCCCAACCATCAACGCTCATCTGTACCAAGCGACAGATCTCTTCATCATGATGTTATGCAACAACTGCAAGTCTCTCGCGGTTGTCTGAGATATCAAATGATTCTTCTATAGCACGTCGAATTTTTATGCTCACGCGGCTCAATTTGGTTTCTTCCTCGACATTCCGGTTTCCTCTAGTACACTCACCCCAGCGCTTACAAGCACTATTCAACTTTGGTCCATCCATCTTTCAAACTCAAATTTTGGACATGAGCTGGAATCAGAATATCTTTCTCGAGCAGTGAGGGCAACCACTGATGCATTATCGCCTCCTTCTCGGCCCCAATCCCCTTCACCTTACGCGTTAATCCCCACTTCCAATCCACAAGACCATCCTCGTATAATTCTCCAGGCCATTCAGTGCCATATTCTCCTTGCGACATACTTCTTTCGGAATGCACGTCTTTTGGAAGGAAAATACCATCTTGGCACCGCTGTTGGTTTAGTACTCGGTGCTGGCATGCACAGGCGAATATCAACGGGAAGCTCTGCCCGTAACAATGCCTTTTGGACTGTCTACACAATGGACTGTTGCTGGACGAGCGCCGATGGTTCCCCATCTAACTTCCCGCAAGACATGCAGAGTCAGGTCGATGTTCATTGGCCGGTTAGTCATCGTGTGTCTTTTTTAACCATTTCCGTGATCACCTGTTCTCTTAGCAGGAAACATCCTCCAGTCCACATGGGCTAGGAACAATTACAGCTTTCCTCACAAGCCGCTCGATGTCTGGCACGTCGGCACAAGCATTATACGCCAAGGCAGCGATCCTCTACGAACGCGCCTCTCGTCTTGTCATCAGATATCGTCCCCGTTAGTCCATTTACCACTCTTGATGAAGTTTACGGCTTATAGTTCACCAGAAATGCCTCCTGAAGAGCTAAATAACTTCTTCCTCGCATTCACGAATATTGATACTGTCATCCAACAATTTCGCCAAACGTTTTTCTCGCAGTCACCACAGGACCACCCCCATTTGGTGGCACACATCTTGACTCATGTCGCCACCATCCAGCTCCACAATTTATTCGTTGGTGACCGAGAGGCGGAAAGTTCCCGACGCCGTGTGCTTGACGCTGCTACAGGTGTCGTGCAGGCGTTGGCCACCATCCAGCAGCTTCGACTTGACGATGTCGACCCAATCATGGGAACGTTGCTGACGGCGACAGGGCAGGTTTTCTTGATCTCACTCGCGGCCCACCGAAGTACAGTGAGAGTGTCTGGAAGACACGCAACTTGGCCAGAAAGCGGAGTAATGCCACTCAAAGCGTCCGTGGAACGCATTCTGGATGTCATGGGTCTCTTTGCATCAAGGTCCAAATTAATGGGTGAGTTGTCCATTCTGTCAAAACCACACTGATAATTGGTTGTAGATTCGCAGCATAAAGCATTGCGAGAAAGTCTTGGTCGTGCGATGCAGTCTTGATTGTCGTTAATCTGTTGCTTCATTTCATATCTTACAGTATACTAGCCTAACAGAGGTGTATTCACACTTTAGTAGTCGCCAGACAGTGCCGCAAGGACATCCTATTGGCATTAATTGAAATCCCGAATTATGACTTGACTCCTCACGTCTGCATCGTCGTCCCATGGTTTAACCCCTTGACATGCAAGGTCCCAAGCTTCTCCCTCAGTAAATCCACATAATCCAGGATCGAGATCATCAAAATCTTCATGGTCGCGATAACGCGGCATTGTGTATGAACGGCCTCCTCGCGGACCTGGTCCACGACGACGAACGCTCGCTTTGTGAGCGCTCGCTTGAGCTTGTTGGCGTTGTTTCTCCGCGTTCTTCCGCTGCTTGGGGCGTTTCTTTCTATTTCTACCCCCGGTCTGAGGTTGTTGCCGGACGCCAGAGCTTTGCTGAGGAATTGACATCATGGTTACAGGAGAGGGACTTGTCACGTGTAGCCACCCCTATGTATGCCTATCTGGCTCGCTGAGTCAAGTTGATTAGGGGTAATATCCTCAGGCTGCCCGGCGTCTAATCTTCAGGCTGCATTCGAATGTTCTTGTCATACAACTAGGTTGCAATTTCTCCGTGTTGCTCAACTACTTAGTATTACAATTCCATCGCCAAACTCGTTGCTGTTATAATTATCTTTATTACTAGTACTTCCACCTGTTTGTCATCTGAGACAAAGTTGAGTTCAAGTTACAAGATTGTACATGTACAAATGAATCATTGCCATCACGGATAATATGTACATTTTTTCCAGTCTCGATGCACCAAGCCACATATAGAGCACATGCCAACCTCTCAGATTCCTCTGAGGACGGGTCAACAATATGGCATACTGTCCCAATCAACCTACAAATCGATTCATAATCCATGCAAGTTTAAAGAACAATGCAAATGGTACGCACCCCTTCGCTAGCATCCCAAGGCCGGTACCCAAGCTTTATATAGTCAGTAATAGTCATTCCATCGCGGTTTCCCCTGAAGTCATCGATATCAAACTCCGAGTCGTCATACTCTGAGAAGGAGTCCTCGAGCTGGATATTAGCCATCTTGCGTCGAGTTCGACGGAGAGGAAAGAACGTGACAGGCCGGAGAGGAAAAGGCCCTGTCGATGCCAACTCAATGGAATCGAATGCACATTGGGCTTCAAGTTGGCGCCGCAGCTTGTGCCGTGCACCTTCTGTCTTGTGATGAGAGTCGATCCAAGCTGAGGAGGTTTCGCGTTGTTGGAATGGAAGCAATTGACCATTCATATCGCGACCCAGGAATGGTGGGATCAATTCTCCGAGGTTGTGATAAACCGACTGGTAGTAGGCAACATATTCTGATTTGTTCCACCACCCATTTATTGGCAAGTTCGCCTTGAAGTGCGCGTACGGACACTTGGGTTTGGAACATTCGTGGAGAAGGAAGTTTAAGCAGACATTCCGACCACTGCAGCATTCAGATGGTCAGACAATTTCATGCCGTTATTAAGCGGGGCCTACAGTTGGTCTCGAACGCTTCGATCATCGACGGCATGCCGGAAATTACACTTGCTACCAGATGTACATGGCGCCCCTTTGTTGTAGTTTTTGCATGGCTTTCCATTTCCTATGTGCCGCGAATCCTCTGTGTCAGACTCGCAATCAAGGTCGTAGTTTGCCGTGCACGTTGCCATGATCGTATGGACTGCATTCGCGTTTGCGTATTCTGGATTGCGTTCAAAATAGTCCTTGTCAACATCCCAAAGTTGATGGAGCTGTTCGATGGCATCTGTAACTTCGAGGGCCTCTGGCCTGCTCCGTTTACAGAGGATTAAATCTTCACATCATGAGACAGCATAATGTTTGGAGCATCGTGACATACCTACGGCTGCCTCTGCATATTGATGTTCCCTGATGAAAGCTGTTGCACGGAGAAAACGAGCAGAAATATTATTCTGATTCCGGTCGATTGCGATATGGAAAGTTGCCATATCGATTGCTTGCTCGTAGCTAGGCAAACTCATTGACACCAACACAAGGCGGGCAGACGGACACACCGTTCGAGCTTCATAAATGTTGACGCCATCTTGAGCACATACTTTGGCAGTGTCTTGAAGGTCACGCAGGCGTCTTGGAGCGATTTCAGCGCTGCTTCGTATTTTCCATCGTTGAAAAGACCAGTGGCCTGAGGACAGAGATCCATCCAACTCAACCACAATAAGAGAATAGCACACCTTATCATAATGTTTCTCCGCATTTGCTTGCTTTCTGTCAGAGACAATTTTCCGGGCAGCGGCTCTGGAGGCAAGACTTTGCGGCTCAACCTGTTTTCCCTTGCCTTTCTTCGAATTCTTTGGCCCTTGCCCACCACGTTTCGCACTTCCTCCTGCTGTGGGTTCAGATTGGGCGGGAGCTGCGGCCTGCTTTTTCTTGCGCTTATTCCGCTTCGTCGATGGGCCTGGTTGGCTCATGGTGGCTCTAACGTGGCTCTCGACCTAAAGATAACTCGAAGTTGTTCGGGGATCATGGCGCACGGGAAGTCACGTTCACGAGACGTCACGTTGTGTGACGACGCCACTTCACAATGAACAAAAACAACCCCCAACGCAAGAAGAAGCCAGCCAAGAAGAATGCGAGCACAAACCAGCAGGCGGGTCCTTCGCGAACTACCGGTGGCAAAGGGAAAGGGAAACAAGTGCAACCTCAACAAACGACACTCGCAGCAAGAACTGCCGCGCGAAAAACTGTGGCTAACAGGAAAAGGGCTGCGGGGGATATGAAGTATACTCAAGTGAGCGAATCATCCTCTTTTGTGAAGGTTGTGTGAATCTATTACAAGGCTCTCCACTTTTTCGACGCCGGCCAATACGAGGCTGCGCTGGAATCTCTCAAGGCTGCGTGTATGACCTTTAAAACACAACCAAAATATGCCTTGAAGATGGCGGCTACGTTGAGCAAACTGGAAAGGTTTGTTCTCACCAGAAAGTTTAGACTCCAGTTGACAGTGGAAGGTACGATGATGCCATTGACATGGCATCATATGCTATTGCCGTCCAACCCAACGACACCTTCAACGCTCGCTTACTGCGTGCCACCATATTCATTAAGGACCAGGAGTATGACTATGCAGCGGCTGGTATGCTGTTTATTACTCACACAAGACCAACCTTAACGATTTCTTGAAGACTTGGTCACCTGCAAACGCGACAAGCCAGATTCTCAAGAAGTCGCGTCAGCCATCCAACAGCTGCACGAGCTATGGGATGTCGACGATGAGTACTTACAGAAGAATCCGGACGAGGCGAACAAGGACATTGTCTATCCCGACTTTGCCAACTGCACCGCCAACTTCGACCTTGACTGCAACTCCGACACGGAGGAGTCAACTCACAAGGGAGATGGTCGAGTTTGCACCAACTATAACCAAGGGATGTGCAAATACGGGAAGGACTGCTATTCGCGACATTCTGTAGACTCGAGGAGCATTCGCGACCAGCTGTAGGTGCATTTATTCTATACATCAACCGCTATACCGACCATTTCCTAGTGGTCGCAACGTCTGCATCTTCCACATCATCGGCCGCTGCCACTTCTCAGCGGGCGGCCGATGCTGGTACTCTCACTCAACAAGCCATCTTCCGAAACAAGGATGGTGGAACGATGCCGAATATGTCGCCTACTACCGCAGCATATACGATGTCCTCAAGACAACGGGCTCGAACCAGGTCATGGACCTCATGCTTGGTGGAGACATGAACGGTCAATGGCGGCCCTTTGAACGCCGCACGAACTTCGCGGCTGGAATGCAGACACTCAATCAGCCAGAGAACTTGCGTCGCGCAATTTATCGTCGATGCGAGGAGGCAGTCGCCCAAGTCATTGGAATGAATCCCAAGGACGTCGGAAGAAAAGGCCGGAACGGCGTATTGGGGCAAGCGCTCAGGTACTTTGGGGTTGGATATCACGGTCAACAGCGTCGCTCGCGGCGCTACGAGGAGTCCGACTCTGATGATTACGACTACGACGAGTATGGCGAGGGAGGATATGACAGTGATGGTGATTTGCTGCAGGAAATGCTCAGTCTGGGAATCAAACCCTGGGATGAGGATGCCTATGTGAGACTCTTTGTACTGTTCACTGGTCATCACTAACGACGCTGGATAGGACATCCTTGCTTACCTTGCCAGCGAGTATTAGGAATAATCACATAGTCTAGAGAATACAGTGCTCTTCAACAAATTTCAAAGTCAATATCATAGTTCTTCTAGTGTACATACTTTGCAGTCAATTATTCTACCAGTGGTGTATGTAGCTTCAATCAGCATTCTTCGAATGATGTTTGGCCGTCTTTGTGTTCTTGGTCCGCCTTGGGACACATGGTCAACTTATGAAAGACGTTCTGCCCATGTCTTTCCGCGTTGTTCCGTATGAGCTTGGAAATCTAACCGTCGAAGAAGAATAACATCAGTATTCTGATGACGAAAGAGTCGAGGTGGACGCACAGCATTTGGGGGTTTCAAACCAAGCTTGTGAGCGCGCTCCCAGCGTTCGAGACGCGTCATTCCTACCGTGGGCCCGTATTCCGGAGCGCTGAATCGGGAAGTAAGCGGTTTAGCCGATGAACACTTATGGCGGACCAACGTACTGGTCAAAGTGGCGTAGAATCTCGTCGTCACCAGTTTGGTCTTCGCCAGTCCGGATCCAAGTGAGCGATCTTGAACACAGAGTTGCGGGGAGATCGTGGAAGAAGACGAACCCAAAGGCAAGTTGGCTCGCGATTCAGCTGTGGCCAAGACTTGTGAATGCCTGTGCCTATGATCAAGGGAGGCGATGGCGTATGCTGGGGAGAATGGGCTTCAGGCGGTGAACTCGCCAAACTCTTGACCCGTGAAGCTCCGCTGCCCCGAGGGTTTGAGGCCGGCGGGTCAGCAGACGTACTTAGGCTGGAGGGGTGGACTCGAGTCCCAATCCCACGCGTCGGAATCAGAGCTCGATGAGCTCGACTCAGCGAGTTGGCTTAGTTTCTGAGTCCTAGCCGCTTCTACTTTCGTGGCCTGGATGGATATCATGTGTGGGCGTATGACAGGGTAGAGAAGCATTGGTTGTTGCGACGCAGCTAAGTGCGCGGTACTAGAACTTGAAGGCATATGGATGATGATGGTCGTTCAGAGCCAACGACTTGATGAGATAAGCGTGAAATCCAAGTCTGATCATTATAGCTACAGCGTATAGCTACACGACTGGATTACTGGAGCACAGGAACGAATAGCAATGATACAGCGGTGAATGACATATAAGTACACGGGTAATCAGCAACTGCAAGACATCATACTTGGTCAATCAAAACCGACTCAGCATAGCGTGGGCCTTGTTTTGACTTCAGAATATCGCGAACCTAACTAAGTGAGGCGAAAGACACTACGATAGGATTAGATATACCTCTATTGGCGGCGAGAGTCCCATCGCTTGAGCACGCTCCCATCGCTGGAGTCGCGAAATACCAACGCAAGGTCCATATTCATACGAGCTATTCTCAATCAGCGAAAGGTTGACCAATCTGTCCGAAACTATGCTGACAGGTCAAAAACACGCAGTATGTCGTCAAATATCGTCTGTGCTTGTGCGTGAACTGCAGCGAAATAAGTATCACATGGACGAATAGTCAGACCACATACCGAGTATGTCATGACCACGCTTTGACTTGACCTCTTTCGCATGTTTCTGCCAGCGCCGCTGTTTAGGACTAATATCAAGCGGCTCGTCGTCGTCGTCGTCGTCGATATCGATGATTTCATCACGCTTAGGCTTCTTAGTTGGGGTCGATGGAGCAGGCACCCGAGCTACGGTGCTCTTGTCCGCAAAAGAGCCGTCAGATTCGATGATTTCTATGTCAGAGTCGACCTCAGAACCGGAACCGGAACTGGCAATCTCGATCTCATCGACGACGTTATCTTCTGGTGGATTGCGGGGAAGGATGGGAGCAGTTTTCTTATTCGTGTTCGTAGAAGCATTCTGCTTGAAGGCGCTGAAGGCAAGTGTAGACTGCTTGAGAGTGGGCTGAGACGATGATTTGGCTTTGGGAGCTTTAGGCATGGTGGTAATGGTCATAGGAGTAAATGATGTCACTTCGTGATGACATCACTTCGTGTGACTCGTAGTCCAAGACTCCGGGATTTCAAGAGGCATTGGCACGGAAAGTCGGTCATCTAAGATATCGTACTGCATCTACTTGAGGTCATGAATACCTGAGGCCTATAACCATAAACACCGAATGCTCCTCTATAACTTGGTCAACATAGTCACGACATCCTGATACCTCTGGCGTGTCCCATCGACAACGTTAGGATCTATGAGCCAGCCCGTGCCTTTAGGACTGCCTTCAGGACCTCCTTCAAGACCCTTACGAAAACCAGCGCCGACTAGCCAGTCTCGCAGATATTGTTTGTCGAACGATGGTTGAGACTTCCCAGGCTCGTACCCTTCTAATGGCCAGTATCGAGACGAATCGGGGGTGAGCAGCTCATCAACGAGGATAAGTTCTTGCTCCTCGGCACCAACCGGCACAAGACCAAACTCGAACTTCGTATCAGCAAGGATGATCCCGCGAGAGCGTGCGTATTCGGCTGCGGCGTTATACAGACTGAGTGCTGCAGCCGATAGTTTCGAGTAGAGGGCATCTCCAATCAGTGTAGCAGCTGAGGGAATGTGAATTGACTTTCACGAATCAGATGCAATCGTACCTTGAGCCGGAGATATATTTTCGTCGTGTTGTCCTTGTTCCGCCTTGGTGGAGGGTGTGAAAAGAGGCTCTGGTAGGCGCTGAGATTCTACGAGGCCAGCAGGCAGCGGGATTCCGTGAACAGTGCCGGATTTCTTGTACTCCGACCATGCTGAACCTGAGTTCAATTAACAAGGGTAACGGACAGGCAAGATAGAATGCACCCGTGAGATAGCCGCGCACAATAGCCTCCAAGGGTAATACTTGGGCTTTTCTTACGAGCATGGTCCGACCCTCAAGCTGCTCTTCGTATTCTCGCACTTCGGAAGGCATCGAGTGTATGTCCGCCGTGATGAAATGGTTGGGAATGATGTGCGCTAGTTTGTCGAACCAGAAGAGCGAGATCTGAGTGAGGAGCTGACCCTTCTGTGGGATGCCCTGCTGTGAAAATGAACCAACGATGCATTCATGTTTCAACAACGGACATTCTTGAGTACCACATCGTAGGCCGAAATCCGATCGGAGGCGACGAAGAGCAAGCTGTTGGGATCGGAGGTTGCGTAGATGTCCCGGACCTTGCCCTTTGAGAGCAAAGTGAGTGTCGGGAGATCGGAGTGAACCAGCGCCATAATCGCCGGAAAAAAGTAGCGTAACGCGTGACATTTCCCAAACGGGGTTAAATTTTCAATGTCTTCCTCCTCATCGTCCAGTGCTTCAAGCTCACGCAATTCCTCACCCGAGCCTCCAAAAAAGCGCAAACGCGCAGCTCAGGATGAGTCAGACGCTGACTCAGACTCAGATTCCGATAACGATGAGCCGCAACCGGCGACCGAAACGCTCCCCATTCCCGTAGACGAACCTGTTCTCTCCCATAAACAAAAGCGGATGCAGAAGAAAAAAGAGAAGGAGGAGGCCAAAGCGGCCAGTAAGAAGAAGAGGAAGCTACCCGACGGCTCCGCTGTGTCTGTGAAGGACGACAAGGGCAAGCGGCAGAATTCCGTTTGGGTGGGCAATCTAAACTTCAAGACCACACCGGAAGCGCTCAGTGCGTTCTTCAAAGATGCAGGCGAAGTCACGAGAATCAACATGCCGCATAAAACGTCCACTGTGCGTGGTGTCAAGCCCGAGAACAAGGGGTAATAATTTGTTTCCGTTGGCAATGGCGATCATTGACGCTTTTTAGGTATGCGTATGTCGATTTTGCATCTCCAGACGCAAAAACTATCGCCATAACCATGTCGGAGCAAAATCTGCTGGGTCGAAAGCTATTGATCAAAGATGGTGGGTCCAACCTACAGTACAACAACATTCATGACAGCCCACATGCAGGTGACGACTTTGCTGGCAGACCCACCACTACTCCAACACATGGAGACCCAAATGCTGCTGCTGCTGCTGCAGGTGTAACAGGCCTAACAAAAAGTGCTCAACGCATCCTTCGTGCCCAGCAACAACCACCCGCGCCAACTTTGTTCTTAGGGAACCTACCATTCGAAACGACTGAAGACAGCATACGGGAACTATTCCAAGCGCATCGCAAAAAGGTCGTTCAGAAGGTGGAGGACGAGGGCGGCGCAGGCGAGGACAACTCGGAAACACAGAAAGAATCTATACGGAAAGTGCGGATGGGGACATTTGAGGACAGCGGTCTGTGTAAAGGGTGTGTGAGCTTATGCGCTGCTCTTGATTCCTGTTGAAACATTTCAGCTTTGCCTTCGTTGATTTTATATCGACACAAGAGGCCACCAACGCTTTGGTCAATCCCAGAAATCACCATCTCAATGGGCGGGACTTGAAAGTCGAGTACGCCTCGGCTGATGCAGTAAGGCGGGGTCAACCAAAGGAGCGTAACCCAGATGGAGCTCCCAAGCGATATAAAGAACCCAAGCGGCTCGGTCCCCGCGCGGAGAAACGCGTGAAAAAGGAGGAGACAGACTTTACAGAGGTGGAACAAAAAGAAGACAAGCAATCGCGTGACCGGTCTGGTGGGAAGCCTTACAAGAAAGGGTGGAAGAGTAGAGAGGAGCAGGCTGCGAGCGAGAAAGGGCCAAAGAGTCGACCACGACCTGGGGCAGCTTTAGCTCAGGCGAAACGCGAGAGTACCGCCATTGTACCTGCTCAAGGAAAGAAGATTGTATTCTGAACGCTTTCCAAAGGCTTTTTAAGAGCCTCTGAATTTTGGGCCAAGTTCGCGTACCAAACTTGGCTTTTTCGTTCGCAAATACATTCAACTAACCACATGGGCGGATAACGACTAATAGCAAGGTGAGGAGATACGTGGTACAAGAGGGGGATCGCAAGATTAAAAAAGAGGCAGGCGGCGGCGATAGTCATAGACTCAAACTTTGCCATGAAAGACGGATTGCGCATAGTCATCGGCCTGTTTAGAGACAAGGATGTCGTAGATCTCACGAAAAATATGAGGAACAGTGTCAAAGTTGGTAAATAGAACGCACCTCTCTTGGTGGGGAAAGTCCCATTGCCTGAGCGCGTTCCCAGCGGTCAAGTCGCGTAATTCCGATGCAAGGACCATACTGATACGACCTGGAAAGCAATTCAGAGGGAGGCATGGCCGAAGAAAACAGGATGCACAGGTCAAACATGCGTAGGATATCGTCAAAGACGTTTTGCTGTTTGGTATGAACTGTGAACTGCGTCAATGGCAGCTCATGTGGAGAAACTTTGGGACGGACTAAGTTTCACTTTCCCCAGCTTGGCTTTTCGATAGTCCGTCCATCGGCTGTCTTTGGGGTCAAGGTCAAGAGGTTCATCCACGTCGAAGACCTCCTGCTCTAACTCCGAATCCGAATCAGACTCCTCCAACGGTATAACCGCGACTCGTTTCTTTGTCGGAGTCTTGAATGACGCGGCTTTCTCGCTGAGAGCGCCGCGCGTCTTCGGGCCGTTGGTCTCATCGTTTTCAGAGTCGGAGAACGACTGTTGTTTCTATATTAGCTTAGGGGTATATGGCCATTGGCAGACATGCACACCACTGAAGGTTTCTTTTTGTTTGTAGACACGGAGGTCTTGCTAGCCGTAAAGGAGAGGGTGGCCTGTTTGAGGGAGGAAGAGGGTTTCGCAGCTTTGGGCATGACGGGTCAGAGAAGGTTGGGTTTTGAGTCGTCACCGTGACACAGTTACCCTCGCGTCGTTGACCTCCGCCGCTGCGTCAATATAATAGCTAAGGCTGCCTATTGACCTTGGGAAGACCCGGATTTTCAATGCACGCGCTACGTTACAACCTGCTTATCAATATGCGAGACCTACAATTCCATCGTCTCTGCCCTCAACCTCGGCGAGCATCCTATTGGTGATAGGCAAATTTGGAACCACGTCTGGTCTAGGTTCCTCTTCAAGTTGATTCAGTAGATGAGCAAACGACCAAAGATAAACATCCTCACCGGGCATTCTGTTGGTGATTGGCAAATTCGGAACCACGTCGGGGCTGGGCTCCTCTTCAAATATGGTGAGGGAGGCGAATAAAATGACCGAAGTTGATTTACTAGCATGGCAGATAATGCATTGCTTCTTGACGAGCGCAGCGTCGACAACAGCTATACGCGCACGGTCAAGATCGGTCCAAGTTGCCAACCATGTCATTTCTGCTGCTCACCAGCTGTTATGCCAGCAGGTGCGGCGCTGACGAAACCAAGAGCGAGAGCGGCGACTAGAGAAACGATGGGTGCTTGAGGGCGCATGGCTTGCGAATTCGCCCGTCCTCCATCTTTCGTTCGTTTTTTATATGCGCTTCCTTGCTCGTCTGAAAATAGACCCCAATATGCTAGGTGTTTCGGATGGCGAGGAAACTGCAGCCGCATCCAACCACCTTACTGTTCAGATCATCTTTCGCATTCAGAATAAGTGGTGGCGCCACAGTGCTTGACTGTTCTTGCTCATCGGGCCGCCTGTCAACGGTCAAGACGCGGTGTTCATGAGAGAAGACTGGATTACACTATTTTAGAAGCCACTGCAGCCGTTAGCAACCAAAGCCCACTCTAGGGATGTTGAAATATTCAAGTTCAAGTGGTCATAACGGATCAAATGCTGCTTACCCTAACATTCACTACCTTCAACTTAGTTAACCTTGCACTTTATGCAGGGCATTCCCATCAAGTGGATCTCTGGACCCTGCAAGTGCACTCGCTCGTCGCCTGATACCTTTCAACGGCCCGCCGACAGGAGCACTGTCGACGTATCTCAGCAGCCACTTGGGTGCAACGTTGCATGGACCCTGATTCGACGCCTCATCTGCACCCTGTTTATGATGTATTTTTTGACTTCGGACTAAGCGCTTAGCGCTACCCTTCCCAGAAGGACGTCTGTGGAAGGATTTTCCAAAAGCCATCCTTACGATGGTTCTGGCAAGTGTGGATCTACAGCCTGAGGGAAAACCCTGTCTCCCGTTATTTGTAAAGATGGTTAGTAGAACGGGACAGTTACCAGTGAGAGAGATCGCGGCCAGACTGTGGGTGCTTACAACTTGAACCTGTTTAGGAATCTGTTTAAAATTTGGCATACATCATATATGTAATCGACTTTGCTTTTCTGATGTTGTTAGAGTGGCTGGTCAACCATGCATTCAAGACTCGCTCGATTGAGATAAAAAGCAGCTAGGCAAGGACTTTGCAGCGCCGAACTTGAAGCCAGGGATGCAGCCTGCGGGTTCGTATACTCTTTCGGCAGCACGGAAGTTGGAACAACAACGCTCATGTTGATTGCCGCCACAACAATCCCTTCAAGTCCTAACTGGGAGCGATCACAACAAGCTTGGCGCGACGGGCATGCCGGCGATACAGACAAGGGCTACTTTAATTTGGAGGGTATAAATAGCCTAGAGAAGACTGGTCTTTTCAAGTTCTCAGACTCACGTTCTCTAATAAGTATAAGGGGAGTGCCTTTTCCTCACTGACGCCACGATACTGACTGTGATTGCAGCGCAATGCAGATCCAACTGACCGGCATGCTTACTATGTTCGTTCTCGCGGCACAGATTGCCGCCAAGGGGCCCATTCTCGTGGCATGGTACGAGGCAGCGGACTGCCGTGGATCGTCGTTCGAAACCACTATCACCAAGGCACAGCCTGAGCCGGGCACGTGCTTCGCGGCCAGCGACGGCCGCACGGCCCGCAGTGTCTTGTGGAGCAATATCGGCGGCCCGGGCTTCCAGCTCTTCTTATCTGGCGGCCCGCACGACATGTGCACCAACGGCGCAAATTTCACAGCACCCAAATCCGCGGGGTGCGAGACCGCGCCGCCTGGGTGCGTACGATCCGATGATGCCGGATCAGGGTTAACTGACCGCGGGACTTCCCAGATTCAATTGGCAGAGCGCTCAGTACCCCTTCTAGGCAACAGACAGTATATACCCACTTTTAGCCCTCACAGTGGCTCACACGCTCCTTACCCTTGTCTTCATAATAGTTACATTCAACGTTCGACGTTTTAGTGCAACCGTGTGATGATGCGTTCGGCGACTGTCAATTGAGTTCCCAGGATCACGAGACCTTATTTTTGCCCACTCTGCCAGCGTCATATCATTGTCTTTCCGCCAAACGATGTTCAACAACGGAGGCTACAACACTGCCGGATTCATACCTCCACCTCTAAGTCTCCCTCGGACGCTTCCACCCAACTTCGGGCCCGGGGTTCAAGTTCCCAGCAGGGCCAGCACTCAGTATATGAACCCTCACCCATTGGCCCCACAGCCCAACCTGCAGGCTGGACGACTCCCTCCACAATTGATGGCCGTCGATGAACCGATGCCAATGGCGTCCGAGAACACTCCCCGCTTCAGGACCAACGCTGGTGAGACAACTTAAGAGATCAAGCGTCGGACTAATGGGTGCTTTGTCAGCGTTGTTCAACGACCCTGAATACCTCAACCTCCTCAATCGAAGCTCGAATCCACATTCGCCGAGTCCGTTCAATTACAGCCATCGGCAGGCACCAGTACCAGCGGGTTACGGCCCTCAGCCCCCGGCTTTCGCTCATGGCCCGATGGGAGGGTTTCCCGCCAGCCTCCCGGTCCAACAGCCAGATACGACTATGATTCCGAGTTATGGGCTCGACTCTCATGATTTTGATCCTGAGCCGGATCCGGACTCTAGGACTCTAAGGTGGATCCAGTCGCAGGCTCAATTTATTAGTACTCAGGTCCTCCGAGTCGCCGATTCTCCGGATGTTCCAGGCTCCAAACAGACCAACACTGGTGAGTTATAGCTTCCTTTGATCGCCTACTAGTACTGAGTAAATTCTCAGACTTTATGGCTAATACTAATCTTCAAGTTCCAGGCTATACGAGCCCTCACGTTGCGCTGGATGGCGGCGCTGCTTGGACTGGTGTCGCTCCTACCAGTGGTAGCCAATGGCACTCAAACCCTCCGCCATCTCCATATTCAAGTTTTCCTAGCCGCCAAAACCAGGCTCCCGTCGTCGGTCCCGGGCCATTGCAGTCCAACTTGAACTATCATACACCACCCCACCCACCACCACCGCTGGCACCACACAATCCAACTGCTAACGCATTTACGCCGGAAACGGGTATGTCGCCGCATTCAAGTTGGTGGACTTCAAGTTGATAATCTCAATTTCAATAGCCTCGCATCTCTCTTCCGGAAGTTTCCAGCCAACGACCGCCAGCCGCAATGGTATGTTCATGGATTCAATCGAGTCCTGTTTAACCGATTTGTTAGAACGGACGATCAACCCACCCAAATTTGGACGCGCTGCGTACCTCCACTTTCGCGACACATATGGGAGTGGTGCTGCCCAAGCCGTTGGCACCGGTAGCGGCCGGCACACACACACTCCGCATATTCGGAGCCCCCTCGGCCTCTCCCAGACGCAGCCAGTCGCTGGGCCATCCCGCCCTATTAGCTTGGATCACGCGCCACACAATTCGATGGAGTTCAGCTCCACGCCAACAAGCGTGAACATTCCGCCAGAACCGATGCTGGTAGACGAAGAACGCCACAACACGGCTTCAGCATTTACATCGTCTTCGGCCGCCGAATCAGAGTCAGATGGCAGTGACTCTGAAGCTGAGTCTGAGACTAGCACTGAGCGCGGCGGTGAACCAGCCACTGGTGTGTTGGTTATCCTGGCTGAACCGTTGTTGATAGCTTTCCGACAGCGCATGAACATCACCCGCCCCTGCCACGGTTTAGCTACGGGCCCAGTGGTTTGCCCCCAAGGCTCCAAAAGGAATACGATGCTCTTGTAGAAGGCTTCCGACAGCAGCTGGACAGAGTTTCCGCTCAGCTCGACGCCGACATAGAGGCCCTTGCAGTGCATAAAACACAACACGATGCTAGCACGGTCGATAGCCAGACACACTGGGATTGGCAATCGAAAGCTGAAATACTGCAGAAGATGGTTGAGAGTGGTCGTCGACAGAAGGGTGAGCTGACGTCCATCGTCGACAACCTCAAAGATGGTGCATCAGGCCGTCAGGCATAATGGTCCTATTTTATGGATGATTGCTCTATTCGTTATCTTTCGCTGCTAGTAGTATTGGTCAAGAAAAATATCACCGATCAAACAAGTTTTTCCTCATTCGTACACGTAGCATAGTAGGCCATTCGTGGTCGACAAAACATCTCCTATCTTGGCTGACTCGAAAAGCCCATCAGCAGGCATTGTTGAGTTGACCTGCAGTTGGATGAGTCATAAAGAACAAACTAAAAGTGCCCATACACTCAGGAACGGCGCTGCACCAGTCGGGTATTGTTCGTAAGATGTGACATTGTTCAAGGCTTCGACAGAGCCTCCGAAGAATTTGTTACCGTTGTGGGGGCTTGCGTGTTGCCAGTCGTACCACAATTTGTCCACCATCTGTCGGAATCGCATCAAACAAACTTAATCAAGGACGAGGAGGGAAAGTACAGCATGATGCATCCAGAAGAGGGGTTCTGCGAAAGCATGTGGGATACGCTGTAGTGAAGCAAACGAACCGACCATTGGCAGAGAATGTTGGACCCCCAACACAGTCAGGTGGTGCACTTGCGGGACAGATTCCTCCGAGATCTCTGAATACGACGATTATCTTCGTTTTGTTCAAAAAGTAAGCATTCAACTGACCCACCAACCATGAGATGTATGGCTCCATGCGAACCCTAAAACGACATTTTTATATGAAAAACGACAGTGTTCGACGATAAGAACATACATTGAAACCTTCGAGGTACGTCTGGAAGCCTTTGAAATCGCCGACAAAGCCATTGACGAGCTTGTCTCGCTCGGCTGGAGTAAACGAAGTATTGCCGTAGAGTTGCTGTTGCGACTCGCTGAGAAAGGGGTTTCCGAGGAAGGGCTTCAGCGTAAAATTGCGACGGAGGGTATGCGGAGAAGGATAGGCCAATCTAAAGGTTGATGTGTTGGAGAAACCACCATCAGGGACGCTAACGTCGTTTGCGGGGTCGCCCCAGCCGCCAAGCCCGCTTTCGGGATCAGGATCGGTAAACATGGTAGAAGAGAAAACATCGCGATAGTCTAATAATGCATAAACGGAATGACGTGAGAGAGTTGGTCTATACCTTGAACCCAATCCCAATATGGCGAAGTTCCTTTGTATCCACACTTCTCCTTCAAGGCGCGCTCGTAGACGGCAACATACCAGCGGTGCCAAGGAAGGAATAAGCCAGTAAAGTGAATTTTGGTGTTTAGGTCTGTACGGACAATTAGCGCGACTTTTTTTAGGCAAGACAGATGTGGACTGACCCATGTGCAAGTAGACGAAGTCGTCGTAATATGAGCTACTAGTGTTGACTGGAACGATATTTGAGATCGAAGGAGGGACGGAGGGGGCCAACGCGTCATCGTGAGGCAGGTTTGCAAGACACTATGGTGTTGTTAGTAAAAAGGCAAAGTTTCGCAGACAACGGCGGACCTTGACGCTACGAATCCAATCCGCTCGCTCTGACCAGCTTAACGTTCGCCACTCCTTTCGCACTGCCGGCTGGATGCATATGGCATGTACCAAGCAACCTGTAATAAGCAGCCAAATGAGGGGAAGGAGGGTAGCCATGGCCAGAAAAGAATGGGGGGCCCCATTTAAATTGACGGCGACCTACGGGCGTGGCAGACAGAGTAGTCATGAGTTGGAAGAAGCGACCCATGGAGATGCGACACGACGCTTGGTGGAGTGATATTCTGGAGACGCCGTGCCGGTATGATATTTACTTGCCCTTAGTGTAGTTGGGAGAGTGAACATGTCTCGTTTCCGTAACATCGCGGGAGCATATAGACCACTCTAAGGAGTTTGAGCATTGACTGAATGGTACATAGATTGGGGGTCGTTGGATGTTTGAGACACGATATGTCACAAGGGGCCTCCGGCGTGACCGCCGTTGACAAGGACCTTGCTTTATTGGCGTGTTGACTTAACAAACAAAGCAACCTTTAGATCGACCAAATGTAATTTAGATACTTTCAAAGGTCTGGAGTAACAAGCAGTCATCTTTTTCTTCAATGGAAACATTGTGCTACTGCATCTTTATCGAGAGCTGCCCACCAAGTCTTGTCCATGTCAACTTTCGAATATCTGGGAACGACGTACAGATAGTCTTTGTCCTGTCCCGCGAATTTCACTACGTCGATGCCGATTCGATTTCCGAGACGCCTGGGGCGAGTTGTGATATCTTCCCCATCGTAGTCTTCGAAGATACCAGTCCGCGCACATTCTTCACCAGTTTGGAATACCACGCTGAAATTAGGGGAACGGTAGTCGAATAGCAGAACCACGTTAATGTTCGGGTCAATGTGCAAGGCGTTGGCAATGTTGTCCTTCAGTGTTTCGAAGGCCGTCGAAAAATCTTCATCCATTATGTGGCGCAGAAACCTGCGGGTTTCGCGATCCAAGTGACACGCTATCGACAACGTATTCTCGGTTAAATTGTGTTGTCTAGAAAGTCGGGTACTTACCTTTTTGCGAAAGTTTACGAGTCTTGCAATCCAGGCGATGAACAGGCCAGTGGTCTCTCTGACAGAAGGTATCACAATAGTAGGTCTCTTTGCAAGTTAGGCAGCGCTTGAGCTCGCCAGAGGAAGAAAAGCGACCACACTAGAGTTACATGTAAGCGCCATGTGAGAGTTTTTCGCTGCACCTTACCGTCCAGCACATGCGGCGGTTAGGTTTGGATGGAAACTCTCGAAGGTGCTGGAGCCTCCTGTCGAGACTGCCTGCGAAAACGTTCAGCAAGGAACGGTGTTCGGGGGTTGTCAACGCTTCTGTTGGAAGTAGTAGCGCGGTGTTAAATCTGTGGGTCATAATAGAGCGGAGCAAAGCTGGGCGCCATATAGCGCGACCAATAGCGCCAAAGAACACCATATCCGTGATGCGCAAGTTGGTGGGGGATTCTGTGCGCTGCATTACAAGTAAAGTCCCATCGATTGCTTTGCTAGCGATTGCATCCGTCCACGCTCCGAATTCCCAGTGGTGCTGGCTTATCTTCAGCATGAAGAGCAGAATATCTCCTACCGACTTCTCTCTATTCGCGCACATATCGCGTTGAGCGACCATGGTGTACAGCGCAGTCGCGGCGGCACCTAAGACCTTTTGTTTTACGAATTGATACCGCAGATTTCGAGATTGCAGGGCCGAGTCGACTGCTTTCCAGAAACAGGTTACAGAGACGATCGCGAAGTCTGATATAATGGGGTCGGTTTCGCGAGTCGTTGCGTCGAAACTTTGTTTGCAAAAAAACGCGATTTTTCGAGTGGACGAACCGCAGGCTTCTTCGATGACATGGATGTGGGTTGGTATAGTCGAAATAAACTGACGAAGCAAGTCATACATCGCGAGCAACCCCAGTCGAGACCATCGATTTTCTCGGACTGGTTCGTCGCAGCAGCGCACCCAAGTCATAACAAAGAGACGCACGGCATTAGATCCGGCTGACATTCGAGTATGTGTTTGGGCGTGACGAATGAATCGAGCGACGACGGCTAGACATATGACTGAGGAGTGAATGTTTCGAGAATCAATAGGTCGCCGGAGTCCCAGAAAAGACGTTGGCTGCATAAATACAGCGAGCCATGGCCACAACCTATCCCAGATCGAGCCAATATCTTCTTCCACACTGGCCAAGGTATTCGATTCAGCCATCTCCACAACAATCGCCCAGGATATTTCGAGACGGATGCGTTCCTCGGTGGAGTAAGAGGAATGGTCCATGGAGTAAGAAGGGAGTCGGTCGTTGTCCAGCAAAGCAAACAGCACGGGCCAGACCGTGTGCCATCGTTCTCTGATCGAAGCGAATGCAAATATGACACCACAGTCTGCTGCTTGGCCGTCGGACCCTAGCAGGCTCTCGGCTTTCGTCTGGAAGGACACAGTAAATAATGGTAAGACGGCTGAACGCAAGCCTTACTTTGACATAGTTGGGCAACCCTTGCAGGCAACCATTCACGTCAGCCAGGGATGAGCGGACAGACATTACAAAGAGCGCGCGGTTCGGAAGGTGCGAGGTGCGTGTACCCGTGCAGAGAAAGGTAGAGAGGGGGGGCAATATATGATATCTGAAACATAGCCTTATGGAAGCGTGGGACAAGGACGATGGAGGTCTTGCATCGGATCTTGCGATGCTATCGCGCAACTTGGGTTTGTTGAATAGGGCCCGCATCCGACAGCGGACGAACGGATGGCACATTTCTCCCACGGAAAGGCGTGGCAATGTCGAGAGAGAGATCGCCAGGAGGGTCCGATCACTGATATGAATAGGAAGAAGGCCACTGCAATCTTTGGCGAAGGAATTTACCTTAAAAGCGAGCATCGACCAACACATTGGCAACAAGACGCAGACATGGCTACGTTTTTGTTGAATCAGCGACCCCTCTATCTCTCCTCTGAACGCGCCCTCGATTTCGATCGCAGCCTTTTCGTGGCGCGTACGGGTGTGGAAAGTTAGACGCGTCATCTCGCTCCGCAATGGACGCAAGAACTTTTCGCTGGCATTTTACGGAAAAATGGAGGGTCTTTTTCGTACCGGACCCGCTCACTATGTTCGTCAATTCTAGTGCTTTTTTTTTGTCGTTTGCAGCGTTGTAATCCTGTTTGCAGTCCCTGATACTTTCCGTGCCAGATGGAAAGTTCGCAGATGTGTTCCAACGCACCGTCGTCTTTCTGAATGATTTGGAGCAAACATGGCGCGACAAGATTCATGTTAGCGTTTTACTAGAGTTTAGCAAAAACTTACGTCGTTATTCAGACTCCTTTCCAAGTCCTTTCCTGCGTCCAGATGGACCCTCGTCGCGGAAAAGACTTGATCTTAGTCAACGTGGATGTTACGACCGTACTTGTAAGTGTACTTACGGCTCAACGGATTAGAGTTGACTTGGTTTGTCTTTTGGTTTCATTCCTAGTGTCACGCCGAGTGGAAGACACGTCCTTCTTTAGAGAGTTTGACAGACAGCGTGCCCGTCAACCCCGAAGACTGCGAGATTTTGGAACCTGGCGCCCTTTTGCGATGCGATGTGACGATTTGCCGCGAAGATGCGCCAGACTTAGGCGGCTTGGTGTGGAACACGGCAAGAGATGTCTTCGTAATGCTTTCATCGCTTATTTTGGAGCAGGCATGGATATTGGGAGGTGACCGGATTGCTCGCATTGGTCGGGCCAGTGCGGCAAGTTCTGATGAGTCTGAACATGGAGACTTTACTCGTTCCGAGCCAGAGGGCACATTAGCCGATCCCGTGCATGATTCTGGGGGTAGTAACACTGCGGGATACGGGCGACTCGTAGCACAGGGAGTAAACGGTAAAAGCCAGGCTGACCACGATAGCGTGTCAGCGTTTGGGGCAGAGTCGGAAGAGGCGATCCGATCAAGTGACTGATCGGGGAAGGCCGGCGGCCCTCTGAAATGATGCATAGTTGTCAGATTTGTGATCAGATTTGTGATGTACTTACTATTGACGGAACACGGCTAGTCTTTGCTTTGATACACCACATCCGTTTCTTCTGGCTCTTTCGCTTGTAGCTGTTGCAAGCCACAAAAGCGTTGGGCGATACCAACCGTGCAAGGGCGTGTTAACAACCCGTCAGTTCTATTTGCCTCTGCTTGAATTTGCGGCAGGGTTCGCTGCTGTTCTTCCTTGACGATTTGCTGGTACCCTGGTCAAGGTTGATAATGGACAGACACAACAGCTGCACTTTTAAAAGGGGGCTTCGATTAAACCGCACTTCGAACTGGTTTACATGCCAGTGCGCGCGTCCGCTTCGCTCGGTTTGTACTTGTTTGTTAGGTGGGTGATCGGAAAAGGTCTTTCCTATCCATACGGGTACATAAAGACGAACCCTTCTGGCGCACAGCTTTTCACGGCTCTCTTAGTACTCGCACAGTATCGAAAAAAGGGTAAGGGGCGTTCATGCTCAGCGAACGATGCCTAACCAACCGCTATGCAGTGTGCACCTCAGTCCTCGATGCTTCAAATCTGCACGCCATGCCGGCGAGCCCACGTTGTCTGTGATGGCTCGAAGCCATGCCACCGCTGTTCTGCGAGGGGTTGCAACAGCGATTGTTGGTACCGCGATGCTGTGAGTGTGTTTGTTTGTTTATCGGTTACACATCTCGCGATAGTAGGGAGGTTAATAATTTACAGAGGGAGGGCGGTACAGGGCAGTCAGATGGAAGGCGGTCGGCTTTTTCCCGTACGACACGCACACGAGGACCTCGAAATCCCTTTATAATTTTTCGGTACGTCTCTGCTATTGTCTTTAGGTGAATAGCGCGTAGGTATTGAGAAGTCTTTATCCGTCAGCTCTGAATGTCTGAGGTCCACTGCGCACCACGAAGAGAAGTCGCAAGCTATCAAGTCCAAAGCTATTGGAGAACTATGGGGTCGATTATCTGATTCAGAGCGGTACTCCTACTTCCAACGCGCCGCCGATGAAAGATATAATCACAAACTGGTTAATCCTGGTTTCAAGGCTCGACGATTCCCGCGGTATAGGAAACGAAACCGGTCGTTTTCGGCCGAACCCAGCCGTGTATTCGAATACGCGCGAGCACTGTCCACTGTCCGCGAATCTCAGCGACGTGCTTATTCATCTGCTCGTTCCCCCGTAACTTATGCAGAAGCCGCCATGGATCAATGTATGTAATTCAGTCCTGCTCGATTAGATTCTAAAGAGACGCAAGCTACATCTTTCTTATCACGTATGCCATTCCAAGAAACGCATACCTATCTCGACCAAAATCAAACTAACCTGGGTATGGGAAAGGAGGGCGTTGGAATCGGTACTGTTCGGCGTAATTTTCCAAGGTTCTGTTTGCTACGCAATTCTGAGTCCCATAGTCACAGCTTCCGGCCTGGCTATGACTCCCGCTGCTACAGGGTCAGTACTTCAGCGCCAAGACCGAGGTGAGTGGAAGGCTACTTGTGCATAGGCGGGAATGTGCTTATACGATCCAGAGCCGTTGCATTCTGGTGCCATTAGGAGTACGCGTCATGACAGTAGCAATGGTACAGAGAAAGAAATCCACGAGACGATGCATTGCCTTTTTGTAAGTTCGCTCTTCATCTCTGCAGGGACTTTTTAATGACGCGCCCGTAAAGTACGGGTCACAAGACGGTGGCCATTTAGCAGATAGCCAGCATGGTGTTTGAATCTGAGGATTCTATTCCTTTCATGGACTCGCTTGAAAGATTCGGCGAGGAGAAATGACTGAGCACTCTTTACTTGCTCCGCAGTAGTACTGTGAATATATTTGGATTGTCTTGTCTGGATGTATATTCGCTATAGATGGGGACAGACTCAAATTGTAAGGCTACGCGACAGGCTGCACGACTTCAAATCCATCGACCGTCCCTGCATTCGGTGCACCACCCCGTGATCCGCGAGGGAATTTCTTATCACGAGCCTGAGTAGCGTTCGGGGCGCTCGCTTTGTCCATCACCTTATCTTGATTCCCTATACAGAAGCTTGAGAACCGTGAGTGAGAGCCGGGTACTGGTAACTTACCCGATGCTTGAGTGGTTGCAGCCTGAGCGGGCGTTCGGGGCGCTCGCTTTGTCGGTCGCTTTATCTTGATTTCCTATACAGAGGCATGAGAACCATGAATAAAAGTCGGGCACTGATAACTTACCAGATGTTTGAGTGGCTTGATCCATTTCCATTCGATCGTTACTCTCCTCTGGTTGAGAGCTTGGCGGGACTTGGACGAAAGAGTCCGTCATGGTCATCACGGTGTCTTCACGATCATAGCCGGAGGACTCTTCAAGCTTGGTTGTTTGGCGAAGATCGCGTGCCGTTTGGTAGTCACATAGGTCGTCTGGAATTCCTGTTTGAAGTATAGTCACCGCGAGCACGGTGGCTGAAGCGTTGCATCAGTTAACGAGGTAGTAGATCAGCAGCAAAACCGCACCTGTGAAGCAATCATATACTTCATTGTTCGTGTCCTTTAAAGTGTAATGCTTGAGGGTAAAGGCGACTTCTACGACGCTCCCCACGATTGCAGCCTTCAAGTCGTCGCCAATAACCACTTCGTTGTCCTCGTTGAAGACTGTTAGAGGACGAATATGATGCTTTTTGCAAACATCGTCGAAGGCGTCCTGACAATCCTCGGGAACGGTCCATTCCATTGGCCAAACAGTTTCTAGGCAACGTCAGTGTTTGAAAACAGAACACCGATGGACATTGACCGATGTCGCCGTCCTTCTTTTTCTCGAAAACGGGTTTAGAGAAGCGAAGAACACTCCCAGACCCATCCGAATGGATAAAGTAGCGGGACTTGGAGTTGTCGCAGATGCCAGACTGGAGGCGGTTCACTGTTTCGATTTGTCGGTCCCAATCCACGTCGAAAATGGTGTTTTCTAGCGAATGTAAGAGGTAGTATATATAAATAAGATAGAAAAAAACGCACCAGGTTTCTCAAGCATGAAAGTGAACTTGGCCTTGTTCAGGCGGTCGTTGAAGGCCGGGCGCCAACCTCCTACACCATCCACGTTCGCCTGAGACTCAGAAACGACACCGACCGCTGTAAGCACAGCGACCTTTCCGCGTTTGCCAGTGTCGTCGATAAGACAAGCTACGTGGCCATTTTCTTTGCGCTTCCAGGAGAAGTGAAGTTTCTTGGAGCCTAGGTAGAGAGGGGATTTGAGGAAGCTTTCGCGAAGAGTTGCAAGATCTGCCTGCGTTAGTTGCGTTTAAGCGAAAGCAAGGAGTAACTCACCGAGCATGGCTAGAAAGTCTGGGACACGGAGAGATGTATGCTTCGACACTGTCTTTTATAGCGAACGGCCATGGGCCTACTTGTAGCGACCGCTCGCTACAGGCAGTGTAGATGAGATCGTTGTGCGTCGGAAACGGGCAGGAAGATTTTCCCGCGACTGAGCGTGGAGTCGAAAAGCGAAAAGTGTGACCGCTGATGTGGAGTTGTGGAGCGATGGAACCGGGTGGCCGGATTTTTCCGATATAATATGATCCGCGGGCCCGACGGCGGACTATCCCCCTTCTTCGTTCATCGAGATCCAAATGGCTCGGGGCACACGCCGGAACGCTTTGAAATCATGTACATCAATATTTTTGAAATTTTTAAACGGTATGGACTCGAAAAGGTCAGAAGTCCACTGCAAAGCTTGACAGATACTAGGATGCTGCAGGTTCATTCTCTTGTACCGCGCGGTACAACCTGCACATCTTTTTAGCCACAATTTCCCATTTCTGCAATGTGGGGTGAGATGTAGAACGTGAAGGATCGTCGTAGCGTGCTCACCACAGCCCACATTTCCGTTCCGTGGTAGAAGGTAACAGACTTGCTCTCGACGCGGCGTAGTTCCGCGACAACTGCAAAAAAGTCCTCCGCGTTGCAAGGAAGGCACATTAGCTGCACCCCATGGGATTTCTGGGAGTTGGTCTCGGCGATTGTACAACTCAGTGTTGGTTTCCCAATTAACGCTAGTCTAGCGAATACTGCATCAATGCGCTAAGTCAAGGGGTGCTATGAGTACCTACCCAAGGAATATTTCCTGCGCACGACACCGAACAAGTTACCAGATGGTGAAGAAGCAGTATTGCTGCTCCATTTATGAGTGATTTCATGCAACTACTAGATGTTAGTCGATGGTCATTCATTAAGGCTATATTCCTAGGGACGAACGTGATCGGGGGGTGCCTCCCATCGCATGATAAAGCCTAGAGATGCAAGCGTAGATTGAAATACACCCCGCAAGTTAGGCGACTCGTCTGACGGAGCGTTCATTATAAGGCGCTGTAAAAAGAGCATTGTTTTTTGCCCCCCAGACAGTTGCTGCACTTACCAGTGTTCCATCGGGGTCGAAATTGAAGTCATACATGCGCGCAGGGAAGACGATCTTCACGGGGGAGTCGTCCCTCATTAAGACATAAGTACGAGCGAATATTTCGTGCCCTATGACTTCGACGGGGCTTAAGTGAAAGTCCTCGTTGAGTGTCAATTGGGGCAAGTGATAGAAGGCCATGAAAGAATGTACAGGCGCCAGGCAAGATGCTCCGTCCTTTAATACTGCAGATAGGCACGGATTGATTGTATCCGGAAGCATGAGAGAACAAATAGACGGCGAGGTTCAGACTAGCATTATCGAAGTACAGGAAAGAGAACGAATGACAGCAATTGATGTGAGATAGATGTGGTAAGCACTATTCAGTAATCAAAACGTGGCTTTGATGTTAGTAGGATGATTTTGGTCGAAGCTCAACTCCGGGTTGGCTTTCCACCACCTATGCGCCCCCGTCAATACACCTGAAGAAGGAAAAAAATGGACCTACTCGATTAGCAATGCGGTAATTTGCTTGGTGTCTTTGAAGACGGCGCGAGGATCGACTACTCGACCATCCAAGGTAGCGACTACCAAAA